GCTGACGAGGATGCCAAGAAGAAAGCCGAGGCTGACAAGAAGGCTGATGCTGACAAGAAGAAGGCTGACGAAGACGCCAAGAAGAAGGCTGAAGCTGACAAGAAGGCTGAAGCTGACAAGAAGAAGGCTGACGAGGATGCCAAGAAGAAGGCCGAGGCTGACAAGAAGGCTGAAGTTGACAAGAAGAAGGCTGACGAAGATGCCAAGAAGAAGGCTGATGCTGACAAGAAGAAGGCTGATGAAAATGCCAAGAAAAAGGCTGAAGCTGACCAGAAGGCTGAAGATGCCAAGAAGAAGGCCGAGGCTGACAAGAAGGCTAAAGCTGACAAGAAAAAGGCTGACGAAGATGCCAAGAAGAAGGCCGAGGCTGACAAGAAGGCTGATGCTGACAAGAAGAAGGCTGAAGCTGACAAGAAGAAGGCTGACGAAGATGCCAAGAAGAAGGCCGAGGCTGCCAAGAAGGCTGAAGCTGACAAGAAGAAGGCTGACGAAGATGCCAAGATGAAAGCTGAAGCTGACAAGAAGAAGGCTGACGAAGATGCCAAGAAGAAGGCCGAGGCTGCCAAGAAGGCTGAAGATGCCAAGAAGAAGGCCGAGGCTGACAAGAAGGCTAAAGCTGACAAGAAAAAGGCTGACGAAGATGCCAAGAAGAAGGCCGAGGCTGACAAGAAGGCTGAAGCTGACAAGAAGAAGGCTGACGAAGATGCCAAAAAAAAGGCTGAAGCTGACAAAAAGAAGGCTGACGAAGACGCCAAGAAGAAGGCTGACGAAGATGCCAAGAAGAAGGCTGATGCTGACAAGAAGAAGGCTGAAGCTGACAAAAAGAAGGCTGACGAAGATGCCAAGAAGAAGGCTGAAGCTGACAAGAAGGCTGAAGCTGACAAGAAGGCTGAAGCTGACAAAAAGAAGGCTGACGAAGATGCCAAGAAGAAGGCTGAAGCTGACAAGAAGGCTGAAGCTGACAAAAAGAAGGCTGACGAAGATGCCAAGAAGAAGGCTGAAGCTGACAAGAAGGCTGAAGCTGACAAGAAGGCTGAAGCTGACAAGAAGGCTGATGCTGACAAGAAGAAGGCTGAAGCTGACAAGAAGAAGGCTGACGAGGATGCCAAGAAGAAAGCCGAGGCTGACAAGAAGGCTGATGCTGACAAGAAGAAGGCTGACGAAGACGCCAAGAAGAAGGCTGAAGCTGACAAGAAGGCTGAAGCTGACAAGAAGAAGGCTGACGAGGATGCCAAGAAGAAGGCCGAGGCTGACAAGAAGGCTGAAGTTGACAAGAAGAAGGCTGACGAAGATGCCAAGAAGAAGGCTGATGCTGACAAGAAGAAGGCTGATGAAAATGCCAAGAAAAAGGCTGAAGCTGACCAGAAGGCTGATGCTGACAAGAAAAAGGCTGACGAAGATGCCAAGAAGAAGGCTGAAGCTGACAAGAAGGCTGATGCTGACAAGAAGAAGGCTGAAGCTGACAAAAAGAAGGCTGACGAAGATGCCAAGAAGAAGGCCGAGGCTGACAAGAAGGCTGAAGCTGACAAGAAGAAGGCTGAAGCTGACAAGAAGAAGGCTGACGAAGCTGACAAGAAGAAGGCTGAAACTGACAAGAAGAAGGCTGACGAAGATGCCAAGAAGAAGGCCGAGGCTGACAAGAAGGCTGAAGCTGACAAGAAGAAGGCTGACGAAGATGCCAAGAAGAAGGCTGACGAAGATGCCAAGAAGAAGGCTGACGAAGATGCCAAGAAGAAGGCTGAAGCTGACAAGAAGGCTGATGCTGACAAGAAAAAGGCTGACGAAGATGCCAAGAAGAAGGCCGAGGCTGACAAGAAGGCTGAAGCTGACAAGAAGGCTGATGCTGACAAGAAAAAGGCTGACGAAGATGCCAAGAAGAAGGCCGAGGCTGACAAGAAGGCTGAAGCTGACAAGAAGAAGGCTGACGAAGATGCCAAGAAGAAGGCCGAGGCTGCCAAGAAGGCTGAAGCTGACAAGAAGAAGGCTGACGAAGATGCCAAGATGAAAGCTGAAGCTGACAAGAAGAAGGCTGACGAAGATGCCAAGAAGAAGGCCGAGGCTGCCAAGAAGGCTGAAGATGCCAAGAAGAAGGCCGAGGCTGACAAGAAGGCTAAAGCTGACAAGAAAAAGGCTGACGAAGATGCCAAGAAGAAGGCCGAGGCTGACAAGAAGGCTGAAGCTGACAAGAAGAAGGCTGACGAAGATGCCAAAAAAAGGCTGAAGCTGACAAAAAGAAGGCTGACGAAGACGCCAAGAAGAAGGCTGACGAAGATGCCAAGAAGAAGGCTGATGCTGACAAGAAGAAGGCTGAAGCTGACAAAAAGAAGGCTGACGAAGATGCCAAGAAGAAGGCTGAAGCTGACAAGAAGGCTGAAGCTGACAAGAAGGCTGAAGCTGACAAAAAGAAGGCTGACGAAGATGCCAAGAAGAAGGCTGAAGCTGACAAGAAGGCTGAAGCTGACAAAAAGAAGGCTGACGAAGATGCCAAGAAGAAGGCTGAAGCTGACAAGAAGGCTGAAGCTGACAAGAAGGCTGAAGCTGACAAGAAGGCTGATGCTGACAAGAAGAAGGCTGAAGCTGACAAGAAGAAGGCTGACGAGGATGCCAAGAAGAAGGCTGAAGCTGACAAGAAGGCTGAAGCTGACAAGAAGGCTGATGCTGACAAGAAGAAGGCTGAAGCTGACAAGAAGAAGGCTGACGAGGATGCCAAGAAGAAGGCTGAAGCTGACAAGAAGGCTGAAGCTGACAAGAAGGCTGATGCTGACAAGAAGAAGGCTGATGCTGACAAGAAGAAGGCTGAAGCTGACAAGAAGAAGGCTGACGAGGATGCCAAGAAGAAGGCTGAAGCTGACAAGAAGGCTGAAGCTGACAAGAAGGCTGAAGCTGACAAGAAGGCTGATGCTGACAAGAAGAAGGCTGAAGCTGACAAGAAGAAGGCTGACGAGGATGCCAAGAAGAAGGCTGAAGCTGACAAGAAGGCTGAAGCTGACAAGAAGGCTGATGCTGACAAGAAGAAGGCTGAAGCTGACAAGAAGAAGGCTGACGAGGATGCCAAGAAGAAGGCTGAAGCTGACAAGAAGAAGGCTGACGAAGATGCCAAGAAGAAGGCTGAAGCTGACAAGAAGGCTAATGCTGACAAGAAGAAGGCTGACGAAGATGCCAAGAAGAAGGCCGAGGCTGACAAGAAGGCTGAAGCTGACAAGATGGCTGAAGCTGACAAGAAGGCTAATGCTGACAAGAAGAAGGCTGACGAAGATGCCAAGAAGAAGGCCGAAGCTGACAAGAAGGCTGAAGCTGACAAGAAGGCTGATGCTGACAAGAAGAAGGCTGACGAAGACGCCAAGAAGAAGGCTGAAGCTGACAAGAAGGCTGAAGCTGACAAGAAGAAGGCTGACGAGGATGCCAAGAAGAAGGCCGAGGCTGACAAGAAGGCTGAAGTTGACAAGAAGAAGGCTGACGAAGATGCCAAGAAGAAGGCTGAAGCTGACAAGAAGAAGGCTGACGAAGATGCCAAGAAGAAGGCTGAAGCTGACAAGAAGGCTAATGCTGACAAGAAGAAGGCTGACGAAGATGCCAAGAAGAAGGCCGAGGCTGACAAGAAGGCTGATGCTGACAAGAAGAAGGCTGACGAAGATGCCAAGAAAAAGGCCGAGGCTGACAAGAAGGCTGAAGCTGACAAGATGGCTGAAGCTGACAAGAAGGCTAATGCTGACAAGAAGAAGGCTGACGAAGATGCCAAGAAGAAGGCCGAAGCTGACAAGAAGGCTGAAGCTGACAAGAAGAAGGCTGACGAAGATGCCAAGAAGAAGGCCGAGGCTGACAAGAAGAAGGCTGACGAAGATGCCAAGAAGAAGGCTGAAGCTGACAAGAAGGCTGAAGCTGACAAGAAGAAGGCTGACGAAGATGCCAAGAAGAAGGCTGAAGCTGACAAGAAAAAGGCTGACGAGGATGCCAAGAAGAAAGCCGAGGCTGACAAGAAGAAGGCTGACGAGGATGCCAAGAAGAAGGCTGAAGCTGACAAGAAGGCTGAAGCTGACAAGAAGGCTGATGCTGACAAGAAGAAGGCTGAAGCTGACAAAAAGAAGGCTGACGAAGATGCCAAGAAGAAGGCCGAGGCTGACAAGAAGAAGGCTGACGAAGATGCCAAGAAGAAGGCCGAAGCTGACAAGAAGGCTGAAGCTGACAAGAAGAAGGCTGACGAAGATGCCAAGAAGAAGGCCGAGGCTGACAAGAAGGCTGAAGCAGACAAGAAGAAGGCTGACGAAGATGCCAAGAAGAAGGCTGAAGCTGACAAGAAGGCTGAAGCTGACAAGAAGAAGGCTGACGTGGATGCCAAGAAGAAGGCCGAGGCTGACAAGAAGAAGGCTGACGAAGATGCCAAGAAGAAGGCTGAAGCTGACAAGAAGAAGGCTGACGAGGATGCCAAGAAGAAAGCCGAGGCTGACAAGAAGAAGGCTGACGAAGATGCCAAGAAGAAGGCTGAAGCTGACAAGAAGGCTGAAGCTGACAAGAAGGCTGATGCTGACAAGAAGAAGGCTGAAGCTGACAAGAAGAAGGCTGACGAGGATGCCAAGAAGAAGGCTGAAGCTGACAAGAAGGCTGAAGCTGACAAGAAGGCTGATGCTGACAAGAAGAAGGCTGATGCTGACAAGAAGAAGGCTGAAGCTGACAAGAAGAAGGCTGACGAGGATGCCAAGAAGAAGGCTGAAGCTGACAAGAAGGCTGAAGCTGACAAGAAGGCTGAAGCTGACAAGAAGGCTGATGCTGACAAGAAGAAGGCTGAAGCTGACAAGAAGAAGGCTGACGAGGATGCCAAGAAGAAGGCTGAAGCTGAAAAGAAGGCTGAAGCTGACAAGAAGGCTGAAGCTGACAAGAAGAAGGCTGACGAAGATGCCAAGAAGAAGGCTGAAGCTGACAAGAAGGCTAATGCTGACAAGAAGAAGGCTGACGAAGATGCCAAGAAGAAGGCCGAGGCTGACAAGAAGGCTGAAGCTGACAAGATGGCTGAAGCTGACAAGAAGGCTAATGCTGACAAGAAGAAGGCTGACGAAGATGCCAAGAAGAAGGCCGAAGCTGACAAGAAGGCTGAAGCTGACAAGAAGGCTGATGCTGACAAGAAGAAGGCTGACGAAGACGCCAAGAAGAAGGCTGAAGCTGACAAGAAGGCTGAAGCTGACAAGAAGAAGGCTGACGAGGATGCCAAGAAGAAGGCCGAGGCTGACAAGAAGGCTGAAGTTGACAAGAAGAAGGCTGACGAAGATGCCAAGAAGAAGGCTGAAGCTGACAAGAAGAAGGCTGACGAAGATGCCAAGAAGAAGGCTGAAGCTGACAAGAAGGCTAATGCTGACAAGAAGAAGGCTGACGAAGATGCCAAGAAGAAGGCCGAGGCTGACAAGAAGGCTGATGCTGACAAGAAGAAGGCTGACGAAGATGCCAAGAAAAAAGGCCGAGGCTGACAAGAAGGCTGAAGCTGACAAGATGGCTGAAGCTGACAAGAAGGCTAATGCTGACAAGAAGAAGGCTGACGAAGATGCCAAGAAGAAGGCCGAAGCTGACAAGAAGGCTGAAGCTGACAAGAAGAAGGCTGACGAAGATGCCAAGAAGAAGGCCGAGGCTGACAAGAAGGCTGAAGCTGACAAGAAGAAGGCTGACGAAGATGCCAAGAAGAAGGCTGAAGCTGACAAGAAGGCTGAAGCTGACAAGAAGAAGGCTGACGTGGATGCCAAGAAGAAGGCCGAGGCTGACAAGAAGAAGGCTGACGAAGATGCCAAGAAGAAGGCTGAAGCTGACAAGAAGGCTGAAGCTGACAAGAAGAAGGCTGACGAAGATGCCAAGAAGAAGGCTGAAGCTGACAAGAAAAAGGCTGACGAGGATGCCAAGAAGAAAGCCGAGGCTGACAAGAAGAAGGCTGACGAGGATGCCAAGAAGAAGGCTGAAGCTGACAAGAAGGCTGAAGCTGACAAGAAGGCTGATGCTGACAAGAAGAAGGCTGAAGCTGACAAAAAGAAGGCTGACGAAGATGCCAAGAAGAAGGCCGAGGCTGACAAGAAGAAGGCTGACGAAGATGCCAAGAAGAAGGCCGAAGCTGACAAGAAGGCTGAAGCTGACAAGAAGAAGGCTGACGAAGATGCCAAGAAGAAGGCCGAGGCTGACAAGAAGGCTGAAGCTGACAAGAAGAAGGCTGACGAAGATGCCAAGAAGAAGGCTGAAGCTGACAAGAAGGCTGAAGCTGACAAGAAGAAGGCTGACGTGGATGCCAAGAAGAAGGCCGAGGCTGACAAGAAGAAGGCTGACGAAGATGCCAAGAAGAAGGCTGAAGCTGACAAGAAGGCTGAAGCTGACAAGAAGAAGGCTGACGAAGATGCCAAGAAGAAGGCTGAAGCTGACAAGAAGAAGGCTGACGAGGATGCCAAGAAGAAAGCCGAGGCTGACAAGAAGAAGGCTGACGAAGATGCCAAGAAGAAGGCTGAAGCTGACAAGAAGGCTGAAGCTGACAAGAAGGCTGATGCTGACAAGAAGAAGGCTGAAGCTGACAAAAAGAAGGCTGACGAAGATGCCAAGAAGAAGGCCGAGGCTGACAAGAAGGCTGAAGCTGACAAGAAGAAGGCTGAAGCTGACAAGAAGAAGGCTGACGAAGCTGACAAGAAGAAGGCTGAAACTGACAAGAAGAAGGCTGACGAAGATGCCAAGAAGAAGGCCGAGGCTGACAAGAAGGCTGAAGCTGACAAGAAGAAGGCTGACGAAGATGCCAAGAAGAAGGCCGAAGCTGACAAGAAGGCTGAAGCTGACAAGAAGAAGGCTGACGAAGATGCCAAGAAGAAGGCCGAGGCTGACAAGAAGGCTGAAGCTGACAAGAAGAAGGCTGACGAAGATGCCAAGAAGAAGGCTGAAGCTGACAAAAAGAAGGCTGACGAGGATGCCAAGAAAAAGGCTGACGAAGATGCCAAGAAGAAGGCCGAGGCTGACAAGAAGGCTGAAGCTGACAAGAAGAAGGCTGACGAAGCTGACAAGAAGAAGGCTGAAGCTGACAAGAAGAAGGCTGACGAAGATGCCAAGAAGAAGGCCGAGGCTGACAAGAAGGCTGAAGCTGACAAGAAGAAGGCTGACGAAGATGACAAGATGAAGGCTGAAGCTGACAAGAAGAAGGCTGACGAGGATGCCAAGAAAAAGGCCGAGGCTGACAAGAAGGCTGAAGCTGACAAGAAGGCTGAAGCTGACAAGAAGGCTGAAGCTGACAAGAAGGCTGAAGCTGACAAGAAGACGGCTGACGAAGATGCCAAGAAGAACGCCGAGGCTGACAAGAAGAAGGCTGACGAAGATGCCAAGAAGAAGGCCGAGACTGACAAGAAGGCTGAAGCTGACAAGAAGAAGGCTGACGAAGCTGACAAGAAGAAGGCTGAAACTGACAAGAAGAAGGCTGACGAAGATGCCAAGAAGAAGGCCGAGGCTGACAAGAAGGCTGAAGCTGACAAGAAGAAGGCTGACGAAGATGACAAGATGAAGGCTGAAGCTGACAAGAAGAAGGCTGACGAGGATGCCAAGAAAAAGGCCGAGGCTGACAAGAAGGCCGAGGCTGACAAGAAGGCTGAAGCTGACAAGAAGAAGGCTGACGAGGATGCCAAGAAGAAAGCCGAGGTTGACAAGAAGAAGGCTGACGAGGATGCCAAGAAGAAGGCTGAAGCTGACAAGAAGGCTGAAGCTGACAAGAAGGCTGATGCTGACAAGAAGAAGGCTGAAGCTGACAAAAAGAAGGCTGACGAAGATGCCAAGAAGAAGGCCGAGGCTGACAAGAAGGCTGAAGCTGACAAGAAGAAGGCTGACGAAGATGCCAAGAAGAAGGCCGAGGCTGACAAGAAGGCTGAAGCTGACAAGAAGAAGGCTGACGAAGATGACAAGATGAAGGCTGAAGCTGACAAGAAGAAGGCTGACGAGGATGCCAAGAAAAAGGCCGAGGCTGACAAGAAGGCTGAAGCTGACAAGAAGGCTGAAGCTGACAAGAAGGTTGAAGCTGACAAGAAGAAGGCTGACGAAGCTGACAAGAAGAAGGCTGAAACTGACAAGAAGAAGGCTGACGAAGATGCCAAGAAGAAGGCCGAGGCTGACAAGAAGGCTGAAGCTGACAAGAAGAAGGCTGACGAAGATGACAAGATGAAGGCTGAAGCTGACAAGAAGAAGGCTGACGAGGATGCCAAGAAAAAGGCCGAGGCTGACAAGAAGGCCGAGGCTGACAAGAAGGCTGAAGCTGACAAGAAGAAGGCTGACGAGGATGCCAAGAAGAAAGCCGAGGTTGACAAGAAGAAGGCTGACGAGGATGCCAAGAAGAAGGCTGAAGCTGACAAGAAGGCTGAAGCTGACAAGAAGGCTGATGCTGACAAAAAGAAGGCTGAAGCTGACAAGAAGAAGGCTGACGAAGCTGACAAGAAGAAGGCTGAAACTGACAAGAAGAAGGCTGACGAAGATGCCAAGAAGAAGGCCGAGGCTGACAAGAAGGCTGAAGCTGACAAGAAGAAGGCTGACGAAGATGCCAAGAAGAAGGCCGAGGCTGACAAGAAGGCTGAAGCTGACAAGAAGAAGGCTGACGAAGATGACAAGATGAAGGCTGAAGCTGACAAGAAGAAGGCTGACGAGGATGCCAAGAAAAAGGCCGAGGCTGACAAGAAGGCTGAAGCTGACAAGAAGGCTGAAGCTGACAAGAAGGTTGAAGCTGACAAGAAGAAGGCTGACGAAGCTGACAAGAAGAAGGCTGAAACTGACAAGAAGAAGGCTGACGAAGATGCCAAGAAGAAGGCCGAGGCTGACAAGAAGGCTGAAGCTGACAAGAAGAAGGCTGACGAAGATGACAAGATGAAGGCTGAAGCTGACAAGAAGAAGGCTGACGAGGATGCCAAGAAAAAGGCCGAGGCTGACAAGAAGGCCGAGGCTGACAAGAAGGCTGAAGCTGACAAGAAGAAGGCTGACGAGGATGCCAAGAAGAAAGCCGAGGTTGACAAGAAGAAGGCTGACGAGGATGCCAAGAAGAAGGCTGAAGCTGACAAGAAGGCTGAAGCTGACAAGAAGGCTGATGCTGACAAAAAGAAGGCTGAAGCTGACAAAAAGAAGGCTGACGAAGATGCCAAGAAGAAGGCCGAGGCTGACAAGAAGGCTGAAGCTGACAAGAAGAAGGCTGACGAAGATGCCAAGAAGAAGGCCGAAGCTGACAAGAAGGCTGAAGCTGACAAGAAGAAGGCTGACGAAGATGCCAAGAAGAAGGCCGAGGCTGACAAGAAGGCTGAAGCTGACAAGAAGAAGGCTGACGAAGATGCCAAGAAGAAGGCTGAAGCTGACAAAAAGAAGGCTGACGAGGATGCCAAGAAAAAGGCTGACGAAGATGCCAAGAAGAAGGCCGAGGCTGACAAGAAGGCTGAAGCTGACAAGAAGGCTGAAGCTGACAAGAAGGCTGAAGCTGACAAGAAGACGGTTGACGAAGATGCCAAGAAGAACGCCGAGGCTGACAAGAAGAAGGCTGACGAAGATGCCAAGAAGAAGGCCGAGGCTGACAAGAAGGCTGAAGCTGACAAGAAGAAGGCTGACGAAGATGACAAGATGAAGGCTGAAGCTGACAAGAAGAAGGCTGACGAGGATGCCAAGAAAAAGGCCGAGGCTGACAAGAAGGCCGAGGCTGACAAGAAGGCTGAAGCTGACAAGAAGAAGGCTGACGAGGATGCCAAGAAAAAGGCTGACGAAGATGCCAAGAAGAAGGCCGAGGCTGACAAGAAGGCTGAAGCTGACAAGAAGAAGGCTGACGAAGCTGACAAAAAGAAGGCTGACGAAGATGCCAAGAAGAAGGCCGAGGCTGACAAGAAGGCTGAAGCTGACAAGAAGAAGGCTGACGAAGATGACAAGATGAAGGCTGAAGCTGACAAGAAGAAGGCTGACGAGGATGCCAAGAAAAAGGCCGAGGCTGACAAGAAGGCTGAAGCTGACAAGAAGGCTGAAGCTGACAAGAAGGCTGAAGCTGACAAGAAGGCTGAAGCTGACAAGAAGACGGCTGACGAAGATGCCAAGAAGAACGCCGAGGCTGACAAGAAGAAGGCTGACGAAGATGCCAAGAAGAAGGCCGAGGCTGACAAGAAGGCTGAAGCTGACAAGAAGAAGGCTGACGAAGATGACAAGATGAAGGCTGAAGCTGACAAGAAGAAGGCTGACGAGGATGCCAAGAAAAAGGCCGAGGCTGACAAGAAAGCCGAGGCTGACAAGAAGGCTGAAGCTGACAAGAAGAAGGCTGACGAGAATGCCAAGAAAAAGGCTGACGAAGATGCCAAGAAGAAGGCCGAGGCTGACAAGAAGGCTGAAGCTGACAAGAAGAAGGCTGACGAAGCTGACAAGAAGAAGGCTGACGAAGATGCCAAGAAGAAGGCCGAGGCTGACAAGAAGGCTGAAGCTGACAAGAAGAAGGCTGACGAAGATGACAAGATGAAGGCTGAAGCTGACAAGAAGAAGGCTGACGAGGATGCCAAGAAAAAGGCCGAGGCTGACAAGAAGGCTGAAGCTGACAAGAAGGCTGAAGCTGACAAGAAGACGGCTGACGAAGATGCCAAGAAGAACGCCGAGGCTGACAAGAAGAAGGCTGACGAAGATGCCAAGAAGAAGGCCGAGGCTGACAAGAAGGCTGAAGCTGACAAGAAGAAGGCTGACGAAGATGACAAGATGAAGGCTGAAGCTGACAAGAAGAAGGCTGACGAGGATGCCAAGAAAAAGGCCGAGGCTGACAAGAAGGCCGAGGCTGACAAGAAGGCTGAAGCTGACAAGAAGAAGGCTGACGAAGCTGACAATAAGAAGGCTGACGAAGATGCCAAGAAGGCTGAAGCTGACAAGAAGGCTGAAGCTGACAAGAAGAAGGCTGACGAAGCTGACAAGAAGAAGGCTGACGAAGCTGACAAGAAGAAGGCCGAGGCTGACAAGAAGGCTGAAGCTGACAAGAAGAAGGCTGACGAAGATGACAAGATGAAGGCTGAAGCTGACAAGAAGAAGGCTGACGAAGCTGACAAGAAGAAGGCCGAGGCTGACAAGAAGGCTGAAGCTGACAATAAGAAGGCTGACGAAGATGCCAAGAAGGCTGAAGCTGACAAGAAGAAGGCTGAAGCTGACAAGAAGAAGGCCGAGGCTGACAAGAAGGCTGAAGCTGACAAGAAGAAGGCTGACGAAGCTGACAAGAAGAAGGCTGAAGCTGACAAGAAGAAGGCTGACGAAGATGCCAAGAAGAAGGCCGAGGCTGACAAGAAGGCTGAAGCTGACAAGAAGAAGGCTGACGAAGATGACAAGATGAAGGCTGAAGCTGACAAGAAGAAAGCTGACGAGGATGCCAAGAAAAAGGCCGAGGCTGACAAGAAGGCTGAAGCTGACAAGAAGAAGGCTGACGAAGCTGACAAGAAGAAGGCTGAAGCTGACAAGAAGAAGGCTGACGAGGATGCCAAGAAAAAGGCCGAGGCTGACAAGAAGGCTGAAGCTGACAAGAAGGCTGAAGCTGACAAGAAGACGGCTGACGAAGATGCCAAGAAGAACGCCGAGGCTGACAAGAAGAAGGCTGACGAAGATGCCAAGAAGAAGGCCGAGGCTGACAAGAAGGCTGAAGCTGACAAGAAGAAGGCTGACGAAGCTGACAAGAAGAAGGCTGAAACTGACAAGAAGAAGGCTGACGAAGATGCCAAGAAGAAGGCCGAGGCTGACAAGAAGGCTGAAGCTGACAAGAAGAAGGCTGACGAAGATGACAAGATGAAGGCTGAAGCTGACAAGAAGAAGGCTGACGAGGATGCCAAGAAAAAGGCCGAGGCTGACAAGAAGGCCGAGGCTGACAAGAAGGCTGAAGCTGACAAGAAGAAGGCTGACGAAGCTGACAATAAGAAGGCTGACGAAGATGCCAAGAAGGCTGAAGCTGACAAGAAGGCTGAAGCTGACAAGAAGAAGGCTGACGAAGCTGACAAGAAGAAGGCTGACGAAGATGCCAAGAAGGCTGAAGCTGACAAGAAGGCTGAAGCTGACAAGAAGAAGGCTGACGAAGCTGACAAGAAGAAGGCTGACGAAGCTGACAAGAAGAAGGCCGAGGCTGACAAGAAGGCTGAAGCTGACAAGAAGAAGGCTGACGAAGATGACAAGATGAAGGCTGAAGCTGACAAGAAGAAGGCTGACGAAGCTGACAAGAAGAAGGCCGAGGCTGACAAGAAGGCTGAAGCTGACAATAAGAAGGCTGACGAAGATGCCAAGAAGGCTGAAGCTGACAAGAAGAAGGCTGAAGCTGACAAGAAGAAGGCCGAGGCTGACAAGAAGGCTGAAGCTGACAAGAAGAAGGCTGACGAAGCTGACAAGAAGAAGGCTGAAGCTGACAAGAAGAAGGCTGACGAAGATGCCAAGAAGAAGGCCGAGGCTGACAAGAAGGCTGAAGCTGACAAGAAGAAGGCTGACGAAGATGACAAGATGAAGGCTGAAGCTGACAAGAAGAAAGCTGACGAGGATGCCAAGAAAAAGGCCGAGGCTGACAAGAAGGCTGAAGCTGACAAGAAGAAGGCTGACGAGGATGCCAAGAAAAAGGCCGAGGCTGACAAGAAGGCCGAGGCTGACAAGAAGAATGCTGACGAAGCTGACAAGAAGAAGGCTGACGAAGATGCCAAGAAGAAGGCCGAGGCTGACAAGAAGGCTGAAGCTGACAAGAAGAAGGCTGACGAAGATGACAAGAAGAAGGCTGACGAAGATGCCAAGAAGAAGGCCGAGGCTGACAAGAAGGCTGAAGCTGACAAGAAGAAGGCTGACGAAGATGGCAAGATGAAGGCTGAAGCTGACAAGAAGGCTGAAGCTGACAAGAAGGCTGAAGCTGACAAGAAAAAGGCTGACGAAGATGCCAAGAAGAAGGCCGAGGCTGACAAGAAGGCTGCAGCTGACAAGAAGAAGGCTGACGAAGCTGACAAGAAGAAGGCTGAAGCTGACAAGAAGAAGGCTGACGAGGATGCCAAGAAAAAGGCCGAGGCTGACAAGAAGGCTGAAGCTGACAAGAAGGCTGAAGCTGACAAGAAAAAGGCTGACGAAGATGCCAAGAAGAAGGCCGAGGCTGACAAGAAGGCTGAAGCTGACAAGAAGAAGGCTGACGAAGATGCCAAGAAGGCTGAAGCTGACAAGAAGGCTGAAGCTGACAAGAAGAAGGCTGACGAAGCTGACAAGAAGAAGGCTGACGAAGATGCCAAGAAGGCTGAAGCTGACAAGAAGGCTGAAGCTGACAAGAAGAAGGCTGACGAAGCTGACAAGAAGAAGGCTGACGAAGCTGACAAGAAGAAGGCCGAGGCTGACAAGAAGGCTGAAGCTGACAAGAAGAAGGCTGACGAAGATGACAAGATGAAGGCTGAAGCTGACAAGAAGAAGGCTGACGAAGCTGACAAGAAGAAGGCCGAGGCTGACAAGAAGGCTGAAGCTGACAATAAGAAGGCTGACGAAGATGCCAAGAAGGCTGAAGCTGACAAGAAGAAGGCTGAAGCTGACAAGAAGAAGGCCGAGGCTGACAAGAAGGCTGAAGCTGACAAGAAGAAGGCTGACGAAGCTGACAAGAAGAAGGCTGAAGCTGACAAGAAGAAGGCTGACGAAGATGCCAAGAAGGCTGACGAAGATGACAAGATGAAGGCTGAAGCTGACAAGAAGAAGGCTGACGAGGATGCCAAGAAAAAGGCTGAAGCTGACAAGAAGGCTGAAGCTGACAAGAAGAAGGCTGACGAAGATGCCAAGAAGAAGGCTGAAGCTGACAAGAAGGCTGAAGCTGACAAGAAGAAGGCTGACGAAGATGCCAAGAAGAAGGCCGAGGCTGACAAGAAGGCTGAAGCTGACAAGAAGAAGGTTGACGAAGCTGACAAGAAGAAGGCTGAAGCTGACAAGAAGAAGGCTGACGAAGACGCCAAGAAGAAGGCCGAGGCTGACAAGAAGGCTGAAGCTGACAAGAAGAAGGCTGACGAGGATGCCAAGAAAAAGGCCGAGGCTGACAAGAAGGCCGAGGCTGACAAGAAGGCTGAAGCTGACAAGAAGGCTGAAGCTGACAAGAAAAAGGCTGACGAAGATGCCAAGAAGAAGGCTGAAGCTGACAAGAAGGCTGAAGCTGACAAGAAGAAGGCTGACGAAGATGACAAGATGAAGGCTGAAGCTGACAAGAAGAAGGCTGACGAGGATGCCAAGAAAAAGGCTGAAGCTGACAAAAAAGCTGAAGCTGACAAGAAAAAGGCTGACGAAGATGCCAAGAAGAAGGCTGAAGCTGACAAGAAGGCCGAGGCTGACAAGAAAGCTGAAGCTGACAAGAAGAAGGCTGACGAAGATGACAAGATGAAGGCTGAAGCTGACAAGAAGAAGGCTGACGAGGATGCCAAGAAAAAGGCTGAAGCTGACAAAAAAGCTGAAGCTGACAAGAAGAAGGCTGACGAAGCTGACAAGAAGAAGGCTGACGAAGATGCCAAGAAGAAGGCCGAGGCTGACAAGAAGGCTGAAGCTGACAAGAAGAAGGCTGACGAAGCTGACAAGAAGAAGGCTGACGAAGATGCCAAGAAGAACGCCGAAGCTGACAAGAAGAAGGCTGACGAAGATGCCAAGAAGAAGGCTGAAGCTGACAAGAAGAAGGCTGACGAGGATGCCAAGAAAAAAGGCTGAAGCTGACAAGAAGGCCGAGGCTGACAAGAAAGCTGAAGCTGACAAGAAGAAGGCTGACGAGGATGCCAAGAAAAAGGCTGAAGCTGACAAGAAGGCTGAAGCTGACAAGAAGAAGGCTGACGAAGATGACAAGATGAAGGCTGAAGCTGACAAGAAGAAGGCTGACGAGGATGCCAAGAAAAAGGCTGAAGCTGACAAGAAGGCTGAAGCTGACAAGAAGAAGGCTGACGAAGATGCCAAGAAGAAGGCTGAAGCTGACAAGAAGGCTGAAGCTGACAAGAAGAAGGCTGACGAAGATGCCAAGAAGAAGGCCGAGGCTGACAAGAAGGCTGAAGCTGACAAGAAGAAGGCTGACGAAGCTGACAAGAAGAAGGCTGAAGCTGACAAGAAGAAGGCTGACGAAGACGCCAAGAAGAAGGCCGAGGCTGACAAGAAGGCTGAAGCTGACAAGAAGAAGGCTGACGAGGATGCCAAGAAAAAGGCCGAGGCTGACAAGAAGGCCGAGGCTGACAAGAAGGCTGAAGCTGACAAGAAGGCTGAAGCTGACAAGAAAAAGGCTGACGAAGATGCCAAGAAGAAGGCTGAAGCTGACAAGAAGGCTGAAGCTGACAAGAAGAAGGCTGACGAAGCTGACAAGAAGAAGGCTGACGAAGATGCCAAGAAGAACGCCGAGGCTGACAAGAAGAAGGCTGACGAAGATGACAAGATGAAGGCTGAAGCTGACAAGAAGAAGGCTGACGAGGATGCCAAGAAAAAGGCTGAAGCTGACAAAAAAGCTGAAGCTGACAAGAAAAAGGCTGACGAAGATGCCAAGAAGAAGGCTGAAGCTGACAAGAAGGCCGAGGCTGACAAGAAAGCTGAAGCTGACAAGAAGAAGGCTGACGAAGATGACAAGATGAAGGCTGAAGCTGACAAGAAGAAGGCTGACGAGGATGCCAAGAAAAAGGCTGAAGCTGACAAAAAAGCTGAAGCTGACAAGAAAAAGGCTGACGAAGATGCCAAGAAGAAGGCCGAGGCTGACAAGAAGGCTGCAGCTGACAAGAAAAAGGCTGACGAAGATGACAAGATGAAGGCTGAAGCTGACAAGAAGAAGGCTGACGAGGATGCCAAGAAAAAGGCTGAAGCTGACAAGAAGGCTGAAGCTGACAAGAAGAAGGCTGACGAAGATGCCAAGAAGAAGGCTGAAGCTGACAAGAAGGCTGAAGCTGACAAGAAGAAGGCTGACGAAGATGCCAAGAAGAAGGCCGAGGCTGACAAGAAGGCTGAAGCTGACAAGAAGAAGGCTGACGAAGCTGACAAGAAGAAGGCTGAAGCTGACAAGAAGAAGGCTGACGAAGACGCCAAGAAGAAGGCCGAGGCTGACAAGAAGGCTGAAGCTGACAAGAAGAAGGCTGACGAGGATGCCAAGAAAAAGGCCGAGGCTGACAAGAAGGCTGAAGCTGACAAGAAGAAGGCTGACGAAGCTGACAAGAAGAAGGCTGAAGCTGACAAGAAGAAGGCTGACGAAGACGCCAAGAAGAAGGCCGAGGCTGACAAGAAGGCTGAAGCTGACAAGAAGAAGGCTGACGAAGCTGACAAGAAGAAGGCTGAAGCTGACAAGAAGAAGGCTGACGAAGACGCCAAGAAGAAGGCCGAGGCTGACAAGAAGGCTGAAGCTGACAAGAAGAAGGCTGACGAGGATGCCAAGAAAAAGGCCGAGGCTGACAAGAAGGCCGAGGCTGACAAGAAGGCTGAAGCTGACAAGAAGGCTGAAGCTGACAAGAAAAAGGCTGACGAAGATGCCAAGAAGAAGGCTGAAGCTGACAAGAAGGCTGAAGCTGACAAGAAGAAGGCTGACGAAGCTGACAAGAAGAAGGCTGACGAAGATGCCAAGAAGAACGCCGAGGCTGACAAGAAGAAGGCTGACGAAGATGCCAAGAAGAAGGCTGAAGCTGACAAGAAGAAGGCTGACGAAGATGCCAAGAAGGCTGACGAAGATGACAAGATGAAGGCTGAAGCTGACAAGAAGAAGGCTGACGAGGATGCCAAGAAAAAGGCTGAAGCTGACAAGAAGGCTGAAGCTGACAAGAAGAAGGCTGACGAAGATGCCAAGAAGAAGGCTGAAGCTGACAAGAAGGCTGAAGCTGACAAGAAGAAGGCTGACGAAGATGCCAAGAAGAAGGCCGAGGCTGACAAGAAGGCTGAAGCTGACAAGAAGAAGGTTGACGAAGCTGACAAGAAGAAGGCTGAAGCTGACAAGAAGAAGGCTGACGAAGACGCCAAGAAGAAGGCCGAGGCTGACAAGAAGGCTGAAGCTGACAAGAAGAAGGCTGACGAGGATGCCAAGAAAAAGGCCGAGGCTGACAAGAAGGCCGAGGCTGACAAGAAGGCTGAAGCTGACAAGAAGGCTGAAGCTGACAAGAAAAAGGCTGACGAAGATGCCAAGAAGAAGGCTGAAGCTGACAAGAAGGCTGAAGCTGACAAGAAGAAGGCTGACGAAGATGACAAGATGAAGGCTGAAGCTGACAAGAAGAAGGCTGACGAGGATGCCAAGAAAAAGGCTGAAGCTGACAAAAAAGCTGAAGCTGACAAGAAAAAGGCTGACGAAGATGCCAAGAAGAAGGCTGAAGCTGACAAGAAGGCCGAGGCTGACAAGAAAGCTGAAGCTGACAAGAAGAAGGCTGACGAAGATGACAAGATGAAGGCTGAAGCTGACAAGAAGAAGGCTGACGAGGATGCCAAGAAAAAGGCTGAAGCTGACAAAAAAGCTGAAGCTGACAAGAAGAAGGCTGACGAAGCTGACAAGAAGAAGGCTGACGAAGATGCCAAGAAGAAGGCCGAGGCTGACAAGAAGGCTGAAGCTGACAAGAAGAAGGCTGACGAAGCTGACAAGAAGAAGGCTGACGAAGATGCCAAGAAGAACGCCGAAGCTGACAAGAAGAAGGCTGACGAAGATGCCAAGAAGAAGGCTGAAGCTGACAAGAAGAAGGCTGACGAGGATGCCAAGAAAAAGGCTGAAGCTGACAAGAAGGCCGAGGCTGACAAGAAAGCTGAAGCTGACAAGAAGAAGGCTGACGAGGATGCCAAGAAAAAGGCTGAAGCTGACAAGAAGGCTGAAGCTGACAAGAAGAAGGCTGACGAAGATGACAAGATGAAGGCTGAAGCTGACAAGAAGAAGGCTGACGAGGATGCCAAGAAAAAGGCTGAAGCTGACAAGAAGGCTGAAGCTGACAAGAAGAAGGCTGACGAAGATGCCAAGAAGAAGGCTGAAGCTGACAAGAAGGCTGAAGCTGACAAGAAGAAGGCTGACGAAGATGCCAAGAAGAAGGCCGAGGCTGACAAGAAGGCTGAAGCTGACAAGAAGAAGGCTGACGAAGCTGACAAGAAGAAGGCTGAAGCTGACAAGAAGAAGGCTGACGAAGACGCCAAGAAGAAGGCCGAGGCTGACAAGAAGGCTGAAGCTGACAAGAAGAAGGCTGACGAGGATGCCAAGAAAAAGGCCGAGGCTGACAAGAAGGCCGAGGCTGACAAGAAGGCTGAAGCTGACAAGAAGGCTGAAGCTGACAAGAAAAAGGCTGACGAAGATGCCAAGAAGAAGGCTGAAGCTGACAAGAAGGCTGAAGCTGACAAGAAGAAGGCTGACGAAGCTGACAAGAAGAAGGCTGACGAAGATGCCAAGAAGAACGCCGAGGCTGACAAGAAGAAGGCTGACGAAGATGACAAGATGAAGGCTGAAGCTGACAAGAAGAAGGCTGACGAGGATGCCAAGAAAAAGGCTGAAGCTGACAAAAAAGCTGAAGCTGACAAGAAAAAGGCTGACGAAGATGCCAAGAAGAAGGCTGAAGCTGACAAGAAGGCCGAGGCTGACAAGAAAGCTGAAGCTGACAAGAAGAAGGCTGACGAAGATGACAAGATGAAGGCTGAAGCTGACAAGAAGAAGGCTGACGAGGATGCCAAGAAAAAGGCTGAAGCTGACAAAAAAGCTGAAGCTGACAAGAAAAAGGCTGACGAAGATGCCAAGAAGAAGGCCGAGGCTGACAAGAAGGCTGCAGCTGACAAGAAAAAAGCTGACGAAGATGACAAGATGAAGGCTGAAGCTGACAAGAAGAAGGCTGACGAGGATGCCAAGAAAAAGGCTGAAGCTGACAAGAAGGCTGAAGCTGACAAGAAGAAGGCTGACGAAGATGCCAAGAAGAAGGCTGAAGCTGACAAGAAGGCTGAAGCTGACAAGAAGAAGGCTGACGAAGATGACAAGATGAAGGCTGAAGCTGACAAGAAGAAGGCTGACGAAGATGACAAGATGAAGGCTGAAGCTGACAAGAAGAAGGCTGACGAGGATGCCAAGAAAAAGGCTGAAGCTGACAAAAAAGCTGAAGCTGACAAGAAAAAGGCTGACGAAGATGCCAAGAAGAAGGCTGAAGCTGACAAGAAGGCCGAGGCTGACAAGAAAGCTGAAGCTGACAAGAAGAAGGCTGACGAAGATGACAAGATGAAGGCTGAAGCTGACAAGAAGAAGGCTGACGAGGATGCCAAGAAAAAGGCTGAAGCTGACAAAAAAGCTGAAGCTGACAAGAAGAAGGCTGACGAAGATGACAAGATGAAGGCTGAGGCTGACAAGAAGAAGGCTGACGAAGATGACAAGATGAAGGCTGAAGCTGACAAGAAGAAGGCTGACGAGGATGCCAAGAAAAAGGCTGAAGCTGACAAAAAAGCTGAAGCTGACAAGAAAAAGGCTGACGAAGATGCCAAGAAGAAGGCCGAGGCTGACAAGAAGGCTGAAGCTGACAAGAAGAAGGCTGACGAAGCTGACAAGAAGAAGGCTGAAGCTGACAAGAAGAAGGCTGACGAAGACGCCAAGAAGAAGGCCGAGGCTGACAAGAAGGCTGAAGCTGACAAGAAGAAGGCTGACGAGGATGCCAAGAAAAAGGCCGAGGCTGACAAGAAGGCTGAAGCTGACAAGAAGAAGGCTGACGAAGCTGACAAGAAGAAGGCTGAAGCTGACAAGAAGAAGGCTGACGAAGACGCCAAGAAGAAGGCCGAGGCTGACAAGAAGGCTGAAGCTGACAAGAAGAAGGCTGACGAGGATGCCAAGAAAAAGGCCGAGGCTGACAAGAAGGCCGAGGCTGACAAGAAGGCTGAAGCTGACAAGAAGGCTGAAGCTGACAAGAAAAAGGCTGACGAAGATGCCAAGAAGAAGGCTGAAGCTAACAAGAAGGCTGAAGCTGACAAGAAGAAGGCTGACGAAGCTGACAAGAAGAAGGCTGACGAAGATGCCAAGAAGAACGCCGAGGCTGACAAGAAGAAGGCTGACGAAGATGCCAAGAAGAAGGCTGAAGCTGACAAGAAGAAGGCTGACGAGGATGCCAAGAAAAAGGCTGAAGCTGACAAGAAGGCTGAAGCTGACAAGAAGAAGGCTGACAAAGATGCCAAGAAGAAGGCCGAGGCTGACAAAAAGGCTGAAGCTGACAAGAAAAAGGCTGACGAAGATGCCAAGAAGAAGGCTGAAGCTGACAAGAAGGCTGAAGCTGACAAGAAGAAGGCTGACGAAGCTGACAAGAAGAAGGCTGACGAAGATGCCAAGAAGAAGGCTGAAGCTGACAAGAAGGCTGAAGCTGACAAGAAGAAGGCTGACGAAGCTGACAAGAAGAAGGCTGACGAAGATGCCAAGAAGGCTGAAGCTGACAAGAAGAAGGCTGAAGCTGACAAGAAGAAGGCTGACGAAGATGCCAAGAAGAAGGCCGAGGCTGACAAGAAGGCTGAAGCTGACAAGAAGAAGGCTGACGAAGATGCCAAGAAGAAGGCTGACGAAGATGCCAAGAAGAAGGCCGAGGCTGACAAGAAGGCTGAAGCTGACAAGAAGAAGGCTGACGAAGATGGCAAGATGAAGGCTGAAGCTGACAAGAAGAAGGCTGACGAAGATGCCAAGAAGAAGGCCGAGGCTGACAAGAAGGCCGAGGCTGACAAGAAGGCTGAAGCTGACAAGAAGGCTGAAGCTGACAAGAAAAAGGCTGACGAAGATGCCAAGAAGAAGGCCGAGGCTGACAAGAAGGCTGCAGCTGACAAGAAGAAGGCTGACGAAGCTGACAAGAAGAAGGCTGAAGCTGACAAGAAGAAGGCTGACGAGGATGCCAAGAAAAAAGGCCGAGGCTGACAAGAAGGCTGAAGCTGACAAGAAGGCTGAAGCTGACAAGAAAAAGGCTGACGAAGATGCCAAGAAGAAAGCTGAAGCTGACAAGAAGGCTGAAGCTGACAAGAAGAAGGCTGACGAAGCTGACAAGAAGAAGGCTGACGAAGATGCCAAGAAGAAGGCTGAAGCTGACAAGAAGGCTGAAGCTGACAAGAAGAAGGCTGACGAAGCTGACAAGAAGAAGGCTGACGAAGATGCCAAGAAGGCTGAAGCTGACAAGAAGAAGGCTGAAGCTGACAAGAAGAAGGCTGACGAAGATGCCAAGAAGAAGGCCGAGGCTGACAAGAAGGCTGAAGCTGACAAGAAGAAGGCTGACGAAGATGCCAAGAAGAAGGCTGACGAAGATGCCAAGAAGAAGGCCGAGGCTGACAAGAAGGCTGAAGCTGACAAGAAGAAGGCTGACGAAGATGGCAAGATGAAGGCTGAAGCTGACAAGAAGAAGGCTGACGAAGATGCCAAGAAGAAGGCCGAGGCTGACAAGAAGGCCGAGGCTGACAAGAAGGCTGAAGCTGACAAGAAGGCTGAAGCTGACAAGAAAAAGGCTGACGAAGATGCCAAGAAGAAGGCCGAGGCTGACAAGAAGGCTGCAGCTGACAAGAAGAAGGCTGACGAAGCTGACAAGAAGAAGGCTGAAGCTGACAAGAAGAAGGCTGACGAGGATGCCAAGAAAAAAGGCCGAGGCTGACAAGAAGGCTGAAGCTGACAAGAAGGCTGAAGCTGACAAGAAAAAGGCTGACGAAGATGCCAAGAAGAAAGCCGAGGCTGACAAGAAGAAGGCTGACGAAGATGACAAGAAGAAAGCTGACGAAGATGACAAGATGAAGGCTGAAGCTGACAAGAAGAAGGCTGACGAGGATGCCAAGAAAAAGGCCGAGGCTGACAAGAAGGCCGAGGCTGACAAGAAGGCTGAAGCTGACAAGAAGAAGGCTGACGAAGCTGACAAGAAGAAGGCTGAAGCTGACAAGAAGAAGGCTGACGAAGACGCCAAGAAGAAGGCCGAGGCTGACAAGAAGGCTGAAGCTGACAAGAAGGCTCAAGCTGACAAGAAGGCTGCAGCTGACAAGAAGAAGGCTGACGAAGCTGACAAGAAGAAGGCTGACGAAGATGCCAAGAAGAAGGCTGACGAAGATGCCAAGAAGAAGGCCGAGGCTGACAAGAAGGCTGCAGCTGACAAGAAGAAGGCTGACGAAGCTGACAAGAAGAAGGCTGAAGCTGACAAGAAGAAGGCTGACGAGGATGCCAAGAAAAAGGCCGAGGCTGACAAGAAGGCTGAAGCTGACAAGAAGGCTGAAGCTGACAAGAAAAAGGCTGACGAAGATGCCAAGAAGAAGGCCGAGGCTGACAAGAAGGCTGAAGCTGACAAGAAGAAGGCTGACGAAGCTGACAAGAAGAAGGCTGAAGCTGACAAGAAGAAGGCTGACGAAGATGCCAAGAAGAAGGCCGAGGCTGACAAGAAGGCTGAAGCTGACAAGAAGAAGGCTGACGAAGATGACAAGATGAAGGCTGAAGCTGACAAGAAGAAAGCTGACGAGGATGCCAAGAAAAAGGCCGAGGCTGACAAGAAGGCTGAAGCTGACAAGAAGAAGGCTGACGAAGATGACAAGATGAAGGCTGAAGCTGACAAGAAGAAGGCTGACGAGGATGCCAAGAAAAAGGCCGAGGCTGACAAGAAGGCCGAGGCTGACAAGAAAGCTGAAGCTGACAAGAAGAAGGCTGACGAAGATGACAAGATGAAGGCTGAAGCTGACAAGAAGAAGGCTGACGAGGATGCCAAGAAAAAGGCTGAAGCTGACAAAAAAGCTGAAGCTGACAAGAAAAAGGCTGACGAAGATGCCAAGAAGAAGGCTGAAGCTGACAAGAAGGCTGAAGCTGACAAGAAGAAGGCTGACGAAGATGCCAAGAAGAAGGCCGAGGCTGACAAGAAGGCTGAAGCTGACAAGAAGAAGGCTGACGAAGCTGACAAGAAGAAGGCTGAAGCTGACAAGAAGAAGGCTGACGAAGACGCCAAGAAGAAGGCCGAGGCTGACAAGAAGAAGGCTGACGAAGATGACAAGAAGAAAGCTGACGAAGATGACAAGATGAAGGCTGAAGCTGACAAGAAGAAGGCTGACGAGGATGCCAAGAAAAAGGCCGAGGCTGACAAGAAGGCCGAGGCTGACAAGAAGGCTGAAGCTGACAAGAAGAAGGCTGACGAAGATGCCAAGAAGGCTGAAGCTGACAAGAAGGCTGAAGCTGACAAGAAGGCTGAAGCTGACAAGAAGAAGGCTGACGAAGATGCCAAGAAGGCTGAAGCTGACAAGAAGAAGGCTGAAACTGACAAGAAGGCTGAAGCTGACAAGAAGGCTGAAGCTGACAAGAAGGCTCAAGCTGACAAGAAGAAGGCTGACGAGGATGCCAAGAAGAAGGCTGAAGCTGACAAGAAGGCTGAAGCTGACAAGAAGACTGAAGCTGACAAGAAGAAGGCAGACGAAGATGCCAAGAAGAAGGCTGAAGCTGACAAGAAGACTGAAGCTGACAAGAAGAAGGCAGACGAAGATGCCAAGAAGAAGGCTGAAGCTGACAAGAAGACTGAAGCTGACAAGAAGAAGGCAGACGAGGATGCCAAGAAGAAGGCTGAAGCTGACAAGAAGGCTGAAGCTGACAAGAAGAAGGCTGACGAGGATGCCAAGAAGAAGGCCGAGGCTGACAAGAAGAAGGCTGAAGCTGACAAGAAGGCTGACGAAGATGCCAAGAAGAAGGCTGAAGCTGACAAGAAGGCTGAAGCTGACAAGAAGGCTGAAGCTGACAGGAAGAAGGCTGACGAAGATGCCAAGAAGAAAGCCGAGGCTGATAAGAAGGTTGAGACTGACAAGGAGAAGGTTAAGGCTGCGAGAAAAGTTGAAGCTAATAAGAAAAAAGCTGACGTAGCCGTTGGAGCAAACAACGAGCTTGAACAAACTGTTTTGGAAGTTAAAAAAGTAGTAGACGACTTTGTCGATGCAAATGGTGCAGAAGATTTTATCCCAGAAGTAAACGAAAACGTCTTAAACCAGATGTTTGGAGAAACTAACACTTCGCTGAATCGTTTGGCGGAAAAGGAGAAACAGCTGAGAGATCAAGTGCTAGAAATGCGTAAAAAACGCTTAGAAGCTAAGCTTGCTCGTACTCAGAAAATGCTCGATAACTACGATAAAACCTCTGATTTAGGCGGTCTAAATGACTTAAAGGTAACAAAAGAAAGCATTGAAAGTGAAATCGAGTTAATTGAAATAGAATGCCGTACCGCATTAAGCCCACAGTTCAGCCAAGACGTTTTATCATCTAACAGAGACAAAGCCTCAGATGTTAATATTTATGTGAATAATAGAAGTGACAAGATAATGAGCTTAGTAGAGAAAGGAGACGTATTGTCTGATGAACTACCAAAAAAACAAAAAATAGAAACAAAAACAGAAAATAAGGTCGAAGTTGATAAGAAGGCTGAAGCTGACAAGAAGAAGGCTGACGAAGATGCCAAGAAGAAGGCTGAAGCTGACAAGAAGAAGTCTGACAAAAAGGCCAAGAAGAAGGCTGAAGCTGACAAGAAGAAAGCCGACGAAGATGCCAAGAAGAAGGCCGAGGCTGACAAGAAGGCTGAAGCTGACAAGAAGGCTGAGGCTGACAAGAAGGCTGAAACTGACAAGAAGAAGGCTGAAGTTGACAAGAAGAAGGCTGATGAACATGCCAAGAAGAAGCCTGAAGTTGGCAAGAAGAAGGATGATGAAGATGCCAAGAAGAAGGCTGAAGCTGGCAAGAAGAAGGCTGAGGAAGATGCCAAGAAGAAGGCCGAAGTTGGCAAGAAGAAGGATGATGAAGATGCCAAGAAGAAAGCCGAAGCTGACAAGAAGGCTGAAGCTGACAAGAAGGCTGAGGCTGACAAGAAGGCCGAGGCTGACAAGAAGGCTGAAGCTGACAAGAAGGCTGAGGCTGACAAGAAGGCTGAAGCTGACAGGAAGGCTGAAGCTGACAAGGAGAAGGCTGAGGAAGATGCCAAGAAGAAGGCTGAAGCTGGCAAGAAGAAGGCTGAGGAAGATGCCAAGAAGAAGGCCGAAGTTGGCAAGAAGAAGGATGATGAAGATGCCAAGAAGAAAGCCGAAGCTGACAAGAAGGCTGAAGCTGACAAGAAGGCTGAGGCTGACAAGAAGGCCGAGGCTGACAAGAAGGCTGAAGCTGACAAGAAGGCTGAAGCTGACAGGAAGGCTGAAGCTGACAAGGAGAAGGCTGAGGAAGATGCCAAGAAGAAGGTCGAAGCTGACAAGAAGGCTGAAGTTGACAAGAAGAAGGCTGAGGAAGATGCCAAGAAGAAGGCTGAAGCTGGCAAGAAGAAGGCTGAGGAAGATGCCAAGAAGAAGGCCGAAGTTGGCAAGAAGAAGGATGATGAAGATGCCAAGAAGAAAGCCGAAGCTGACAAGAAGGCTGAAGCTGACAAGAAGGCTGAGGCTGACAAGAAGGCCGAGGCTGACAAGAAGGCTGAAGCTGACAAGAAGGCTGAGGCTGACAAGAAGGCTGAAGCTGACAGGAAGGCTGAAGCTGACAAGGAGAAGGCTGAGGAAGATGCCAAGAAGAAGGTCGAAGCTGACAAGAAGGCTGAAGTTGACAAGGAGAAGGCTGAGGAAGATGCCAAGAAGAAGGCTGAAGCTGGCAAGAAGAAGGCTGACGAAGATGCCAAGAAGAAGACCGAGGCTGACAAGAAGGCTGAAGCTGACAAGAAGGCTGAAGCTGACAAGAAGGCTGAAGCTGACAAGAAGAAGGCTGAGGAAGATGCCAAGAAGAAGGTCGAAGCTGACAAGAAGGCTGAAGTTGACAAGAAGAAGGCTGAGGAAGATGCCAAGAAGAAGGCTGAAGCTGGCAAGAAGAAGGCTGAGGAAGATGCCAAGAAGAAGGCCGAAGTTGGCAAGAAGAAGGATGATGAAGATGCCAAGAAGAAGGCCGAGGCTGACAAGAAGGCTGAAGCTGACAAGAAGGCTGAGGCTGACAAGAAGGCTGAAGCTGACAAGAAGGCTGAGGCTGACAAGAAGGCTGAAGTTGACAAGAAGAAGGCTGAGGAAGATGCCAAGAAGAAGGCTGAAGCTGGCAAGAAGAAGGCTGAGGAAGATGCCAAGAAGAAGGCCGAAGTTGGCAAGAAGAAGGATGATGAAGATGCCAAGAAGAAGGCCGAGGCTGACAAGAAGGCTGAAGCTGACAAGAAGGCTGAGGCTGACAAGAAGGCTGAAGCTGACAAGAAGGCTGAGGCTGACAGGAAGGCTGAAGCTGACAAGGAGAAGGCTGAGGAAGATGCCAAGAAGAAGGCTGAAGCTGGCAAGAAGAAGGCTGACGATGATGCCAAGAAGAAGACCGAGGCAGACAAGAAGGCTGAAGCTGACAAGAAGGCTGAGGCTGACAAGAAGGCTGAAGCTGACAAAAAGAAGGCTGGAGTTGATAAGAAAAAGATTGTGACTAGCAAAAATGATGAAACTAATGCGGCGGGTGACCAAGTAACGCCTGCTGTACGTGAAGCTGAATTTAGTACAGATGTTGTGTGTAGCTCAGACTTTTCAGCAAAGCCAGCGGATACAAATGTGGTAAACCATGTTGTTGAAATAAAAGAACAAGCAGAGAAAGAAGCAGATTTTGAAATTGATGAAGTTAGTGCTCGTTTTTCGTTGAAAAAGCGAAGAACCGAGAAGGTCGGCATCGGAATCACGTTCAACTTGAATTTGGAGATGTCCAACGTGGAATGTGAGTGCGAGTTCGAGAAGGATGCAGCTGAGAGTGACGTAGAAGAGGCTTCAAAGGTTGAAGCAAGTGAATCCTTGTACACAGCCATCATGGGTCCTCTGGTGGTCAATGTTGAAGGCGCAGAATCTGTGTATGAGAAGGACCTATCCAAGGACAAAACAGCTAGACGAAAGACCAAGAAAAAGAAAGTGTTGCCAGTCAACGTTAGCAGAGAGAAGTCGCCGTTTGGTACGTTGATTTACATTACAAAAACTGATTTAAAAAAGACAAAAATTTCGTTGTTTTTGTATGCAAAAATGTTATTCGTTAGTGCCGCAGACAGTTTTAAAATTTAGATAATAAAATGAGTTTAATAAGTAAAAACAAAACAATCAATATGGCGACTTTAGGAACTCATTACATGAATGTCGACATTGAAATTGATGCTGGCGAGGAGACGGGCAGCACTGACGGTATAATCGAAATGGAGAACCTGGAGTACGCCATGAGTGAGTCTTCCATCACGATCGAAGAAGACTTTATGGACGTCGATGTGTCGGTCACAGATTCAGAAGACAATCGCGAAGACAGTATCGAAGCAGTTCTCCCCAAGTCTCCTCTGAAAATGGTAAGAACTTACTTTAAGTAAAAAGAAATAATGGTTTTTTGTGTCAAGACTTTACAGTACCTCAATTTAGAAAAAGTAGCTTTTCTGGATGAATTTACTTTAATTTTTTATTGAAAAAAGCATATTTTACAAAGATTTTTTATTGTTCATACCTTTTTTATTACAACATGAAGCTTAATTATATTTTACAAAAACGACACTTTTCAAAAATCAACCTTTCCAGAGAGCGGACCAACTTATTACAATACGAAAAACAGCTGAGGCAGTTCAAGCGGATGTGGTTGTTGCTGCAGGTGAGTGCGAGATAAAGAACAGCCGGCCAAGAAAAACAAGACCCTCAGGCTCTCGAGGCGCGCGCGTTCTGTTTTAAGATTACGGGGCAAACCAACTGCATGTGCATTATTTGATATATGTTGTCATTATGATATGCTGCTATTGTTTTGCGTATTTAAATGTGTACTTTGCTACGTTGTGTTTTTGTTTTACTGATGTGATTTAACGAGCGTGATGTGCTTTATTAACATTATTATGCATGTATTTTAAAGCGACTTGGAGATGGACAGGTTGAGCAGCGGCAATAACAGTTTTTAGTCCGAGAAGAAGACAGTATCCAGACACACCAGATACAAGTAAGTGGCTTTATACTTTGTATTCAAATTTAAGATCATGGAGGATCCACTGGATGACGTTGTTGGTGTCATGCAAGATGGCAAGATCTGGCGACCTACGGAAACATTTTTGATTCTACAAAAAACACCTTTCGCGATCAACAAAACGCAAAACACCTTAACCACAGGTCAACGAGCAGACGTGCCCAGTATGATGCTACCTCAACAAAACGACAAACATAACTTAAAACAGGCTGAGTGCGACGAAGATATTACCATCAACGTCTCTATTGCTCGCCAACCACAACAAAAGGTAGAACTAGTTCTGGGTCGATTTGTGACATCAATGTTTGAACGGAAGCCTTCACAGAACTCTACCGCAAATAAAAAGCAAAATTATGTCACAGAGAACATGTCGAGCCGAAACACGGAATCAGACGTCACAGATAACCAAAAGGCTACAAACTTGAAACCACAACAAAGTTCAACGTCAGACAACAAAACAGTTACAAAGGTTGACTTTGTCGATAAGGAAGCATCAGAACTGGCTGACGTTACTCAAGATCAAAGCGATAAGTTGGCTGATCAGAAGAAACTAAAGACCAAGAAACAGAAGACAGCTAAACCAGAAGAAGAAGCTGCTACTGAACTTGACCTAGTCAATGAAGAAGCCTCAGAACTGGCTGACGTTACTCATGATGAGGCTTATAAGTTTGCTGATCAGAAGAAACTAAAGACCAAGAAACAGAAGACAGCTAAACCAGAAGAAGCTGCTACTGAACTTGACCTAGTCAATGAAGAAGCCTCAGAACTGGCTGACGTTACTCATGATGAGGCTTATAAGTTTGCTGATCAGAAGAAACTAAAGGCCAAGAAACAGAAGACAGCTAAACCAGAAGAAGAAGCTGCTACTGAACTTGACCTAGTCAATGAAGAAGCCTCAGAACTGGCTGACGTTACTCATGATGAGACTTATAAGTTTGCTGATCAGAAGAAACTAAAGACCAAGAAACAGAAGACAGCTAAACCAGAAGAAGCTGCTACTGAACTTGACCTTGTAAATGAAGAAGCCTCAGAAATGGCTGACGTTACTCAAGATCAAAGCGATAAGTTTGCTGATCAGAAGAAACTAAAGACCAAGAAACAGAAGACAGCTAAACCAGAAGAAGAAGCTGCTACTGAACTTGACCTAGTCAATGAAGAAGCCTCAGAACTGGCTGACGTTACTCAAGATCAAAGCGATAAGTTTGCTGATCAGAAGAAACTAAAGACCAAGAAACAGAAGACAGCTAAACCAGAAGAAGAAGCTGCTACTGAACTTGACCTAGTCAATGAAGAAGCCTCAGAACTGGCTGACGTTACTCATGATGAGGCCGATAAGTATGCTGATCAGAAGAAACTAAAGACCAAGAAACAGAAGACAGCTAAACCAGAAGAAGCTGCTACTGAACTTGACCTAGTCAATGAAGAAGCCTCAGAACTGGCTGACGTTACTCATGATGAGGCTTATAAGTTTGCTGATCAGAAGAAACTAAAGACCAAGAAACAGAAGACAGCTAAACCAGAAGAAGCTGCTACTGAACTTGACCTAGTCAATGAAGAAGCCTCAGAACTGGCTGACGTTACTCAAGATCAAAGCGATAAGTTGGCTGATCAGAAGAAACTAAAGACCAAGAAACAGAAGACAGCTACACCAGAAGAAGCTGCTACTGAACTTGACCTAGTCAATGAAGAAGCCTCAGAACTGGCTGACGTTACTCAAGATCAAAGCGATAAGTTGGCTGATCAGAAGAAACTAAAGACCAAGAAACAGAAGACAGCTAAACCAGAAGAAGCTGCTACTGAACTTGACCTAGTCAATGAAGAAGCCTCAGAACTGGCTGACGTTACTCATGATGAGGCCGATAAGTATGCTGATCAGAAGAAACTAAAGACCAAGAAACAGAAGACAGCTACACCAGAAGAAGCTGCTACTGAACTTGACCTAGTCAATGAAGAAGCCTCAGAACTGGCTGACGTTACTCAAGATCAAAGCGATAAGTTGGCTGATCAGAAGAAACTAAAGACCAAGAAACAGAAGACAGCTACACCAGAAGAAGCTGCTACTGAACTTGACCTAGTCAATGAAGAAGCCTCAGAACTGGCTGACGTTACTCATGATGAGGCTTATAAGTTTGCTGATCAGAAGAAACTAAAGACCAAGAAACAGAAGACAGCTAAACCAGAAGAAGCTGCTACTGAACTTGACCTAGTCAATGAAGAAGCCTCAGAACTGGCTGACGTTACTCAAGATCAAAGCGATAAGTTGGCTGATCAGAAGAAACTAAAGACCAAGAAACAGAAGACAGCTACACCAGAAGAAGCTGCTACTGAACTTGACCTAGTCAATGAAGAAGCCTCAGAACTGGCTGACGTTACTCATGATGAGGCTTATAAGTTTGCTGATCAGAAGAAACTAAAGACCAAGAAACAGAAGACAGCTAAACCAGAAGAAGCTGCTACTGAACTTGACCTAGTCAATGAAGAAGCCTCAGAACTGGCTGACGTTACTCATGATGAGGCTTATAAGTTTGCTGATCAGAAGAAACTAAAGACCAAGAAACAGAAGACAGCTAAACCAGAAGAAGAAGCTGCTACTGAACTTGACCTAGTCAATGAAGAAGCCTCAGAACTGGCTGACGTTACTCATGATGAGGCCGATAAGTTTGCTGATCAGAAGAAACTAAAGACCAAGAAACAGAAGACAGCTAAACCAGAAGAAGAAGCTGCTACTGAACTTGACCTAGTCAATGAAGAAGCCTCAGAACTGGCTGACGTTACTCATGATGAGGCTTATAAGTTTGCTGATCAGAAGAAACTAAAGACCAAGAAACAGAAGACAGCTAAACCAGAAGAAGAAGCTGCTACTGAACTTGACCTAGTCAATGAAGAAGCCTCAGAACTGGCTGACGTTACTCAAGATCAAAGCGATAAGTTTGCTGATCAGAAGAAACTAAAGACCAAGAAACAGAAGACAGCTACACCAGAAGAAGCTGCTACTGAACTTGACCTAGTCAATGAAGAAGCCTCAGAACTGGCTGACGTTACTCAAGATCAAAGCGATAAGTTTGCTGATCAGAAGAAACTAAAGACCAAGAAACAGAAGACAGCTACACCAGAAGAAGCTGCTACTGAACTTGACCTAGTCAATGAAGAAGCCTCAGAACTGGCTGACGTTACTCATGATGAGGCTTATAAGTTTGCTGATCAGAAGAAACTAAAGACCAAGAAACAGAAGACAGCTAAACCAGAAGAAGCTGCTACTGAACTTGACCTAGTCAATGAAGAAGCCTCAGAACTGGCTGACGTTACTCAAGATCAAAGCGATAAGTTGGCTGATCAGAAGAAACTAAAGACCAAGAAACAGAAGACAGCTACACCAGAAGAAGCTGCTACTGAACTTGACCTAGTCAATGAAGAAGCCTCAGAACTGGCTGACGTTACTCAAGATCAAAGCGATAAGTTGGCTGATCAGAAGAAACTAAAGACCAAGAAACAGAAGACAGCTAAACCAGAAGAAGAAGCTGCTACTGAACTTGACCTAGTCAATGAAGAAGCCTCAGAACTGGCTGACGTTACTCATGATGAGGCCGATAAGTTTGCTGATCAGAAGAAACTAAAGACCAAGAAACAGAAGACAGCTACACCAGAAGAAGCTGCTACTGAACTTGACCTAGTCAATGAAGAAGCCTCAGAACTGGCTGACGTTACTCAAGATCAAAGCGATAAGTTGGCTGATCAGAAGAAACTAAAGACCAAGAAACAGAAGACAGCTAAACCAGAAGAAGCTGCTACTGAACTTGACCTAGTCAATGAAGAAGCCTCAGAACTGGCTGACGTTACTCATGATGAGGCTTATAAGTTTGCTGATCAGAAGAAACTAAAGACCAAGAAACAGAAGACAGCTAAACCAGAAGAAGAAGCTGCTACTGAACTTGACCTAGTCAATGAAGAAGCCTCAGAACTGGCTGACGTTACTCAAGATCAAAGCGATAAGTTTGCTGATCAGAAGAAACTAAAGACCAAGAAACAGAAGACAGCTAAACCAGAAGAAGAAGCTGCTACTGAACTTGACCTAGTCAATGAAGAAGCCTCAGAACTGGCTGACGTTACTCATGATGAGGCCGATAAGTTTGCTGATCAGAAGAAACTAAAGACCAAGAAACAGAAGACAGCTACACCAGAAGAAGCTGCTACTGAACTTGACCTTGTAAATGAAGAAGCCTCAGAACTGGCTGACGTTACTCAAGATCAAAGCGATAAGTTGGCTGATCAGAAGAAACTAAAGACCAAGAAACAGAAGACAGCTACACCAGAAGAAGCTGCTACTGAACTTGACCTAGTCAATGAAGAAGCCTCAGAACTGGCTGACGTTACTCAAGATCAAAGCGATAAGTTTGCTGATCAGAAGAAACTAAAGACCAAGAAACAGAAGACAGCTAAACCAGAAGAAGAAGCTGCTACTGAACTTGACCTAGTCAATGAAGAAGCCTCAGAACTGGCTGACGTTACTCAAGATCAAAGCGATAAGTTTGCTGATCAGAAGAAACTAAAGACCAAGAAACAGAAGACAGCTACACCAGAAGAAGCTGCTACTGAACTTGACCTTGTAAATGAAGAAGCCTCAGAACTGGCTGACGTTACTCAAGATCAAAGCGATAAGTTGGCTGATCAGAAGAAACTAAAGACCAAGAAACAGAAGACAGCTAAACCAGAAGAAGAAGCTGCTACTGAACTTGACCTAGTCAATGAAGAAGCCTCAGAACTGGCTGACGTTACTCAAGATCAAAGCGATAAGTTTGCTGATCAGAAGAAACTAAAGACCAAGAAACAGAAGACAGCTAAACCAGAAGAAGAAGCTGCTACTGAACTTGACCTAGTCAATGAAGAAGCCTCAGAACTGGCTGACGTTACTCATGATGAGGCCGATAAGTTTGCTGATCAGAAGAAACTAAAGACCAAGAAACAGAAGACAGCTACACCAGAAGAAGCTGCTACTGAACTTGACCTTGTAAATGAAGAAGCCTCAGAACTGGCTGACGTTACTAAAGATCAAAGCGATAAGTTGGCTGATCAGAAGAAACTAAAGACCAAGAAACAGAAGACAGCTAAACCAGAAGAAGAAGCTGCTACTGAACTTGACCTAGTCAATGAAGAAGCCTCAGAACTGGCTGACGTTACTAAAGATCAAAGCGATAAGTTGGCTGATCAGAAGAAACTAAAGACCAAGAAACAGAAGACAGCTAAACCAGAAGAAGAAGCTGCTACTGAACTTGACCTAGTCAATGAAGAAGCCTCAGAACTGGCTGACGTTACTCATGATGAGGCCGATAAGTTTGCTGATCAGAAGAAACTAAAGACCAAGAAACAGAAGACAGCTAAACCAGAAGAAGAAGCTGCTACTGAACTTGACCTAGTCAATGAAGAAGCCTCAGAACTGGCTGACGTTACTCAAGATCAAAGCGATAAGTTGGCTGATCAGAAGAAACTAAAGACCAAGAAACAGAAGACAGCTACACCAGAAGAAGCTGCTACTGAACTTGACCTAGTCAATGAAGAAGCCTCAGAACTGGCTGACGTTACTCAAGATCAAAGCGATAAGTTGGCTGATCAGAAGAAACTAAAGACCAAGAAACAGAAGACAGCTAAACCAGAAGAAGAAGCTGCTACTGAACTTGACCTAGTCAATGAAGAAGCCTCAGAACTGGCTGACGTTACTCATGATGAGGCCGATAAGTTTGCTGATCAGAAGAAACTAAAGACCAAGAAACAGAAGACAGCTACACCAGAAGAAGCTGCTACTGAACTTGACCTAGTCAATGAAGAAGCCTCAGAACTGGCTGACGTTACTCAAGATCAAAGCGATAAGTTGGCTGATCAGAAGAAACTAAAGACCAAGAAACAGAAGACAGCTACACCAGAAGAAGCTGCTACTGAACTTGACCTAGTCAATGAAGAAGCCTCAGAACTGGCTGACGTTACTCAAGATCAAAGCGATAAGTTGGCTGATCAGAAGAAACTAAAGACCAAGAAACAGAAGACAGCTACACCAGAAGAAGCTGCTACTGAACTTGACCTAGTCAATGAAGAAGCCTCAGAACTGGCTGACGTTACTCAAGATCAAAGCGATAAGTTGGCTGATCAGAAGAAACTAAAGACCAAGAAACAGAAGACAGCTACACCAGAAGAAGCTGCTACTGAACTTGACCTAGTCAATGAAGAAGCCTCAGAACTGGCTGACGTTACTCAAGATCAAAGCGATAAGTTGGCTGATCAGAAGAAACTAAAGACCAAGAAACAGAAGACAGCTAAACCAGAAGAAGAAGCTGCTACTGAACTTGACCTAGTCAATGAAGAAGCCTCAGAACTGGCTGACGTTACTCATGATGAGGCCGATAAGTTTGCTGATCAGAAGAAACTAAAGACCAAGAAACAGAAGACAGCTACACCAGAAGAAGCTGCTACTGAACTTGACCTAGTCAATGAAGAAGCCTCAGAACTGGCTGACGTTACTCAAGATCAAAGCGATAAGTTGGCTGATCAGAAGAAACTAAAGACCAAGAAACAGAAGACAGCTACACCAGAAGAAGCTGCTACTGAACTTGACCTAGTCAATGAAGAAGCCTCAGAACTGGCTGACGTTACTCAAGATCAAAGCGATAAGTTGGCTGATCAGAAGAAACTAAAGACCAAGAAACAGAAGACAGCTAAACCAGAAGAAGCTGCTACTGAACTTGACCTAGTCAATGAAGAAGCCTCAGAACTGGCTGACGTTACTCATGATGAGGCCGATAAGTTTGCTGATCAGAAGAAACTAAAGACCAAGAAACAGAAGACAGCTAAACCAGAAGAAGAAGCTGCTACTGAACTTGACCTAGTCAATGAAGAAGCCTCAGAACTGGCTGACGTTACTCAAGATCAAAGCGATAAGTTTGCTGATCAGAAGAAACTAAAGACCAAGAAACAGAAGACAGCTAAACCAGAAGAAGAAGCTGCTACTGAACTTGACCTAGTCAATGAAGAAGCCTCAGAACTGGCTGACGTTACTCAAGATCAAAGCGATAAGTTTGCTGATCAGAAGAAACTAAAGACCAAGAAACAGAAGACAGCTACACCAGAAGAAGCTGCTACTGAACTTGACCTTGTAAATGAAGAAGCCTCAGAACTGGCTGACGTTACTCAAGATCAAAGCGATAAGTTGGCTGATCAGAAGAAACTAAAGACCAAGAAACAGAAGACAGCTAAACCAGAAGAAGAAGCTGCTACTGAACTTGACCTAGTCAATGATGAAGCCTCAGAACTGGCTGACGTTACTCATGATGAGGCCGATAAGTTTGCTGATCAGAAGAAACTAAAGACCAAGAAACAGAAGACAGCTAAACCAGAAGAAGAAGCTGCTACTGAACTTGACCTAGTCAATGATGAAGCCTCAGAACTGGCTGACGTTACTCATGATGAGGCCGATAAGTTTGCTGATCAGAAGAAACTAAAGACCAAGAAACAGAAGACAGCTACACCAGAAAAAGCTGCTACTGAACTTGACCTTGTAAATGAAGAAGCCTCAGAACTGGCTGACGTTACTCAAGATCAAAGCGATAAGTTGGCTGATCAGAAGAAACTAAAGACCAAGAAACAGAAGACAGCTAAACCAGAAGAAGAAGCTGCTACTGAACTTGACCTAGTCAATGATGAAGCCTCAGAACTGGCTGACGTTACTCATGATGAGGCCGATAAGTTTGCTGATCAGAAGAAACTAAAGACCAAGAAACAGAAGACAGCTACACCAGAAAAAGCTGCTACTGAACTTGACCTTGTAAATGAAGAAGCCTCAGAACTGGCTGACGTTACTCAAGATCAAAGCGATAAGTTGGCTGATCAGAAGAAACTAAAGACCAAGAAACAGAAGACAGCTAAACCAGAAGAAGAAGCTGCTACTGAACTTGACCTAGTCAATGAAGAAGCCTCAGAACTGGCTGACGTTACTCAAGATCAAAGCGATAAGTTTGCTGATCAGAAGAAACTAAAGACCAAGAAACAGAAGACAGCTAAACCAGAAGAAGAAGCTGCTACTGAACTTGACCTAGTCAATGAAGAAGCCTCAGAACTGGCTGACGTTACTCATGATGAGGCCGATAAGTTTGCTGATCAGAAGAAACTAAAGACCAAGAAACAGAAGACAGCTACACCAGAAGAAGCTGCTACTGAACTTGACCTTGTAAATGAAGAAGCCTCAGAACTGGCTGACGTTACTAAAGATCAAAGCGATAAGTTGGCTGATCAGAAGAAACTAAAGACCAAGAAACAGAAGACAGCTAAACCAGAAGAAGAAGCTGCTACTGAACTTGACCTAGTCAATGAAGAAGCCTCAGAACTGGCTGACGTTACTAAAGATCAAAGCGATAAGTTGGCTGATCAGAAGAAACTAAAGACCAAGAAACAGAAGACAGCTAAACCAGAAGAAGAAGCTGCTACTGAACTTGACCTAGTCAATGAAGAAGCCTCAGAACTGGCTGACGTTACTCAAGATCAAAGCGATAAGTTTGCTGATCAGAAGAAACTAAAGACCAAGAAACAGAAGACAGCTAAACCAGAAGAAGAAGCTGCTACTGAACTTGACCTAGTTAATGAAGAAGCCTCAGAACTGGCTGACGTTACTCATGATGAGGCCGATAAGTTTGCTGATCAGAAGAAACTAAAGACCAAGAAACAGAAGACAGCTAAACCAGAAGAAGCTGCTACTGAACTTGACCTAGTCAATGAAGAAGCCTCAGAACTGGCTGACGTTACTAAAGATCAAAGCGATAAGTTGGCTGATCAGAAGAAACTAAAGACCAAGAAACAGAAGACAGCTAAACCAGAAGAAGAAGCTGCTACTGAACTTGACCTAGTCAATGAAGAAGCCTCAGAACTGGCTGACGTTACTCAAGATCAAAGCGATAAGTTTGCTGATCAGAAGAAACTAAAGACCAAGAAACAGAAGACAGCTAAACCAGAAGAAGAAGCTGCTACTGAACTTGACCTAGTCAATGAAGAAGCCTCAGAACTGGCTGACGTTACTCAAGATCAAAGCGATAAGTTTGCTGATCAGAAGAAACTAAAGACCAAGAAACAGAAGACAGCTAAACCAGAAGAAGAAGCTGCTACTGAACTTGACCTAGTCAATGAAGAAGCCTCAGAACTGGCTGACGTTACTCATGATGAGGCCGATAAGTTTGCTGATCAGAAGAAACTAAAGATTAAGAAACAGAAGACAGCTAAACCAGAAGAAGCTGCTACTGAACTTGACCTAGTCAATGAAGAAGCCTCAGAACTGGCTGACGTTACTCATGATGAGGCCGATAAGTTTGCTGATCAGAAGAAACTAAAGACCAAGAAACAGAAGACAGCTACACCAGAAGAAGCTGCTACTGAACTTGACCTTGTAAATGAAGAAGCCTCAGAACTGGCTGACGTTACTAAAGATCAAAGCGATAAGTTGGCTGATCAGAAGAAACTAAAGACCAAGAAACAGAAGACAGCTAAACCAGAAGAAGAAGCTGCTACTGAACTTGACCTAGTCAATGAAGAAGCCTCAGAACTGGCTGACGTTACTCAAGATCAAAGCGATAAGTTTGCTGATCAGAAGAAACTAAAGACCAAGAAACAGAAGACAGCTAAACCAGAAGAAGCTGCTACTGAACTTGACCTAGTCAATGAAGAAGCCTCAGAACTGGCTGACGTTACTCAAGATCAAAGCGATAAGTTTGCTGATCAGAAGAAACTAAAGACCAAGAAACAGAAGACAGCTAAACCAGAAGAAGCTGCTACTGAACTTGACCTAGTCAATGAAGAAGCCTCAGAACTGGCTGACGTTACTCATGATGAGGCCGATAAGTTTGCTGATCAGAAGAAACTAAAGACCAAGAAACAGAAGATAGCTAAACCAGAAGAAGCTGCTACTGAACTTGACCTAGTCAATGAAGAAGCCTCAGAACTGGCTGACGTTACTCAAGATCAAAGCGATAAGTTTGCTGATCAGAAGAAACTAAAGACCAAGAAACAGAAGACAGCTACACCAGAAGAAGCTGCTACTGAACTTGACCTTGTAAATGAAGAAGCCTCAGAACTGGCTGACGTTACTAAAGATCAAAGCGATAAGTTGGCTGATCAGAAGAAACTAAAGACCAAGAAACAGAAGACAGCTAAACCAGAAGAAGAAGCTGCTACTGAACTTGACCTAGTCAATGAAGAAGCCTCAGAACTGGCTGACGTTACTCATGATGAGGCCGATAAGTTTGCTGATCAGAAGAAACTAAAGACCAAGAAACAGAAGACAGCTAAACCAGAAGAAGAAGCTGCTACTGAACTTGACCTAGTCAATGAAGAAGCCTCAGAACTGGCTGACGTTACTCAAGATCAAAGCGATAAGTTTGCTGATCAGAAGAAACTAAAGACCAAGAAACAGAAGACAGCTAAACCAGAAGAAGAAGCTGCTACTGAACTTGACCTAGTCAATGAAGAAGCCTCAGAACTGGCTGACGTTACTCAAGATCAAAGCGATAAGTTTGCTGATCAGAAGAAACTAAAGACCAAGAAACAGAAGACAGCTACACCAGAAGAAGCTGCTACTGAACTTGACCTTGTAAATGAAGAAGCCTCAGAACTGGCTGACGTTACTCAAGATCAAAGCGATAAGTTGGCTGATCAGAAGAAACTAAAGACCAAGAAACAGAAGACAGCTAAACCAGAAGAAGAAGCTGCTACTGAACTTGACCTAGTCAATGATGAAGCCTCAGAACTGGCTGACGTTACTCATGATGAGGCCGATAAGTTTGCTGATCAGAAGAAACTAAAGACCAAGAAACAGAAGACAGCTAAACCAGAAGAAGAAGCTGCTACTGAACTTGACCTAGTCAATGATGAAGCCTCAGAACTGGCTGACGTTACTCATGATGAGGCCGATAAGTTTGCTGATCAGAAGAAACTAAAGACCAAGAAACAGAAGACAGCTAAACCAGAAGAAGAAGCTGCTACTGAACTTGACCTAGTCAATGAAGAAGCCTCAGAACTGGCTGACGTTACTCAAGATCAAAGCGATAAGTTGGCTGATCAGAAGAAACTAAAGACCAAGAAACAGAAGACAGCTAAACCAGAAGAAGAAGCTGCTACTGAACTTGACCTAGTCAATGAAGAAGCCTCAGAACTGGCTGACGTTACTCAAGATCAAAGCGATAAGTTTGCTGATCAGAAGAAACTAAAGACCAAGAAACAGAAGACAGCTAAACCAGAAGAAGAAGCTGCTACTGAACTTGACCTAGTCAATGAAGAAGCCTCAGAACTGGCTGACGTTACTCATGATGAGGCCGATAAGTTTGCTGATCAGAAGAAACTAAAGACCAAGAAACAGAAGACAGCTACACCAGAAGAAGCTGCTACTGAACTTGACCTTGTAAATGAAGAAGCCTCAGAACTGGCTGACGTTACTAAAGATCAAAGCGATAAGTTGGCTGATCAGAAGAAACTAAAGACCAAGAAACAGAAGACAGCTAAACCAGAAGAAGAAGCTGCTACTGAACTTGACCTAGTCAATGAAGAAGCCTCAGAACTGGCTGACGTTACTAAAGATCAAAGCGATAAGTTGGCTGATCAGAAGAAACTAAAGACCAAGAAACAGAAGACAGCTAAACCAGAAGAAGAAGCTGCTACTGAACTTGACCTAGTCAATGAAGAAGCCTCAGAACTGGCTGACGTTACTCAAGATCAAAGCGATAAGTTTGCTGATCAGAAGAAACTAAAGACCAAGAAACAGAAGACAGCTAAACCAGAAGAAGAAGCTGCTACTGAACTTGACCTAGTCAATGAAGAAGCCTCAGAACTGGCTGACGTTACTCAAGATCAAAGCGATAAGTTTGCTGATCAGAAGAAACTAAAGACCAAGAAACAGAAGACAGCTAAACCAGAAGAAGAAGCTGCTACTGAACTTGACCTAGTCAATGAAGAAGCCTCAGAACTGGCTGACGTTACTCATGATGAGGCCGATAAGTTTGCTGATCAGAAGAAACTAAAGATTAAGAAACAGAAGACAGCTAAACCAGAAGAAGCTGCTACTGAACTTGACCTAGTCAATGAAGAAGCCTCAGAACTGGCTGACGTTACTCATGATGAGGCCGATAAGTTTGCTGATCAGAAGAAACTAAAGACCAAGAAACAGAAGACAGCTACACCAGAAGAAGCTGCTACTGAACTTGACCTTGTAAATGAAGAAGCCTCAGAACTGGCTGACGTTACTAAAGATCAAAGCGATAAGTTGGCTGATCAGAAGAAACTAAAGACCAAGAAACAGAAGACAGCTAAACCAGAAGAAGAAGCTGCTACTGAACTTGACCTAGTCAATGAAGAAGCCTCAGAACTGGCTGACGTTACTCAAGATCAAAGCGATAAGTTTGCTGATCAGAAGAAACTAAAGACCAAGAAACAGAAGACAGCTAAACCAGAAGAAGCTGCTACTGAACTTGACCTAGTCAATGAAGAAGCCTCAGAACTGGCTGACGTTACTCAAGATCAAAGCGATAAGTTTGCTGATCAGAAGAAACTAAAGACCAAGAAACAGAAGACAGCTAAACCAGAAGAAGCTGCTACTGAACTTGACCTAGTCAATGAAGAAGCCTCAGAACTGGCTGACGTTACTCATGATGAGGCCGATAAGTTTGCTGATCAGAAGAAACTAAAGACCAAGAAACAGAAGACAGCTACACCAGAAGAAGCTGCTACTGAACTTGACCTAGTCAATGAAGAAGCCTCAGAACTGGCTGACGTTACTCATGATGAAGCCGATAAGTTTGCTGATCAGAAGAAACTAAAGACCAAGAAACAGAAGACAGCTACACCAGAAGAAGCTGCTACTGAACTTGACCTTGTAAATGAAGAAGCCTCAGAACTGGCTGACGTTACTCAAGATCAAAGCGATAAGTTTGCTGATCAGAAGAAACTAAAGACCAAGAAACAGAAGACAGCTAAACCAGAAGAAGAAGCTGCTACTGAACTTGACCTAGTCAATGAAGAAGCCTCAGAACTGGCTGACGTTACTCAAGATCAAAGCGATAAGTTGGCTGATCAGAAGAAACTAAAGACCAAGAAACAGAAGATAGCTAAACCAGAAGAAGCTGCTACTGAACTTGACCTAGTCAATGAAGAAGCCTCAGAACTGGCTGACGTTACTCATGATGAAGCCGATAAGTTTGCTGATCAGAAGAAACTAAAGACCAAGAAACAGAAGACAGCTACACCAGAAGAAGCTGCTACTGAACTTGACCTTGTAAATGAAGAAGCCTCAGAACTGGCTGACGTTACTAAAGATCAAAGCGATAAGTTGGCTGATCAGAAGAAACTAAAGACCAAGAAACAGAAGACAGCTAAACCAGAAGAAGAAGCTGCTACTGAACTTGACCTAGTCAATGAAGAAGCCTCAGAACTGGCTGACGTTACTAAAGATCAAAGCGATAAGTTTGCTGATCAGAAGAAACTAAAGACCAAGAAACAGAAGACAGCTACACCAGAAGAAGCTGCTACTGAACTTGACCTTGTAAATGAAGAAGCCTCAGAACTGGCTGACGTTACTAAAGATCAAAGCGATAAGTTTGCTGATCAGAAGAAACTAAAGACCAAGAAACAGAAGACAGCTACACCAGAAGAAGCTGCTACTGAACTAGACCTGGTTGGTGAGGAAGCCTCAGAACTGGCTGACATACCTGAAGAGAAGGGCGCCTTTATCAGAAATGACGTTACTAGTCAGAACATTAAATTAGGTATTAAAGCAAGTTACAATTTTAATAGTGTTGCTACTGATTTAAAAAAAGAAGATCATATCCCAAGGAAAGGTTTACATGAAAAAACCAACGGTGAAGCTCCAGAAGCTAAAAGCCAGTTTACACTGAGAAAAACAAAGCGAAGAGAAATGTCTCCACAAGGTTTGTAAACACTAACATACTATTATATAATCCGCAATTTCAGTCGCTAAACCCAACTTCTTAATAAAAAAAAAGGCTGAAGCTTGTTTCAATGGGGACCCACTGGTAATCACCGTAAAATTGCAATGCGACGAGAATACCTGCGTAAGTGTCCAATAAGCGTAAATGTAATTTTTAGCTTTCAATTTACAAAGACGAGGAGTATATGGAAGAGAACGATAATGTCTACTTAATAACATCGTCTGACGGGCGTATGACGACAGTGTCGTTGTACATAAATTGTTGTGATTACAAGTTTAACGGAAAGCTTACGTTTGTTGCTTCCAACGCTGCCGGTAATGATAAGTGTCTAGTTAATCTAAAGGTAAAAGATCAATCTGAGAAGAAACGAGTACGATCACCGTTAAATGAGTTTGACAACAACTTAGAACTAACTTACTACGCTCCCGATATAGAAGCCTGTGAAGTGGGTTTAAAGCATTCTGTTTTATAAATATTTTTAGTGTGTTTGTCCGTTTGTCGAAAATGTCAGTGTGTTCTGCAATGTCAAAGCTGTCCCAATTGTGTATGTCAAACCTGTACTACTGCCAAAGCGAAGCTTTAAAGAGGGTAAAACATTGACTTAGATGGGTTGTATATACATTTTTTTAAATTTCAGATCAAGACGACAAAAAAAGAAAACCTACGGCATTGACAATTCCAAAAGATATAAATTCTTTATACGGTGACCCCAGTACCTTGGTTTCTACAGCAAATGTGACAACAGAATTAAACAGCGACATCGAAACAGGCAGAACCGAAGTCGTCTCTCCGGTCAAAGAACTAAACAAAGATTCAGTTAGTGAACACTTTGAAATTGTAGACAAAAAGAAAGCAGACGAACCTAAGAAAAAGCAGAAACTGACAAGAAGCTTGACGACAAGAAGGCCGAAGAAGCTAAGAAGAAGGCTGAAGCTGACAAAAAAACTGAAGATGATAAGAAGAAAGCCGAGGAAGAAGCTAAGAAGAAGGCTGAAGCTGATAAGAAAAATGCCGAAGAAGAAGCCAAGAAGAAAGCTGAAGCTGATAAGAAGAAGGCACAGGAAGAAGCTAAGAAGAAGGCTGAAGCTGATAAGAAGAAGGCCGAGGAAGAAGCTAAGAAGAAGGCTGAAGCTGATAAGAAGAAGGCTGAAGAAGAAGCTAAGAAGAAGGCTGAGGAAGAAGCTAAGAAGAAGACTGAAGCTAATAAGAAGAAGGCCGAGGCAGAAGCTAAGAAGAAGGCTGAAGATGATAAGAAGAAGGCCGAGGAAGAAGCTAAGAAAAAGGCTGAAGCTGATAAAAAGAAGGCTGAGGAAGAAGCTAAGAAGAAGGCTGAAGCTGATAAGAAAAATGCCGAAGAAGAAGCCAAGAAGAAAGCTGAAGCTGATAAGAAGGCTGAAGAAGAAGCTAAGAAGAAGGCTGAGGAAGAAGCTAAGAAGAAGACTGAAGCTAATAAGAAGAAGGCCGAGGCAGAAGCTAAGAAGAAGGCTGAAGATGATAAGAAGAAGGCCGAGGAAGAAGCTAAGAAAAAGGCTGAAGCTGATAAAAAGAAGGCTGAGGAAGAAGCTAAGAAGAAGGCTGAGGAAGAAGCAAAGAAGAAGGCTAAAGATGATAAGAAGAAGGCCGAGGAAGAAGCTAAGAAAAAGGCTGAAGCTGATAAAAAGAAGGCTGAGGAAGAAGCTAAGAAGAAGGCTGAGGAAGAAGCTAAGAAGAAGGCTGAGGAAGAAGCTAAGAAGAAGGCTGAAGCTGATAAGAAGAAGGCCGAGGCAGAAGCTAAGAAGAAGGCTGAAGCTGATAAGAAGAAGGCCGAGGCAGAAGCTAAGAAGAAGGCTGAGGAAGAAGCTAAGAAGAAGGCTGAAGCTGATAAGAAGAAGGCCGAGGCAGAAGCTAAGAAGAAGGCAGAAGAAGAAGCTAAGAAAAAAGCCGAGGAAGAAGCTAAGAAGAAGGCTGAAGCTGATAAGAAGAAGGCTGAGGAAGAAGCTAAGAAGAAGGCTGAGGAAGAAGCTAAGAAGAAGGCTGAAGCTGATAAGAAGAAGGCCGAGGCAGAAGCTAAGAAGAAGGCTGAAGCTGATAAGAAGAAGGCCGAGGCAGAAGCTAAGAAGAAGGCTGAAGCTGATAAGAAGAAGGCAGAGGAAGAAGCTAAGAAGAAGGCTGAAGCTGATAAGAAGAAGGCTGAGGAAGAAGCTAAGAAGAAGGCTGAAGCTGACAAGAAGAAGGCCGAGGAAGAAGCTAAGAAGAAGGCTGAAGCTGATAAGAAGAAGGCTGAGGAAGAAGCTAAGAAGAAGGCTGAAGCTGATAAGAAAAAGGCCGAGGAAGAAGCTAAGAAGAAGGCTGAAGCTGATAAGAAGAAGGCCGAGGAAGAAGCTAAGAAGAAGGCTGAAGCTGATAAGAAGAAGGCCGAGGAAGAAGCTAAGAAGAAAGCTGAAGCTGACAAGAAGAAGGCCGAGGAAGAAGCTAAGAAGAAGGCCGAGGAAGAAGCTAAAAAGAAGGCTGAAGCTGATAAGAAGAAGGCCGAGGAAGAAGCTAAGAAGAAGGCTGAAGCTGACAAGAAGAAGGCCGAGGAAGAAGCTAAGAAGAAGGCTGAAGCTGATAAGAAGAAGGCCGAGGAAGAAGCTAAGAAGAAGGCTGAAGCTGATAAGAAGAAGGCCGAGGCAGAAGCTAAGAAGAAGGCTGAAGCTGATAAGAAGAAGGCCGAGGCAGAAGCTAAGAAGAAGGCTGAAGCTGATAAGAAGAAGGCAGAGGAAGAAGCTAAGAAGAAGGCTGAAGCTGATAAGAAGAAGGCTGAGGAAGAAGCTAAGAAGAAGGCTGAAGCTGACAAGAAGAAGGCCGAGGAAGAAGCTAAGAAGAAAGCTGAAGCTGATAAGAAAAAGGCTGAGGAAGAAGCTAAGAAGAAGGCTGAAGCTGATAAGAAAAAGGCCGAGGAAGAAGCTAAGAAGAAGGCTGAAGCTGATAAGAAGAAGGCCGAGGAAGAAGCTAAGAAGAAGGCTGAAGCTGATAAGAAGAAGGCCGAGGAAGAAGCTAAGAAGAAAGCTGAAGCTGACAAGAAGAAGGCAGAGGAAGAAGCTAAGAAGAAGGCCGAGGAAGAAGCTAAAAAGAAGGCTGAAGCTGATAAGAAGAAGGCCGAGGAAGAAGCTAAGAAGAAGGCTGAAGCTGACAAGAAGAAGGCCGAGGTAGAAGCTAAGAAAAAGGCAGAGGAAGAAGCTAAGAAAAAGGCCGAGGAAGAAGCTAAGAAGAAGGCTGAAGCTGACAAGAAGAAGGCCGAGGAAGAAGCTAAGAAAAAGACAGAGGAAGAAGCTAAGAAGGAGGCCGAGGAAGAAGCTAAGAAGAAGGCTGAAGCTGATAAGAAGAAGGCCAAGGAAGAAGCTAAGAAGAAAGCTGAAGCTGATAAGAAGAAGGCCGAGGAAGAAGCTAAGAAAAAGGCAGAGGAAGAAGCTAAGAAAAAAGCCGAGGAAGAAGCTAAGAAGAAGACAGAGGAAGAAGCTAAGAAGAAGGCTGAAGCTGGTAAGAAGAAGGCCGAGGAAGAAGCTAAGAAGAAGGCTGAAGCTGACAAGAAGAAGGCCGAGGAAGAAGCTAAGAAAAAGACAGAGGAAGAAGCTAAGAAGGAAGCCGAGGAAGAAGCTAAGAAGAAAGCTGAAGCTGATAAGCAGAAGGCCAAGGAAGAAGCTAAGAAAAAAGCCGAGGAAGAAGCTAAGAAGAAGGCTGAGGCTGATAAGAAGAAGGCCGAGGAAGAAGCTAAGAAAAAGGCAGAAGAAGAAGCTAAGAAAAAAGCCGAGGAAGAAGCTAAGAAGAAGGCTGAAACTGACAAGAAGAAGGCCAAGGAAGAAGCTAAGAAGAAAGCTGAAGCTGATGAGAAGAAGGCCGAGGAAGAAGCTAAGAAGAAGGCTGAAGCTGATAAGAAGAAGGCCGAGGAAGAAGCTAAGATGAAGGCTGAAGCTGATAAGAAGAAGGCCGAGGAAGAAGCTAAGAAGAAGGCTGAAGCTAACAAGAAGAAGGCAGAGGAAGAAGCTAAGAAGAAGGCTGAAGCTAACAAGAAGAAGGCCGAGGAAGAAGCTAAGAAGAAGGCTGAAGCTGACAAGAAGAAGGCCGAGGAAGAAGCTAAGAAAAAGGCAGAGGAAGAAGCTAAGAAGAAGGCCGAGGAAGAAGCTAAGAAGAAGGCCGAGGAAGAAGCTAAGAAGAAGGCTGAAGCTGGTAAGAAGAAGGCCGAGGAAGAAGCTAAGATGAAGGCTGAAGCTGATAAGAAGAAGGCCGAGGAAGAAGCTAAGATGAAGGCTGAAGCTGATAAGAAGAAGGCCGAGGAAGAAGCTAAGATGAAGGCTGAAGCTGATAAGAAGAAGGCCGAGGAAGAAGCTAAGAAGAAGGCTGAAGCTAACAAGAAGAAGGCAGAGGAAGAAGCTAAGAAAAAGACAGAGGAAGAAGCTAAGAAGGAAGCCGAGGAAGAAGCTAAGAAGAAAGCTGAAGCTGATAAGCAGAAGGCCAAGGAAGAAGCTAAGAAAAAAGCCGAGGAAGAAGCTAAGAAGAAGGCTGAGGCTGATAAGAAGAAGGCCGAGGAAGAAGCTAAGAAAAAGGCAGAAGAAGAAGCTAAGAAAAAAGCCGAGGAAGAAGCTAAGAAGAAGGCTGAAACTGACAAGAAGAAGGCCAAGGAAGAAGCTAAGAAGAAAGCTGAAGCTGATGAGAAGAAGGCCGAGGAAGAAGCTAAGAAGAAGGCTGAAGCTGATAAGAAGAAGGCCGAGGAAGAAGCTAAGATGAAGGCTGAAGCTGATAAGAAGAAGGCCGAGGAAGAAGCTAAGAAGAAGGCTGAAGCTAACAAGAAGAAGGCAGAGGAAGAAGCTAAGAAGAAGGCTGAAGCTAACAAGAAGAAGGCCGAGGAAGAAGCTAAGAAGAAGGCTGAAGCTGACAAGAAGAAGGCCGAGGAAGAAGCTAAGAAAAAGGCAGAGGAAGAAGCTAAGAAGAAGGCCGAGGAAGAAGCTAAGAAGAAGGCCGAGGAAGAAGCTAAGAAGAAGGCTGAAGCTGGTAAGAAGAAGGCCGAGGAAGAAGCTAAGATGAAGGCTGAAGCTGATAAGAAGAAGGCCGAGGAAGAAGCTAAGATGAAGGCTGAAGCTGATAAGAAGAAGGCCGAGGAAGAAGCTAAGATGAAGGCTGAAGCTGATAAGAAGAAGGCCGAGGAAGAAGCTAAGAAGAAGGCTGAAGCTAACAAGAAGAAGGCAGAGGAAGAAGCTAAGAAGAAGGCTGAAGCTGATAAGAAGAAGGCCGGGGAAGAAGCTAAGAAGGCTGAAGCTGATAAGAAGAAGGCCGAAGAAGAAGCTAAGAAGAAGGCTGAAGCTGATAAGAAGAAGGCCAAGGAAGAAGATAAGAAGAAGGCTGAAGCTGATAAGAAGAAGGCCGAGGAAGAAGTTAAGAAGAAAGCTGAAGCTGATAAGAAGAAGGCCGAGGAAGAAGCTAAAAAGAAGGCTGAAGCTGATAAGAAGAAGGCTGATACTGACAAAGACAAGGTTGAATTAGACAAAACAGCTGAAATTGGCATGGTCGAAAAAAAAGAAGCAAAAACTGAAAAAACGAAAATTGGTGAGAAGAATCTTTCTAAAGATGATACGGAAATAACGCCAACTAATGATGCAAAAACAGATTCAAGCGAGCAATCAGAAAAATCAAAGAAGAAAAAGATTGTAAAAAAGAAAAGAGGAGCTCAGGTCGACGAAGAGAACAAGAAAGTACAATGGGAAAGTGACTTGCAGGTTCACGCAAAGGAAGAACTGAGTGAAGTGCAACTATTGGAGACTCTGGAGTTACCGCAAGTTGCACCGGAGAAACCTGAACAAGCTAGCGAAGTAGAAGAAAGCTATTCCTATCAACGCGTTGAATCCCGACAACGCAAGAAACGGGAAGGCTTCGTATCATTGCCCCCAGAAATAGTTTACGCCTTCCGAGGGGACCGTGTTGTTGTAGAATGTGAACTGTACAACGAAGAGGACGAAGTAGAATGGACAGTCAACGATAAACCGTACACTTCAGACTCTCGCTGCTCATTAGACGATTATGGATACTTACGCCGCTTGGTCATTCAAGATATTGTACCAGACGACTCCGAAACGTCGGTTTGTGTTACCTTCAACGGTATTCCGGCGCACAGTAAGATCATGGTGGACGAAACTCCGGTGGAATTCGTCAAGAAGCTAGAATATCGAACCGCAGCGAACCTCGGTGAGATGTGTACGTTGAGCGTTTTGTTGTCGCACGCAGCGGAGAAGGTTTCGTGGTATTTCAACTCGAACCCAGTAAACGAACACGATCCTATGTACCGTATTATCTCGGACAAAACCGTGCAAGCGTTGCAAGTACTGAAACCAACTTATGAAATGATTGGTCGCTTCTCCGTGGTAGCCGACCAATCCGAGTGTTCTACACTGTTTGACATCCGTGGTAAACCAGTAGTAATGCGATATCCTGAATACGTTGAAGCTGATGCACACGACGACTTGAAGATTACCATCCCGATGAAAGTTAAGCCAGAGCCAGACGTTGACATTTTGATAAAAGACGAAAACCTGTTTTCCGACATCCGTACGGTCTTTGAATTTACAGACAATAGTTTGTTGATAACAAGAAAGAACGTGACTAGAAAGGATGCTGGCACCTACATGATCAAAGTGCACAACGAGTTCGGAGAGGAAGTGATTCCAGTCAATGTCATTGTCAAAGGTTTGTTAAGCAACGTACATTATAACAAATATTTTTGCTTTACTAATATAAGTCCATAATTTCAGATGTTCCCGGACCTCCTACGAACATTGGCATAAAGGAAGTAGGTGATGACTACACTACCGTTACCTGGGACAAACCTGAGAACGACGGTGGAGCTCAAATCACTTCGTACGTGATCGAAAAGAAAGAATACAACAGAAGAGTGTTTCAAAAAGTGGGTCAGAGTTCGAGCCGCAGCAAAGAATTGTTTATCGACGACCTCGAAATGGAGACTCATTACTTAATTCGTGTAGCTGCGGTCAACAAATTCGGTGTGGGCGACTTTGCCGAGCCCGCCAATGTAACTACTGGAATTCCTTATACAGCGCCCGTACCTACCAGTCCGCCAGAAGTGCTCCATCTTAGCACCAAGGTATGCAAAACCTATATGATATAATAATATGTGAATATCAAACAAAAAACCGTTTTTCCATTAAAAAAATTTTATTTAAAATTGACAAAATATGTTGTTAACCCTCTATTATAGTCTTGTTTCCTGGAATGGGAAGAAGTCTCAGACGATGGAGGCTCCCCGATCTACTGCTACGACGTCTACATGCGAGAAGACAGCGGAAAATGGACAAAGGTTAACTCTGAACCAGTATTTACTAACGCTTTCCATGTTGAGAACCTTCTGAAGCCCGGAAGCTCTTACGAATTCAAGGTCGAAGCCACAAACGAAGCTGGACTGCGATCGGTCACAGAAGTTTGCTCAAAACCAATCAAAGCGCCAAAAATACACGGTAGGCATTTAAAAAACGTTAAATTTTACTGTTGATAATACCTAAAATAATATAACCAATAAAGGAAGTGAAAAAAGTAAAAACAACCACAGACGGAGATAAAAAATAATTATAAATTTAGTTTTTTCCAGGATAACAAAATATTTTGAAATAACAAAATGCGCGCCAAATATTTTTATGAAAACAACTTTTTGTCGGACGAAAGTGAATTATTTTACATTTTTGGTAATTTTTGTATTTTAAAAATCCCAAATTCAAAAAATGCTAGGAATAACACCGTAAGTGTTAAAAAATTTTTGCATTATTGCTTTTTGTACATTATAGGTAACAATTTTTTTTCAGATATTCCAACAATGGAAGACGTAGACTTGAAGGTTGTGTTGACGGCCTACGATGCGGTCACAGTCAGTTGGGTACCCAAACAAGAACATTCAGAAGATAAGACGGTTTCGTACGTTGTCTACTACAAATCCGAGAACAGTATCATCTGGAATGAGATTCACACCAAAGAGACGAATGTGTTCATTGGAGAGTTAAAGGATGGTGTGAGCTATGTGTTCAAGGTGGCGGCAGAAAACGATCTTGGTGTTGGTCCAACTACAACCGAAACTGAACCTCTCAAAGTTTCAGGTAACAAATTTGTGGCTAGTTTATTTTTTAGGGAATTTTAGGTAATAAAACCTGACGTATTTGTGAATTAAGTTGTTTATTAGTATTTAGTTTACACTAAAGTGTTAGCAGTGAGATGGTGTGTAAATAAAAGATTTTTTTAAATTCATAATTTTAGCTTCTGAAAAACCAGTTATCATCAAACCACTTCGTAGCCATAATATTCCTCGAAAACGCGAACTCCGACTGGAATGCCATGCTCTGGGAGAGCCTGCTCCAAGTTACATCTGGAAGAAAGATGGCAAAGAGATCGTCCCAGAAACTGACGATGTTTCGGTATGTTTTCAAGATATTTCAATGATTGACAACTTTTTACTTTTTTATTCGTTATTTACCTATTTTCTTATAAAAACGATTTCTAGTAAACTTATATTGTTTTAGATCAGCAACGAAGGATTTATGAGTGTTCTAACCATTCGCGAAGTCACGACCGAAGACGCCGGAAATTATTCGTGTGAAGTTGTCAATGATTACGGTGTAGATATTTCCGAAAGTAAGGTTGAAGTTGGAGATGTTAAAGCACACTTCTTGGCTTCGTTTGGCGAGCGCATTCAAATATCCGAAAGTTCTAAGCTTGTACTTGAATGCGAACTGTCTGATGAAGATGCTGTTGTTCAATGGTTCAAGAATGGCCGTGCCATTAAACTGTCGGAAAAAATGCATATTCTTCGCTCAGGGGCGTTGCGTCGCCTTGAAGTTGACGATGTTACGCATGAAGATGGTGGAGAATATGTTTGTCAAACCAGCGACGAACAAAGCACCGCCAAAACCAGAGTCGCGGTCAAAAAACAAGTGACTCACATTCAGTTCAGTCCTCAAGATTACATACTTTCTCAATTTAACCAGCATGCCAGTTTTACGTGCGAGTTGACTGGAACAACTGATGATGTTAAGTGGTTCAAGAACGGAGTCGAAATAATGCAGCCATCTTCAAAACACTTTGTCATCAACGAAGACAACAAGGTGACCTTAGAGATTGTCAACGTAGACGAGAAAGATGTTGGTGAATATGTTTTGGAACTACCTAATGGAGAACGAAGTGCTCCAGCGCAACTTCAGCTTCGTGTAACACCAACACTGTCCTTCTCGCGCGAGATCAAATCGGACGAGATCGAGACTGAAGCTGGAAAAGATCTTCAATTCAGCATTAATGTCAACGGATTCCCTCATCCACGCGTCGAAGCCATGCTCAACGAGGAAACATTGCGACACTTTGCAAACATCGATGACTTTGATGAGAATCACATTCACATCAGAATTCAATCGATTTCGAGAGAACACGCTGGAGTCTTGAGTGTAAGGGCTAAAAACGATGCTGGAGAAGAGATCAAAAAGATTAAAGTGCGAGTTTTGAGCGCACCAGCACCACCAAGGAACGTGAGGGCCCAAGTGTTATCTCCGACGTCAGTTGAGATAACGTTTGACCCAAGCGAAGATGATGAAGATGCTTCAATCGACTACTACCAAATCGAACGCAAAACAGCCGAACACACTCGTTGGAGAAACGCAGGAAAAGTTAGGAATCACCAAAACCTAAGAATCGTGTGTGACGATCTGTTCAGCGACGAGATCTACGTGTTCCGTGTTCTTGCTGTCAATGACATTGGCAAAAGCGAAGGAAGCGAACATGTGGACGTTATCACGCCGGCCGAAGACTCGGATGAGTACTCTATCTCTTCTAACGCCCCAATCAGCGACGCATACAAACCAGAAGCCCCGGAAGCTCCTGAAGTTATGCTAGACAAAAACAAAGTTCACATCTCGTGGAAGGCAATCGAGAACGTGACATTGTACGCCATTGAAAGGAGAAAAGTTGACGAAGACATCTGGCTCGAGATTGCCAACACCGACCGCACCTCGTTTGTAGACAGGTCGATATTAGAACCCGGAAACTACGTATACAGAGTTATAGCCAAGTTTGTAGAAGCTCGCAGCCAGCCCGGAAAAGAATCTGCACCAGCTCAACTTGAAGGCAGAATCACTTCAAGCGACGAAAAGAAGGTAGAAACAGCCAATGGCAGCGTGAAGACGAACGATACCAAAGTGGTCAAGAAAAAGAAGGCCAAGAAGTCGGTCAAGCTGGAGGCAGAAGAAGCCGAGCAAGATAAACGTATGTTTAAGTACATTAACTAACAACGAGTATATAGAATAAGTAATATCACTTATGCTAGAATTAAAATCTAATCCGACTAACGTAAAGTAAAAATATGTAAATCTTTATTAAAATAACAAAAAGAACCTAAAACAAAACTGATAATGTTTATGCCCGCATTCGAATCACATTTTTACATTATTATGTCATTGGTCATCGTCTTCCTAAAAAATGGATGTAACCAGAAATTCTTTATATTAAAATATTATAACCTTATTAATAAAAAAGCCCAAACCCCATCGAAACTAACCTTGATTTGTTCTTGTTGCTGCTCATCCTGCGCCACTTTTATGAAGTTGTCCACAATGATGGTGATTGGCAAGGCAAGTACCTACAAAGTCCGTCTTTTATCATGTCCAACTTACCAAAACGCCGCACATAATCGCTGCGGACGCTATCACTTTGCCAAACGTTGTCGCCGGAACCGCATCACCATAACCGACCTTTAAGAACTTGAGAACATCGACTGTTTAACTTACCGTTGTCATAGTGACAATACCTAAAATACAAAGATGGATTAAGGCAGTTCACACTTTCAACTTACACCACCAATACGCAGCTGGGATGCTGGTGAAAGGGGTCCCATCCTCGTCCTTCTCCAAAAAGTATATCATCGTGGAGAAGAAGACAACTCCAGTCAACAACACGATCGTCATCATCTGAAGCTGCTTCTGACTCCGCTGCAGCGTCATGCCAAAGGTTTGAAGACCGGAACTAAAGCGACCCAGTTTGATGATTCTAATAACCCTGAGCACTCTCAAAATACGCACTACCAAGAAGGCCCAGCGAAGGTCCCTAAGCATTCGGTCATCGACTCCGCACAACGTTAGTAAAAGCTCGAGGTAAAAAGGCACAATAGCCAGCAAATCTACGAGATTCAAAGCTTTCATGGCAAACCGAATCTTTCGCGGCGCCGCGAACATTCGCAAACAGTACTCCACCGTGAAAAATGCGATGCATATCCTTTCTGTGAATACAAAAGATGTGTGCTCTACCCGTATTTGTTCCATCTTCTCTATCACCATGACCGTGCCGTTCGGCAGAACGATGGTTTCGTTGACCGGCGGCATCTCTTTCGTGACCTAGGTGGTATTGTTTTTACTCAAGCCGACGCCTTACTTGAAACTCTGGAATTGTGCCGAAACTCAATCCCATCACCGAAATGGCGACAAACAACGTGGAAGAGAGCTCAAATGCTTTGGCTTGAAATGAGGAGCCGGGCCTCTCCAGAAACGTCCACATCCGTCTTCGAAGTTTGCCACAAATTAGATTATCAAACGTTGTGTCATCTATCTGAAAGGATAATAGTTACAGGCCTGATTTCGCCCTTTAAAACACTGGCAATTAGCTCTTCTACATACTTTCTCTTCTGGTTTTTCTTCCGGTTTTTCTCGAGGCACGATTTCGGCGCAGCATGAGCCCACGTACGATGAAGGAATTCGCCAGAACTCTAATTCGGCTAGAAACGCGGAAGGGCAGACTTCTGGCGGCCGATGCACCACTCCGGTCGCGTAGTACTGAAATATGGCCTCAAAAGAGTTCGCAGACCGTTGAAAGAAGTACATGTTTTCTTCGCTTAAGTATGCATCTGCAACCTGCAAATTTACAATTATTTAACAACCATACATTAACCAAACAACAACAAAGAACTTACTTTTAAGCGAGCTTCATGCGTTAGCTGTACAAATTTCGTCAGAAATCCGGTTGTTACATCTGCTCGCAGTAAGCTATCCACAAGGATTAAAAAAGTAGTACCGCCGATGCTAAGTCTCAGGAACTCGGGCTCTCTGTCTTCGTTGCACTTTCGCGGAAAGACATGCTAAGATAAGGTGATTTGCTTGCTTTTTTTGTTACCTGAAACACGTTGGTGCCGTTCGAGTAGATTTCGTCCAAAAGCTTGCCAGTCCGCCGATCAGCCAGGTACATAGCATCGGTCTTTTTTAGCGGGATCAACCTCTTCTTGTGTTGCTGGGCTGCCCCGCTAATCATGTTTCCAGTGACCCTAAAAGCATGATTATTTCACACCGGAAACGCTTCTTACTGGCCAGGTTTCAGACATGTTAGACTAATACTTGCGCAGGTCATGCTTGATTTCTACTGGAAGGGCCGAGAAGGGTTACGGTAATATACAGAACTGAACCGTTGATTGCCGTAGCACAACCTGAGTGCACTATCACACAAATCGTCGTTCAAAGCCGACATAGACGGCACTTTCAATGCCAAAAGCGAATGCCACACCCTTCCGTTGCCAGACTTGAGTATAGGCAGATGATAACACAGCCTTCGTGAGCACACACACACATATTGCAGTTGAACGCCACGACAGCAAAACCGCTGTGCCCGCTGGGGTCTTTTTCGCTCTCTTCTACTATCCAGCGGCCATTTGGCTTTGCTTGTTCGCGGATGAAAAGCGTCAAAAGCTCGACGCAGGCAATAAAAATATTACCCAACTGACTTAGCCAAATAGCCGCACACCGGGACCGCTTAATTCGGCGGACAACTAGCCACCGCATTTCCGACCGACTGGTTGTCAAACGTTTCGGGATTTGAGTGACATAGAACGTTGTCACTTTGTACCCTCTCTCACACGCAAAAGAAAGCTCAAGTTTGACTTAAATCCAGATGTCACATTTAAACCCCTCCAAGACTAAAAAACAGACGACGCGCGCATACCAGTCTTGAAAGTTTTCCTCAACAGCTCGATGGGCCTTCATCAAGTTTTCTTAAAGTCCCGATCAAGTGCTCATCAGTCCAACGCCCAGGTCCGGTTCAAACATAAGCGATGTTTGCAATAAATGAAGTAAAAAGACCCTGCGTACTTGAGGACTGTTTGTTTTTCATCAGTTTTGTGGGTTAATTGATCTTTCGGCTAACGCGCGTTAAGAAATTACGTATTCGACTGGTTTGGCATGCTCGTCTACCTACCCAGCAAAGCTCATGGAACCGTCTCGCCTCAAGAATTTGATCCCTCCGGCTTCTGTCAGAATTTGTCGAATTCGCGTTAAAATGTACTTACATCAGCCGAACAAATAAAAGGTAGACTAGAGGATGCGCCTGAGAACCTCGACTTTCGCCGCATTATCGTTTCATGCTCGGACATACGAAAGCGGTTTGGAGCAAGCACACACCAACTACTTACTTGGCCATGACATAACAGACAAAATCAAATCTTGCAACAAACCTTTTGACACAGAATCATTTTTGTTTCTAACGAGGCCTAGAATGCCGTAAGAGGTCGCTAAGGCTCACCTATAACAAAGCGACATGCCAATACTTTGTTTTGGGCTGTTTTGAATACCTTTTCTCAAGCTTTCAGTAAATAATAAATCTGCCTGATTAATTCCTTCATCAAGTTTGGAGGTGTCCTGCTGTTGTACAGGATTCCATATTAAAATAGCAGACTAATAAAATATAGCTAAATAGATGCGGGGAATTCCTAATTAAATTCCCATATTACACTACTTACCCTTTACTTATGTATGGCATTTTAAATAAGATCAACCAAACTAATAACTTTCTGTCCCTGCTCCGTAACACTATATGAGCATGTGCAGCACTTTTTTCGAGGTAATCGTTTTCCGAATCGGAAGTAAAACATAATAAGATAAGTGTAAGGACATTGGAAAGTGTTAAAAACAGTTTTTGTTACTTAAAATTAAATAATTTCAACTCACTAAAAAACCTAATGCTGACTAAAACAATGTCATTGAAAGCCTCAAATAAATTTATTACGATTTTATCAGTCTAAACTATTAATTAACGCTGCATAATTAGCAGTTGATCAAATAATTAACTTTATAAACTTGCCACATGTTTCAAATCCGAAAATATTACAGTAATCCGCAGCAAAGTTACAATTAGATTAAGCGTAGCACTGCGACTTCAGAAATGAACAAAGAGCGAAAGGGTTAAGTAACATGCCCTTAAGGTATTAATAAACTTACATTGTCGGCATGGTCTTTCTTTTCTCGGATTTCTTACACTGTCTTTTCCATTAAGTCTAAAAAGTAGAACCAAAAAAGTTGGAAAGTTAAAGCCATTTCGAGACAAAAATTTTCAGATTTAACTTTCCAAATTCACGAAAATAAAATGAAATGCATTACAAAGTAGGGAAATAAATGAATACTTGAGATCATAAGAGGCCACGACTTGCTCTTTCAGATTTATCAAAACTTACAACAAAAAAAGACAGCCGGCTGTAAAATAATGTGTGTGTGATACGTAACGTAATGTAATCAAAAATGTACAAGTCAATAACAATTATGCATACTTTCAGAGACCGCAATCTCCCTAGTGACACCTCTCGAAAATATTGCGGTCCCAGAAGGCGCGGATGCCACATTCACCTGCTCCTTCGACCATTGTCCGGCTACAGCCTTTATTTACTGGTAATTACCCCTTAATTAATTGAGAATAATATACAACTCCTTTAAGCGTACTTTTATTGTTGGTACAAGTTTGCTAGTACAAACTTTATGACTAGTTTTGTACCAACAAACTAAACTGTACAACTTTTTCAAATCTCACTTATCAGTCGGAAATATAAAAATTACTGTTTCCAGGTCAAAGGATGGTCAACGTTTTAGTACCGTATCAAACACCAAGTATGTGAGCACTTTAGAGAACGGCTTGGCCACACTGAGAATATCAGCTGTGGCCGTTGAAGACGGTGGTTTGTACAAATGTGAAGTCGAGGAAAACGAAAACAAATCATGGTCAGAAGCTGTGCTTGATGTCATCGTAAGTTAACCCGAACCCCTTAACCACCCTCTTTAAAGAAACAAACAAACAAGCTCAAGTCAGAACCTATCACAATTGGAGAGGATGTACCGTCCGATTCTAAACAAACATCATCGGATACGAAGAAGCCGAAGAAAGTTATCAAAAAGAAGCCTAAAGCCGAAAAGTCTTCTAGCGTGTCCAAAGATCCTGCAGAAAATGAAGCCAGCGAACAACAAGCAATGACAACTGAGGGAGAGAGTAGTGATAATGCAGAAGTTGCTAAACCCAAGAAGACTACAAAAACAAAAGCCGAGAAGCCTGTAGAAAAACTGTCAACAGATTCTGAAGGAACTTCAGACAAAGAAGCCAATAAAACAGCAGAATCAAAGAATGAAACTCAAAAGACAAAGGAATCAGCAAAGCCAGAAGCTACAAAACCTAAAGAACCAATCACAGAAGAAAGACCCTCGTCAAGAACTCAGAAAAGAGAAGCCAAAATCATCAAAGAGCTAGTCAACACACAAGCCAACGTCGAAGATAGTATCGTTCTTTCAGTGACAACGACTCCAGAAGAATGGACCGCCGTCAAGTGGCTCCATGATGGAGTTGGCATGAAGACTACGGGAAAATACCAACTGCAAGAAGAAAAAGGTAATAAAAAACAGCAGAGGAAGGAAATAATATTGTTTTAGATGCATTGACGCTCAGAATCAAGAATTGCACCAAGGAAGACGGTGGAGAGTGGAGACTTATCGCTAAAACGAGCACTAGCAGCCTTGAAACGTCATGCTTTGTAGATGTGCACGAAGAAGAGAACACGGTTCCTGAATTTACAGTATGTTTTAGAATACTTATATAATATAATGAATTATTTTAACCTCAACAAAAACTTGTTTCAGACCTTCCTCGAAGACAACACCTGTTCGTCCGGATGTATGATGATGTTGAAGACGACAATCAAAGGAAAACCAACTCCAAAGGTTACTTGGTACAAAGACGGACAAAAACTGAAAAATAGTGGAGATTATAGGATCGTAGACAACATTAACAGCCACATGTTGACCATTTTGGAGACTACAACAACAAATTCTGGGGAATATGAATGTGTAGCTAAAAATATAAATGGCACAACTACGACTAAAGGACGATTGACTGTAACAGGTAAAACAAAACTTTCCACGATATACTGCTTTATAATTCAAAAACAAAACAAAAAATCAAAGTTGTTTTTCGAAATATCGCAATTTCTGATAGGTTAAGTCTTTCTTTTTCGAGACATGTTTACCGAAAAATAAAAAAAAACAGAATTTTGCTAAATCCAAAGAAATGTTTCAAAAGTAGAATAAAGCCAAAGGAAACTTTTAGATAATATTAGGTTGTCCGGAAAGTTCTGCAATATTTTTTCACTTTTGAACTAACAATAATAATAGTATAATTAACAACTACAATCAATCAAAGTAATTACCGTCTGAATCAATACAGTCTTGCCAACGATTTACAAGCTCTTTTATTCCACGATTGTAGAATTCCGGGTATCTGGAGTTGATGAAGTTCTTGAAGGCATTCTTGGCATCGTCTGGAGTTTTGAAGATTCTTCCATTAAGAAACGAAGACAAGTGTTTAAAAAGGTGAAAGTCCGTTGGAGCCAAGTCTGGAGAATAAGGAGGGTGCTCCAAGACTTCGTATCCCAGTTCCCTGAATTTTGCCACGGTCTTCTTTGCAGCATGGGGCCGTGCGTTATCCTGCAGAATGATCGGACCCCTCCTTCTGACCATTGTTGGAAGATTGTGTCGCAGTTTGTCAATCTTGGCACAGTAGGTGTCGGCCGTAATACTTTGGCCAGGTTTCATGAAATCGTACTGGATCACTCCAGAGCTACACCACCAGACAGTCACCATAAGCTTCTTTTCGTGCAATTCTGGCTTCGGAACGTGCTTAGGAGCTTCTCCACGCTTACACCAACTTGTAGATCTTCTAGTATTGTTAAACGAGATCCACTTCTCGTCAATAGTTACAATTCGATCCAAGAATTCTTCGTTTTTGCAGCGTTGCAGAAGCTTTTCGGAAGCACATCGTCTCTTGGCTTTTTGCAGATCAGTCAAATTGTGAGGCACCCATTTGTCCAACTTTTTGACCATACCCATTGCCTTCAAATGATCACCAATGGTACTTTTTCCACAGTTTAGTAAATCTTCTAACTCCCGGATTGTAATATGTGGGTCATCTTCAATCTTGCGCCTCAGGGCATCTTTGTCAAGTTTGCTGGGTCTTCCTGCACGTGGTTTGTCTTCAAGCTTCTCATCGTCCACACGAAACTTTGCGAACCATCTGGTCACCGTAGAATAACTCACAACATTCTTACCCTCATTTTCGTTTATGATTCTGAAGGTTTCTGCCGCAGTATTTCCGCGTTTGAATTCATTCCATATAATCACGCGCACGCGAGATTTCTCGATTTTTTTCTAATACCTAAAACAATACAAAAAAATGAAATTAAGTTATGTAACTTACCTTTTTGAATAATTTAGGTAACAAACAAACAAACAAAAAAAGAATTTTTTCTTTCCGTCAAGAAATAAATTTTTCCTGATTTTTCAAAGTTTACCTACTCAAATATTGCAGAACTTTCCGGACAACCTAATAATATATAGTTTTAAAATTTTTTTATTTTAGAAAAACAACTATCTTCTGAAAAAGACGACGACAATCAAGCACCGATCGTCAGACTCCCTCTCCTTGCAGTCAGAGAACTACCTGAAGCTTCTGAGATCAATTTAGTGTGTACAGTTACTGGTATTCCACCACCAAAGATCGAGTGGTTCAAAGACGACGAGTTGGTCACTTTTGCCAACTTTAAGGTAAGTTTAGAGTTAAAACTGTTTACAACAAGATTCTGTAGAATTTACCAAAGTTACAATGTAAACTAAAAATTATTCAACTTGAAATTGCAGTATGACAATGGAATAGCTACACTAAACATCCCCGAAGCAAAGCTCATTCATTCTGGAATATACACCTGCTTGGCCAAGAACAGATTTGGCACAGTTAGATCGTCAGGAGTACTCTACATTCAACGTAAGATAACACAAAATTTTATTTTAGACAAAGTAAAACAGAATATAAAAGACCAATTTTTAAAATTATATGTTTTAGCTAAACCAAGCGATGCTCAAAAAGCGCCCCGTTTTGAAGAACTGTTGTGTAACTCTACGGTCGAAAACGGAAGAGAGTTGTCTTTGGTTTGTAAGGCTGTAGGAAAACCTCAACCTTCGATCACTTGGTTGAAAGACGGCTTGAAGATCATACCCAATCAACGGTTGATCCAGTACACAGACAGACGAGGAGTTGTAAGGCTAAACATCATCAACTGCAAAGCTGAAGATGCGGGAGAATATTCTTGTGAAGCAGAAAACGGGTTTGGTCGAGATTTTACTCATTGCACAGTCAAAGTTGTAGATGACAAAGAAAAGGCAATGAATGAGAAGAAAATGGACAAGTCTCCACAAATTACACGGAACTTGGTGGATGGTAACGTGCACGAAGGCAATAAGTTTGTCTTCGAATGTGAACTAGAAGCAGACGATTCGCCTGTCGTCAAATGGTATCACAATAAAACTCTGATTGAAGATGAGAAGACTTTAAGAACTTATTTCGACGGTAGATTAGCCATTCTGAAGGTCTTTGAAGCTAGCAGTAGCCACGCTGGAGTCTACGAATGTGTGGCATCTAACGCGTTTGGTGAGGTATTTTCGTCAGCTTCCTTGCTTGTTGAAAAAAGCGAGGAATCAGAGGAATACCCACCAAACATGCCAGAATTTACAACAAAGATTCGAGACTTGACGGTGAAGGAAGGGGAAGACGCTTCTTTCACATGCACGGTGAAGGGAGCTTTGAATCCGTCAATCCAATGGTTGTTTAATGGAAGCGCGTTAGTAAACTCAACGCAAACGATAATACAAAGTAACGACAACACACACATGCTGGCTATCAGGAATGTGTTAACGGCGAATGCTGGGGTCTACACAGCGATTGCAAAGAACATATACGGAGACATTCACTGTTCGGCCGAACTGACAGTCGAAAAAGGTGGGTGTTTTATATAAAATTGAAAGAAAAAGGTAATATTGCGATAGCTAGGTATTTTAATATAAAAAGAATTGACTTCATCGACAAATGTTAAGATCCTACCTTATACACTTAACCAATAGCTCTATTGATCGTATAATTTAGACGAGAGCCAGCCACTGATCACCCCCATATTTCGGTACCCATTGCACGACAAAACCGCTATTGTCGAAGAAAGTGTTTCTTTGAAGTGCAGTGTCGATGCGGCTCCACCTCCAAGTATAATATGGGAGAAAGACGGCAAAGTCGTTCAACCAAGCAACCGATTACGGTTCGCTCAAGCAAACAACGTTTACGCTCTCAAGCTGCACGATGTTGACATGAATGATGCTGGAAACTACCTGGTTGGTTACATACTCAGTAGTTAAATATATTACTTTAGGTGCGAATTACCAACCCACTGGGAAGCATAACGTCGGAGTGCGTGTTAATGATAGCTACGGAAAGCGGCGCGGACTCACACTTGGTCGCCGCTGAAAGTGACATAAACCGGCCAGAGTTTCTCGTCAAGCCTCCCGAAGAGAATTCGGTTTCAGAAGGCTCTCCACTCGAGCTGAGAGTTAAGGTCAAAGGATATCCGACACCCAACGTCAAATGGCTTAAGGATGGCAAAGAGATCGCTCGCACTAACCGGTCGTATCACACCCGCGTTACTGGTGACGGACAATATGTTTTGTTGATCGAATGCGCGATCCTGAAGACTTCTGGCACATTCACTTGTGTGGCGTCTAACAAGCACGGTCACAGTGAATGTCATACTCAGCTGAAGGTGAAAAAGCGAGGTAAAATACTGCTTTATGACTTGATCTTTTCGCAAGTTTTCTATTGATGCTAAAATTTTAGCTCCAAGTAGTTATTTTAGACGTAGAGCAATATAAATTTTTCTTTTTTAAATATTGATTACTTATGTTTCAGCATCTTTCAAAAGCACCGGCGAGTCGCTGCCACCAATATTTGCTTCTAAGCCGAGCAACTTGACTGTCACAGCCGGCAGTCCCGCCAGTTTTAAATGTCAGGTAACAGGAAATCCTGTACCAACAATCAGCTGGCTGTTTGTTGACACTAACAACAACAAACATTTACTCGAGTTTGAACAAAGTGGCTGGAAACTGAGGAACAACGGTGGTGTCTACAAGATCGTCACCGATACCGCTGTGAAGTTTCAAGAAGGAACATACGAATGCACTGCAAGAAACAACGAAGGCACAGCCATGTGTTCAGCTACTCTTGTTGTGAATGACAGTGAAGTGAGCATGGGCCCTCCAAGGATTCTAGAACCGATGAATAATGCGGCAGCGGCTCTTAATGAGGAATGTAGCTTTCAAGTGAAGGCTGCTGGTACACCGACTGCTGTCGAATGGTTTCACAATGATAAAAGAGTATCAGAAGATCATAGGATTAAGGTATGATAACTTACTTTTTATAATCGTTGTTTTTTTAAACAAAATGATACAAGAGTAATATTTCTTTTTCAGCTTCGTCAAAGCAAAGCCAACTGTTACGAACTTCACATTACTTCTATCAAACTATCAGATGTCGGTTCGTATGTTTTGAAGTTATCTAACAACGACGGAGAGACTTCATCTGAAGCCATCCTGAATGTGAAGCCAAGTACTCTGCCATTGAATCCTCACCCTAAGCAATTGAAATCTCCGATTGTGTCCCCATTAAGCCCATTATTCCAATTGATGCCTGAGACCGAGACCGTAGAACCTAAGATTAGTTTGAAGCGGAAAGGAGCCGCTCCCGACTTTGTAGTTGGACTACAAGACATCGAGGTGGCAGCGGGAGACGTGGCTGCTGTTGCTGGAAAATTGCAACCAAAAAGTTAGTTTTTTGAAATTTAAAAATTAAAAGTTTTAACTTGTACAAAATGTTTAAAACTTGTTAAAATATTCACAAGGTATAAAAGTATACACAAATTCAGCAAACTAAACCTAAAATCATATAATTTCAGAACGAAAACACCGATTGTTCGAAAAACACAATCAGGAGGATCCCAAGACATTGGCCGGCTCTTTAGTAGCTCGTTTAAGTAATGAGAACGACGAACAAATGGACTACTCCCCACAACAACCACGGCCAAATACCAGTGAGTAAAATGAATCCCCGTTCCATAATTATGTGTCTATTATTTAGCTCTGGCTGAAATCGGCAAAACTATCGCCAAGCGGAATAAAGAGCCATGTGCGCCAAAATTCTTTGTCAAACCGAAGCCCAAGACCGAAATTGAGGAAGGCAAGTCGTTGCGTCTTAAGGCCGCGGTTAGTGGAAACCCAATCCCCGATGTTCGTTGGGACAAAAACGGAGTGATTTTGGAGACCGGTAACAAATTCTCAATTTACAACGACGGCGACCTCTACTTCCTCGAAGTGCACCACCTCAGCACTTTCGACCAGGGCTTCTACAACTGCACCGCCACCAATATTGATGGCTTTGCCACGTGCACCACACACGTCCTGGTCTCCACGTCCGACACCCTCATAGACAAACTCAAAAAGAATATGAAGAAACAACAGACGCCACTCGAGTTCTTGGAAGTTTTGCCAGGACGAGAGAAGGTAAGTGAACATATTAATGTAAAGGTTCAAACCATAAAAGTGCTTTCCTCAGGGAATGTGCAGTCATAAGCAATTACACTAATTTTCGGCATTTTTTATTAACTTTGGGTATTATTTCATGCTCCTAGAGCCAAACAGAGCAACAACTAGTAAAAACACTTTCAAGTTGCATCTTTCAAGTTTTAAAATTTACTTTTTAGGTAAATGTGGGACAAACTTTGTCTTTGGAATGTATTGTTACTGGTTACCCAGCTCCAGACATTCTCTGGCAAAGGAATGGCACTACTTTGGTACCTCAAACCAATAAGTACCAAATGTTCTTTGACGGTGAATGTTCCACTTTGCGTTTTATGTCATTATCTGCTGCTGATGAAGGGACCATCGTGTGTGTAGCGGAGAACCCCCTGGGCAAAGTGATGACACAAACCTATTTAGAAGTCGTGTCATCTAACACTGGAAGTGCTAACACCCCACAATTCAAGAAGGAACACGTTAAAAAGCAGAAGACTGTTGACGGAAAAGCGTTGGTGATTGAAGCACCTCTCAAGAACAGTAAGAACATTGTTTTATAATTATGTTCTTTCTTGTTTACAAGGAAAGTACCCAACCTGCAACTCTCAGAATTAGCTTAAAATTTTTATACGGATTCTTTGTAGTACAGTAGCACATATAAAAAATCTTAGCTTGCGGTTTTAAGTTTTACAATTAATATATTTAAATTTCCCGCCAACTTGGCAAATTTGGCATTGTGTTGCAAGCACTTTTTTGACTTTCCAAAGAAGATAGACTTACAAATTTAAAATTGCAGGTTCATTTGAAGCTTTTCTATCATTACATTAAAGAAAAATAGTTAGAAGTCAAAAAATAAGAAAGTTATAAACTTGAAACACTATGCCAATTTGGCGGGAAATTCAAAACGTGAATCTTTGATCTCGATTTTCTCAAGTCTGGCCGCAAACCGCAACTTAGGATTTTGCATAAGATGTTACATTTACATGATCTTGCAATTAAAAAATTTTGAACGAAATCTGAGCGTTGCAGGTCGGGTACCTTCCTTGTTAGTTACATTTACAATTTAAAAAAAGTTGAATTCAGGTTATAAAGTTTTACTTTTTACTAAAAATATAATTTAGGTTTTGAGAAAGTCGAATTCAAATGGATGAGTGGAAACATTACCATCGAAGATTCCGAAGCTTTTAAATACGGTCGAAGAAAGAACAACTTAACCTTGACGATCACTGATCCCTTCCCCGAAGATTCTGGAGAATACGTTTGCGTAGCTCAGAATCGGCACGGAGAATCTCAGTTCACGGCCGAAGTAACGATAACTGATGACATGAAGTCTATATCCCATGTCAAGAAACCGATTCTGAAGCCGAAACAACCCACGATCTACGGATCAGAAGGCTGTTCAGTAGACCTGACGGCCGAAGCTTCTGGATCAGATCCAGTCATCTCCTGGTTCCAAGAACAGGAGCAAATATTAGCGGACGAGAAGCACGAAATGATCAACAGCTCCAATGAACACACTCTCAGAATCCACGACTTTGAGAAGAGCGATCAAGGAGGCTACAAGCTTCTGGCTATCAACAACGCCGGGATTGCCGAAGCCACATTCGACCTTCAGTTGCAGTCAAACACAAAGTTAAGGTATGGTTACTGTCTTTTATGTCTAAATTTGTTCAAAAAAGGCGTAGAATTCAGTTTTTTTTTGTATTTTTAAAGCTGTGTAGCAGGCTGTATGTATGATTTTTATCAAAATATTATTACATTGAGTACTTACTATAATATAATTCGAAAATTATTTTGAAAAGTTTTAGAAACGGAACGAAACCAAGTTTTGTACAATTCCCAAAGAATGTACAAAGCAAACCAAACGAAACAGTTACAGTAACTTGTGAATTCGAAGGAGACCCAGTACCTAAAGTTAGCTGGTTTAAGGGATCTCGACAACTCGAATCCAATGAGAATATTGTAATTGAAACCACACCTACGAGTAGCCAGCTGTCGATCTCGATGGTCGACGCTGACTTGCAGGGAGAATATCTGTGTACGATAAGGAACCCATTTGGAGAAGAACTCAACAGTTTGACAATATTAATGTTACGTAAGTTCATGGAGTTTGTTGCATGTTTAAGTGTTTGGTCCAGTGTAACAATAGGTAACAACAATAATGTGTCTTACCGTAACTTAGTTCATGTTTTAGGTTATATAATGCTTTCAGATATACGTTATCGTGTTACCGTCCTCCTTTCAGATGTATACAACACAATGTTATTTTTGTTATGTTCATTAGTCCAGTCCATCCAAATGGTCGTTTTTTATAACACAAAAGTAACATATTTTTGTAACACGCATTGCCTATGATAATATTTTGTCGGTTTAGAAGACGGACTTGCTACATGGTAACACGGAGAATATCATAATTTTTATTGATTGTTAAACAATTACATATGTCTATCTTCCCTTACATTGTATTTTTACTTTATAGTTAGTTGCTTTTAGATTATAGTTTGTCTAGTTTGAAGCCTCTGAAGCCCAACGTAACAGGCATTTATTCAATTTGCATACCCAATTACCTGCCTTTATATTTCTATTTTATTCAAACTGAATTATCTATATCACCCAAGGTACCACAACATCAACTGCTGCTCACCATTATATACGTATCTTCAACTGCTCAATTTACATAACCGGTTTTATATCTACATATTCAGACAGGTATGCGGTCTGTAATTACCACTTGGATCAAATCGACTGTTAAACAACATCCAATGTCAAAGGGCCATTGACAACAGCTGACGAGGCTTCGTTTTATTTTTCACCATATTTTAGATTCGTTTAGAATTTTAATAAACCATTAAAAATATATTGACTGGACTTATATTTTATCAGCTTTACTTTGACTTTACAACAAATCAAAATGAATTTTCCTAAACTTTTGGAAAGTAATGGCCTCCAAAGCCCAAACTTTAAAATTGATAAGCTTCGCAAGGAGTTTTACTTGAAGCAAACTTAAATATGGCACAACTCCCCAATTAAAACCTAAATCCACCAGTTCTGGAATTAAAACCTAAAGGTAACAGTTCTGAAGTAGCTATAACAATTCAAAAAGTTTTGTAAACTGTTCCAGTCCAATTTAAAGCTAAAAAAATAATTATGTACGCAAAGTCACATTTAAAACTCGTAAAAAACTAGTGTAATATAGAAATTTTCCTATTTAGTGTTCATAAAAAAGAAAAAAATAAAAAAAACTACTTTTTTGGTCAAACTCATAATTTCCAACAAAATACTGCGGTTTGGCAGTATAAAATAGTTTTCCACGAATCAATTGTTAAATTGTGTCTACAACCAATCGAAAATTCTCGAAATTGTTCCTAAATAACGTCGTTATGACATACTTTATGGATTCATTTCTTTTTTGTTTTTCGTCAATATAAATTGTGAAAGCTCAGCAGCTGCTGCAGCAGATATTGAAAGTGTTTACGGGAAATATTGGACATAAAAAGTAAGTTATTCACTTTCTACTGTTACTTTGATGGTTTTCAATAATATTTTGAAACTATACTTTTACAAAACAGTATTATTATGAAAAAATATTTTTTATAAGATTAAATTGTACTTACCTTAATCTTCGACATAATTTAAACTTACTTTTATCTTCACCTAATTTTCTGACACCTACCTGTATATTTTTATCATATTTTATATTAAAAAACTTTATTAATCAAATACCGTTTCGCCGTTTTGAAAGAACGTGACATAAGCTACAAAACGAAATAAGGCGTTTAAAATTTAAAGGCAGTTTGAGGGCCTTTGGAAGCAATGACTAGTTTAAAATATTTAATGAAACCGTTGGGATGTTCTCTACTTGCAGCTGATATTATCATAGACGAAACAATCGAATGCAGGGCAGCAGAGTATTCGAGTTGTTTTAAAACTTACTAGCCTGGGGCAGCACTCCCATTCTGGTACAGTTCTAAGTCTAATACTAGCTGAAATAGGTTCACAAAGACGGCAAGCATTCAGTTAGGCAGTACAATTCCAATAACGCGATTTAAGATAGATAGGAGGGGCACAACAAAACGTGGAAAATATATGCATGTAGGTTTATGACTTTGGATGGCAGGTTGAGCAGCGTCAATCTACCTACTCTGTAAATTAAGTTTAGCTTCTGATTGAGCAGTTCCACTTGCGTTCTTCAGAACACAAGCATAAGTACCAGCTTGTTGTGCGGAAACACGGGTCAATTCGAGAATGACCTTGTTTCCTTCCTGGGTAGCCTGAAACACATTTAATAGTTATTTCTCATTGTGAAAATCTCATAATTTAATTTGAGGACCATATCTTTTTAAATAATGTATCAGACCCACCTTATGGGCTCCAGTTAGAGCTTTTCCGTTAAAATTCCATGTGATGTTGGGAAGAGGTTGACCGTCAATGACAGCCACCAGCTTCACGTTCTCGCCGGCTCTAGCGTTGATTGAGGTGAGTTTCTGAACAAATTGAGGAGCCTTGGCGGCTTGGGTGGTCTTTGATTGGGCTGAAGATGGTCCCTCAGAGACAATAGTGCCTGTGGCGCTAGCCGGAACAAGTCCAATCTTACCACTGGTCGCTGGAAACAAAGAGAAAATTTGAAACTATTAATTTACGCCTATAAAGTGCAAAATAACCAAAAATGCAGATAAAATTAAATTTCAATCAAACTCACGTTTAATGACCAAGTTAGCGACAGTGCTGGCTTTTCCGGCAGGGTTGCTAGCTTCACACTTGAACTCGGCAGCGTGTTCTTGACTAACTGAAGCGATCTTCAACCAAGCTTCACCAGCGCTGTGTCCGGTCTCGTAGGAACGGCCTGGTTTGATTGGTTCATTGTTTCTGTACCACCGTACCATTGGGTCTGGAAATAAACAGTATCAGGTTATTATTTTTAAATTATATACTGAAGGCAGAAATTTTTCACCCCCCCCCCCTCTAACTTGGCTGTGAGTGAACCGATTGGGACCAAACTTGGTATAAATACTCATAAAGTACTGGGGACTGTTTTGATATAGCGAAGTGTCAATTGGCTTGTGGCATTTCGTTTTATAAAAAAAAATTTTTTTTGCGGTGAAAAAAGTGGGAAGTTATTGTTGACCCCCTTGTGAAATAGAGCGTTGTTGCTGTGATTTTGTCGAATCTTTGCAAGAAAAAGGTAAGGCATGGCTATTCCATCATTTAAGGTAGTTTTTAGGATGTTGACTCAAAAAGAAAGAGATGAGATTGCGGACTGTTACAAAATGACTATGAGCACCAAGGAAGTTGAGAGAAGGACCGGTCACAGTAGAAATACTGTTAGAAGAGTTATCAGAAACGTGCCTACAAAGCAGGTTGGACGTCCAGAAAAGATTGACGCTGCTACTTTTCGCAGAATCCGACGGTTTGTAGAGAAGGAAGTTCGTGCTGGACATAAGGTAACGGCAAAAATAATCAAGGAGAACTTAAATCTGGGGGTAACTCGCCGGACAATTAACATTGCGTTGAAGAAAAATGGCATTACTTACGAAATAGTTAAAAGAAGACTTCCGTTGAGCCCTTCTCATTTGGTTTGTCGCATGAACTTTGCGAAAAAGCACCTTGACCTGAAGACCGATTTCAGTAAGTGGATTTTTACGGACGAAAAGAAGTTTTCTTTTCATGGTCCTGACAATATGGCCAGCTACGGTACTCCCAATGCACGCTTAAAGCGGATCAAGCGTCAGGTGGGCGGAGGGTGTAATGGTACTAGGTGCTATTTGCAGTAATGGCAATATCAAGATTAAGGTGAGTAAAACCCAACACAAAATGTGATCATGAGGGCTGTTTTAGGTTGTAAACGGAAAATACAAGTCAAAAGACTACATCAAAGACCTGAAGACCACCTTCATCCCCTGGGTAATTGAACAGAAGGGCCGTAAAGGCTGGTGTTGGCAACAAGAAAACTGTACCATTCACACATCCAAAGAAACCATGGACTTCTTGACGAAGAAAAAGGTCACAGTAGTTGATTGGCCATCCCGATCGCCTGATTTGAGTATTATAGAAAACGTCTGGAAGCTTCTAGAGGATCGGGTTCATCAACACGGCCAGTTTTACGACAAGGGCACGTTGGAGCAGAAGATTTTAGAATGCAGCGAAAACTTTCCAAAAGATGTGATTCTAAATCTTTATTCATCGATCCCTCGACGATTGGAAAAAGTTCTAGCCGCAGGCGGTGACGAAATCTAGGTATTTTAGAAGGGGGGTTAAGATTTAATTCCCACTTTTTTGGCCCTTTTTTTTAAATGTTTGTTATTTTTTGTTAACGGTAACCCAGCAGGTCCTGGTTCCGTTTGTGTTGTTATTAGGTAGACAATAAACTATGTACCAAGTTTGGTCCCAATCGGTTCACTCACAGCCAAGTTAGAGGGGGGTGAAAAATTTCTGCCTTCAGTATATTTTTAATTTTATGCAGATGTGTATTATTTTGCTTAAAAGTTACCTGGGAATCCAGTGAATTGAGCTCTGAATTCAGCAGCTTGACCAGCAGAAGCCACAATTGGTTGTAAAGGCGTCGAGAAGCGTGGAGCTTCGTATTTGGGTCCGGCTTCGGCACCTTTACCAGTTTTAGTCAAATTGACATTGAGTCTGGCTTTGCAACGAGCTTCACCAGCTGGGTTCTTGGCTACGCATTCGTAGACTCCGGCATCTGGAGCTACAACGTTGTTGAGGGTCAGACCGACGTTGCTTCCGTTTTGTACACGTTCAAAGCGGGAGTCGTTTGGCAATGGTTTTCCATCCTTGAACCATGACACAGTTGGTGGATCACCACTGACCGTGCAGGAGAAGGTGACGCTCGAGTTCTGAGCCGCTCTCTGATCGGAAATGATCTGAGAGAAGGCTGGTGCAGTTCCCTTCTTGGATGGTTCTCCAACCGTCAAATTGGCAGTAGATTCAGCTTGGCCTCCGACGTTGCTCAACTTGACAGTGTATTCTCCTTGGTGGTTATACTTCAATTTGTTCAATTCCAATACAGATTCACCATCAGTCGTTTTAATCTGGGTATCAAAGGCAGAACGAAGCTCTTTGCCGTTAAGATACCATTTGACAGTGACTGGAGCGTCACCAGAGAAGTTGACGGCAAATCTGGCCGATCTTCCGAGCTCTGCTTGAACAGGTTGGAGCTGGTTCTGAATAGAAGGCGCAGACTTTTGGGATTGAACTTGTTTCGTGGGCTGAGGCTTGTTGGCAACAGTGACACGAGGAATTTCACTAAAACCAATAGTTGTTATTTACAAGAATTCAACAGAAAAAGCATGTTTTTTACAATTAGTAGTAGTACATAATATGTCTTTATAACTTACTCTTTAACAACTTGTGGAGTTCCTTTAAGTGGTCCACTTTCAACAACAACGTGGTCGGTTGGTCCGATTTCTTTTGGAGCGAACTTCTGTTTGATGTTAACTTGGTCCTTGTGTGGAATGACCTTCTCCTTTTCAATTTCTGGGCCTTGTTGTGGTTGTCTAATCTTGGCCTTTTCTTCTTGAATGCGGACACGTTCGTTGGATGGAAGTTCAGCAGCTGGTTTGGGCTTGGCTCCACGTAGTTTGACCTGGTCTCTGGCTGGTACAACAACTTCTGGTTCGGGTTCCTCCATCTGGTTGACCTTTCCGACTGGTTCTCCCAACTTAACGTTTCCAGCAGCCCAGTCTGGTGGAGGGCTTCTGAAGCGTTGAGGATCCTTTTCTTCCTTTGGTTTGTCAACTTCACGCAATTGCACAGGTTCCAGTTGTTCACGTTCTGGTTGGTATTTCTGGATTTGACCGGGTTTCAATGATATTGGCTCCAATTCCAATCCTCCGAACTGTTTACGTTCGCGTTCAACATAAGACAATTTGTCGTAGAACTGGTCGTCCTTGGTTCGAGTGAACTTCTGAACCAGTTCTTCGGTCTCCAGTGGTTCAACGGGATGTTTAGAACGTTCAACACGGACAAGCTTATTGACGTTGGCTTTAGGTTTCTGCTCGAAGGCTTCTCCCAATTGGCCAAGAGTTTCCTTCTGCCATTGGTTGACACGTTCTTGGAGTTCTTCGTTGGTTTTCTGGGTTCCCTTCTTCAGCTTCTGCTGACGGAAGTCGTCACGTTGGAAGACGTCCAAGTTGGCGCTTGCAATCACTTCGCCTTCTGAGTTCTTAGCGATGGCTTCAATGGTTCCAGCGTCAGAAATACGAGCGTGGGTGATGGTCAAGTAGTGAACACCATCGTAATTGAGCTTGTAGCGTTGACCCTATTAAATATTGTTTATTGAGATTATCAACTTACTTGTAAGGCTTGAATTCCGTTGACGTACCAGATCACCTTTGGTTTGGGGTTACCCACAACGGCACATTCAAAACGGGCTGGCTCGTTTTCAGTAACTTGAATATTTCTTGGTGAAATAGTAAACTGAGGAGCTTGCTTTTGACGAGCTTGCACTCCCTTTTGGTCAACCCTACAAAAAATATTTATCATATATTGAACTATTAATATTTTACCGAAGAATAATTAACACTTACCAGTGCAAGTTTTCGTTCTGTTTCTTGATGTCGCGGACCTTCAAGCTTTGTGGAAGTTGGGATTCAGTGATGACGTGGCTAGCAGTCGAACAAGCCAATTTAGCGGTAGCTACAGCTTGTCCAAACTGGTTAGTGGCGACACAAGTGTATTCACCAGTGTCATCAGGCAGAGCGTACAACAAGTCCAAGGATACATATCCGAATTCAAGGTTGTTGCGGAATCTGTTACCAATGTTAACCGGTTTGCCGTCCCTGTACCATTCGATCTTGAGGTAGGGGTCGTTGAGTGGTGCAACCTGAGTTTCGAATCTACAGAAGTCTCCTTCTTCAACACCAATGTTAAGCAATTGGGTCTTGAACTCTGGAGCACGTTGGTTAGCTGGGTCATACGCATCGTCTTCAGACAAAGCGATGTCGGCACGAGTAAATTGTCTGATATGGTGCTCAATGTTTTCGGCTGTGGCTCCTGGGGCTTGTGGTGCAAACTCAAGTGACGGTTTAGCCAACACATTGACATGGGCTACAGTAGAGGCTTGACCCTTGTCGTTGATGACACGAAGCTCGTAGTCTCCGTTGTCTTCTGGGTAAGCATAGAGAATATCCAAAGTAACGAATCCAAATTCGAAGTTGGTCTTGTATCTGTTGGCTTCTGGCAACAGAGCTCCGTTTCTCCACCATTCGACCTTGAGTTTGGGGTCGTTAATAGGCAAGACACGAGTTTCCAAGTGGATGGATTCGCCTTGGTCGGCGTCAATGTTCTCGACCAAAGGTTGCACGATTTGTGGTTCTTCGGCGTCGATAATAGTACGTACTTCAATGGTTCCTGAAGTTATAGCTTCTCCCTTGTCGTTTCTGGCAATGCATTTGTATTCTCCTGAATCCTGGGCGATCAAGTGTTTGATCGTGAGTGTCAATACTCCGAAGTCGTTGGTCATCTGGATACGGTTAGAGTATGGAATAGAGTGACCGTTGTGTTGCCATTCAATGTTCAAGCTTGGGTCACCAATTGGTTCCAAGACACACATGAATGACGTAGCGTCAGTTTCAGTGTGTTCTCCCAAATCTGTGAGATTTTCAGTGAAGTGAGGTGCTTCGTAGTCAACATCTGGTTGAACAAGATCTCCGCGTGGACGGTTGATGTATTGTTCAAGTTGTTCGATCTTGTCCTTCTTCTCTCCAGGTGCGACCCAATCGTACAAAATACCGCTGTCACCGACAACTTCAACATCAACTGACACTTCGTCTTGTCCGTAGTCGTTGGTAGCGCGACAAGTCCAGTTTCCGGTATCTTGAGGCTCAGCAGGGATAAGTTCGAGTACGACAAAGCCAAAGTCATGAATCGTCTTCATACGGTTACTGTCACGAACTGGTTCTCCGTTGTGGAACCATTCGACACGGAGTTTAGGATCGTTAACAGGCTCGAGTGGCACGTCCAGATGGATGAGAGCACCTTCGCGCAACTGTGGAAGTTGCTGAAGTTGGTTCTTGAACTTGGGTGGGGCAAACACCAACTCCGGCTCTTCTTCCGGCTTCGGACCACGGCTTTCGATCTCTTCGATCTTCTGTTGAGCTCCTTTCATACGATCGGGCAGTTGAGTGTCTCTAACAATGTTATCCTTTGGTGTACATGTCAATGTAGTACTGGTAACAGCTTCACCAGCCTTGTTTCTGGCACGACACGTGTATTCTCCAGAATCTTCGGGAATTACTGGGGAAATCTCAAGAACAACAAAGCCAAAGTCGTTGATGGTCTTGACTCTGGAGCTGTTGAGCAAAGCGCGGCCGTTAAGGTACCACTGAACTTCGAGAGTGTTGTCATTGATTGGCTCGTATTTGGCTGTGAAGTGAGCACGGTCTCCGGTCTCACATTCTGCTGGAGCAGACAACGGTTGAACGAATACAGGTACACGTTCTTCTGGAGCGAGGTCTTCTACTTCTGGTCGTCTGTTTCTTAGATCTTCAAGTTCTTGAACAGCTCTAGCCTTGCCTTCGTCTAGTGGATCCAGAACAAGACCGTCCTTTGCTTCAACACTCAACGTAGCTGAAGTGGAGGCTTCTCCTTGTTCATTGGAAACAACAACAGTATATTCTCCAGAGTCGTGGGCTAACACGTACAGAATGTCCAAAATGGCAAAGCCAAAGTCATTGACCATCTTGTAACGATTGGCTTGTGGCAGAATTTGACCGTCCTTGTACCATGTTACGACCAATCGTGGGTCATTACTTGGTGTGTAATGGGCTTCCAAGTGTACGCTGTCGCCTTCAGAAAGGTCAGAAGGTGCTGACAATTGTACGGTGATATTTGGTGATTCGAATTGTGGAGCTTCTTCTTCAGGTCTTCCAGCCTTTGGAGCTTCGATCTCTTGGATTCTGGCCAACGATTGGGCTTGGATTGCGTCAGAAGCAATACCTTCATGACCGGTTACACTCAAGTTGGTAGAAACACGGTCTTCACCTGCTGAGTTGCTAGCAACGCATACCCATTCACCAGTATCTCTGAGTTCGGTCGAGTTGATGTTAAGGATAACCCAACCGAAGTCGTTGATGAACTTGGCTCTGGATGAAGCAGCAAACGGCTCTCCGTTGACAAACCACTTGATCTCCAATTCAGGATCGTTGATAGGCTCCACGGTGGTCTCGAAGTGAGCCGGTTGACCTTCTTGAAGTTCGGCCACGTTTTGTATTGGCGAAGTAAACTTGGGTGGTACCTTTGGTTCCGGTTCCTTTTCTGGTTCAGGTTCTTTTGGTGCTTCAATTTCTTGGATTCTGCGCCACGACTCTTCGTGTTGCACATCGCCCAAGATGGCCTCTTTGGCGTTACATTTGAGTGTAGCGCTGGAGACGGCTTCTCCCTTATCGTTAGAAACCTTAAGCTGGAATACTCCAGCATCTTCTGGGAATGTGTAACCAATAGCCAGCTTGCAAAGTCCAAAGTCTTGAGAGATGGCATACTTGGAGCCGTGGGACAATGGTTCTCCGTTGCGCACCCATTGGACCTTGAGGTTGGGGTCGTTGGTTGGTTGAACCACAGCTTCGAATGCTGATGAATCTCCTTCGTCACATTCGATGTCAGAAATTTCAGTAGTGATAGTTGGAGCGTCGTATTCAGCGGGTGGTGGAGTTGGTTCCTTTTCTTTTGGAGCTTCCAAAATTTGGATTTGACGCCATGATTCTTCGTGAGTAGTGTCTCCAAGGATTTCTCCGATTCCAGCGATTCTGAGTGTAGCTGATGTAGAGGCATCACCTTCAGTGTTGACAATCTTGAGCGTGTAGACACCTTCGTGGTCGGGGTTGACAGCACTGATGTCAAGAGCGGCCCAACCCAACTCGCTTCTGGTCTTGATGAGTTGAGAAGCTCCCAATGGTTGGCCGTTAAACTGCCACTCCACCTTGAGGTCGTTGTCTCTGGCTGGTTGGAAGGTAGCTTCCAGATGAATAGGTGTTCCTTCTTGAATGTCGCTGGCATCTTCCAGGTGGGTCAAGAAGCGTGGTTTTTCCTTTTCTTCGACAACTTCAATTTCCTCGATAATCTTCGGGGCTTCCAATTCTTGGATTCTCTCCCAAGATTCTGGATGTTGAGTGTTGCGAAGAATGGCTTCGTAGTCACTGACCTTGACAGTAGCGCTGGTTGAGGCTTCACCGTGCTGGTTAAAGGCACGACATGTGTAGACTCCAGAGTCGTGAGGGAGAACGTGGATGATTGTGAAGACGACTTGACCGAAGTTGATTTCATTGTGATGACGGTTGGCTAAAAAATTTATTTTAAATGAATATTTTACTCTCAATTTTCAAAATGACCAACTTTTAAAAAAACCTACAGTTTTGCAATGGAACGTTGTTCAAGAACCATTCGATTCTCAACTCTGGATCGTCAGCTGGATCCACGTAGCCCGTAAGCTTGATGATTCCTCCTTCATCTTCAACCTCAACGTTCTCAAAGGTCTGAACCCAGTTGGGTTTGTCGAACTGTTGTTCTGGGTACTCGAGGCGAGGGTTCTTGTCGATTCCTTCCATGTACTCAATCTTCTGAAGAGAAGCTGGATGAGCAGTGTCGACGATGATGTTCTCAGATCCAGCGACGCTGAGAGAAGCATTTGTGATCGTAGCACCCTCGTTGTTCACGGCCTTACAAGAGTAAACACCGTTGTCGAAGGATGTTACGCCATTAATTCTGAGGGCAACATGACCAAAGTCTTGTACGATGACGTATCTGTTGCTCTGCTGAAGTGGAGTGTCGTCACGGAACCACTGGAGCTGAAGGTTAGGGTCATTGATTGGAATGACACGACCTTCAAACACGACGATCGAGTTCTCCGAAGCATCGGCAATGCTTTGAAGTGGCTGAGTAAATTGAGGAGCTGGGTATACGGTTGGTTCGGCCTCTGGTTGTTCTGATTTTGGAGCCTCAATTTCTTGAATTCTTCTCCATGATTCTTCATGTTGAGTGTCTGAGAGAATTCCTGGTCTGCGTTCGCATTCCAAGTGAGCTTCGGTAGAATCTTGGCCATAAGCATTTGAAGCTTGACAACGGTAATCTCCGATATCCTGTAACAGAAAAAGTTTGCATAAGTGTCTTTCTTATTGTTAGTTATATACAGCTTTTACAATTGTAATTATTAGTTCGGTGAAGTCTTACCTGTCCAAGAACATAATGAATGTCCAAAGAAACCAATCCGAAGTCGTTTCTAATTCCGAATCTGTTACTGGCAGGCAGCGGTCTTCCGTTGTGGAACCATTGGATCCTGAGGTTGGGGTCGTTGATTGGTTGGACCTGAGCCTCGAAGTGTGCTGGTTGACCTTCAATGAGGTCAGTGACACTTTGGATTTGAGTGACAAAGTGAGGTGGACCGTGTTCTGGTTCGGCCTCTTCTTCTGGCTTCTCTTTTGGAGCTTCCAACTCTTGTACACGTTGCCAGCTGGCTTCATGTTGTGGGTCAGAAAGAATGGTACCGTACTCTTCGACGGACAACTCTACGTTAATTTGGTCTTCTCCAGATTCGTTCTTGGCTACGGCGGTGTAAGTTCCAGCGTCCTCAGCGACAGTATAAGCAATGTCCAAAGCCACCAGACCAAAGTCATAGGTATGACGGAATCTGTTGCTGTTCTTGAGTGGCTGGCCGTCCTTGAACCAGGTAACCACCAATTTCGGATCGGTGTTTGGTGTAACTCTTGTCTTGAAGTGAGCTGGCTGTCCTCCAATTCTCTGTAAGGCCTCGAGGGGTTCAATGAACTTAGGAGGCTCGGCTGGAGCTGGTTCAGCTTCTTCTGGCTGTTCCTTTGGTGCTTCGAGTTCCTGAATCTTCTGCCAACTGGATGGATGTTGAGGATCCAAGTAGAGAATTTGATGTGAAGCTACGTCGATAGTAGTTTCGGAAGTGGCTTCTCCCAATTCGTTACGTGCTACGCAAGTGTAGGTACCCGAATCTTGAGCAAAAGCGTACAAGATATCAAGAGAAACGTAACCAAAGTCGTGAACGGTTCTGTAACGGTGACCGTTGCTGAGAGGCTGGCCATTGAAGAACCATTCGACGACCAGTTGGTTATCATCAGTTGGCTCAATTTGTCCTTCGATGTGGATCGGATCTCCTTCTTCGAAGGCTGGAAGTTGAGGCAGATTGTTGACAAACTTGGGAGCCACCTTTTCTGGTTCTGGCACGATCAGTTCTGGAGGCTGTCTGTTTTCAATCTCTTGAATCTGGTTCCATGATTCTTGATGTTGAGTATCCAACAACAACGCATCTGTTGGAGTGACCTTAAGTGTGGTAGAGGTTGTAGCTTCACCGAAGGCACTGACAGCATGGCAAGAGTAAAGTCCAGAATCTTCTCCAACAACACCTGGAACGTCAAGGACAATAAGGTCCATGTTTCTGGAATGAATCCATCTGCTGGCTTCTGGAAGTGGTTGGCCGTTGACAGTCCAGGTGACCTTGAGAGTAGGGTCATTGACTGGTTGAAGACGGCATTCCAATCTAATGTGATCACCTTCTGTAAGTTCGTCCAGAGTGTTGAGTTGTTGAGTGAAGTTGGGTGGAGGGAATACCAGCTCTGGAGATGGCTCACGTTCGATGACACGGTTCTCCATCTCGTATATCTTGTTCCACGACTCTTCGTGCTGAGTCTCCAAGTAGATGTTCTTCTTTCCGGTGATGTTAAGGTCAAGGCTGGTCTCAGCTTCTCCAGCTTCATTGATGGCTCTGCAAGTGTAGGTTCCAGAGTCTTCTGGATGAATGTGTAAGAATTCCAAAGCAACATATCCGAAGTCGTGTATGGTGCGGATTCTGGAGCTGAATTGTAGTGGTTGCCCGTTGAAGAACCATTCGATTCTCAGCTTGTTGTCATTAATAGGAATAACGGTACAATCCATGTGAAGCGGTTGACCTTCCACGATCTCTTCTGACTGTGGAGTCTGGAGTTGTTCAGTGAATTGTGGAGCTTCTGGAGGTTGTTCTTCTTCCTCAGGCTCAGCCGGTTTCACACCTTCGATTTCTTGGATTCTACGCAGAGATTCTGGATGACTAGTCTCGTCTAGAATCAGAGCTCCACTTTCGATTTCGATGACTGTCGCTGTGTTGGCTTCACCGGCGTCATTCTTCACAACCAACGTGTATTCTCCGGCATCTTCACCAACCAAAAAGTTGATGTCCAGAGCGGCGTAACCAAAGTCATTAGTAACTCTGTAGCGGTTCGAATGCTTAAGTGGCTGCCCATTGAACAACCATTCAACCTGAAGTCTGTTGTCATCGATTGGAGTGTATTGGGCGTCCAAATGGACAGCTGTGGCTTCTTGTGACAATGGGATAGCTTCGAGTTGTTTGATAATTTGAGGAGCCTCCTTTTCGGCTTCGGGTTGATCCTCTGGGGCTGGTCGGGGCGCTTCAAGCTCGGTGATTCTATCAACGGCTGAGGGGTGGAATGTGTCCAATAACATGGCATCCTTGGCTTCAACTTCGACGTTGATGTCGCAACTGGCTTTGCCTGTGGCATTTCTGACGATCAAAGTGTAAGTTCCTGAATCTTCAGGGTAGATGTACAGAACATTCAAAGCGATGAAGCCAAAATCTTGGTTAGTTACGAAGCGATGGGCTTGCATCAAGGGTTGACCGTTGAACAACCATTCATGCTGAAGTTTAATATATTATAATTAAACTTTTCGAAGTACATTAAAAAAGCATTAAAGATGTTAGCATACTCATAAAGACTTACTGTTAATGTATTGTCATCTACAGGTCCAGCTTGGGCCTCCAAGAAGATGCTTTCGCCTTCAGCAGCTTGGACTGATCCACTCAATGGTCGGATGAAGTGAGCTCCTTGCTTCTCTTGTTCTGGTTCTTCTTCTGGAGCCAATTTTGGAGCTTCAAGCTCTTCGATTCTGGCTACACTTGTGGGATGTTGAGTATCACCCAATACTTTGCTCTTGGCTAAATTCAAAATATTTAATTTAACTTTTATAAAAAAAACAATAATTACGTGATTTATGTCAGAAGGTAAAATCTTACGTTCGCAGTGAAGACTGGCAGTAGTTTCGGCCTTTCCTAAAGCGTTTTCGGCAACGCACGTGAAGCTGCCACTGTCTTCGGCATAAACATGGAGAATATCCAAAGATACAAAACCAAAGTCGTGGAAAGTGCGGAATCGGTGAGCTGAAAAATTGTCATAGGAATCAAAAATTATAACATCCAAGTAAAATTAATAATTAAAAAATATTAAAACACTTTTTCATTTTTATTTAAAAAATTTGCAAAATTTAAAGCTGTCCTAATTAGACCTACCGTGTGGAAGTAGGTTCCCGTTGTGCAACCAGTAGACCTTGAGGGTGTTGTCGCTGACTGGCTCCACTTTGCATTCCAAATGTAAAGGTTCGCCTTCCTCGACTTCGCCGACGTCGCCAGGCAAAGGTTGTACAAATTGAGGACCGCTCTGAAAACAATCCGAGCTCCGACCCCACATTCTTTAAGTTACAACGCTTTATTGCTCTATCTCGACTTTCGAAAAGACATCTTGAAAAGCATCTTATTATGAACACTCACCTCCGGCTCTGCGTCCACCACCTCTTCCCTCGCGTACTTGTTCAGATTTTCCAGATATTCGATTTTACCAAGCGCTTCTTCGTGCTGTGTCTTCGACACAATCGCATCGTATCCGTTCACCGTCAGGTTACATTGTTTACGGTTCTCGCCCAACGCATTACGCGCCACCACCGTGTAGGTACCGGAGTCTTCCGGAATCACGCCAGTGATCCTCAAGGTGACAAAACCAAACTCGAACAATGGGTGAAAGCGATTGGCTTGGTACAGTTGTTCATCGTTGTGGTACCATTCAACAACCATGGTCGGGTCGTTTACGGGAGTGACCTAAAATTTTGTGAAAATAATATGGAAATTCATAATAACATATAATATAAAATATCTTTTTTGCAATATTACACTTTCTAACAAGCCGTACCACATGTGACATACCTTCAAGTCAAAGATGATGTCAGTATGTTCATCAACTTCGTAATCTTCCAAGTCTCCCACGAATTGTGGAGCACTGTCGCATTCTCTGTCTGGTACTTCAGCCAATCCAAAGTCTTTAGGCTGCTCGAGTTCTTGAATTCTCTCTAAGCCTTCTGGATGTTGAGCATCCAAGAGCAAAGAATCCTTTCCTAACACGGTCAGATTCACGCTGCTTTCAGTTTCTCCCAATTCGTTGCGAGCTACACAAGTGTAGGTGCCAGAGTCTTCTGGGTAAGCGTACAAGATATCTAGAGCAATGTAGCCAAAGTCGAACATTGGTCGAAAACGATGGGCGGCAACAAGTGGCTGACCATCCTTGAACCAGTCAACTTGCATCTTGACGTCTCCGGCTGGTTGAACTCGGCATTCGAAGTGGACTGGCTCGTTCTCTTGAACCTCGGCGTTACCTTTAAGTTGGCGTACCATCTTCGGAGCTTCCTGACTGTTGAACTCTTCAGGTCTTTCGGTGGGAACAGGACCAATGTGAACTTCAAAGCCATCGATGTCATTTATGGCTGGAAGAGCGCTCTCGTGAAGCGATTCCAGATGAAGGGCTTCTGGAGTAACAACGGTCAATTCTCCAGAACACTCGGCTTCTCCAAGGTTACTTCTGATGAGACAGGTGTAGGTACCGGCATCTTCAGGGTAAGTTGGGTGGATTGTCAATGACAAAAAGCCGAAGCTGTTCACAGTCTGAAAGTTTATACATTTTTTTAAAATTTTTTCAATTTTAATAGTTAAAAGTATTTTTAAAAGTAGTAAAATTTCATTTTTAAAAGTATTTTAAAAGTATAACAACTACCTGAATTCTGTTGGCATTTGACAACGGATTTCCGTCCTTTAGCCATTGCACAGTCAGACTAGGATCACTGGCTGGTTCATAACGAGCTTCAAAGTACGATCTTCCCAGTTCACGATCGCAATCGTAGCTCTGAATCTGCTGAACAAATTGAGGAGCACCGAGCTGTTTGGCATGAATCGAATGTTGAAGTTCCAGCTGATCTTCGACGTCCAAGATCTGGGAGTGATCGACGTTCTCCAGGCGAGCTAAAAACATTTAGAATTGTATCTCTCAACTTACGAACTACAACAACAGTAGCACTAGTTTCGGCGATTCCAGCATCGTTGGTAGCAGTTACTGTGTAGTATCCACCGTCTTGTTCCGACACATTCTCAATGTGCAACACCACGAATCCTGATTGAACTTGGATCTGGACGTGGTCGTTTGGCTGAACAGGATTGCCGTTAAAGTAGAATTGGACATTAAGGCCGGGGTCGTTAATGGGTGTCAATTTGGTCTCGAGATGCAAGGGCTGGCCCTCGAAGAGTTCTTGTGATCGCAGATCAGAGTGGAAGTTGGGGCGGTCAACTGTTTTGTTGGATCCAACCGGAACGTTGCCATCTCCTTGAGTTTGGATATAATTGATGACCGAATCGCTGCGGATACCTGTTGCATAATCTCGATTAGTCACAAGAATCAAAAGTTCTGAGTGACAAATCGTCCAAATGCCAGATATTATTTATAAGCCTTGAGGGCAATTTGTTTTTGTGATTCGAGAATCTACTTGCAAGTAAAAAAACAATAAATATCACTGAGGATAATTAATTCGCATTCTAACTACCAAAAATACTGTAAGTGTTCATCGTATAACATAATACTAAATGCTTACCAGCTACTTCAACATTGGCAGATTGGCGAACTTCTCCCAATTGGTTAATGACAATGACAGTATATTCTCCATGGTCAAACACAGTAACTGGGTTGATCTCCAACACAGCATAACCAAAATCGAACAATGTTGTGATTCTGGAAGAGGCAAGAATCGGCTTTCCGTTGAGCTGCCAAGCAACCTTAACATTGGGATCGTCAGTTGGGCCAAACTTCACATCCAACAAAGCGTGTTGACCCTCGTTCAAAGTGGCACCATTCAGCTTGCTCAAGAACTTTGGAGCTTCCTTGGATTGGGGTATATCTTGCGTCAATCGAGCGTTTTGGCTAAAATATAAACGTTCCATACTTAAAATAACGTAATAATGCTTACAATATATTTTTAAATCGTTAAATTGAAGTAAAAGGGATATTTTGTGTTTTTACTTTTAACTTTTTACTGAAAATCCTCCAAAACAAAATCTTTTTATTTGAAAAAAGAACGTCTGCAAAATCAATCATGCTGACGCATTTTCTAGAACAAAATCCTGTGTCTTATGTTTATCTTTGAAGAAAAAATTTAGGATAAAGAAATTATTGGTTTTTTATATAAAAAATAAGGTTTACTACCATTTTTTGTTTTTTATTTATTTTTACTATAATATTCTCGGTTTTTAACCTTTTTTCAACGTTTACTTACAGTTGTTTTGATCTGTCGATCTTTCTCAAAGTAACGCGTTCGACTTGTTCTTCATCGATGTTTTTGCGTGCTTTGACAACGACTCTTCCCTTACATTGTGCTGTGCCTTCTGGAGAAGTGGCTTCACATTGGTACCATCCTCCTTCGGCCAATGTAGCGTTGGAAATGACCAAAACACTTTCGTTGGCACTTTTGCTTTCGATCCTGTTATTAAATACATAATTGTTTAGTGTTTTATTTTTTTTTACTTTTGAAGGTGGTAACTTTCGGTTTTGTTTTAAAATTTCTTTCTTAGCTCTTACTTGTATTTTTCACCATTGCTAACTGGAGCTCCGTCGCGGCTCCATGTTAGTTTCGTAACGTCGTCGCTGGCCTTGGCGTACAAAGTAACACCTTCGCCTTCATGGATGGAAAGATTTGGTGGGAACTTGGTAAGGAAGTACGGCTTGCCCACCTCTGGAATTATTTATTTTTTAAATCGGGTTCAACTTTTGATTGAGAACAGCTGCTACTCCCACCAGCAAGCGTTCGCTTTTGCACGCTTCAAGGCAGTGGAGATCAAGGTGGTAAAATAAAAAAAACAACTCACCGGCCGCCTTCACGTTTCCCGATTGTCTGAATCTTGAAGCCTGTAAACAAAGTTGTTGATCATTTTGAGTAACAGCTAACCACAATATATTTTTAGAAAATACTTTTGCCAAAGCAATTCAATTTACAATGACAATATAGTTTGAAAAGTAAAATAAGAAGTTTCAAGATGTTAAAAAAATATCATAAAAAGAAACCAGTAAAGGCAATAAAATCTTGTGATATTACTTACCATGACGTCTTCTCTTCTTTGCTGTCTTTCAAGTTCGTACTGAACTTGTTCTGGTTTTTTCAAGTATGGATGTACGTACTGACTACCTCGGTCAGTATCGTAGAATAAGAAGTCTAGGTCACGGAAAGTTGCCGGTTGTGTGCTTGGCAAGTTTAGATCAATAACGTTATATTGTTGTTGATGAACGGGCTGGGTAGCTTGTGGTTGATGTTGAACTGGACGTGCAGTTTGTTGTGGTTTGTGATATATATCTTGTTGTGGCCGACTGGGCTGGTATTGTTGTTGTGTTTCTAGCTGAGTGTAAGTCGGTTGTTGAAGTTGTTGATACGCACTTGTTTGTTGCAAGTTACGTGAATATTGTGGTTGATAAAGATCCCGTTGGGTCTTTTTCTGATGCACAAACTGTTGTGTTGTTTGTCGTTGTGGCAAAAAATTAGCTGGAGTAGTAACAGCTTCGGTTTGATAAGTATCGTGCCGTTTTGGTAAAGTAACAACCCGATCCTTTAAAGGTGATAGAGCTTTTTGTTGGATTTGGGCTTCGCGTTCTCGTTGGTAAAATGCTGCTGGCGAAGGTATTCCACGTCCCCAGTTAACAAAACGTTGCTGCCTTTGTTTTGTTTCTGGAGCTGGAAGTTCCTGTGGTTGTTGTTGCACAGGACGTTGCTCTTCAACTTGCGTAACTGGTTGCTGGACGACTGGCTGTCGCACAGGGGGAGCCGGATTTTTGACGGGCTGAGCTTTTGGCACGACTTTGGCTGCTGGTTGCGACGACTTAGGCTGTTCTTGTCTCTGCTGCTGGACTTGAACGAGCGTTCTCGACGTAGATGGGCCAACGGTCTCCGGCTGGACAGATGGTAGTGCAAATACCTCGATCCGAACCGAACTCTGAACCTGAAAACACAAAACTTAGCCAGTGGAGTTGAGTTGCTAATGCATCTCATATGTCAGTTCGGGGTGGAGAAATTTGAACGTTAATGCGGGACAACACGGTGAGCAGCTCCCTAACACAAACTGAAGTGTTTTAAAACACCCAGTTCTGACAATAGAATGCTTAAATTAATTTTATAACTAAAACATCCAAATAAAGTTACAATACAATTAATTTGTATTGTTGATCTCATACAGTATGAGATGAGATTAAAGGAAGTAATAACTATTAAAAATCGAAAGAGCTACAAGTCAAGGAAATCTTTCATGGACAGGCCAAGCTCAAGTGAGGTCTTCAACCCCGGAGGAAACGAAGCGTTCGCCCCCACCTTTCAGGCCGACCCATCATTGCACCATCAAAGATAAAAAACGGACCTTCCCAATCCCTCCTCAATGACAAAAGGTGCAAGTGCTCCCGGGGTAGGAAGGAGTCGAAAAAAGGAACCAGTCTTTTTTCCAGAGGCCTCGGCTTTTACCTGTGCCTCAAGCTTTTCTTCAGCCAGATCAAAACCTTTTTGAAAACGATTAACGCCTGAAGAACGCAGTCCCCGACACACACGTACCAATGCCCCTATTGGCCGAAAAAACTTTTGAAAAACAGTTATCCGGCCTCCTCCTCCCGATTGTTTGCTGTTTATCACATAGAACAGAGATTAAAAACGTTGTGTGTGCGACCATGCATAGGGCTAGCATGGGCCGGAACTAGATTAACGGCGTCAAGACGGATCAGGAAAAGCGATAAGCCAGTAATTGATTACATTTTATACTTATTTAAATGGCCGATTTGGTTTCGGTCAAAGTTCAGAGGGATGAGTGAACAAAAATGAAGGCAACTCATATTGATTAGTAGTTATTTATCAGGTTTACACTTTGAAACGGTGAAGGAATTTTGAGCTTGAAGACAATACTTTAACCTGAGTTTCTTCACAGTACATCAATACCTGAGATTATAATCGATTCACCACTTACTTTCCCAAACGGATTTTCCAAAATCAGTTGGTATTCTCCACGATCCGACTGTTTGACGTCGCTGACCTTGAGAGTCACACTGGAACCACGGTAGCTGAACTGTCTTCGTGGTTCTCCAAATGCTTCCAGAACTCGACCGTTTAGATACCATGTAATCTGAAGTAGTCACACATAAGCTTTTATCTATGTATAAGCAGTTTTATTTAAAACGTAGTAAATCACTTACTCTAGGTTTGGGGTTTCCTCCAATATTACATTGAAAAACGGCGTCGGTGCCTTCGGTAAGCTTCAGACTTCTCATTTCACTCCTGAAGAACGGAGCTACGCCAGGGCCGTTTTCTTTGTGGAGATTGAGTGAAGCTAGTTCGGGTTCGGTTTCTGATTCACTTTGTCCCCATGCCTTAACAGTTTTAAAATTATGATTAGTCTAGCAGTACAATATAGAGTTAAATTTTACATGTTTTATGTCTTTAATCTTACCGTATCAGTATCGGAAAAGTTTGGTGACAAAAGTCCTCGTTTATCGACGTTTCTGATTGTCGCACTTGGTGGTCTTGGATGTTGTTCATGACGCGCAATCATTCGTTGTTTCTTTTCTCTAGTAAACGAAGCTCGTTCGTTTGACAGCCATTTATCGTATTCGTCTTTCGGAAGAATCTGAAAATTATGGTCAGAAACTTATTGGAGTTATAGTAACACGTCTTCAAAATATTAAAGAGCTCACATATGCAGAACATATTGTAACTCCGATCGTGTTTGAAGCTTGACATGTATATTCTCCTTGATCTTCTGGGAATAATTGTGGGATAGTCAGAAGACAGATTCCTGACTGGGAATCGTACTCCGTGATGACCCTAAATTATTTTTACAGTTAAGTTTAGAAAGTGTTAACTAAAACTATGATATGAGCATTGTTACCTGTAATTGTTGAAGGGTTTTCCGTCTTTCAACCATTCTACAGTAGGAACGGGTACACCAACTACTCTGGCTTCTAGTACGGCTACACCGCTTGGTTTAAACGGCTGATTGCGCAGCTCTTTGATAAAGAAGGGTGCTGATGGTCCTACTGGAGTCATCGGCGGTGCTGGGGAGCTTCTGTAATTTTGTTGTTATTGATACAGTAGTATTATAAATTATATTACTCCTAATATTTTTTTTTGTTTTAAGTATAACAAAAATTAAAAGTTTTGCCTTACGCCATACTAGCTGCGGTTCCAGGGACGGGAGTTGGTGCAGGAGCGACGATTAACATGCAGGTTGACTGTTTAATACCGCCGGTGTTCATGGCTTGTAGCGTGAATCGACCACAGTCAGCACCTTGGGCACAAGCGATAAGCAACGTATGTTTGTTGCCACTTTGTATTACCTAAAAATTAAGTAAACCTAAACAGATTCAACTTACTTCATAATCGGGGCATGTGGTAACATTTTGTCCGTCTTTTAGCCATTTTATAACTGGCTCCGGATGACCTTCGACCTGGCATTCTAGTCGGACTGGCTGGCCGATGATAACACGCCGGTCTTGTAGTGGCTACAAAATTATTTGTATTTGAATTATACGGTATTTGTTGTTGAAATTAAAAAAAACTAATTGTTGATTTTAAAATTTTTGTTTAAAAAGTTTTATTTTTTGAAAATTCACAAAACAAAGAACAAGATGAGCTCAAGACATTTGTTTAAAAAACTTACTCGTATAAAGATAGGCGCTGTAACGTTGACTTCCCTTTCGCCTAAGGGTGTTTTAAAAGGCATTGTTGGCAATGTTTCGGATCAATTCATTCCAGCGGACCTCAAAACTGAAAGGAATAAAAAATGGACTTAAAGCGACCAGAACAAAAAACGATATGCGGCCGAGAGGGCCACGGCCCAGCTGTTGACCTAGGCATAAAGATACGGGTTTGATACGACGCGGGATAAAACAACTACTACCAACCTCGCGAGTATTTGTGTTTATCTCGACTTGCGCGGACCGAAACGTTCAGCCTGCGGGCTTTATCGCAAAAACAATATAATTACGGCCGAAACAAACGTCCACCTGGCTACTCGATCTCGTTTCCCCTTTCTTCAGATCCCCCTTCTCGCAAATCTGATATGACTCGGCTCGGACACATGGCCCTTTACCACCGCAATCAAATCAAACGACCAAACATGTGTGGATGTCAAAAGGGTCAAGTAAAGGTCTCCAGCATTACATCGCGAAATGGGTCGAGTGGTTAGTCTGATTTATGCCAGTTTTTTGGAGTGTCTTCGAGCTACTGTATTTATTGTAAGGTTTGCCATTTTCTTTTGCAATATGTTCCGTTTACTTTTGAATATTGAAATTGTCAATTTTAAGTTTATCGGGTCATCAGTCACAGCTCAGGCAATACTGCGAAGGAACTTGAGCGACAATACTGTAGTGTGTGTTGGATGGGGCGCTGCATACCTACTTTCATCGCTTGTACTCATTGGAGTATACGGTACTTATTCTGTTTCTCTCAATTTTGTTTATGGAACGGCTTTACCAGTTTACTAGCATATTTACATTCGTTTAAGTCGTTTAAATACGGCATTTTGTTATTTTTAGATTCAGCAATTATACCGGTTGTGGCAATATGCAAATTATGTAACCACGAGTTAAAAACGGCCGAGTTCTTACTGTATTTGGTTGCTCAAACCGTTGGAACTTTCGTTGGTGCATTATTAACATGGCTTTTGGTTTACGGTAATGTTTGAATTTCAAGAAGTATTTTTTAAATCAGAAGCGGTGTTTCAGCTGGATAAAGGGAATCATATGCTTACTGGCCCTTTAAGGACAGCACAGATCTTCGCTGGTTACCCTAGTGTTCATCAGAGTTCTGTGAATGCTTTTATCGCCGAGGTGTGTGTTATATTGCACATAGTTTGTTACTTTGCGTTAATGTTAACGGTTATTGAACGTTTATTGTTTTAGTTTTTAAACATTTGAAACATGAACTTGTAAAGGATCACTTTTACTATTAGCCTTATTTAGGTGACCGCTTCTTTCGTTTTTGCTTTTTTCATATCGACTGTTCGAAAGCGGCATTCCCACGTGATAGTGAACAAGGTAGTGCAGAGCATAGCTCTGGCGCTGACTTTAATGTCATTAGATTTCAATTCGACTACCACTTTGAACCCAGCACGTGAAATCGGATCTCGAGCGGCTTCGTTTTTGTTCGGATACGACGAAAAGGTTTTTAGGTATGTATACGATATTCGTATAGGTTTTATTTTGTCAATATATTAGGGTGGCTGAATTGAAATGAACATGTTCTAAAATGAATAGATTTGATTTAATGTTGTTTTAAAAAATATTTTCATGAGATTATCAAGTTTAACATAAACAAGATATATTAAATGGTACACGTATTTAGTTATCGATCGTCAAAATGGCTTGTGATCGTGACTATAGGACCGTTGATCGGGGCTACAGTGTCTGCTTGGTTGTGTAGCTGGTTGTCGCATTGTGGGAATTCGAAGAAAGTGCGCAACGTGAGCGACAAGACTTGTCAGACACAACCTCACCTGTACGGTGTCCACTTTGACAATCTGGATTCACGGATGTTGTGACAAAATATATTGTAAATTGTGACAAATATGTGAAATGCGTTGTAAGTAGTATCAGTCTGTTCGTAGATATATGTATATTTTTGACGCCAGCGTCTTCAAACCAATCTTGAGTCTACAGTTGAGAACTGCGAGTGTTGCGGCCAGCTTTTCTCAGACCTAACGCATATTCACCGTAATTACGACTACTTAATCTTTCATAAAAGTTTTTCTTTGTGGCAAGGATATATATAATACTTTATACTATTACCAAAATGTCAACTTACCCTGTCAGCTTTGTATATATGATCTTGTTGTCTGCTGTTCCACTAATCAAATACCCGTTATCAGTATGTCTAGCGATGCTTTCTTTCTGTAAAAACTTTTTGAAATACAACATTACATCGACTTTTAAAATAAAAATACCAACTTACCTTACGATAATATTTTACGGTCTTGACTACAACAATTGCTACAATAATTAACAAGGTAAGAGCTAATGTCGCGTAGTGAACATTCAAACCCGATTCTTCAAAGACAACAACTTCTGTTTCCATCTTTGACGAAAATAAAACATTTTCTAAAAAGGTTTTGTTACAGTAATCCACGCAGTAATTGGTATATTTTTATATAAGCCGTTAAGAGAAGTAAAAAGAAGTAACAGTAGATTTTAAAAATTCAAAATTGGTAACTTACCAGAACAAGTAGGACAACATTCGAAAGGTACATATACAGGTCGCTCGCATGCCGGACATTGTGCTGTTGTACATTCTACATTTCCGTAATGAGTACATGTACAATTGCGACAAAGTCCATCTGAGAACACTTCGTTCGCATAGTATGTTACATCATTATACTCACAAACTGGCACTTGACACTTCTCTGAAATTTACAATAATTTACAAAGATTTTTGAATATGATATGATTAGACATTGACATACCTATGCAAACTGGGCAGCATTGGCCATCAAGGTACGCAAGATACCCATCACAATTGACTTCAGGACATACGATGTCAACACAACTCGATGTGCCGTTAAGTTGACATTGGCATAGTCTACAGTTGCCTTCTGTCCACGTGTCATTATACACATGCATCTTGTTCTTGTAATCAATGCAATCAATCTGATACCCGAATTCGGAAGATTCATTTGGAAAACTAAAATTACAAGATACAATCTAGATGACAGTATTACCTGTTGAGTAGATATTCCTTATCACAATCAGCATCAGAGCACAGCACATGACCAAGAGCACATATACACTTGTAACATCCAACTTCCACCGTTTCTCCGTCAACATATTGATCACCATCTTCATTGCACGGTACAAAGGAAGGCTGGATTAGTTGACTACAAGATGGACAACATTCTCCCTTTTTAACGTTGTATGGTGTAGCTTCACAACTGTCATCAGAAGATGTGCACGATAGTGCAGAACAGTACATTCTACCGTTTGTACACAGACATTGTCTACAAGAATCACTCCACCATGCACTGTCTTTGTATATATGATCATCTATCTTACAGTCGATTGAGTTAGTGGCTTTAATTACGTTTCTTTCATTCACAGCTTCTAAAAGTAAAGCGTAAGATTTATAAATATTGTTATCTAGTAAGCGTCTTACATTACATAATTAAAAGTTACGTAAGTTTACTTCAAAGTTGAATTAAAGTTATGTCACTAACCCCATCTTATTGTTACCAATTGGTCTACACGGTTTCCGTTAATAGTCTTAAAGCTTTACCTTTGCATTTGCATATTGAACATCCCATTTCGTTTGTTTTGTACCCAAACAGACATTTCTTTTTACAATTATTCATCAAAGGACACTTCAGACATTCACATGTGTAGCAGCCTTCTGAATCTAACTGGAACCCGTTGAAGCAGCTTCTGTAAAGACAGACTTACAAGACCAATCCTCTATCAAATTTGTAAACTATAATTTAAAAATGTCATGTTAAGTTATATTTAACAAGATTTTACAGCAACTCAAACGTACTTCTCGCACGGTGACTGGTCTTCGCATTTAGCGTAGATAACAACATCTTCAATGACACTTTCAGATGCACATATGCATTGATCACAACCATTGTCATCTTTTTCAAAACCATGCTGACATCTCAGTTCACAATCTAGCAGTGATGGGCATACTGTAGTTTCTATAAAAGATAATCAAAGTGTATATTTACTATTTTATTAAAAGGTAATATTTTTAGAAAAAGCTCATGATTACAATTTTATTACCGCAAACATACCTTCGCATTCAGTACAACACTTCCCAGGTTTAGTACTTTCTCCACATTTGCATAATGGCTTAACACATTCGGTTTTAAAGTTATCGCCACACGTACAACTACAATATACGATACAAATAGTTAAAAAATAAAGCTCTAAGAACTTTCGGTATCATATGTACCATTTTTAATATGAATACAAATATTACGTACAATGATGATAAATAGTGAATATGACTTACTTTGTACAATCATCTTTGATCCAAACGTCAAATATGTTATGTCTGCCGAACTCATCAGTACATCCTTGACATTGCGGACAACATTCGCCATCTGGTATTTCAATCCATGTACAATGTTCTGAAATTTTGAACAATTAAGTCTTATACATCATGTTACAAAACATCTTTAAAGACGTGCTTGCAAAGTTCAAAAAAAAACAGAATACTGTTATATACATGTCAACATACCGCATTTTCAAAAAATGTCTTTAAACGTTTTACACAAACTCACCCGCAATCACAGGACATTCAAGAGTTTTACAGAGTGACACTCCACTGTCACACCAACATGTTCTACAGTTCGGCAGATTCCATTGTTCTCCAGACAAGTACTGCCTTCCATCGTGGGTACAAGTCTCAGTTACCATGCCATTGTCTTTTTGACGGCATTCAAAAATGTCACAACAACTTCCAGGCGACTGGGTACCTCGTCGTATTATGACAACATCTTCATCTTGGTTACACTGAACTGGCGGACATACCGAGCCTTTGCATTTACAACTGAAAAGTAATACATTATAGTAAATGTTTTACTAAAGAAAATAATCTTTATTTAGAAGCTGGCAATTATTCATAAGGTGGATGTATTCGTAAGGTTATCTTATATTATAATACTTACTCTGGGTAAATAGGACAACACGCAGCTTCCGGAATGTAGGCTTCTGGTCGAAAACTGTCGGATGGACATTCTGTGAACAGATCGAGTCCTTGATATATCGAACATCGTACTCTGCCACAATGAAACCCTAAAATGCTGTATCTAAGATGTTTTTACAAAATATCATACGAAGATAGTTTACTGTCTTAAACGTTCTTTTACCTGGCTGCCTGCACTCAAACTGATCACAGCACATTCCAGGCACGTTGCTTCCTTTTCTCAGCAGGAACTTTTTTGTGTTTTGAGGACAACTTTTGTTTAATGTTTCGCACATTGCGTAGTCGCATTCACACCTTGCCTCAGGACAACATTTGTCGTCCGAAGGCGGCTCCAGAACCAGATGCGAGTCCTCGATGCAAACCGGAACCGAAACGTCGCACAGTTCCGGATTGCACTCGGCACCTGTAAATCAAGTCGAGATTTATGGCCCGAGAATAAAGGCCCATTGATTACGAGTAGCTATACCCAGAGCCATATATCTTCACGTCAACTTACTTTCGTTTTGGCACTGGAAGATGTCATCACTATTGACACATTCCAGGCCATGACCACAACTCAAAGTGTCTTCATCACACTCTTGGCCTTCGGCTTGGACACATTTCGGACAACAATCGCATTCATTTGTAAAGGTGTTGGTACATCTCAAAGATGAACATACTACATCGTCACAGTTTGTTACACAACTACTGACACTAGAGTAAACACTACCGATTAACACAACAACAGGAAGGATCAGCATTCCGAGGTGACATCGAGTGATGACATCGGCTCTAAAGAGTACAGTAATCGATTTTAAAGTTACTTTAGTAACTGAAACATAAGTAGTCAAAAGTATCGCCAAAACAAAACTTCCAAAAAAAAATAAAATTAAACGTGATTCACGCCCCCTAAAACTTCCATTTTTTAATTTTATACCTTAAAAATAAAAAAAAACTTTAAAACATTTAAATATGCGCGAGTAAAGTCTGTTTCGATTAAATTTAGAAAGTAGAATACTATGGAACACTGTGTCCACAAATCTCAAGTGAGAATTAAGAACACAAAAAAAGAACGACAAAACAATGTGACGCTTTCTTTGATCGCAGTCAAAGGGTGAGAAAACATTGGAATGCAGGCTGTGCTGATCTCGGCCGTCGATCGCTTCCCTCCCGGCCCAAAAAACGCCACTTTTGAGTTAAGGATTTAATTGCAAAAGTGAGACCAAAATACAAAAAGAATAATTTATAAAATAGTAATTAAGTAATCGTTTAGCGGATTCGGATCTGCTCCATGCAATGATTTAGGCCCTTCTCTTCGTAGGTGGCTTTTGTGATCCAGAAGTCCTGAAAATGCAAAACTCTTTTTTCTTTATCGTTATAATTTCTTTATCGTTGTTGTATACAGCTTTATCATTTTTTTAGTATTTTATAAAAGCCCTTCTTCTCAGGTTATCTTCGAAGTATTTTACTGACTTATAGATGGTTTTCGATATATCATATAAAACTTTTAAAGCAACTAAACTAACCTCATTTCTGTCCCTCATTAAATGTGCCAGTACAGCGCCTCCCAAGAATACCATGTGTTTCCTGCGTGGTGGAGCTTCGATTCTTATTTTGAATTTCTGTAAAGAATAGTTCGATTCTTTCTAATAATTAATATAAATCACAAATATTTTTACACACAAAGAACCAGTTTTGTACTTCAATAACCTCAAGCACACTTACATGGAAGTTTTCAGTGTTTCCCCTTAAAACATGATGTAGATATAGCTGTTTTAAGTCCTTTTCTAAACGACTGGGCAATCCCGGATACATAGTCGATCCACCAGACAAAACAATATGTTTGAACAGGTCCAGTCGACAATCTAAAACTCAAATATATGACCGTGATAATGCATTATTCATCAAAAATATCAATCTTAGATACAATTCAAAATATATTTAAAAAAAACATTAAAATTAAATTGCTAATCAAACACAATAAAGTATGTTTTAACAAAAACCATACCCATATCAGCTCCTTGGATCGCGTTGAAGATTAATTCAGACACTCCAGCCTTTTCAACATCAATTAGATGTGGTTGAAATAAGACCTCTGGAGCTTCAAACCTCTCACCTCCAACTCGAATTGTTCGACCATCTGGTAACTAAACAACAATCAAATTAGATTTCAGTAACTTACAGTGTAAGACTGTGTTAACACTGTCGTTTCTAATGCCAACTTTTGTTCTTGTTCAACATCATAAGCAACATAACACAGCTTTTCTTTCAACTGTCTGATTGTCTCGAAGTCAGCGGAATGATTAAATGCGTATCCACGAAGTAACAGCAGCTAAATTGAAGTTATAGTAATATTAACTATAATGCGCTTTAAAAAACGCAATTTCAAAATCTCACTGAAACATAATACAAACAATAAAGACCTACTTTGATCAGATACTTGGTTATATCTCGTCCAGCAACATCTAACCGTTGATTCAGATGTTGAAGGGCAATACCTCCAAATACTGGACAGATATGTGTTACTCCATCACCAGAATCCACCACAACACCTGTTAACAATCCTTGAGCGTACAATGTAAGAACAGCCTGAAACAATTATTGTAATTAACTTTTTTCCATACTTCATTTTAGGTAATAATAAGCTTTCATTCAAAAATATTTGAAACTGTTCACAAACTATATAAAAATAACAAAAACTAATATATTACCTGTACAGCCACATACACAGCATTAAAGCCGTATTGTTCGAACATTACTTCGAACATCTTCTCCCTGTTCTTATGTGGGTTCATTGGCGGTTCGGTCAGCAGTAGTTTACATTCCTAAACATCAAATTTAAAACAAACAACAAAAACATACCTGTGGATCAATATCAAGCTTCTCTGGACCAAATGTATAATCATAGACATGAGCCATATCCTCCCAGTTCCTCACAATACCGTTTTCCATAGGATATGTCACATCGAGGTACTGTCTCAGCTCTGTACACTCTTCTCCAACCATAAGATCCTTTATCTGGATGTTGTTGATCCGCTGACTCGACCTCACTAACGGCCTTCCCACCATCGACGGGAATATGTGTTCAGGAAAGTTGGTACCCGCATATCCGCATTTCACAAACTGGAAAAGGATAAATCAAGAATAATATAGACAAAACGTCATTATTGACTATAATTAAATCATTAAAATGTAACTTACGCCTGACCCATTGTCTACTACAATTACTTTTCGTCCCTGAGAATCCATCTTGTACGATTCATTGAGGTTTTCGGTTAATTTTTATTTTATATTTGCATTACTCATACGACGTGACACTCCTCAACAATATCGACTTGGACGGAATGCCACAATTTTATTATTTTTTATTTTCACAAAGTGGAATATTCGCTTTTTTAAAAAATTCACTTTTTTCTTAATTTTTTTAGGCATAAAAAGGGAAAATTCTGCAAAAGGTTCTTTGAGTAATTTTTTTTATATACCTAATTTAATCCCTTTATGTTCTTATCTTTCAGATTTGTATATTTTTGTTGAATTTGTTGTTGATATGGCATCGAGCATTGTTTCTATAGATGTTAAGGAGTTTTTGAACAAAATCGCCAAAACAGAGGACCACAAAAATGCCTGTAAACACTTCGAAACCTTTTTGAATCCGACATTGAAGCCGACGTTACCGTTTGTTCTCCGAAATCTTTCATTTTCTATCAAGGATGAAGAATTAAAATACAAGCTGTATACTTTACTATATCGGGAGTTTGGAGGAGATACGGAGCTACAGGATTACTTGAAGGAATATGTTGAGCAGCTGATAACGGTATGCCAAAGTGAATATCTTTTTGACCTTTTAGGATCCGAATGAAAGTCTACTGGAGCTGGTTACTGCCATGGTGGAAGAGTGTAGTTCTGAATTTGGAAAAGAAGAGAAAGAGTTGATGAAGAAGTTCTTTAATGCCCAGTTATTACATTCTGGAGCTTTTGTGAGGCTACTGAACGCTTGCATCGTATGGGATCACGACTTTGTGCCGGTATGTAAAAATAGCTTTACATAATTTACCAGGTTGTCAACCTTACATGTAACTTAACCTTTTTAGTTCGCAAAACCAGTTCTTCATGAAGAAAAAAACTTCAACCAGTTCTCGGACGAGCTTCTCGAATGTAAAATGTTGTGTACGGCACGAACTATGTGATTGTATAACATTTTTTGAACATAAAACGATAAAAAATAGAAATATCGACCAAATATGTGTGTCCTATTGTCAAAACTGATCGTCCCTCCAACCAATTGTCTGCTTGTCTACCAGAGCCCTGAACACTCCGTCTTCAAGCTTCATGAGCCCGTCGAACGTGCCGATCTCTGCCACTGTTCCACGGTCCAGAACGACGATCTGGTCAGCGTGTTTGATTGTGGATAACCTGAAAAGTATACGATTAAAACTTTGTTACTTTTAAAGAAATTTGACAAGTTTTAGTCATTTTGATAATTTTAATTCGATTATTTTAATAATCTGACGCTGACCTGTGAGCAATGATTAGTACTGTCTGTTTGTTATTGACCAGAAGTTGACTTAACGCCTTCCGTACTAGATATTCTGAAGTAGCGTCTAAGGCACTTGTAGCTTCATCCATAATAAGTAATCTGGGTCTTGTGACCAAGGCACGTGCTATGGCTATTCTTTGTTTCTGACCTCCACTCAACATTGACGCTCCTTGTTCGCCCACTATCGTGTCAAAGCCCTGTGGAAAGGAGCGGATGAATTCTAGGGAGTTAGAAGTCTCCGCGGCTTCGTACACTTCCTCTTCTGTCACCTTCTCTGGATGTTCGCAGCCGTAAATGATGTTGTTGTAAATGCTGGCTGAGAATAGGACAGGTTCTTGTCCTACGGCACCAATCATCCGCCTCCAGTGACTGGCGTCCAATTCCTTGAGATCAACGTCGTCTACGGTGATTCGGCCTTGTGTCGGGTCGTACAACCTATAAATATAAGTTTAACGTAAAAGTTATTTCTTCATACTTTCAAATTATGATTACATTGCAACAAACTTAAATTTACATATCAATTTAAATCCCACCTTAACAATAAGTTGGCAATGGTACTCTTTCCACTTCCAGATGATCCTACGACAGCTGTGATCTTTCCAGCAGGGATTCTGAATGTGACATCATTGAACAATGGAGTTCTGTCGGGGTAAGAAAATCCGATGCCTTCGTATCTGATCTCCTTGGTGATGTCCTCAATCTTCATACCACCAGTTAATGGAATTGTTGGCTGTTGACTCCTTAGGTCGAATAGTCGAGAACTAGCCCCCAATCCCTTCATAATTTCGATGTAGAATCCACTCATGTTGGACAGGCTACTGGCACACAATAAGGCATACAAACCAAAGGAAGACAGATCACCGTAGGTCAAAAGACCTTTGTCGATCAAGTTACTACCGTAGAAGAGAATCGTCGTTAAAGATATGTATCCCGTAAATTGAAACTAAAACAAGTACTTTAAAATTGGCGTACTCTAACCAAGCAGTAGTTTAACAAAAAATCGGAAATGCCAAAAGTTTTATAAATAAATGTGTTTTACTTACGCCTCCAAACATGAGTCCTCTGGCTGTAGCCTCCTTCTTTGATATCCTCCAGATGGCTTGGATTCTGTCTTTGTAGGTTTGTAGTTCTTTCGCTTCAGATACCAACATCCTCACTGTCCGGATATTCGACAAACGCTCAGTTGCTACCTAAATTAAGATGAATTTCAAATCTTATAGGTTTACCTGATTCGTGGCTGCTACAGCTTCCTGCATCTGCATCGTGTACTTTCTCTGTAGCTTTCCGAAAACGTAGAAGGTTCCGACGATGAACGGAATAACAAAAACTACAACTTTGCACAAACTTGGCGATGTGTATATCTAAATAAAAATCATCATTAATTTGAGATGGTACCACCTCGTAATTAATATCATAAAACTAGTGTATCACGCAAGAGTTATATGACAAAAGAAACGTACCATTAAGGAACCAGATCCAATGCAGGTAATCACTGCTCGGGCTCCTTCACTCAAGTTGGTCGATACGGCGTAACCCACGATCAAAGCATCAGTTGAGAGACGGCTCACAATCTCTCCGACCTTGTTCCGGTCGAAAAATGCCATATCTTGTCGCAAAACCGAGTTGAACACCTTTCTTCTCAAATCATTTACAACCAACTGACCTACAATTACAACATAAATCTCCTTACTATAAAAACGGTTTCAATCTTTAAAACATTGCTCACCAGCTGTGTGCATACAATAAGTTCTGGCACAAACGGCCGAAGCTCCAACAAGTAACAACAAAATAATAGCCCAAGGATTAGCCTTAAAGTATTTGGCAAGTTTTAACGCAACATCTCCTTCGTCGTCTCCTTTCTTACTATCATCATGCTCGTCGATCAGCTTTCCTAACACTCGAGGCAAGAACAAGAAGATGGAAGAGCCAACGCCCATGAACATCAAGCCCACTGAAAAAAATATAATTAACGTAAAAAACGTATTTCATAAATAAAAAAAAACAACTTTAAAGCAAACAATACATACTATATTAACAATAGCATTATATTATTGTAGATTTTAGGTACAAACACTTACACATTATTCTGCCCTTATGAGGCACAGCCAATCGGAATATCTTCTTGAGATCTTTCCACGATGCATTCCGTAGTTTTGTAGATGCCCTTTTCGTATCTACTACATTCACTTGCCGAATAAACTGCCTAGCTATGGAAGGTCGTATTTTAGATGTTGGTGTAAGTGCCCCGTATTTCTGAAGTGTGCAAAAAGTCCTAAAACAGAACTCACATTACGGTATACAACTTACCGTCCCTGTGAAGATGATGGCAGATTTAGGAACCCGCATTTAACGCAACTTAATATTGCGATTCGCATTGTACCTAAAATAAAAAAAAAATTAAATAAATTTAATTCAACAAATAATAACACTAACAAAAATATAAACCACATGCATATTAGCAATTGGCTTCTTTTCCGTAAAACCCCAAATAACGCGCAAAACGTAACATGACATCTGATATTAATTATACTAAATACCAAACTTTCTCTAAATTTATTTCCGCTTAAATTTAAACCTTAAAATTTAACTTTTAAATTCGGAGGATTAATTCACAACACTATTGTGAAATTTTATGAAACACTGATCAGTGTTTCAACTTTAAAACTTTCCTTGTACTAACGAAAACAAAATTACAATATCGAAAAACAAGAATTAGAGGAAAAGAGGTGACTCAAAAGAGAGACTTGGCTCTCTCTCACGTTCCCGAGATCAGAGCTATCAACCAAAACAGAATTGATCGGTTCAAAGAACCTCCACATTCTTTTTGGATAAGTGCACTTTTAGAAAGGTGGATAAGTTGATCTTGTTGGCCAATTTAACAATACCATTTAGATTTCACTAAAAAATATTACTTTTGGTGGTTTTTATATTTCAAGAATAATGTTGATGTATTTTCAATAAAACATGATCTCACAGCTTGTAAATAACCAAAAACAATGTACCAGTTAAATTTATTTGACCAAAACTATCAATGTCAAGAGCAAGCTTTCTTTTCGGAGTCTGGAGAAGGTTTGAATGGCAGAGGCCATCCTCCAATATCTTTGCGGTCGTAGTCGTACTCGTATATTGTATTTGGAATGGTGATCTTGGCCTTGGAAGGAGCTCCTTTCTTCTTTTCTTCCACAGTCGGTTTGCTCTTTGTTTTCCTAAGGCTTCTGCTACTGGAGCTGGTACTCTTGGAATCAATGGAGACGTCGTCGATGAAGTTGACCATGCTTCTCACGGTGTTACTGAAGACCAGGGGCCGGTTGAAGAAGATTTTGTCGCGTTGTTTCATTTCGTCAATGTTTCCAAATGGTTTCAGGACTAGTCTGTAAATGTTTTTGTGTTAGTCATCTTGTGCTCCTTTTAGGAAATCAACGCATATTGATATGGGCAGGGACGTCGTTTGGGGGAGGGGGTAGGGGGAGGTACCCCTCCCCCAGAGCCGATCCGAAAAAAAATTCCACAGGTAGGTACCTGTATGCGAAAAAAAATTTTTCGACCTCCTCCTCCCCCAGAGAAAATTCGTAGCGACGTCCCTGGATATGGGTAATGTATTTACCTTGTACATGAAGTAAATTTAAAGTTAAAATGAATTTTACAAATAACTATGCGCACTAATTGTTGATTGTTTTACGCTAATTTTTACATTTTAAAATAACAAGTAAGATACGTCAAGTCTACAAAAATTAGTAAACAGACAACCTTACCAGACCCACTATCAAATTTAGGTGTATTAAATTACTCGGAGAAGCCCTTAATTAGTTATGATACTTACTTGGTCGCCGGCATCGTATCCAATTTCACTTTGCCCTCGCTGACTTTGATGATAATATCGGCATTCATGGGAAGCTCGTCGTCCGTGAGGTCGGATTCGGACATTTCCGAACTCTGGTCACCCTTGTTCTTTTGTTGCCAGAAGGGGCGACCATCTGGCAGGAAAATGGTACTCTTTGGCGCCTCGGGGATTTTGGCTTTGGCATCCTTTTCAGTGGGCGACTCCACGAATTTCTCGGGGGGTGGTTGTTCAGCGGTCTTAATGTCAACGTCGGTCTCTCCGTTAGCATGGCTTGGATGTCGTTGAGGAAATAGTTCGTCACCTTGTTTTAATACTTTTTGAGGTTCCTGTAAGAGGACTTTAGTTTTGTTACTATCAAATATTGTAATTTCCAATCTTATGCGTAGAATCAAACATTTTGATAAAGGTATTTTTGACGTGTGCTGAAACACCTACTGCATGATTGTGTCGTCGGGAGACTCTGTCCAGCATTCTCTGCATTCCCTTTTCTTTGAGTGGTGCACTGATGAAGGTTTTCACAGCTCTGAACTTCTCCTGGCTCTTAGTTCGAACCTTCTTCCAGGTTCTCGTCATACCTGAAACAGCTCTTGTTACGTAATTCGCATTATGCTTAAAAACTGTGGTACAAATTTTGATGATTTGGTTCAAAACTACTTCAACAGTACTGTTTTTGAAATTTTTTTAAAAGTTGTAATAATATACTCACTTTGCGCCATTGAGTCAAACCGGTTTTCGTCGTCGCTAGTTTTGGTCCTACAGCTCTGAAACCTCAAGTTATTTTTTATTAAAATGGGTACTGTAACATATATGACTAACTTACCTTAGTTGTTAAATCTGCATCAGCCGCTGTTTTTTCCGTTTTTTCTGTTTCTTCTATTCCACTGAAATGTTACAGTAAGCTTTGAGTATTTCATTAAAATAGGCAAAGACTAACATTACAAGCAGGGCAGGGCGCTGGGGGGGGTTCCCCCCCCAGAAGAAAATTTTTGAAAAAAGTAGAACGTGGTCCCCCCTGTTGATTTTCTAAAAAAAATTTTTGCGAAAAATCGGCTAGCTACCTGTGCTGTTTTTTCGACCCCCGCCCCCAGACCAAAAGTCCCCGCCCGCCCCTGATTACATTGAATAATATAAACTAATACCTCAAGTTTATTTTTGACAAAAAGTGCAAAATTGCAAATAAAATGGTTTTCAATTACAATATAGTAAGGAGATTACGGTACCACTTACGTTTTTTCTGTAGGCTGTGGAGGAGGGGGTGGAGCTGAAATTGAAGCTGTTCTTACAGATTGTGTATCTAAGGTGGGGCCACTGATTCGACGTCGTCTACTTCTGCTCATCGATTCTTCTGTCGACTTCCGGGTCGCTCTATAAACCTAAAAAAATCTTTTTTTGCGATTATTTGAAATACTTTGGTTTATTATTTTGGCGCTAGGACAAATGCGGTTTTTGGACACTTGCGGATTTTAGACATTTGCGGATTTTTTAAAGGTTTTTTTTTTATTTTCTAGTTAATTAAGTTGTAGTATGGTACTAAATTGTACTAAAGTTTAAATTGGTGCGGTTTTAACATAACAGTACCTTTTTGGGCTTTTAGTACCATTCAGTACCAAAAAATATAAAACAGTACCAATTTAAAATTTAGTACTATTTAGCACTAAAACATATTAAAACAGTACCAATTTACACTTTAGTACCATTTAGTACCATAATACAACTAAATTAACTAAAAAATAAAAGAAACCCCTTTAAAAAATCCGCAAATGTCTAAAATCCGCAAGTGTCCAAAAACCGAAGATCCGCAAGTGTCTAAAAACCGCAGATCCGCAAATGTCCAAAAACCGCATTTCTCCTAGCGCCATTATTTTACATTTTTCTAAATTAGGTAACAGAACGTTGACTTTTACTAATTTTATAAAGTTGTAGTTATTTTCTGGCGTAAGGAGTTGAAATGTTAACTTTATAGTTTAATTAAAAATCTTTCTGGTATATACAAGTTATCTTGCAATAGTTGACAAAGTTACTTAAACGTTTGTAAACAATGTTGTTATCAAACTCACTTCACTCTTTCTGACAATACATCCGCCTCCTTTCGCTTTTTGATTAATCGTTGGCTCCACATCGACTTCATCACTGGAATGCTTGAATCTCTGCATCAAGGACTTAAATTTCTGTCGCGATGTTTTTGTCGAGGCCTCATTGTTGTTGTTGTTCTTGTCGCTCATGACCACCGCTCTCCGCTGGCAAACAGTACAAACTAAATTTAGAGTTTTCGGTTGAAAGATGTTCAATTTAACTTTTTTTTGATTTTTTAATTTGAAAATAAACTTTTTTACAAAAAAAAGACTTTAGTTTATACCTAAAAATTATTGTTTAACATTTTTACTCTGAATTTGATAAGACTGTTCATCGTTTTGTCATTAATCTGCCGAGTTATTTCAAATTGACAAACTGCAAACTTCATCACGTTCGGCCGAACTCTAGATGGTACTGTGAAGCAAGTTTCTCACATGAATCCTATATTATAATAGAGCGTGCCGGAGGGTTTGTCTTTATTCCATTTTAAGTTGCGTAATCAAATTTGAGCTGACAAAGGGGCCGGCCCAGTCCATTAAGGATTACCTTCTTCATGTGAGAGTGTTTGTGGAAGTGTAGCTGAAAGTAATGAGAAGAGTTTTTTCTCCATGCTGTGGGAATATTTTATGACACGCAAGGGGGGTACACATACATCCAAAACTCATTCCGCTAATAGTAAGGTAGAGTCTTGTTTCTTACTTTCGACAATGTTGGACCAACAAGATGGCATGCACAAACAAGAGCGGTAATTGTTTTATCGGATTAATGCTCGCATCTCTTGTTTTTTAATGAATATTCTATCAGTCATGGCCTTTCGTTACTAGTAGGGATATACATTCTGCTCTAGGTCACTGGAAAGCGGCATGGCATTGTTTTCGGAATTAACAAATTACGTGCAATTCCTGGTCTGAGGGGTTCGCAGTTGCTCTGTGGGATGTTGTAGTAGGTGGGATGAGGTTTATAGCTGTAAGGCATTCTGTAGGCTTGGTTTTCGAATTTTAGTTTTACATATTTTGCCTTTTCTTACTTGCACTTTTATGCTTTATGTTAGACAGAAAAACATAATTAATACTTACTTTATTGTCTACAGTACCTATTCACTTTTATAACTGTAGGTTTGCTTAATTACCATTTAAATATGCAGAATTTGCTATAATCTAAATTAAGTGTGTGCTTTAGCATGCGTACCTTAAATACATCTGTTTTCACTGTTATGTATATGCTTGCCTTCAAGATGACTAATAAGGCAATCGCTCTCTTTTTCTCTTTAATTAGCTATTAACAGTCTTTTGGTTCGGCCGAGAAATCTGAATTTGCCTTTATCGGGTTTTAAATGACTTCTAGGTTTGAAGGATGGTTAATATAAAAAATGGCAGTTTGTAAGTTTAGATTGTTAACCTTAGTGTTATTGCAAGATATTAACGTAATGAGATGGTAAGATACTAACATAAGCTTGTATCACTTTAAAAGATTTCAATCTTAGTATATTACTTTATAATGTTACATTATGTTGCTCATTGCGCTTACTCTAGTTCTAACATCTAAAATATGTTTCCAAGCTTTTACATTCAAATCTGTACACCAATTAGACAAAACAATTGTCGTACGATGCCTAAGCTGCAGTCTGGTGAACCGAAACAACATGTACAGTCCTTCATAACAACCGCGAAACAAAACTTTAGCGCGCTGTTTCGAAATTCTAGCCATTTAAATATGAAGATAGCAGAAAAAAGATATATATGGGCGCTAATCTGTGTTATTATCCCCTGTGGCCAAGTCAAAGCACTCAACGCAGTTGAAGACAACTTCAGTTTTGGGGAATTAATAAAATTCGGCGTCGATGATCGTGCCGTACGTCTTCTCGAGAGTCCTTTTACTTTCGAAGAAGTGCGGGAACCTCTTCGTCCCCCCCCCCTTCCCTTTTGGAGATCTGCCCGTTGGGATTCTAGGTCGGTGTTGCCATCGAGCCAACAGATTTTTCGCCCTTCCTCTTAACTTTGCCTAGCTTATTCTCTCTCAATCACACTAACACGATTTTCGCTCTATAAACATGCACGTTTCCTTTGTTCCGCAAATAAAAATGTAATGTTCCTGTTGTGTGGTACTTGGTGGGGCCGTTGGTGCTGGTCGTGTGCACGTCTTCACGTTTTCCCGTGTTTGTCCTCTTAATTACAGTAATAAAATTAGGCTTTATGTTTTTCGAGCACTTTCTTGATAGTTAAAGACCTTGTATTAGGGTTGTAGGATAAACACATGCTTTAGACGTACAAGATGATACCCAAGTTCCCTTTCTTTCCCAACTCGAAAACCTTAACAATGCGCTTTATAAGTTGTACTGCTTCGAAGCCAAATTTGAAGGAACTCTTCGTACAATGTTATATTTGTGCTCGCCTCAAGTACTTTTATTCAAACAAAGTCTGTTTTGGCTGACGATAACCGTGTTTGGCTCATTTTATAATGCGTTTTGCTAGCGAGGATATGAAACAAGTTTTGTGCGACGAAAAACAGCCATCTGAAGGCCTTAGGAACGCGGCCTCTGTCTTAAATTGTTTGCACACTGCGCGAAACACCTGGACATTGAAATCGCCCTCAGGCAACCAAATATATAATTCCTTTAAGATTGGGAACAAACATGATATTGAGCATTCCTTTCCTTTCTTGCCTCGTTTGAGTCAGCCGTCTCGCCTCTCTGGTTGTTCACATTAGGTACTGATAACGATAACCCTATCACTTCCAGAGTTTCAATAGAAAATGAAACCCAAGAAGAAGAGACAGAGTTTGGCCACGCGTTTCTGAAAGAAGACCAACCCTACGAAGTCTCCCATTCTACCAGTCCCACTTCCTCAACCAACACCTGGTCCACGGCCGCTTCCGAGCGCTACGCCGACTCCTGGAACCGCAGCGTCGCCATGGACGGGTTGAGTTTTCAGCTACAGTCCGGTGTTTACAAACAGGCCATCGTCTGGCCGAAGCCTGAGATCTCGCTCAAAGATCTACGCAAAGAAGCCGCCGCTTTCATCGCCAGCAAGGTAAGACACTTTCATTAACATATTGTAGCCATTTTTGAGATAAAATGTTCAAGACAAGGTTCGAAGAGAGGATTCTAAGGCTTTCTATTAGTTTTTTCATTATTTGTTTAAATCGTGTGTCGTCGTACACGTTTGGTCAAAAGTAAATAGAAAATGAAAAGGAAAGGACAAAGTTTGCTTCCAGAAGACGATTTTACAATATTTGCCGAAAATGGTATTTTACTAAAAAACCACTTGAAAATCAAAAATTTTAGCTTGTTATGTTACAGTAAGTCACAGAAATAAAAGCACATTGGAGGATTATTACCTAATATTCAAAGAAAAGATTTCGTCAAGTTTGAAAACCAAAATGGCAAAATCTTTTTATTTTAGCGAAATTACCAGAAAAGTGACATTTCGTTAAAAAAATATTAATTTTCTAGAATTTTTCTGAAAAATATATGTAGATCTTTGTGGACATTTTCCTACTTTTTACAAACCTTCTATAACACAATTGGGATATATCAAAAATATTATTCTTCTTTTGGGAGAGGTAAAAAAACAATTCCGAAAAGAATTCTTAAACTTGTAAATAAATTGCAATTTTACTATAGTATAAAGAATATTATTGTTTTAGTATGCCTCAACCGACACTCCAGAATCGATTTTGGACCACTTGCTTCTGTATCGGCACGATCTTCGGTCGATCAACATTCTCCAGCTGATAACCTCGTCCGAAGAAGTTACAGAAGGCACGTTGATCGAGGCCGTGATTAGTGGTAAGTCTATTTATTTTTAAAATACCGTTCGAAATGATCTTACTCTTTATATTCTACTCTAAACGGTTGTTTCCACTAATTAGTTCACCCGAAAGTAGGTCTTTTCCGCAATTTTTTCTCAAAAATATTGTTTTTGGTCCGACTAAGTTTAAATTGCTCGTGGATTCTGAATCTTACCAACTTCTAACCACCTGTGTGCGGAATAGACCTAGTACAGAATCAGATGAGCAGTCCTTAAATAATTGACTACCAAAACGGAAACGGGATATTAAAATGCGTGGATCCAGGAAACAGGGCGTTATGGCGGCTTCTTGGCGTTGAGACCAAGAGCCGGCCTTTTCCTCACCTAGTAGGCCAAAAAGAGACTCGGTCCTTTCACAAAAAAAACATTTTACACTACTCATTCACACTCAAATATTCCCATACTTCGCCTTTTAATCTCTAAATGTATTAAGTTGTTATGCGTCGACGTAAGTGCACTTCTGATTTGTTTATACATCTTAATCGGTCTTTTATTGTCCTAGTACCTTGAACTTGATACATGATGAAAGGCAATCATTTGAACATATTTAATTAAAGTTCGTGAGAAAATGTGTTTTAGGCCTTGAGAAATGCTAATTTCATCATTCATTGCCCAGGTTTACTATGCAAATAACTAATTTGCTATGACTTCTACTAGTAGAATAATAAAGAAGACCAGTTTTAACCATAATCAATGCCATTTGCAGCGTGTCCTCAACATGAACGTCTCGTCGTACATCCACACACACTGTTTGTTCACAGCTACAAGACCCCGACGTTCTGTGACTTTTGTGGAGAATTGTTATTTGGCCTGGTTAAACAGGGCCTCAAGTGCCAAGGTAAGTAGTAATCTCTTTTTTTGTCACACTGAATTGTTATTTTTTTAGTTTTTTTTTTGTTTTTTAATAACATTTATATGAAATAATAGAATTTGATAGTAATATTTGGTCAAAAAGTCAATAGAAAAGTAAAAAAAAAGCTTACAAAATATGTGAGGTTCCTATGGACTTTTTGTACAAATATGTACCTAATTAAATTATAAAACTTTTAAAAAATGATAAAAGGATAGCTATCATATTGAAAAATCAAAAATAGAATGACTAAAACAACATTTAGGCTGCGGACTAAACTACCACAAGCGTTGTGCCTCCAAGATACCCAACAATTGCAATGGCAGTCGCCAACGACGGCCTTCTGCCATTCCGTTGTCTCCACGGAATTCCGTCGGGCTACACCAGCCGGTAGGTTTGTAGCGCTAGTGTTTTGCCATGGTTACCTAAAATACAAATTGAATAATTAAATGCATTATCAGTTTTTGTAAGATTCTTCTTTTTGAATTTGCTTTTTTTGTTGTTTGCCATTTCTTCCTAGTTGCCATTTTCTTTTGTAAAAAATGGTTTTTCGAAAGTTTGTTGAGGTAACAAATCTTTTTTTTAAATCCGTTAAAATAACTGTTGACATAGCCAACAACTGATGAAAAAAGTAGGACAAAACACCTTCTCAAAGATAATGATTCTAAGCATATTCCGCACACACTACTTTTTAAAAATTTATTTTGCTTTACTTTCAGCAAGGTGTTCTTCTCTCAACCCTATCACAATACCAGCTGACAGAATCGTCGAGTAATGACTTGGCGACATCGTCCGTCAGATCGGTAGCCAGCAACTCGACTTCGATGGTCGGCTTGGCCGCTCCAGACATTTTAGTGACAGCCGATCAAAGCGAAGACGGCGATCCGATCGGAGGAAATGTAAGTTTATATTTAAATGATGCAGATTCGTATAGTTAGAATTTGAGTAAAAGTAGATGTTTTTATAGTTGTTTTTGATTCTAACCACCAAGACCGTGATCTAGATCGTAGTAAGACTTTAAATTGTTACGAAAAGCTTATATTACACTCATTTTGCATAACATTATGATTAAAACGGTTTTCAAGAATATTACAATCATTTCGCGTTAGAACAATAGTCAGACAAATGTATTAATCATCCTTTAGTTTCTTCAAATGCCACGCAAAGATCGTAGCAGTTCATGGAGTGGTCGACCCTTGTGGATGGAGATCGCCGAAGCTACCAGGGTCAAAGTGCCACACACCTTCCAGGTACACAGCTACAAGAAGCCCACGGTATGCAGGTACTGTAAGAAGCTGTTGAGGGGTTTGATGCGACAAGGAATACAGTGCAAAGGTAAGTGGGTTTGTGTCATGAGATAGGTTGTGTAAAACTCAGAGTACCAAATGTACCTTCGGGTAACAAAAGCAAAAGTTTAATTTCGACAATTTTAGACTGCAAATACAATTGTCACAAGAAATGCGCGGAGTTTGTCCCGAAAGATTGCCCGGGCAATACCCAGGCAATCACACAAGCAGGTTTAATGGGCCGGACTTCAGACGAAGGTAGGTGTAAATGTACAGTAATTGATTGTATTGTCAGTGTACGATGAATTTGTTGAGTTTGACGATAACGTTGAAGTTTGTGACGAGTATGGTACTGGTACGTGATTTTAGTTTTTTTTTATTTATCGGTTTATTTGTTTTTAGTTCTGATGGCAACTTTAAACCTTCATTGCACTGAAGGTTTAAAGTTGATTTATGTTTTACAAACATCAGTTTTTTACTTTAGTTAAAATATTTTTGACATTTTATCTTTTTACTTTTATAATCATAAATAGATGTTGATTATACTGGTATTTTGCTAACTATACCTACTTGTAGCCTTAAACGAAACGCAGCCAGATGCCCCAACATCTCCGCGGCAACACAAACGTACTCAAGCTACCCCAAGTGCACCATTACAACAGACCGAACGTAACAATAACTCTGGGGATCCATCGACGCCAACGGACAACGATGACCTGACTTCAGAATCTCAGAATATTCCATTAATGAGGGTGGTGATGTCAAAGAAACAAACCAAGCGACATCACAACAGAATCATCAAAGAAGGCTGGATGGTGCACTACACGGACAAACAGAACATGGTAAGTTAGTCAAGAGTAATTTGCAAAAGAATGTCTTTAACGTAAGTTGATGCCCTTTATATTATGATGCTTTTACTACAAGAATCTTTTAAAAATAGCTCTGATTTGTAAACAGCAGGTTCTTTAAAGGTGTGGTCTCATGCCTTCTCTTGCTACAATTCTAGTTTCTGAATCTGTAAACAAACACCTTCTTTATCGAAAAGTCGCCTTCTTTCTTCAACTCCTTTGTCGTCAACGGTAGCGTCATTACCAGTGGTCTTATTAATCTAAGAGTCGCCTTATTTGTTCAATAAGATGCCTGAACAGTAAACTACGACTTATAAACGACTCTTATTGAAATAGCCCTGGTTTCTTTCACGAAACCCGTAAACAGTTCTTTTCCCCCACTGATTACGCTTGTCATTTAGCGAAAGAAACACTACTGGCGACTGGATACAAAATGCATCACGATGTACAAGGACGCCGAGTCCAAGGGCTACTACAAGGAGCTGCCATTGTCCGAGATCCTGGAGGTGACGATGGTGCCGCACGATCCCTTGAAGCGCGAACCGACCCATTACCTCGAGATCCGAACCCAAGACTCGAAATACTTTATCGGTGAGTGTTGGGGATGAGCAGGTTTAAAAAAGGCGTGCGACAAAACCGCCAATGGACCGGTTTGGCGGGGATTTAGCTAGTGAATGAAGGGCTGATCACAACTTTTATCGCTTCGAGACTGGACGCTATTTTTGGCACAGAACACGGGAAACTTTGCTATGTTTTGGTTGAGTAGCTTGTGGTTTAGTAGTTTCGTAACTTGTGGGTCAATCAAGGGGTTACGGAAATGTTATACTTAGTCAAAGGAAAAGCGAAAAGAAAATCTGTAAGGTGCACATGGTTTATTCGGTTGGTCAAAAAGTTTATATGAAACACACGATCAGACGGAACGGATAATTCCTTACACTTTTTAACCAGACTATTGCATTTTTAGGTAGATACCCTTACAGAAATCGAAAAAACGAAACGTTTTGGAGATTTACAAACCCTTTTTTCATATTTTAGATATAATATTCGGGGAAAAAGACATCATGGCTCGCTTTTTGACTATAAAATCATAAAAACCCATTCCGCTGGACGATCCCTTCATATCCGATATTAGTTCAGAGCTTATCAGCCGTTCGAGAGCGTATTCAAATTGGTTGCGTCACGAGCTCAAGTATTAATTAAACAATATTTTCTTGTCGCGAGCGCGCTCCGTGTTATTGTCTCGACTAAACGCAATGACTCAAGGCTTTTCACGCTGGACCGGGAACAGTTGCAGCAGCGACTATCCACGCGGGCCAGTCGCCGTAGACGGGTCAGGTTCGAGTTGAGCACCAAGTCGTGCAAGTTGCAGTCGCTGAGCATGTTGGTGGATAAGTATACCTACACCGAGGACCTGCCTCTGATCCCCTTCTCCGTGCATCGGCGATGTTGTCTGAACGCCTTCCAAAAGCTGTCGCTGGGGTCGCGCAATTCGAGGAAATATTACGAAAGCCGAGCCAAATGTAGGACTAAAGTTGCTGATAGTTTAGATAATAACTTATGTTTATCGCTTTTCAGAGAGAACTTTAAAGCTAAAATAAAATAAATCATCAGCGCTTGGCTATACAATATTTTATAACTAAAAGCTGGTCAAGCCTCGATTCACATTGAAACATTCAAATAATCATTTCAGCCGGTGCTCCCAATGAATCAGCGAAGCCGACGCCCGCTGAGAAGTCGGCCGAAGTCATGTCAGGCTGGGCACAGGCCATTAAACAAGCCCTGATGCCAGTTACCCCCCAGTCGAGCACGTTGACGAAACGAGAAAGTGCTCAGAGTATGGTGCAGTTGAAGGTACCAGTACCAGGCGAGACCGGTCATCTGGGAGTGCAAATACAAAGCGAGTACCAGTTCTCCCAGTTGTACCAGATATTCGCAGACGAAATGCTTGGATCTGGACAGTTTGGCATTGTATATGGAGGTATGTTTCTTCAATTTATTATTTAACATCGGGTAACTTGTAGTAGTGATAACTAAGTTGTAGCACATTATGTTGCAAATTAGATGATTTGTTGTTATATTATAAAGGATAGTTACTTTATTATGAGATACTCTACGCAATAACAAGTCTTTTCAGGTATTCACAGGAAAACGGGGAAACATGTAGCAGTCAAACTGATCGACAAACTCAAGTTCCCGAGCAACAAAGAAGCCGCTCTAAGGACAGAAGTCGAGATATTACAGGTAAACATCATCTTTAAGTTCCTTCATTGTATATTATGATCGTACTATATTGCTTTTCATTATTATCATTTGTGTATCATTCCTAAATTGAGATTTTCAGAAAGTAAAACACCCCAGCGTGGTAGAGTTCCAACAGATGCTGGAGACACCTGATCGTATCTTTGTTGTTATGGAAAAACTAAAGGGTGATATGTTGGAAATGATATTGAGCAGTGAGCGTGGTCGATTATCTGAACGAATTACACAGTTCCTCACACACCAGGTAAGTATATACCACCAAAAACCTTTCTGATATCTAATCGTTATGACACTATTTATAGATACTGTATTTTATGCATTTTTATTAGTTCAGCCTATACTCAAAACACTAATACAGTATGCTAAGTTAATGTTCACAACCATCAAGATAACTTTTATTTTTAGATCCTAGTCGCCCTCAGATACCTACACAACCAAAACATTGTACATTGTGATCTGAAGCCAGAGAACATTCTACTGACTTCTGATTCTGACTTCACTCAAGTCAAACTCTGTGACTTCGGCTTTGCCAGAATCATTGGCGAACGGAGCTTCAGACGGTCTGTTGTTGGTACTCCAGCTTATTTAGGTAGGTACAATATAACTCATAACCAAATTTATAATTGTGTAAAGGTAACCTTTACATCACTAAAATAAGGTTGAACTAGCTGAAATGTGATTTTAATTATTTTTTTTTTGTATTTCGTGTTTTTTATAACTATATTTCTTAATTTTCAGCCCCTGAAGTACTACGTAACAAAGGATTCAACAGGTCGTTGGATATGTGGTCAGTTGGAGTAATTGTCTATGTGAGGTAAGTAATGATTTACATTTTCGGTAATGAGTGTTTAGTCTTTCTGGTACCTTCCCTTTCAACGAAGATGAAGACATCAACGATCAGATTCAGAATGCCGAGTTTATGTATCCACCTAACCCGTGGAACGAAATCTCCTCTAATGGTTAGTCATCCTATATTTTTAGCTTATACATTGCTATCGTTTTAACGTTATCATATCATCATATGAATATAAAAAACAGTATAATGTCACCTTTGTTACCTAAAAATTATTTTTAGCAATCGAGTTCATCAACTGTCTACTACAAGTTAAAATGAGTAAACGGTTGACCGTATCTAAGGCCCTCAGCCACATCTGGCTACAAGGCTACCAGCTATGGTCAGATCTTCGATGTTTGGAGCGAGAGGTCGGAGAGCGATTCCTAACTCACGAATCCGACGATCAACGATGGACAGAATACGAGAAACAGAACAACATCGTGCCGGTGTATCTTTGAACAATCGTGTGTGTTTCTGTAACATATCATCCGTCGAGGCACATCATTTCACGTGATTATGTATATCATCTATAATATATTAATACGGTGGTCTCACTTTCTCTTCGCTAGTGTTGCATAACTTAAATAAACTCGGAGAAAGTTTTGATGCTTGGATAATGTAGGGACTGAAGTGTAAAGTATATTACACTTAATTATGATCACCGAAGCCTTAAAAAGATTAAAGATGCCATATATAGCTGTACTATGAGAAATCTGGACGAATTATCTTACTAAAAACCTCCAAATTAATCAATATTAACAAAAGCAGACTATTTTCAATCAAGAAAGTTGACTTTTTAACTAGTAGCATCGTGAAAACAACAAAACAAACATTATGTTGTAGTTGTGTTTCTCCACAACAGCATTATTGAATCATCCGAGCCCTCCGGAAAAGAGAAGACGTGAATCAAGAAGAGAGAAAGAGACGGCGTTCAGAGATTTTTACACAAATTATTTACTTCTATCACTGATACGACTTCCCTGATCTTTTCGGCCCTCCGGCTTCCGCCCCCATTCGATCCTCACAGCAAGCCAGCCTTGGCCATATGCCACTCTTTTCGATTGTCTGTGCTTGCTTTCAACGTTGTAAACGTTGTACTAGCCACATGAAGGTGTTTATAGAGTATGAAGTAGAAGGTTATTTTTATTGTGAAAATTTACTGTGATATTGTGTATAGTAACATATCTTTTCACTCTAACTTCCAATATTATAATTTTATGACAAAGCGATAAACCGCTCCGAGCGCGACTTTATACCTTTTACATGTTTTGACAATGTTACGTAGAATATTATAAACAGTCATATTACATTCAGATGGCCCAGTACGTACCGTGGTATCTGAAGCAATCACCGCCCGTCTTCTGCTGGCCATGCGTTCCAGTCTACACGGGTATCTGGCCAGGCCGCAAATGTGTTTTAATCATCGGAGGATGTTTGTTCGCTATTGGAATCATGATCTTGTTATGCCTCCTACTTTTATGTATCGCCATTGAATGTGCAGCTGTGTAAGTAGTACCTTTATATTGCATTAGTACCTTGGTATAGATAAGAGTATTAAAGAAAGACTGGTAAAAAATTACCAAGAAGCTACATTCAATTTTTTTAAATTACACACAAAATTGAGAGTAAAATTTTTAAAAAATTTTAAGACATACCCAAACTAAAAAATTACCAAATTTGACAAGATCCGCAGCCAATTATAATTCGTCACGAATCGTATATTAATCATGTAATTATAGGTCAGCCGGCCTGCTTCCCTTGGCCATTATCCTCATATTAGTAGGTATCTTGCTCTTCCATTGTGGCTGGGCCGCTCATTTACTAGACTATGGAGGAAAGGTGCCAACAGAGTAAGTGATAAACTACATTTTAAACACGACTACAATTACAATCATATGGACGCCTTAACACACTACCTTTTCAATTTCAATGCCTATTTAGAAAAAGCTTAACATAAATGAGCAGTACAATTAAAAAAATACAAAATATGTCGTATTACTGTCCCATTTCAGAGAAATATACCACAAAAGAACGACACGAGGTGTCAATGAAGCTGACGACAATGGTGACGATGAAGAAGAGCTTGTAGGCGTAGAAGTCATCGAACAAAAGCCCCAACAACCCATCAAGCAAGGATTCTGGCAATTCGAACAAAACGACTCTTGGCAAAACGTTACAAACCCATACCCAATCCAGTAAGTGACCTAATCACGTAAAATATATTATTCTACAAATACAGAAAGGTTTATTTTGGTTTCTAAACATGAATTTAAATTATGACCTTAGCTTTCACAAAAAATAAGACAATATTATATAAAAAAATATTCGGAATTGTTACCTAAAATTATTTACAGGCACACCTTGAAGCCAGTTCTCGACCGTCAACCTTATGTTTAGATGGAATTACAGCTAATTTCTTTGTTATACTCTACTGCCATTCTTTTTATTCATTTAAAGACTTTTAAAACTAACATTTATGCGCATTTGTTGTAAATATCTTTCGGAATATTAAATAGTTATTGTTTGAATAGAGATTGATCACAAATTAATGCATAATTCCTATAAAATATAATTTTTAAGATTAACTTACACTGATGACGATCCAGTAGTCTAATTCAAACCATGTTCCACATATTTTTGTTATTTTTTACGAATATAAACATTCTAAACAGTTTTGCAAGAAACAGAAAAATGTTTTATCCTTCAATCAATAATTGAAGTCCGATACAAACATAATTTTTTATCCTTTTTCTTTTTCTCAAATTTTTTTGACAAATTAAAAAATTTTTATGCAAATTTTATGATTATTCCGCGCGTCCCAGTTTTTTGTAAGTAAGGACACAAAAGAGTTAATTTATTCGCTTAAAATTGTGTTTGGGGGGAACAAGCGAGAAGACGGAGAGGCGGGGGGGGAGTGTGTGCAAAAGCAGCTGGGTGACCGCAGCGTGGGGCGACGAGACGAGTGAGCTGTGTGCTGAAGAAGGAAGGGAGCCCTTGTGTGCTGCCCCTCCCCGCGCTCTTTCGCCTTCATTCCTTTGATTGGCCCCACTACTTTAAGCCTTCAACCAATCGCCTTGTTGTTCTCGTTTCATTCGTAATCTTCAGCGAATTGTCTAGGGTCGAGAACGGAACGCTTGGCTTGGCAACTTATCCAATAATGTAGGTTTATAACTCGCCCATCCCCTCCCCTTTATATGATGTTTGTTTCGTGGGCGCAGGCGTTCGGGTTTCTAGCATAGTTTAAGATTTTGTTGTTCTGGTTACCGTTCTCTTAATTTCTGGTCGATTTTTTTAGTTGTGTAAGTTAATTATATTGCAAAGTACATAAACATGTATATTTATAAACATTTCAGGAGTTCTCATTATGAGACAGCCCAGCCATCAACCTCGGTAGCTACAAGATTTGTCGCCGTACCCACAAGTGAACCTAAAGCTAAGAAAATGAAGCAAGAAGTCAGTCAACAGTACCATTCCTTGGTTAGTCTGCCCGATGGATATATGGAAGCTCAGCCGCAGTTTGTGCTGGCGATGCCCTCTGATCAGCAATATCAGGTATAGTAATATTAGTTTTATTATTCTTTGTTTAGCAAGTGCAGTTGATTGAAGTTCAAGAAGGATGCCAGTTTGCCATGGAAGGCATGACGTTTGCGGGCTCTGATAAGATGCCTGTGTTTCTGGGGAACGATGGTCAACAGGTGAAGTTTATAATCTCTGATGGATCGTTCCCTCAAGCCATGTCTGTTCAACCGGTTGCCCAAAATGTGGTGCATAAGAAGGAAGATGACGGCCCGTTGGATGTAAACCCAAAACAGTATTCACGGATAATCAAGAGGAGGGCTGCTAGGGTTAAATTGGAAATGGAAGGAAGGATATCCAAAGAACGAAGGGTACGTTTATCTTCCTTGAGCTGTTGCAATTGTATAAGACGTACCTTTAATTTATGTAAAATGTGGTTTTATGTTTCTAGTGAAATATATGTACACAAAAATAGTTTCTTTTTTATGACAGTATTGAAATTCTAAATGTTTATTAGAAAAGTTACTACTTCCAGAAATATCTACATGAATCTCGCCACAACCACGCTGTAAAACGAGTCCGCGGCCAAGGCGGGAAGTTCAACAGTGCGAACGGCAACAAACGTTCGGAATCTGTAACGTCGAACAACAGCTCGAACGACAACTCCACCTCAACTCCATTGCCATCTGTTCCGCGACCGGACGTCGATCTCGCTTCAAAAACCTCGTAGTCTGTTTTATAATTTATTATAAATTTATATTTATATATCGCATTAGAATCTGGGACGTACTGTAACAAGGCAAGTGTTAGTTATATATCTGGCTGGACAAATTCCTGAGGCCTCGTGACGCGAGGTTCAGGTTCGTTAAGCGAATTAGCGGAAAGTGAGGTGAGGGTTTCGTTGATGGTTCCTAATATGGTGCACAGTTTCTCTACGTTTTGTGACAGAACATCTAGATGGTTGTGTTGACTTTGTTGGAAAATGAAGGCATGGATCTGATCCATCAGGCGAGATTGGCCTTCCAAGATCTGGTGTTGATTCTAAAAGTATTTTACAATTTCATGGGATTTAAAATTTGGATGCATCGAGTTGTTATAAAACATTGTTGTTTACTATATAAAACCAACGCTTTTTAGTTGATCATCAATATCAGCGAGATTTCGCGAACAACTAACTAAAAAAATTGGAATTATACATTACTTTTTAACAAACTTTCAATATCTTACCTCAACAATTTCCTTTTTCCATTTGTCATCAACATTGAACAAGCCATTGAGTTTTCTCTTCTTGACTGCCATTATACGATTGACTTCGCTTTCATCAGGAACGGCCGATCGTTTGCACGACTCTCGATCTTCTTTGTCTGGAATGTCGACCTTTTCGTTGTTGGAAGTGATGGGCGGATTTATCTTGCAGTCTTTAGTGAGCTGCCCTAAGGCGAATATCAAGTGTCGAGGGTCTAGTATATTGTTTTGGGGGCTCCTGGGGGGATTCTCGGGCAACGTCGAGGGCGCGGTAGTCGTGGTGTTGGAGTCAGAATCCGAGTTCGAGCCTTGTTCGCAGACGTTTTCGATGTTTTGCGAAGTGTCTAGCGTGATTCCGAACTGCTCCAGCATCTGCTCTACCTTGACATTCGAAGAAATATCAGCTGAACTGCTTCTGGTCAGAGAATCGTAGGCATCCATGTTGAAGCCGTTGCACGTTAAACGCTCTTGTTCGAAAAGTCGCAAGTATTCAAATTCGGCGACGCCAAGGTTTCTGAAAGCTTATAATTAAGACGAATGAACCTTTGATCCTTTACTGCAGTATTTTTAAAAATTCATAAACATAAGCAACAAAATGTTTGAAATTTTCAAAAAGTTACCGTTTTCCAGTCTGAATCTTCTGCCGTGATGTACACTGGACATTCTGAATCTTCTTTTTGTATTGCTCCACCGAGAAGTTGGTACTGTAGGCCGAGTTCAGCTCTTCGGTTATTCTTTGCCACATCTGTGACCTCAGGCGTCTTCCATCGGCATCTTGAGTGTTACGGGCTATTTCCGGGTAGTTAGTGTAATATAATTGAATAAGGCGTAAGGTTTGATCACCGCGCATAATTGTACCCATGTTTGGCTACTAAAACAATTGAATAGGTATATATTTAAAGATTTATTTGGCAAAAGTATTAAAAAGGTGCAATTTATATTGTCATACATTGAACGCTAAAAGAAATATGATGGCACGATAGGTATACGCTAAATTCAAAGTAAGAGAAGATGTTTTAGGGTAGAACGCTATTAGTACAAGCGAGAAAATTAATTTGTTTTAAAAATTTAAATACGATTACAAAAAGATTGAAACATAATATATAACACTAAACAAAATAATAAAGAATGATAAAATAAAAAGTAAAACAAACTTCTAAACAAAACACACTCTAAAACAAGAAAGTACCGTAAGCCCTAAGGGCTCAATCAATATTGTTATTGACTTGTAAAGAATCGACATAGCTCCAGGAGGAAGCACTACGGTACTGGCCTGAAAGTAGGAAAAGCGCTGCAACTAAAGCAAACAACAAGGACTGAAAATGGACAATCGGACGTCCAGAATCCTCGCTTCAAGATCTGGTTTTGTGGTTCGTCGCGATCCTGAAGTCAGAGCAACCGGAACGAGGTCGGGGCAGCCGACTTCATCCGGGATTAAGCCAAGTGACTGGGGATGAACGTCGTCACTCGTACTTAAAGGTAATCTTAGCCGAAAAGGTAATCGCAAAAAAGGGCTCTTCGAAGTACTTGTCGCGATGGTTCGAACAAGTGCATCGCCTTCTACTATTAACTGGACATGATCACAGCAAACGATCGTATAAAACCCTCCGCACAACAAGCATCTGAACCTGCTCGGAGTCTGCTGCTACACCTCGCCTAAGGGCCTGGGTAATTGTTACTATTGCGCAACCTTAGCGCAATTGTTTACTGAAGTTTAGGTTCTTTTATTCTGTTCCTTTTCTAATTACCCGCATGAAAAGAGAGAATGTAATAATATGAAGAGCTCACAATTAAGCACGAGCATCCACTCCGATTCAGCAACAATGCCAAGGATGAAAGTTAGGCCGAGGCGGGGAGCGGCGGCCTCAGGGGACTGGTTGTCGATCCCCGACAGTAATAAAGCGCTGCTAGCGACCGGGGCCAAGTTGGGCTAGGCTCAAGTGTCAATGTCTTCCGGCTTCTCCTCCCGCGAAGAAGAAGACAAAAGACGAGAAGCAAGGAGAGGGCAAGGATCTATATATCTCGCCAAATCTCCAAGGCCCCATAAGCGGGGCTTGTCCATGATAAAACACTGCTCTTGAAGGCGTCACGTACCCGAAAAGCGCCACTTCCAAGCATGAGTGCTTATTTCAGGAACGGAGTCAAAAGTCCCATCAAACCTGTAATTTACCTGCCACCCCTCCCTTCATCAGCCTTCTCTTACGGCCAGTATAAGCGAGGCCTAATTGCCTGAATTCCACCCTATATTCACCTTATTCATACACAAGATCGGGTTTGGTCGTCTTCCTTTTGATATTCGAAAACAGTTTTCTCCCCCTTTCCTGACTCTTTAACGCATCGCTTGGGGCCATTAAGATCCTGATTTCGTCCCTCCGTTGCGTTCAAGACCTACAAAGCGATCAACTTAAAATGCAAATTGTATGCGTTTATGGCAACGACTCTCCTCAAAATCAATTTACTAAGCAGGTTCGAAAGCAATATTTTTACAAATATTAATGCTGACTGTAGGTTACGAAGAAGACTAGATTAGGCTGTTAGTACCGTAATAAGGAAAAACATTACACTTTAGGTATTAAAAACTCTAAATTGTTATTCTAATTAGTTTGGTTATCCTTTTTATGTTTCAGTATGATCAAACCAAAAATTTTAATTTTTTTACAAAAAAAGTTTTAAGCTTTTATAACTTTTTTGATGCTGACATTCACAAATTAATTTAACAAAAATTTTTTTAAGTTAGCTATCATTTCGAATGAATATTTATATAAGTAGCAATTACGCAAAATTTGGAATTAAACTATATATTATATTTTGGAACCCAACAGTTCTACCGTAAACATATGATGCATTCACCTTAGACTTTGAAAGAATCTTTAAAAACAACATCAACCCTAATCGTTCAACTTTTTACTCCCAACTATGGCCAACGAGCAAAAATTAAAGTGTAAACCTCAATGTGAAAACATCCCAAAAAGTTGTAACAAATGGAATTTTTATAAATTTTATAACACCGTAAAAACAAATAACAAACAATTAGATAGGGTTGTTGATCCATTCGGACAGTGGACCGTGTTCTTTGATGTATTTGCAGTGAACTCCATCAGGAACGACACGTCCAGTCTTTCTGTATTCTTCATAGTCGGCACGGTCGAACTTTGTGAATCCCCACTTTCTGGAGACGACAACCAATTGACGTCCTGGGAACTTGAACTTGGCACGACGGAAGGCTTCAAGAGCGTGCTCGACCTGGTGGTCACGGACTCTGACGGACAGGAGGATATCTCCGATGGCGACACGAGCGACGAGACCTTGTGGTTTACCGAAGGCACCTCTCATTCCAGTTTGAAGACGATCAGCACCGGCACATGACAACATCTTGTTGATACGAACAACGTGGTATGGATGCTTTCTCACACGCATGTGGAAACCTTCCTTACCGCAGGTCTTGATCATGTACTTGTTGGCACAGATACGGGCAGCTTCCAAAGCCTAAAACAAAAAAATATACTAATGATTGAAACACAGAACGCTCTGCTAAGATCATATAATGATAAAACTTTAACATCACTACCAAAAATAAAATTTGATCATAAAAAAAGATTTCGATCGATAAACTCCAAAAGAATCCTATAAAATCAAAACACTAATGTAAATATACTTACTTCAGAAGACAAATGCTCTCTTTCATTGGAAAGCAAATGGACACAGCTTGGGAATTCATCGACGGTAGCCTTCTTACGACCCAAATCGAAGATTCTGATCTTGGCGTCTGGTACACCACGGCAGAATCTAGATTTAGGATAAGGCTTGTTCTTAATGTAACGGTAACAACGAGCCGGACGGCGACCCATGTTTCTCCTAAAAATGACAATACTATTAAGCAACCTCACAAAAATAAAATGAAATCGCGATCAATTTTAACAACACCTAAAAAATCATTGAGAAATATACTCAAAAACTAGAGGCTCTTTCAAAAAGAACGAAATCCTACCGTAAAAATAAAACGGAACGCCAAAAAAATTTTTCGTGTCGGGACCTAGCCAGCATCAAGATGTCATTTGCAAACAATAATAAACTTTCTTACTATTCGAAATTTCAGTAAAATCTGTATTACCAAAAAAATTAAATGATTACCGACTTTTAAGTAAACTATAGAAAACAAAATAATTATTAATGTTTATTAAACTTATTATGTATTTACAAAAACTGACATCAAATGCAAATTGTGAGATCATTGAGTTGCTGCTTCGTACCCGCAAATACCAGGAATTCCTGATGGCACCCGCCGTTTGTAATCTTGATACCTCTTGCCGAAAAACTCAAGTAGGTAACGCTCTTCTTCGTAAATCCTGTCGTCGAAGAACCTGTATGATACGTAAGCGTACGCTACGAGGCAGAACGGATTGCAAAGTATAATTTGAGTTCCAACAGACCACAAAAACCATCCGAGGTATCCAGGATGACGAACCAACCCATAAATTCCATCAGTCACAAGGTTATGATCTTTATTTCTTCTGATTGCTATCAAGTGGGTGAAGGCGTTACTGGCGTGCCACATAGCCAACTTCCGTATGACTTCTCCCGTCAAGCATACCAAAATGCCTAAATTAATAATATTCAGTAAAAAAGCAAGTAACTTACCAAAAATACTAATATAATTAATCATGGTCTGAGGTAGAAATAAGGTTTCAAGTCCAAATTCAAGCCATGACGTTGTAGCAGCCACCCAATACTCTAATGAATGGTTCCACAGAAAGCTATCTGCCTTCAAGTTCTCATTGTTCGTGAGGCCAGTGAAGATAAATTCCGAGAAATGAAAGAGCGACAAGATTAACGTATACCTCGTGAACATAACGAACGAGTAACTGGTCCCATACAACTGAACACATGTGCTGTAGCCAGCCAAAAGTCCGCATAAGTAAGCTTGACCTGAATATTGGAGATAATGAGGATCACATAACAAATAGGAAATGCATCCATTCACGACGATTAGGACCAGAGTCAGGAGCCATGAGTTCAGTCTTTCCATGCACAATAAAGACACGAATACCGGGAGGAAGGCCAAAATGGCAGACCTCAGCCGCCTGTCATAAACAATATGTGCCCAGATTCCGACGCGGGCCATATCTGAAAACGTGCAAATTATTCAAATCTGTTCAGACTATGAGGCTTGACAACTTGTTAACTAAATTGTAATTACAATGGCTCGGGGTGTGTCATATACAAGGTTACGAGTTTGCTCATGATACATAAAGCGAATCCGGTTTTTGGAAAAAAAACGAAAACACAAAAGAAGTCGACCTTTCGAAGTTCGCGGAACATATATTACTTCACATACACTAGTTATGGCCGTCTTTGGGGAAAATAACAAAAATTTAAAAGAGTATGTTACTACATTTTATAATATTTTTTATTCTTTGGCATTTGTCTAGCAAATCAATCATGATGTTTTAACTGACTAATACTTAATGCATGTTTTAAATGTTGTAGTAAAGTTTTATTGTTGTATAGAAACAATATATTAAAAGTTTATTTGCTTTTTACTTCTGTTACTGCAAATTTTACTGTTGAACGACTTATTTTATAAATATTCTATAAAAGACGTCGTCAAGAAACAGTTGGCTTCTTATGGGAAACAGTTGACACTGATAATATTTCTTTATGATTTATTTTACGTGCGTTTTGAATAACTGCGTTATCGTTAAAAAGTTTTGTAGTACTCCTAATATATTTTTAAAGTCGTCTCGACATTAATGGACGACAACCTTCGAAAATGTCACTTGTCAGTTGGTGGTATGACCTGTTCTTCTTGTGTTGCTCATATAGAGAAGTTTGTCAGTGGAAAAAAAGGTATGAAAAAGTTTCTGGAATTTTAATTTGAGGTGCTAGTTCGACAGTTTTAAGTTCTATTATTTAGGTATAAGTTCTATAACAGTTTCGCTGATGTTCATGTCGGCTGATGTTATTTATGACAGCCAGGAGACCAATGCAGAAGAAATTGCTGAAATAATCGACGATCTTGGCTATGAATGCCATGTTATTGATGAAGCCGTCTCTTCTAACCATAAGCAAAATTTTTTGGTAGGTTGTCTATGATATTGAGCGTATTCTGCGTTTAGATATCAGGAATGACATGCGGATCTTGTGTAAAACGAGTAGAATCTCACATTCTGGCCATGAAAGGAGTCGAAAGTTGTTTGGTCTGTCTTGCTACAGGTATTGCAACAGTTGAGTATGTAAATTCAATAATTGGACCGAGAGACATTATCGACAGAATTGAAGTAAGTTACCGATGTACAAAAGGCACGCCAAGCTTTTCTAACCTTGTATTTAGATTTTCGAAGCTGTAAGATATATAATTTTAATGTTTTTCCTGTTTTCAGAGTTTAAACTACAAAGCTAGCGTAGCTTCGAGTGAAGATAGATTGGAAAAACTGAGTCAGAAAGCAGAGATACTAAAGTGGAAGACATCATTTTTGGTGTCTCTGATATTTGGTATACCTGTAATGATGGTTATGATATATTTTCATTGGATTATTCAATCGCCCATGCATCCGGAAAGACAAGTTCATGTTCTGGTTAAAGCTTTGTCTTTGGATAACTTGGTTTTGTTAATGTTGTCAACGCCTGTTCAAGTAAGTTATTGTTCGTTTTTTTGCATTTACTTAGTTTAAAGCATAATATTTAAAATGGTAATTATAAGTGCATCGTTAAGTACTGTTGTTTTAGATATTTGGAGGTAGATCGTTTTATCAACAAAGTTGGAAAGCTGTAAAGACGGGAACGGCCAACATGGACGTATTAGTCACATTAGCCACTTCAATATCTTTTGGTTACTCTGTTGCCATACTTGTTATAGCCATTCTGTTAAGTTGGGACTCTAGCCCGATGACTTTCTTTGACGTTCCACCAATGTTGTTAGTGTTCATATCGTTAGGAAGATGGTTGGAGCACAAGGCCAAAGTAAGTTATTAAAAATTAAGTTATCGCCTAATTCTTACTGTTAGTTACTAAAAAATGAAAGGTAAAGATTATGATTATGGCAAAATCTGTTTAGGGGAAGACATCAGAAGCGTTGAGTAAATTGATGTCGATGCAAGCCAAGGTAGCTACGTTGGTTACATTGGAGAACGACGAGGTTAAAAGTGAAAAGAGCATTAATATTGAGCTGGTTCAACGTGGAGATTATATTAAAGTACTGCCAGGCGAGAAGATTCCGATTGATGGTACTGTAATCTCTGGGCACAGTTCGGTAGATGAATCTTTTATCACAGGAGAGAGCATGCCTGTGGTCAAAAAGACTGGTATGTTTGTTTTAACGTTCGGTTATGGGTTAAATGAACTTATAGTATTTCATGTATTTTTAAAAAACCAGTTTTTACTATATTGGTACATTACAGGATCAGCAGTAATTGGAGGATCAGTAAATCAATTAGGAGCTTTGATAATACAAGCTACACACGTCGGTCAAGATTCTATGTTGTCCCAGATTGTACGATTGGTTGAAGAGGCCCAGAGCTCTAAAGCTCCTCTTCATCAGACGGCTGATAAGATTGCCGGTTACTTCGTACCAGCCGTAGTAATGCTGACAATTATTACCTTCTGTGTATGGTTGTTGGTGGGCTTGGCAACATCAACCAGCGAGAACAGAGACTGGGAATTCGTTATCAGAAAGGCTTTTGAGTATGCTATCACAGTTCTGTCAATTGCTTGTCCATGTTCATTAGGGCTGGCTACACCAACAGCCATAATGGTCGGAACTGGAGTTGGGGCTAAAAATGGAATTTTGATCAAAGGAGGTGAATCTTTGGAAACGGCTCAGCGAGTAAGTAATTACTTTTCTTTGGCTTTTATATTTTAGTTTTTTATATTTTTAAGTTCTTAACTGCATGATTTCAGGTTAACACAGTTGTGTTCGACAAGACTGGCACTATCACTGAAGGTAAACCGAGAGTGGTGAAAGTGTTACAGCTGTTAAACGCTGATCAGTTAGATTTTAAGAACTTGTTGGCTTTGGTGGGATCTGCTGAATCGAACAGCGAACACCCTATTGGCTCCGCTTTGTCATCTTTTTCAAAAGACGTAAGATATTACTTATTCCCATTTGAGTATTTGTATTTTTTAAGCTGTGCAATCGTTTTTAAACTATATTTTCTAAATGTTGCTACCTTTTAGTATTTGCAATGTCAATCTTGGGCGTCAATTTCTGGCTTTACTGTGTCAGCTGGACAAGGAATCAAGTGTGAAGTGAGGAATCTGAACAACGTCAACGGTCAGCTTTTGCCTTCTTTTGAAACAGATGACAAGATAACTTTGTCTCCGCAGAAGAAGATGATTCAAGGTAACGAGGTCGAGATATCTTCTCTGGTTAATGTGACATATTCTGGCGACAACCTGGATAATCTTGAAGTATATTCTGTTCTGGTTGGCTCTGAGAGATGGATGGGGGCCAATGGAGTGATAGTTGATGCTGTTGTTAACGAAGCCTTGGCAAAGGAACGAGAGAAGGGCAATATATCTGTGTTGGTGGCTGTTAATGGTAGGTATTAATTTAGTCTTTGTCCTCTTGACTTGAGTATTATATATACACTTTGAATATTATGGCAATTTCAGAAAACGTCGCAGCTATTTTTTCTATTGCTGATCAAGTAAAAAAAGAAGCCATGGTTACAGTATACGCCCTTAAGAAGATGGGTATTGATGTTGTTTTACTGACGGGAGATAACGAGAAAACAGCCATAGCTACGGCCAAGAAAGTTGGCATCAAAGATGTGTTTGCTGAAGTATTGCCAAACCAGAAGAAGGACAAGATCAATCATCTTCAAAAACAGAAGAGGATCGTAGCTATGGTAGGAGATGGAGTCAACGATAGTCCAGCTTTGGCTGCCGCTAACGTTGGGATAGCTATTGCAAGTGGCAGTGATGTTGCTATCGAAAGTGCTGGAATTGTCTTGATTAAAGTAAGCGTTTTTGTCAGTATGTTAATATAGAGAATTTTATTTTTTTAATTCTTTTATTAAATTTTTAAAAAAATGTTTTTATTTATGGTTTCAGAACAACCTTGTTGACGTTGTTGGAGCTATCATGCTTTCGATGAACACCGTACGACGAATCAGAATCAATCTGTTCTTTGCCTTCGTTTACAATACTATTGGTATTCCTATAGCAGCCGGAGTATTCAAACCTTTGGGGATTTCAATTCAACCATGGATGGCTGCCGCAGCTATGGCATTATCATCGGTATCTGTAGTTTCTTCATCGTTAATGCTGAAGAATTTCAAGAAGCCCACCTTCAACAGCTTCTCCGGCACAGCTGAATACAAGAAGTTCCACATCAAGGTGTCGCGATCCCCTACCAAAGCCAAGAAGATCGAACCATTAGAAGATGTTTTCTTGCATTCAGATGACGAGAACGACAGTAGCGCCGAAACCAAGCTTTTTGCCACCGTTTAGTGTATATATCTTTTGTAGTATCTCATATTTGACATTCCTTTGTGCCATAGACACTTGCCTTCATATCGCTTAGTCAACATATTTATAGTCTTACATTAGAATTCTATCAAAAGATAACATATACGACAAAGTAAACGATAACACATTCAATGGAGTTCTTGGTTAATGGTTAGGTACCTAGCTTATTTAATTTTCATGATTGTTTAAATACAAAATTATTTTTTAGTTATTATTTTGCCGTAATATCTTGTTTTAGATGAATTTGTTTTCGTCGTTCGTAAACAGGTTTCAGCTGAGTTTGCGTGCTCTTTCAACCACATTGCCAGTCCAGAATCAACTTCAGGTATGTCTTTTGACACATATAATAATTTTGTTTTCGATTGAATGTTTATGTATTCTTTTAGCAAATGCACTATAATGGAGTACCACACCGCCGACCGCGTGCCAGCAAAAAATCTCCAGTTTCCGGGCAGAACTATTTCAAAGGAATCGTTTTGAGAAGTAAAGTGGTTTTATTTTAACGAAACTTGTTTCTGGATAATTCGGGATCGTACTGAATCAAAACGGTTTTTATTGATCAAACAATTATTCTTAAGTTGTTAATATGTCTTTTTATCTTAATAATTAACAGTTTTATTAAAAGTAAGGTTAAACCGTTATAATGTAAAGAAACACTATATTTATAAAAACTATTCAGCATGATTTCGAATTGCCCGTTTTTTTTTTGGTCTGCAAATTGTCAGTAAAATTTGTTATTTTTATGATACTAACCTATTGTAATTTGAAAAATACTCTAAACACGCAACGATTGTTTTCGTATTTTAGCTGTAATCCGACATCCCAAAAAGCCCAACTCAGGAAACAGAAAGTGTGCCATTGTCAAATTGAGTAATGGCAAAGAAGTGTGTGCCTACATTCCGGGTGAAGGTCACAATCTCCAAGAACACAGTCAGGTCCTGGTTGAAGGCGGTCGACGTCGTGATCTTATCTCCGTCAAAGCCAATGTAATCAGAGGGAAACTGGATTGTGCTCCGGTAAAATCATCTAGGAAATAATTAATAAACTTTATTAAAACAAACATGGGGAGGGTGACAATGTGAGTATCGAGTGAAAGGCCTGATCTCTCTTCGGCTTAAAGCGAACAAACTTAAATCAACAACTAAAAACAATCGTCTTTTGAAGACTTTCAGTGCGTGTGTCCATTGACCTTGACATCGCCAGATCCATTCAGGGCGTGGTGACCCTTCTTCTTTAACTTGGCCGCCAAATGAGCTGGGATATCCAGTTCCTTAGGGCGTTCCCACGGAAACTCAGCATGACCAAAGTGACCGTTGGCAGCGGTCTTCGAGTAGATTGGTGTCTTTAAGCCCAATTCCCTAAAAATATTGCATTATTTTCGGTCTTCACAAACCTTAAAAGGCACAATAAAATACTACGTTCACTGTATTTATATAACCAACTAATTTTAAAACACTGTCGAAGCAATTAAATCACTAAACTGAAACAAAACTTACTTTATAATAGCACCAGGTCTCAAATCAAAGTTGGCGTTCACAATTTGTAACAGCTCCACTTCTGACAAAGGTGATGTTCCATAGGAAATCACCGTAATCGACAAAGGTTTGGCAACAGCGATGGCATAAGACACTTGGACCAAACAACGGCGACAAACTCCAGCCTTAACCAAAGACTTGGCCACCCATCGAGCACCGTACGCTGCCGATCGATCGACCTTCGTGGGATCCTTTCCCGAAAAGGCACCACCACCATGAGCTCCCCATCCACCGTAAGTGTCTACGATGATTTTTCGACCGGTCAGACCAGCATCACTCTGTGGACCTCCAACATGGAAGGTTCCACAAGGATTCAAGTAGTAAATGGTGTCCTTGTCCAACAAATTTCCAGGTATCACTTCTTTGATAACATGTTCCTTCAAATCATCACGAACTTGTTCCAAAGTGACATCTTCCGAATGTTGAACGGACATCACAATAGTGTGGACACGGACTGGCACACAAGCACCGTTGTCGAACTTGTATTCAACCGTTACCTAAAGGAAAAATATATTTAAAATATAAAATTACAAGAACAAAACACAGAAAGATACCTCTATAATGTATAACAAAAGGTCCGTACATAAAACTAACTTACTTGGGACTTGGAATCAGGTCTCGACCAATCCAATATGCCATTCCTTCTCAAAGTATGTAGTCGACTAGTCAGTTGATGAGCAAGAAGTAAAGAGAGTGGCATAGCTTCATCGGTTTCGTCAGTCGCGTACCCAAACATAAGACCTTGATCTCCTGCTCCAACATCTTCTTCTGACCTGTTCAAATGAACTCCTTGGGCTATCTCAGGAGCTTGTTGTTCGAGAGCCACCAAGACGTTGCACGACTTGTAGTGGAATCCTAAAAGGAATTAAAGTAATCCAACAGTTTTATACTTTTTTCAGTCGATGTACAATATAATGAATTCTTGAGTTTACCTTAGGTTAAGACTTACCAGCCTCTGCATCAATAAAGCCTATCTTCTTGACAGCATTTCTAACCAAAGTTTGATAGTCCACGGTCGCCTTGGACGTTATTTCTCCACAAAGCATGATCATACCGGTCTTTGTTACAGTCTCTACAACAAAGTTGATATAAAAACGGCAAAAAACCCCTAGTGCAATAACAATTATGTGTACGCAGATTAATATAGCAAAACTTACCACATGCAACTTTGGCATTAGGATCTTGAGCCAAATGAGCATCGAGAACGGTGTCAGAAATGATGTCACACATCTTATCCGGATGTCCTTCGCTTACACTTTCAGATGTGAACAAGAAACGCTGTTCGCCACCATCTAAAAAATGCGCTTACCATTAGCTTATAGATGCGTGGCCTCATTAGGCTTATTTTTTGCTCAACGTTACACAGGAAATCAAAAAGTAGTTCAATATAACAATTTTAAACACGATAGCCAGTTAAACTTTACTAACAACATTTTAAACACAAAAAATTGAAGGATAACCTCAAAGTAATATTAACCCTCCAATTTACCTTCTTTGAATACCTAAACTTCGAAAAAAACGTTAAAACCTTACCATCAGTAGGAGAACCTCGAACGTCGACGTCCATAATGCACTATCTGAAATCGAAACAATCAAAAACACAATTAAATAGTCTTCAGTATTGCATCAGATTTAAGGAGTAATGTTTTGATTAAAAAAACTCCTAACAAAAGCAAACGAATACGATTTATTCTACAATATTTGCGAAGTTTTGGGATTTTAGCGCGGAAAAGCAAGAACAATCTAAAGAAAAGTCTCACCAAGAATTGGGCACGAATAAAACATCAAACCTTGTACAAATACCTTTACATAACATTTTTTTTGCTAAAAATATGAAGGACAGAATTCTGTAAAAATCTTTTATAAAATAAAGAAAAAACTTCAGTCTCGCTGACTTATTTTATGGAATTTATAAAGTTTCGAAAAGCGCGCGCCGTCCAATCTTTTCAGGACACAAGCAGGGCTTTTTTAAGTTTTTTTGAATTTTTAAAATTTAATTTGAGAAAATTTAAATTTTTATAAAATATGCGCTTATTTTAATACACATTATGGAACGATTGAAGAAAACCTTGTGCGACAATTATGTTAAAGTAGGTAAGTCTGGGATTTAAAATAGAATCTTAAAATGACAAATCGGAAACGCTTAGAAAACCATCGCAATGTAAAATCGAGGTAATGGTATACTACAAAGTAACATTGTCGTTAATTCCTTCCCTTTTGTTCGTTTTATTGTTGATAAGGTAAGTAAAACAACACACTAACCCCATAAATTTAATTTTGAGAGGCCATTTTAGAGCATTTATTCGAAAGTAGCTTAGATTTATATAATCGCAACATTCATTTCCCACATTAAACACTTTATAGTTTCATCAAAACCTGCCAACAGAAAGTGGAACGGATCGAAGCTATTCTCGTCAATCAAATTTCCGAATTCAAAGGTTTTGAGGACGTTTTTTGGGCCAAAGCGATACGAACGAAAAGACAGACTAGATATGAATACGCTTTTTGTGAGTGCAATCGGGTCAACACTTGTCTACCCGGTCCTGCAGGTCCACCTGGTCGTCCAGGACTAAACGGAAACAAGGGACCCTCAGGCAGTCTGGGCCCGCGCGGGGAACCAGGTCAAATATGGTTAGACGCATTCTTCCCCATAAATGGCTGTAGAGTTTGTCCTGATGGTCCCAAAGGTTTACGTGGACTAATCGGACCTCCTGGTACTACAGTACGTTGTTTTCCTAAGACACTAAAATTTTAATGTCACCTCGAAAATGGCCACTGTTTAAAAACTATAAAGATCGGTAACAATTCACGTTATAAAAGCAATCAAACATTTCTAATCGTTTTTATTAGGGCCCCACTGGTCGAAGCGGTAATTTCGGCATACCGGGAAAGCCAGGACTCAAAGGTCAAGTAGGATCAAAAGGAATGGACGGAGTTGTGGGGCCAGCAGGTGCAAACGGTAAGACTCATGGTGTAAAAACATCTTTTTAGGGCTTCGAGGAAAGACTGGCTTGGGAGGAGTAAAAGGCTCTCCAGGCCCAACAGGTATAAAGGGGTACAAAGGCATTCAAGGCTTCCCGGGTGAGCCAGGAAAAACCGCTATTCCAGGCAAGCCAGGGCCGGTAGGATTGCCAGGTGCACGTGGTGATGTTGGTAGACATGGAACACAAGGACGACCAGGTACGAATAAATACTGTTTACTCATCATTAACAATTTCGAGTTTAGCAGCTCACCTTAATCATAATAACAACGTCTAGACTAGCACTTGTGTCATGTCATTTAGTTTATTATAAAATATTATAGGTACCCCGGGTAATCCCGGAAGAGCTGGTGATCCGGGTCATGATGCTGACTACTGTAGGTGTCCGCGCCGTTCTTAAGCCTCCAGTTGTTTATTTACAAGATAAAGTGAAAGATTTAAGTGAAGACCACAATCTGCTAAGCTAATTAAAATCATATAAAAGTTTGTAATATCTGTGACAGGAAACAACAAAAATGTACTAGAATAAACTTGCTCACATGGCTTAAGCATCTCCGAAATTGCCTTTGTTCGTCTGAAATGTTAAAAATTAGTTTAGAGGTAGAGAAAGCTGACGACAATGTACAAATAAGCCAATTTCGCCTCAAACTCGTACAAAATCACTATATTGAAAATGCGTAAAACAGAAAACTTTTTTTTAAAGTAATGGCTAAAAGTCTTACCTGAACAATACCGATGATCATGCCGAAAAGTCCAATAGCGCTGGCAAAGATTTCGATAATCAAGATTTTGACGAAAAGAGCTGGGTTAGCAGCATCAGCAAGAGCGGCACCAGATCCAACGATTCCCACAGCCAGTCCACATACCAAGTTACTGAAGCCAACCGTCAATCCTCCTCCAAAGATGAGGTATCCAGCAGCCAAGTTGGCAGAAATGATTTTTCTTCCAGCCTCAGTAGATATGTCATGCTTTGAGCGGTCAAAACCCTAATTAAGAACAAGTTTTAAAAATTTAAAGAAAAATTGTAATTTCATTCACATTGTTCATTATTAACTTTTCTATTTCATTTTAGAACAAACATGTTAAACCCTCCAAAAAATTAATAAAGCCAAAAAACAAATTTACATTTAGTTTTCCAGCAAACACAAATGCCATAATAATACCAAAGATAGCAACGGCTTCACAGAAGATAATAGATACCAAATTTTTCGTTCTAATTCGTGGAGCTTTAACACCTCCACCCAGAATTGACACACCAGTTGTGAAGATACCCCTAAAAACCAAATATTTAGATTAAATTAACTTACCAACCAGCTCCAATTACTGAAAGAGACAAGGAAGCAGCCAGCCCTATACCAGCCCACATGTAAGGATCTGTTTCGGTCAAGAACCAAGCAATGTCAAACCTCGATCCTTGTCCACTTAGCATGTAGAACAAAGCTAAAAGCATTTTCACATAATATTAAAGCTTCCCAAATTAATAGAGTTTAACTATAACGAATTAAAAAAGATAAAACATCAAAACTTCGATAAACTAACCTGTTCCAATGAAAACGGCCGATGAGATCGCCGATAACGAGTAAAACGTGTATAACATCGGCCCCGCCATTTTACTGAAAATACTATGTTAGTAATCGATAAACTGTAACCTCTGCTGTATACTTGCAAAATGTAAATAAATATATAAGAAAAATAGATATTTTCTCCGACTGTTCACCGGTTTTTGCTCTCGATCAATCCGGCCAAAAAATAAAATCTTTCGTGGCGGGACCCAAAAATATATATTTGATGTCGTGAAAAACGAAATTTTATCAAATTACGTTAACAGTAAAATATTTTTAATCTGTATATATTATTTGTGTAGATTTTACACATTGTATAAGATGATAACTAATTATTACGAATCCCAATAAAAAGTTCTATATATATTTACTAGCTCTGTTATCTATACATCGTTCTCTTTGACAACATGTCTAATATTATCTAAAATGTCAGCAGCATTCATAGAACGTCCGACATTTGAAAAGGTGTATCGTGAACAATATCTGATGAAGTCGCTGGCCAGATGACCACCTTTGATAAGATGAGTTGCGTTGATTGAATCGTCACCATTTTTAAGTTTCACCCAATACGAAAATAGGGCGATGGTACCAGACAGAAGGTCACCTTGTCCTCCACATCTTCTGTCACAACCTTTTTCGGTACCCTTCTCAACTAAATTTCAATTAAGAATCAAGTAATCACCAAACCTGTTTATAAAGCATACATAAGGGTTTTTAAAAAGTTAAGAGCAAAATTTTTGTACCCATTTCCTTAAATTGATCATAACCCATATAGTTAAAAGTACTTACATTGATCTCCGTTAGTAATGAAGTCTTCTTCACCCTTTCGGAACACAATCACTCCGAGTTCCTTGGCTAATTCCTTTACATTTTCGGCCGATCCCTCACTCTTGCGATCACTGAATACTGTTTCGTACAACCGGTCAAATTCTCGGTGATTGGGAGTCAATATAACATTGGGACAAGCCTTTAGCTCTTGAATACAATCACCCATAAAGAACAGTCCATCCTAAACTCAATGAAGATTACTTTCAAAATAATGAAATTGTAAAGTATAAGTTTAACCGGCAGGGTGTCATTTGGGACAGCGACATTTGGGACAAACGACATTTGGGACAATTAAAAATCCATTACTTTTCATTTTACCCTACCCCACCCCTGACCTTGTTGGTCCTACCTGACCCCACCCCTGACTTTTTTGGCCTACCCTTGACCCCTTTTGGCCCTACCCAACCTCACCCCTGACCCTATTAGCCCTACCCAACCCTTCCCTTGGCCCTATAAGCCTTACCCAACTTTTGACTTTTCTAACCCTACCTGACCCAGCACCTGACCTTTTTGGCCCTACCCAACCTCACCCCTGACCCTATTAGCCCTACCCAACCCTTCCCTTGGCCCTATAAGCCTTACCCAACTTTTGACTTTTCTAACCCTACCTGACCCAGCACCTGACCTTTTTGGCCCTACCCAAGCTCACCGCTGACCTTTTTGGCCTTACCTGACCCCACCCCTGATTATTTTGGCCCTACCTGACCCCACCCCTAACCTTTTTGGCCCTACCTGACCATACCCCTGACCTTATTAGCCCTACCCAAGTCCACCCCTAACCTTTTTGGCCCTACCCCCCCCCCTACAAAAAAAGGTTAGGGGGTAGGGCCAGGTAGGGCCAAAAAATGGTAGGGGTAGGGTCGGGTAGGACCAACAAGGTCAGGGGTAGGGGTTGGGTAGGACCAGCAAGGTCAGGGACGGGGTCGGGCAGAGCCAAAAAAGTCAGGGGTGGGGTCAGGTAGGGCCTACAAGGTCATGGGTAGGGATCAGGTATAGTGAAAAAGTAATGGATTTTTAATTGTCCCAAATGTCGCTGTCCCAAATGTCGTTTTGTCCCAAATGACGGCGTACGGTTTAACCACCTAATTATACATTAAAAATACTAAACACAACAATTATAAATTATATGAGGATAGAAATGATAACAGTTAACAAACCAAACAACATTCTTACAGCGTCGATGACTACTGACAGAGCCTTTTGTTTTCGTACAGATGCTAGAATCTTTTTAATCAAAGGCACATGAACATCCTTGTCTCGTCCCAATCCCGGTCCGATGACCAAACTGTCAATCCGTCCAATCAGCTTTTCAATTTTGTCGAATTCTTGGGTCGGGTATACGATCAGTTCGGGACTGTAGGTCTTAATCACCGGAGCTGCTTCTGATGGACAAAATAGGTAACTCAAGTCGGCTCCCTTCAATACGTTTTATATATTTGACATATCCTTACTATTTTCATCGGTGCCATCGCTGAAAAGTATGGAGCTCCGGTGTATTCGAGAGCTCCACCCACCACGGCGATTCTGCCACATTCACCTTTCTTCAGCTGACTTCCCAGCTTTGGAAAATACTCAAATACCCGTTTTATACTCATTATTTACTGGCTTTCGGCCTATAATAACCTTTAAAATTAATTTATAATTATTTTTTATAAAAAAAGTCGTTCTTTTAAAGTAGTTCATTGTCAATTTTATAAAAACACTAAAAACCAACTATTCATAAGATAACATACATTTATAAATTTTGACAATACTTGAATTCTTTGTAAATTGAGAAAATATTTTCATTTTTATTCTGATTTCTAACATTGTTTATTAACCTAGGTCCCGCAACGAAACCTAAGCTAATTGAGCGCTTTTGGCATTGTGCCCCGCTTGCCGCTTCTATTACCTCAGTTGGCGTTCTCAAAGTAATGTAAGAGGTATTGTGAATAATTTGTACGTTAGAATTATGGCATGGGTAATGTTCTCGATTATGTTGTTATGAAATTGTAGGGAAATTAGAGGCGAAAGGGGGCATCCGAGGGGGGAGAAGGCCGTGGAAACAAGTTGGCGGGAGAGGAAAGGGCTTGGTCTTGCTATGGGACGGGCGCTTTCTCCAGCTCTTTGTTTCTCCATCGTCTCTCGGCTGGGGCGCGGTGGTTGGGCGGTTTTCGAGTGCACGTGATGCGGTTGATGGGGATGGGAAAGGAACATGGGCCGGGCAGACAGGTCCATTGGCTAGACGGGCGTGAGAGATGCCGTTTCTGGTGGTCGGCCGTTCAGAGGGACGGGGAATAACGTTAGGTTCAAAAGTCGACCTGTTTCTCTGTTTTCGTTTGGCCACCGGGTTTCTCATGTTGTTCTTTGCTTCTTTTTCATCGTTTTGCGTGTGGAGCAAGGCCGAAGCCATCCTTCGGGCGACAGACGCACTCGATTGGTTGCCGCAGCTTGGCGATTCTCTCACTGAACAAAGCTGGCTTTTTCTAAAGGCGATTTCGTCATCTTTTTTAAGGTTTATTTTGCTACATGTTATACGATGTTCTAGTGTAACGTTCTACAGTCGAGCCGTGTTATTATGTTTCTTTTATATCATGCTGATTATTAACGATTTGTGATTATTTTTTTACGATTTTTTAAATTAAAATTTGATCTACTATGGTTATTTTTAAAGTTTTGCGCTTTGAAAATTGTAGAATAATCTATTACATTATGTTAATCTTGCTTCACGTGTATTTATTATGCGTGTCATTTCACGTTTTTACCTTAAATATTAGTTTTTCCAGTTAATGAGCATTGCTCGGCTTAAATCCAATCTGATCTCTTGGATGCTTTATTGATGGCATTAGATGAGCCGTCAACATCTTTCTCGGCTAAGTCGGTACTAACAAATAGAGAACATACTTCGAATAATACAGAACCCAGAGGATATCGGCCATGTCAATACGTGTCCAATCTTTTAATACAGTGTAAAAATTATATTAATGATGACTGTACGACAGCGAACACTTCACAAAAGCCGGAAGCGACGGATGAGTTAAGCCATTTCTGCGACAAGGTATTTTTTGTTTTTTTTAGATTTTTGAAGAAGGTGTGAAAATTATGTCTTTTTGAGGTATTGTCAAGCTTCTATGTGCTCTATCTTGAATATGATCATTTTTAATAATAAATTCTTTGTAGCACGTTAATCATATCAATGCTATCCGAGCACACGCAAAGAAAACTAGATCAGTGATAGACCCTGGGTACAAGCCAGTTAATCGAAAGTAAGTGATTTAAATATTCTTGTTCTAAACATAGGCTTTATACTGCTTAAACCGAAGTTACGAATCTTTGTTTCAGTGAGGATGATGAATTGTTCGAAGATCTTCGTTTGGAAGGACTGCATGTATACGATCCATGTTGTTCTGAAAGCTACATTAATTCATCTGAGAATCCGTTGAGAATGGCAGTATACATGACAGATAAGGAAGTAGCGCGACAGTACGATATGGCTCTAGAACGGACGTTGGAAAAGCTGAAATGCATGAGAGAACTTGTGCTGGACAGATTCAAAGAGCACATTAAATCAAAACCGACGTGCAAGAAAGAACAGAGAAAGTGTAAGTGTAATTTGTCTTTATATTATCATACATGTTTAGACAAGCTCGTGGTGAGAAATCAGAAGGAAAAGGCAATTCTGGAGCGGTTACGGAACGACAAGCTGTATGGTGTGCCTGGACCGTTGGTGTTGCCCTACATTGAAAAGGCAGAACGAAAGCATGCTTACGAGAAGAAGGGTGTCAAAGTACCGTCGAGAATGTGGCTCACTGATCCAGGACGAGACGCCGACACTTTCAAGTGTGATTTCGTGGAGAAGACTGAGATAACACCAGATGCTAATGCTCAGTACCGATCCCAGTTGTTATATAATGCGAGTACCGAAGATACCGTTGTTTCTGTTATTAATTCAATTGTTGATTATGTTGAAAGACGAAATGGAGGAGTCAAAGAAACTAAATGCTCGAGGATGCGTGTACCTATGACCGACTACTGCACTAACCGTTCGTTTTTTCATTTTTTAGAATGAAATTTTTTTGAACTACTAGTTTATTATATTTTTCAATAGGTTGTGCCTTTTTTAATGTTTTTTATTTTAGACATTCATCAAGACCCGCAACAAAAAATATTTGTTAAATGTAAACAGTGCTCCAACTACTGTTTACCACTGGAAGATGGTTATTGTAAATTGCATGTCGTTCATCGCCGACCGGCAATATTACCCATGGCACCTGTTGTTCATCCTCACGCTACCACATCGGTTGTTGGAACTCAACTGACCAATGGTCCTCCACAGAAGATTCAAAAAGTGGCAATGAATGGTTGGAGGCAGTCTCAGTTACTGGAACCTTCTCTTTCCGTCCGTGCTGATTATACTTTGTCGCCAGTGCCGAAGACCGAGCAGTCAAAACCTGAACGAAAATCTGCAACTATAGTAGAAAGTAATGATCTCAACCTTAATTTTCCAAAATCATCGGTGGTTCAGGTGATATCGCGGAAGCCGGTTCCATTACCGGGTCGAAGATTGCTGAAGGTGCCTGCATTGTTACCGGAGACGGTCTACAACGTGGAACAAAAGAAGCTGGCACTAGAAGATGGATCGACTATCATAGATGAAGATGTGCCTCTCGACGAGTTGGAGAAACAGGTGAAGAGCGCCTATGAGGAGAAGAGAGTATCGGGGAATGGCGTAGCAAATGGACCGGCTTCGAGTTTTCACTACAGCAGGGTTGTAGACAAGTGAGTTTTTTTAAATACATTTAAGGTTAAATTGATAGTCTACTGTTAATGTTATTGAAGCCATGAATTTATTCGTATACTAGTGTAATTTAATTTTCGTTTTTTATATTTATAATTTAGTAGGGTATTGCAACGGAATCGTACTCATGTACCTGCTACAATCCAGACTGGATCTTCCACGATTCGGCAACAGTCGATTCACTCTCACAACTTGGCTTTTGATTTCATTAACACGTCAGCACGTACCCGGCCGTTCATGTCATCGGACGAAACAAAGGCATTAGCAAGACAGACGGAACTTATGCCACCACAACCACGTCGCACGATGAATCGTGGAGGACGGAGGAATGTTATGGTACGACCTCAGATGCCGATGACACGTCCTAGAACCCTGCAGTACGCTCACCCGGTGATGCCTTCTATTAATCCACCGTACTGCATCCAGCCTCCGACGGTCAGCAACATAGTGCGACATGCCAGTCCTCTAACTACCTCGGGAAACGGAGTGCGACCGAAAACACCTATCTCTTATGTCAAGAATGGGAGCAAGAATGTTGCTGTCCACGCTTTGACTCGTTGATTCTGGGTTTCTACACTATTTTCATCTCATATAGTCGTTCAATTTGTTTTGATTTTAATAAATTCTCACTGTACATATTCGGCGTGCACGTTTAAGCCTTTAAGCGTTTTTCAATGAGAAATGCTTAATCTTTCGGGAGAAGCGCACGACATCTGAGGACCGCTTTATTTGAGTGTGATGCTGGGAAGAATGGGTCCTTCTGTTTTATTTGTTCTTTTTAATATTACATTTGTCCTCTGTAATCATTTCAAACCGTTTATCGATTCCGGTACTCAACAGTTTGGCCTGATTAACCACGAGGAAAAGGCTTGTTTGGTACTAAAGTTTGATCTAAAGTTGTACAACTTCAATCTAAACGGATCCGATATTGCCACAGAAACGTTGAACCTTCTCTCATCCAAGGTCCGATTATCTGGTTACTGTGCTTTGCACAACGAAGTGACAAAGTCTTCTGAATTGGTAGCAAAATGGGATTCTGGAGAACGAAAAAAACAGATCAGGTTTTTGTTCAGAGAAGCTTTTGTCAGAGTGTTGGGTCAGCCGGTAGATCAACTTCGGTGGCAACTGCAAGATGTTACCTACACAGAAAAGTTCAAAAGTAATTAGGAGTTTAGCATATTATTATTCTATTTAAAGGTCGCTCAATTGAATTCGCTTCTTCTAATGATACCATTGTGGTCAGTGCTCCAGTCCGACAAAAGTTCGTTTGTAAAGACAAACTGAATGTGACATTGTATCACGAAAAGTACAGAAATTTTATTGTCGAGTTTCTACCGGAGATCGACATGCAACCAGTCAACACCGCATCTTCTTTTGGCAGCAACAGTAAGATGACTTTTTTTTATAATATGCTAATAGAAAGACATTAAATGTTTAAAAATAATATTTAAAACAAGGTCGGTGTTAACACGGTTTCTTTTTCAGTCTACTTATGTGAACGAACACGAAAGCGAACTCTAAGTGAATCCTTCCAAAACTCGATGACCGTCTTTTCTGGCGTCGTACTAGGCTTATCGTCAGTTGGCACTTTGTCCGGCTACAGTGTGTGGCGACAACTTTTACCATCCCGTCGTACTTTATATAACGATATATAAAAGAATAAATATAAAACTCTAACTACTGTCTAAAACTACAGATTCCAAGTCGCTTTGCATCTCCACTAACGCTGACGACCCAGTAGATGAGCGATGTGAGCTTTCACTTGAGCGTGACCTCGACTTCTTGGAGCTTTCGGTCGAACTCGTAGAAGCTTTGCTGTTAGAGGACGAGTCTGATTGGTACTCGTCTTTTACAGATGCTTTGGACGAGTTTGATGACATGTGTTCTGATGAAAGTGACGACCTACACGATATGTATGTTATCGAAAGTTTGTTTAATTTTGTTTTCGAAACCTTATTCTTGTTTATTTAAGATATTGAGATATAAAAAATAAGGCAATAACATAGTTATGAGGTAACTTACAATGACCCTGATCTTGGAATCGAAAACGGCTTCTCAGTTGATGCTCGTATTCGATACCCGTTTTGTTTTCTCAGTAATTGTACGCCTAGTTCTCGTAGTGTATCTGACATTATCCTTTCCATTTTGGCCTGGAAAAAGTTTATAACTATTAAGTATTAAAGATAATAGTGATTTATAAAGATTCAAAGCTTACCCTGTCCAAATCGTCCCGTTTCTCTATTTCATTGGTAAAACAGTCTTTGATGACGCTAAAATATAAATAGAGGTACATAAGAAACGTTTTTAACCTAAAGGGTATTAACCTTAACAAGAACTAAAAAATTTTAACCAGGCTAAACACATTTTCTATTTAATTTTTGGCATGCACATGTAGAGTGCTTACCTATCAGTAAATACCCCGCGTAGTATGATCAAGTCAAGAACATAGTCTTTGAATTTGTAGTACTCCCTAGATAACTGCTCGTTACCAGGAATGTGAACATGAACTTGACAAGGATGAACGTGCTTTCTTTCTTTTTCTACTGTTCTAGGCTTTGGTAACGGTGGTTTGTCGTACTTTACAGGAGCTTGATACACTCCGCTGTTCTTTAGTTTTGATTGTATCTGAAACAAGTTATCGAATCACTACTGGGACATAAAAATTTAATTGTTCGTTTTTTGAACTCAACTATACTGTAATAACTTTTTTAAAAGCTGACCTTGTTCATGGTGCTAGTATTTCGTAGCTCATTGATGTTGATGGCTGAAGCTGATCGTACAAAAGCGTTGAAACCCAGATTCAATGGTGTTATTTCTGGGTTTTTCTTTGCCAAAAAGTGATTCAGCTCATCTTTACCGTGTTTTCTAAATTGTATTAGTATTATGGTTCACAAAGTACAGTTTACTAGTCACAACGGGTAATTACGTTACCTTCAAATTGTTACCTTCTTTACTTACTTATTAACTGGTTGACAACTGGCCGGCCTTTTAATTAGTGCCGGTTTGTAGTGAATACCTGCAAGCAATGGCTATACCTACAACAACTAATGAAAAGTAAATGTCTACTTTCGAGACTAAAACAATAATTACTCACTTTTGGGGCTACTGTACATGGAGACGGGCGGAGACGTGTCCACCACCGGCCTTACTGAACTGTAGAGTCGGTAATGGTGATTAGTTAAGTGGAGGGCTTCCTCCCGCTTCATTTTAAAAACATATAAATGTCCGGATGCTGGGAATTTCTTGCCGTCTGATTGTCATGACAACTGACCATTGGCGATTCTCGCGCTCTTGTATTATGCACGAGTTAATTTCTTTCTCAAATACGATACGGATTACTAAGTACAAGTTTTGCTTCTTGGAGCTAAGTGCTTTAAAAGGGTATTAGCCAAGTTTCAAGAAGCGAAAGTTGAGCGTCATGAGACAGAAACAATTTTGAATAGTCTTTAAAATTTAAAATAATCAAAATTAGAAATAAACTAAAGCTTAAACTAATCAGAACACAACATTAGACCCGTATTTATTCGTATTATGACAATATAATTAATAAAACATAGTTAATCTGCAGACAAGGGTAGGTAAAACTTGTCGAAGGCCCCTTTCAGCTTGTTCAACATGTCATTACTGTAAGATGAACTTAGAGTCTCTATGAAATCCTCGGGCGATGTGTTGTAGTTGATGTCCAGCTCTTCCAGCAGCCCAGCTCTTTCAAGTTCAGGTATCAACTTTCTAGTCCAAGCTCCCATGAGCTTCTCCTTCTCCAGAATCTCGTGTTCTTGAGTTGAATGGTGGAGAGCATCCAACTCTTTCAGTGTGGTGTTTATGTTTTCTACAATGGGCGATGCTTTTGCTTCCAGAAGTTGAATCTCTTTGCGGATTTGACGAAGATCCGTGTCTCGGTCTAAATGGATAAAGTTAGAAAATTTTATGAAATTTAAAAAAGCAAAGTTGTTCAGAACAACATTGTATCGGATGTCAGCTTACCTTTGTTGTGCTTCAAAAACTCTTTGCTAAAGATTGGAATATCCGGCAATTTAGACTCTTGTTTCTCTAAAATATTTTTTATACTTGGTATAGATTTTGTCAAAAATTTACTATGCATGTTTTGATAAATAAAACATTAATAATACATAAACAGTGAAAGCGATATACTTACTAACAAATTTCTTGTAACCCTCTGAATTCTTGTACACTTCCATCTCATTTAGATAACGTTGTTTATCCTTGGCAGCTTTCTCTTGAAACGGCTACGAATTTAACTTTACATTACACTACTACACTATTACCTGTTTCTCGTCCTCTGTAAGTCCTCTCCAAGCTTTAGAGATCTGCTGAGTCAAAAATCTGCGGTCGATATTGTTTCCCGGATTCTTCTTGAAGAACTGTTCTGTATAATGTTGGTAGAAAATGGCATAAGCGTTGCACGGCTTCTTAGGGGCATTGCTGTCCTTCAATTTCTGGGACTTCTTAAAGTAAATTTCAAATCAAATACTTAAAAAAATATTAAATACATTACAAAAAACATAAAGATTGACTTACTGCGCGTGTACGACCACTCATCCTTCTACTGTAAATGTGTTTTTATTTAAATCGACTTTCTCAAAAAATAATTATACGATTTCGGCGCAGGTCGCAAGCTGTCACGCGCGACGCGCGCCCAGTTCCACAATTATGTAAAAAGATTTTTGAGACGGAATTTTGTATGTATTTTGTATCAGATATGCGTAATTTATGAAGGACAACACATAAAACTTTGTCAAGATGATGGTCCAAGACTTTTTGAAAAAGGACGACCGGTCTTTCCTCTCCAGTCCGTCTAACACAAAGTAGGTTAACGTATATGTAAAGCCTTTATATCACGTAATATTTAGACAGTACTTCTTTCTACTGATATTCGCTAAAATCTTGCGATGTGTTGGTATCTTCTTGACGCATTACTTGGCTAAACAAGTACATATCGTGTCTTTAATATGGCTGATGAAGATAATGTAAGTCGGTTATTAAAGTTTTTGATCGTTTTTAGGGCTTCATGTGTTCTGGTGCCACTGCAGAAACCTTTTGCTAATGGTAAATCTATTAGGAAGTCATTGGTATGTTAACAAAAATTTTACCTATTTGCTATTGTTTATTCGGTGTATTTTGGCTTTTTATAAAGATTTTAGGTATAATTTTGTTGATGTTGTTAAATTTAACTTTTAGCATGTACGGATAGCACAGTTAGCGTTTTACAATTGTCTGGTGGAAGTGTTATGGTTCTATGGCATTACTTTCTGTGGGCCCTTAAGGTCCATTTTGGTATTCGAACAAAGCCCTGCGGTTATGTTTGCCGCTGTGACAGCCTTGATTGGTGTAAATGGATCCACATCGAAGACACGGGGAGTGTGGGTCATTATTTTTGGATTTTTGATATTGTTCTTCATGGATGAGGATAGTACTGTGGAACTGAATCATTGTAAGTTGTGTTTGGCATACCTACGTTAATTACATCTCTTAAGTTTTTATTATTAAACTGATTTTTAGCTTAAAATTTTGTCTTTAATAAAAACAAAATTTTAGCCGAAGCCCACAAACATCAAGGAGGACTAAATCACATGTTTTATCATGTTTTAAGTTGGTTTGGCATATCTGACCACAAGGGTGGAGTAGTTGTCTTGCTGTTTACATTGTTCTTGAAGATGGGATACGATTCTCAGTTTAGACATGTAGCTGTTGAGATTGGAGGTCCAAAGAGATTACACGCTATGGTTGCTGTCATGTCGGGGTTGTTCTTGACTCCGTTTGCTATCTTTTCTACTTTACTTACTACTGTGAGTTTGTTTTGATTATAACTTTAGTTATTGCACAAGGTTTTTTTAGTATTTTTGGATTAATTGAACAAGACTGTACATTATATTTTAGTGATATTTATTACTCGTTTGTGTAATTACTATAAAATTGTGTTTTTCAGAGCAATTTGGATGGTTTTTTCACATTTTTCTTCTTTGCATTTGCTGCTGCGTCTTTCGTTTATGTTGTTGATTTTAATGCGGAACAGATTTGTTTTAAGGTAAGTTATTGTTATCTTTTAAAGTAGTTTATATATCAATTAAGGCAGGTTTGTATAAATATTTTGTTAAATTCTTGGAAACTAAAATCTTGTGAACTTTCTTGCCTTCTGACGCTATATAAATGATTTATTTTGCAGCATGTAGCAGACCCTGTGATGGCATCAGCACGATGGTCTCCTATCACAATGTTTGTATGTTCTTTTGTCATTTCGTGGATATGGTACGCTCAAGATACGGTATCCATAAGTGACCATCCTCTGTCAGCTGGCGTCTTTATTACTACTGTATTGTTTTGTTTTGGTAAGAATTTTCAACTTTTTTTAGTTTGATCAGCTTATCTTTTACTCTACATAAATTTTAAAGTGTAATTACAAACGTTGTTGTTAATGCCAATCTTATTTTACTTCAGCATCGCTGTCAATGACGTCGTCCAAGGAAAAGGCACCTCGAGGAGGGCACTTTGTTGGTCTCTCAAATGATGGTATCCCTCTGTACAATTATGGAGAAGCTTTCTTACAGAAAACTTCAAAGTAAGCCATATTACCGTAGTATTGTTACTGTTTAGGTCTATCTTACACTTCTGCAAGGAAACTATGAAAGAGATTCTGGACAACTCGGATTCCCGACGTATCTTCTGGTTCTTGTGTGCTAATTTGGTAAGTTTAATTTACTTGGTTTTATCTTCGACAAACTTTATTTTTGTGGTATTAATATATCAAGTTTAATTTTTTAGATAACTTGAGATGCAAATTAATATAGTTTGCCTTACAATAGATTATTTCAGGCATTTTGTGGCGTAGAGTTCTTGTACGGTTTCCTGACGAATAGTTTGGGGTTGATCTCTGACGGTTTCCACATGTTATTCGACTGTTTGTCGCTTGTCATGGGTCTGGTCGCTTCAGTTGCTGCCAGATGGCTGTCAAACAGGACATACTCGTTTGGTTATGGACGTGTTGAAGTACTGTCCGGCTTCATCAATGCCATGTTCTTAAGTGTCATCGCTTTCTTTATCTTTTTAGAAGCTGTTGGGAGATTATATTCACCACCTGAGATCAATACCGACAAACTTATGGTGAGTGTGACATTTAAAAACATTTTTTTGGATATTTTGTATTTTGGAACAAACATTACGTAATGTACTATTTCAGTTGGTAGCTGTAGCTGGTCTGCTCATCAATATATATGGTATGTACGCTTTCCATGGTGAACATGGTCATTCTCATGGTGGAGCCGATCATGGTCATAGCCATCACGGTCATTCTCACGGTGGTAATGCCAACATGCAAGGCGTGTTCCTTCACGTTTTGGCCGATACTTTGGGTAGCGTATTCGTCATCATAAGTACTCTATTCTTACAGTACTTTGGGTGGAAGTGGGTGGATCCGTTGTGTTCGTTAATTCTGTCACTTCTGATCGGTAGCTCTGTATTTCCACTACTGAAGTCTTCTGGAGCTGTGCTACTGCAAAGTATTCCTGACGAACTGGAAGAAGAGGTGGAACATGTTTTTGATGAAGTAAGTATATAGTTTATAGCGATTTCCAGTTCATTAGACATCTTTTTAACTATCAATATGACCGTTATTATGCGTCGTTTTTACTGCGATTAGCCGTATGATAAATTGACTATATTGCAGATTCTGAATGTAAACGGAGTCAAATCACTTTCCGATTTCCACTTGTGGCAACTCAAATCCGAAGCCAACGTTGCCACGATATGTGTACAGATATACGATAGTACGGACGAGGAAGAAATACGATATGTTGTGAGGCAGATCATGAAGCGATACGGTATTCAACAGATGACCATCCAAGTAGAGAAGACATTGTTCGAAACCCGGGTACAGTCAAGGCTGCCTGGCTTCAGAAGGCATCATGTTATAGACAGGAGTTCTTTTATCGTTTCTTCGAATCATTCTCACAGTCACGCTCCTGCAGAAGGTCGTGGCCATAACCATTCCCATGGAGATCATGGACATAGTCACGGTGCTGCCAGTCACGATCATGACCATGGCACGGCACATGGCAACAGCCGTGAAGCGAATTATCAGAACGGGTCGCTCAGTCAAAATCATGGGCATTCCCATTAATTTATTCTATTTATTTCTGTTATAGATCTTGTTTATGTTTATAAATGATATATAGTCGATTCCGACTTTAATAAATACGGTTCTTTCCATTAAACTACCTCTGTGTTGTGTTGGTTGTCAGTTTCTTTGGTTTTAAGTGTGGTTTTAAAGTTACTTATCCAAATTTTCAGAACAATGAGTGAAAACGACTTTAGCGACGGTGATGTAAGTGCCTTAAATTATGTTAGAACAGTAGTGATAATAATACTGGTAGATAATAAATTAATATTTAGCTGGACGTGGAAGGAGGATCATCGCCCAATCCCTCAGGCTATACACACTCAGACGACTCGAAGAAGAACGCCAGAGCTCAGCACAATGCGTTGGAAAGGCGGAGAAGGGACAACATCAAAGACATGTACAGTTCATTACGTGAAGCAATACCTAACCTCAACGAAAGTGACAGAGTAAGTCACACTTCCCTTCCCTTTAAAAGCATTATTCTGTTTCAAAACGTTAATTAATTCAGGCTTCGCGAGCCCAAATATTGAAGAAAACCATAGATCATATACAGGACAGTAAAAACAGTCACACGGCTCTGGAAGGCGACGTGAAGAAATTGACTGAAACCAATGAAAGACTAAAACAAGAGATTATGGCCAAGAAGGCAGCGCTACAGAACGGCCAAGGATGCTCCAAAAATTGAGTAGCAGTTTTAAAAGCTTTTGATCTTGTACTTTAAACATTAATTATAGAAAAGCGAGATTGTTTATACTTATATTATACTAGATACGCATTAGTGACCAAATGGTTTTTGTATTTTATTTGCCTCATAATATTTACAATTCTTGGATAAAGGCACACGTATTAAAGGAAAGATTGATGTGCTGTATCAGCTTCAGACATTAAAACAAAGTAACAAAATGAAGAGTAGACAGAGATGACAATAGGCACACGGTAGTGTGGTCTACAATGTTTTTTGTTGTTTTTCACGCAACGTTTCTCAAAATAAAGACGAACTCTGAAATAAAAGTTGAAAAGCCTCTCTAACACAATCTTACTAAAGGTCAAGCGGAAACATTTATCAACAATAACAATAAACAATGAAAAGTAAGCACGCTACAGAGTTCTGAAACAATCCGGTTTAAGGCCACGAATAAAGTTTGAATCAAGACAGGGTTTTGTAGAACTGGTCTTTGGCCAAGACGCTCTCGGCCAGGTCGGGAAGGTCCTCGGCCACCACGCCCTCCACGGTGTTCTGTTTCGACTGTTCGATGAGGTCCTTTGCGTCACCAGCTTCAGGATCTTCCAATTCCGGTTCCTCAGCGTTCTTTTCCTTCACTTCAAGGTAGGACTCCAGCATCCAGACCAGATGGTCATTTCCAAAGTATGGGACCAGGTTGTCCTCAACTGCCCATTCGGTCTTGTCTGGGACCTCAGCTTTGTCCTCGTTGTCGGCAGAGATTGGGCGGTTTTGCGGGTTGTGATACTGAAAAATATAAATGATTTAAAAATATTTCAAGAAAGTATACTATAAGGTGTTAATTTTCAATAAAAACAAATTTAAAAGTTATAACACTGAAAATTAACCGATACCCACCTTCTTTCTCAAAAAGTTGACCAGCTTAGCTCTCTCGTAGAAGTCGAGCTTGTTTTCCTGAATGTAGTTGATAATGTGAAAGGCGTGTTTGTCTTTCATGTGCTCGGTGATCGATGGAATGTCGGCTTGGTTGTTTGTACAGAACAAGCAAACAACTCTTAATTGGTCTTCATCCGTGTTGTCTTCTTGCCATTCGTGCCAGCTCTCTTCTTCCTCCTCGTCGTCAGAATCGACAAAAGTTGGCATCGTATCTTCGAAGTCTTCGGCCAATACCTCCAACCAACGTTTGCCAAGTTCCTGGAAGCGAAAAATTAATAATTTAATTGGATCAGCATAATACTTTACTCTTTTACTCAAAAATGTCTCGAATCGTTCTTAGCACAGTTTACAACCATGAATAAGAGCAAAAAAGTTAAAACAAAACCTACTAAGTAGTTGATAATGTAGAACTTGTCGTAGTAGTTGTTGGTAGGGTTAACTTCACGGTGGTTTCGCTTGCGCATGTGTTCCATGAGAACGTTGCGATCCGGGAATGTCTTTTCACAGAAAATACATTCATTTCTCTGCATCTTCTCTCTCAGATGTTCAATGTACTCGTTGACGAATACCAAATTGTCTGGAGATCCCAGGTTCAAGTGATGGATCATGTAGAGATGGTGGATGATCTTAGACCGGTTACCTCTGGCTACGTATCTACAGAAGATACATGGCAGAGTCAACGTGGTGTCATCTCTTTCTCTCTGTTGACAGGACAGAGCTTCCTCAAGACGGCGCATCGCCAAACGTTGACGAAGTTGGTAGTCCTCTTTGATGGTCTCGGACATTTGGAAATAATAGTCCACTTTGCCAAAATAGTCTTCTCCTTCTTTTGGCGTGATCTTGGGAAAGATCTCGGCGATGCTTTGCTTGGCAAAACGTTGTCTCCAGTGCTCAACGTAACTAAAACATAAAATATTAAAATTTTATGACAAAAAACAATAAAATTAAACGGTACAACAAGTAAATCATCTAGAGTAACAAAATGAACCTACCGTTTAGGATCAACAATAAGATCCATCTCCTTGATGAGAATTTGATGTTCAGTCAACAAATGGTCGGAAAACTTGTCGATGAAATCAGGCAAGTCGAAGAACTGAAGACAGCTCAAACACATTGTAGGTCCTCCCCATTTTGGAGAGAAACCAACTGGTGGAACTGTGCCAGAAAGAGTTCTGATTCTGCCACGAGGAATGATCAAAGAGGGCTTCTGAGGTCCCTTGCTCTCTTCGTCTTCCGAATCAGAAAACGGCTCTTCCAATTCGTCTAAAATCATAATTTAAGTTTCTAATTTTGACTTTAGGTATTTAAAATTTTTATCATTTTACAAACTAAACAATTACATCATTAACAACTTACAGTCATCAAAGTCAAAGCTTTCGCCGTTCGAGTTGACCGAGTAGCTCTTGTTTCTGAATCTACCGTCGTTCGTAGATGAAGTGTGACGCTTCTTTTCGTCAGCAGAAACAGTGCCATCTTCAGATATGTCCTTGGAGAAGGTATGACTCTTCTGTCTTGAGTTTCTTCTTCCGTCATTGCTCTTGCTTTGGGAATTGAACTTGTTCTTATTATAAGATTGTCTTCTTTCACTCGCATTCTTGTGATCTCCGTTCTTGTCAACCGAGCCTTGGTGGTAATTTTGGCTTGATCGACGGTTCTGAAGAACAAAAACAAAATAAAATCAGCGAATTCAGTCATGAATAGAAACATCTTTAAAATTAGGCATAGGCTTTCGTTAATTATGTTTCTTTAATAGCCACATGACATCAAAAAGGCCTAAAAATTAAACAAAATCACTAAAAGATCACCTTGTTGTAATTTCTTCCTCCACTTTTTACACTATCTTGACTCTGGAGACGATCACGGTTCTCCTTGGCCTTCCTGACTGCTTCAGGATCTATATGGATTGGTTCAACGACGACCGCATCTTCTTTTGCGATGCCGTTGCTGTTTGTCTTGGCAGATGCCATAAATACAGCGGTTTATGCTGATTCTCTTTTTTTACCCTGTAAAACGAGTTATTAATTACACAGGCTACTTGGAATTACTAGTTAGTTACCTAAATTCGCGACAAAAACCAAAAAACGAAGAAAACATGCCTATTTTTGAAAAAAGTAAACAATGTTCAAACTGCGCCCGAGCTTTGCAGTCTGGACGGGCTTTTTATACGAAAGATCGAGAAATAAAGATTTTTCGTGAAAAGTCGGAAACGTTCACGAGGTCTGCAAAGGTAAATCAAGATCTTTTTTGTTTCTTACAGATATTATTGTGGTTTTTGTATACGAAAGTTTAAAAATATAATAAATTTTAAAACAGATATAACATTAGGTAACAATTAATCTATAGCTCATTAAAATGACAATATTTACCGTGCGAGGGTTGAATAACATAATATTTTTCATGAGAAATACATCAATAACAATTTTTAAAAGTTTTGTAAACAAAGTTTCTTTTGAAAAAAAGGTAACAAATTATGAATTTTTTAGAAATTAAAAAATAACGTTAATGAACCTAAAATAATGTCCGTTTTATTTGCACGCATTACCAGTCGAAAAAGGGCAGTAACTAAAAGCCCGTTTAGAGCCCGGAGGACGTGGCAATAAAAGTCCCGGCTCCAAAAATCCAAAAAAGCCGGCTGCCCGTCTCGCTCGAAAAGACTGCAAAAAAGCGTGAGGGAGGATTTGTTTTCATGTATGATAACATGTATCATTAGAAGTCACAGGGCAGGAAGGCCACGTGATTTCATGGAAGCGAAGATCAAATCAAAACGGCAGAACGATGGACAATGCACGTTTGTCGAAAGAAACGTGATGTAATTGTATACGGAAGGTGCATTTGCTAGAAAAAGGTATTGTTTGTCTTGCATTATCGTTGATAATCAGGGCCTTTTGTTATCGAAAAGTAAATTCAAAGTGCATTAGACGGTTTGAATTTTGAATATTTTGTAAAACAATATCTACGTTTTTAAAGATTTAGGTAACAAAGTAAAACAATTCATTTTTGAAAGGAACAAGATTGGGCTGACATTATTCATCATAAAAATTTTTTCAATATGCTTTGTCTATTAATTTCCACAGTAATTGAAATTTTGCTCAGCTTATAAATTTTAATTTTTGTGGGTATACAAGTTTAAAGCTTTAAAAGTGTACTATAATTGTGTTGATCTCTTTGTTTACAAATTTTGAACGGATTCTAAACTTTGGAGGATTACCATTTTAATTTTTTTCTGTTTGACAGACAAAAAAATTTTCGAAAGAGGAACAACCAATATAAATTCTCTTTAACTTATATTAACATAAAGATGATTTCACGACATAAAATTCAGCTACAATAACATTAAAACGACCTATATCAAGTTGAAACTAATATCAACCCAAAGAAACCATTACTTCAACCCATTTCAAACACAGTAACCCATCAAAGCTTACAAACATTGATAAACAATGTCTTAGCACTAACCGACAGTCGATCGCACTGTTTACAACATTAAAACCAATACTCGATACAGGCCGAATATGATTATCATACTAATGAAGAGTCTTGTTTACATTTCATTTCGAAAACCGGTTGCAGCTGTATCTACAACTGTCGCTGTGAGTTGTGAAATCATGGCACGTCGAGTCACCGGGAGAACGATGGTTGCAGTTTTAATGATTTTTGAATGTTGTTCTATAAGGATTTGAAAAACAACAAAAAAAGATAGAAAGCCATAATTACTATTATAATATAAACGTTATACACTCTCTTTACATCAAATTGAAAAAAGTTTGGTCAAGATAATTAGGGCCGTTTTGTTATCATTGAAGCCTGCAAAATTTCATCTTTTTTTGGATTTTTTTCAATTACTAGAGACATTGAACTGAGCTTTGTAGCTGTTGCTATTAGCTTTGTAGCCGTTGTTACCTCCCACGAAACCTGGATAACGTTCAATGAACAAACGCAACGTTGTCGTTGCGTAACAGCTCTTCTGAAGTACTCCAAGCCTTCGGCACCGTTCCCCAGTCGATGAGCTGTAATTCGCCTCGAGGGCTCAATTAAGCGTCGCGAGGAGGAAGGGTTTCCAGGTTTTGCGTCACTAAGCCGCAACAATTATCAGAATCTGCTTTCCGGACCAGTGATTGTGATGTCTTGACTTAACTTCCGCCTATTGTTTCGGTCTCACTGTGAAAGTTCACTCTTATTATATGGTTATTGTTATTATGTCGCGCTTACTCGCGCTTATCGCCTTCCTACTGGGTTACGGTAGCGCTCAAGCCGAGTATTTGTCAGCGCAATTATCAGGTGAGCGATTTTCAATTCTCAATTTGATGATTTAGATTTGAGACGATTTTAGGATTCACAAAGGTTAAAGTTTGAAATTTTAAAAAATTTAGGTATCATTTTACGGATTTTAATAAGGAATGGCATTCTTTAGTTTTTTTTTCAAAATGTTTTTGCTAATTTAAGATTATTTTTAACAAATAATGCTTTTTTACATGTATAGTTTACTATGTTGCATTGCAAAACATTTTCTACTCACCTAACTAATAAGTCTAACAAATTGTTTTAGCTCTACAATTACCTTGTGTTAGTTGTAACCAGTATTCTAATTAGTTTAAACTGTTTTTCAGAAGCACCAAGAGTCAGATGTGGGGATTCTACTGTCAAAGTGACTCTATTATCGACCGAACCGTTTGAAGGAAATGTTTACGCGAAGGGCTTCTTCAACAAGGATTCTTGTCGAGTTCGAGGAGATGGGCATGGTAATGTTGTCAACATTACTATACCAATTACCGCTGATTGTGGAATGCGGCGACGACGCACGGTAAACAGATTGTCATTATTAACTTAATTTATGAGCTAAAACCCATATTTTATATTGAGAAAGGCTAACTTTTGATAAATTAAAAATGACAGTTTATAGTTATCATACTGTAGTTTTTACTTTTACAGTAAATTTAATTTTAAGTTAAGTAAAACTTTACTATACTTTAAAATATAAAGTTACATTACTTTATAACCTCAAAGCTCTTCTCACTCACGCGTTATTACGTAATATCACAGTTCATTTACTACGCGCGACATTACTTTTACTTTGCAATTATACTTTCAGATAAATCCGAAAGGAATAGTAATCGAAATGACTTTGGTGTTAATGTTTCACCAGATGTTACTAACCAAGAACGACAAAGCCTTCCACATCGAATGCATGTATCTGGAATTGTCGCAGAAGATTACTAACAGGATCGATGTCAGGTAACACTTACATTAACATAACAGCCCAATCAATAAGCTCCTACCTTTTAAACGAGGTTATGTTACCTAACGTTATGGAATAGTTATGACTATTACATAACACACGATAATATTCAACTTTCTAATTACTGTAACACTTTCAAACTATACTTATGTTACAGTATGTTGCCAGAAACAGAAGTCCGCGACCAGTTGAGTGTAAAAGCAGAAGCCAATGTACCTAAATGTAGATACGAAGTGTTAAACGACCAAAAGAAAAAGTTGGCCTATGCCAGAATAGGTCAGGCCATTTTCCATCGATGGTACTGCGAATGGGACCAGTCGGCTGAGATTGAAGTAGATGAAGATGATCATGCCAGAATGTACTGTCTTACTGTACACAGCTGCGAGGTTGACGATGGGCATGGTAATATGCAAAAGCTTTTGGATTACAATGGGTAAGAGTTTTGTTATTTTTGCTAAAAATTTTAAAAATTGTAAGGTTTTTTGGTTTTACAACGAAAACATTCAAATTTTAATAAGATTGAAACGAAATGACGAATATTAATAATAATTTTTAATTTTAAAACTCAAGTAAGAAGTGCCCTATATACTGATAACCATTATGAATAACAAACCATGTTGTAGATGTCCGGTGGACAAGGCTTTACTCGGTAAAATCAACTACATATCAGACTTGGAAGCGGAAAAGAAAGGTCTGGTATTCAAATTTGCGGACAAACCGACAGTTTACTTCAGCTGTCAGTTGAGGTTGGAACTGAAAAACGATTTCAGCGATCAGTGTTTGGTAAGTGCTTCAAGTTCGTCTAGTTTTTATATGTTAATGTTAGCAAACAATTCACTAGTTGTCAGGGTATATATAGCAAATACAGTACTTTACCGTAAGAATTCCGTTTTTATTGAAAATTACAGCGTACATCTGATTCCTGTGAGAATCTGGAGCGAGGACAGACTGTAGAAGGGCCGGTGATAGGGTACGATCCATTGTTCCCTACTCCACAATATACTGTAGCTCCTGCTGAAGTAAGTTACCCTAATCTCAAATACTAATTTTTAATATAATATGGCTTTTTATAACTTTGACATTTCAGCTACCAGTAGACGACGAAGTAATGACATACACAGCTACAGTACCTACACAAACCACCACGAATCCTCCAAATGATTCAGAATATGGGTTTGATGATACGACAACGGTGGACTGGATTCATGGTGACAGAACAGAATCCACGATGACATTTCTGAGCCACAATTCTGTCGAAGTGGAGCCTTCAACTCAAGATCGAGAGTTTGATGAGTATAACATTGACATGGGGAAGAAGGCCATGGATCAGAAGAAGAGGTACGGTCTTTCATAACGTATATTTTACACTAATATGTTTTGTAGCCAAAGCTTGGACCAGTCGTTGTCATCAGAACCAGTCTTTGATGCCCAACTGTCATCAGAATCATTGTTTGATCGACCAGTCAAGGATCAACGGTCTTCTTTTGAGTATAATGTCAAGACGACATCGCCCAAGATGTTTGCCGGACCTTCAATTGAGTTTGACGTCAACGCTCCTGGGGTAGATGTGGTTGAAGTTACAGACACATCTTCTGAAATGAACATTACACCTAGTATGTCTAAGATACCACGGAATATTGCTGATTATCAACCACAAAGTCAGGTAAGTTGTATATATTATGGGGACTCTTACATATTCTTTTTTTTAGTTAATGTGTTATACTATTGAATTTTTGATATACATGTGTTGTTATAGGTATGTGTGAATCGCCGCTTACTGTCGTATACAGTGATAGTAACAGTGAGCGGGTTGTTGTTGATTGTCGTACTCTTGTCAGTACTACTAATACGTGCTGTTCAAAAGAGTCGCCGGCTCAGTACGGCACAGTGCCATCGATACACGGAGAATGATTCTGGCGTTCTTTCAGCGTTCTCACCGTGATTTTACTCCTTTATATTTTAATTTATATATTCTGCAGTAGTTATGACAATGTTTAGTGTAGTTATGAGGGTATTTGAGTTTTTTTGCTAATACCTTAGTCTAAAAGTAAATAGAAAGGCTTGAATTGAATATTAAGACTTTAAATATAGGCTTTTCTATAAACTTTTAGACCAAGCTGCTATATCAATATATTTTGTTAGTGATATGCAATTTTGTATCAAAATATTAGACTTTCATTTCAAAAGGTATCAACTGTCTTGGTACCACATTATCACTACTATAAGATAACTAGTCTTCCCATCATAGTATGGCAACTTTGTTCGCAGTCCGGTTACAATCGAAGGTGCTCAAAATCTTGTTTGAATAAATTTTTTATTACGAAGACTAAATCTGTTCGGAAATTCCGTTAGGACTGACCATTCTGTTGGAACGAGAAGGAAAAGTTAAGTAGATTGTGGGCGCAAGAAACGCCAATGAGGCCATCAAACAGAGGAAGGCCTCTCCTAACGAGGACCTCAATGAACGGCCGCCATTAACATGTCCATTGTTTGTCTGATTGTACTGCTTGATTTGGGTCTGCTTAATAGATTTGGCAAAGGGGTTTTTGATCTTTGGGTAATATTTATATTAAAATAGGGTTTAAAATTGAATTTTGTTTGTAATAGTGAGGTTTATACCTTTATTATGATTCTTTCGATGCATTAGTAAAGCCAAAAATTATTTTTTAAAATTAATTTTAATTTGATTTTTGAACTTTTTGTATTTAAAAAGCCCTGAACTGACCATTGGCTTTTGTCGCGTTTCTTCAAAAATATTTTTTGCGAATTAAAATACGGTCAGTTAATTCGCAATTCAAAGAGAACGGCCAAGAAACTGACGCCTTTGGCAACATTTTTGTTGTCGTAACTTCTGAAAGCATGGCGAATTTAAAAATATTTTTTGATTTTTAAAAATTGGTTTTTTAAAATATTTTTATAGCGACAAGATTTTGTGTTACATTGCCAAGTCCCATTACCTGTTGACTGTAGCGGCAGGTTTTTACTTGTTTTGACTATTTATCTTTATTTTTTAAAAATTATTTGTCTTTTTCTGATATTTATCTTTATCGAAAGTGCATTTTAAATGGAATTGTTGATTAACTTTTGGTGAAAAGTGCAGCTTTAGTACAGAGATTATAGTTATTAATGTCAAAGATGTCACCAAGCTTTTGAGAAAGTGTAGTTCGAATTATTCGTCATTTTAAAGTCAATTTCTATTTAAAAACATTGAATTTACTTTATTATTCAGTGCTTTAACTGCCCTTCGCCATTAACACTGCACCTATTGCCTACGTTGTGTTATTGCAATTCTCTTAATTGGCAGTTGAGAATGGCTGCTCCCCATGCCCTAGGGCGAAAGCACGGTTTACCTGATAGCGATACGAATGTGCACATTACCTGTCGTTGCCAAATCCCCCATTTAAACCAATATACACTACGTTAATCCAGACTTTTGGCCGCAAATCTCTTAAAGACACATTAATTGATTGTTCTTTTTTGACGTTAAACACATGTAATTATACTCAATTGATCTTCCTCGAGTCGTCGGCCACTTGCCTTGCTTATCAGTTGTTTGTCAATACGTGTATATTGTAGTAGGGGATCTGGGTTTAGTATTATTATTGTTTACCTTACTTTAGCTTCTAATGCATTATCTTATAATTTGCTTATAATTACTATGTTTTTTGGTTATTCGTAAAGTAAAATACGTGAATGTAAGGTAAGAATGTGTAAAAGCCATACAATATAATACTTTGTAGGGTCACTGATGTTACTGCGCTTTGTTTGACCTCCAATTTGACTTAGCTTTTACTGTTTCGGTACTCTTTAATAACAATTCTTTGATACATAGTAATACGAAAGTGGTTGCGTGCCAAGTCTTATTGTCAATATATGTTAACTGCAATACACACAGACACTTACTTTGAGGATTATGTTTAGAATTACGTTTTTTATAACAATTAGAAAGGATTTTCGGTTTATTTACTACTTTCTGTTGAATTGTAAGCTGTTTTAAGGAAATTGTAAAGCTGTTATATTGCTTTGTATTACTTTACATTGTCTTTGTTTTCTTATAGTTATTTATACTTATAACGGTTTCAATGCAGATTTATAAAAAATGTAAAATTTTGTTGTAGTTGTTCTTATCATAGACTTGATATTTGTAGACCTATTAATATTAGGCTATTTTCCTTACTTTTTAACGTATTCTACTCATTTTTTGACCGAGTTTGAATGTGAAAATCTTATCTTTATCTAATTTTAAACCTTCACTACCTCAATTAAGCCTTGTTTTAGTTTTTCAAATTTCAAAATGATCAACTTTGGCCGAATCAACAGCTTCGGACCGGACAATGACATTCTTTATTTGGCGCGTAGATCGTCGACGCCTGAGGGCATCTTGAGGAATTTTTGTTTATAAAGTGAGGAAAGGGAGGCCGGGAGAAGAGCAGGGCCATAATTATTGTCCCATGTTGTTCTGGCAAATTAGGCGCACGGGAGTTTGAAACTCGCGTTCAACGTGTAGCCGTTTTTTGTTTCGACCCGAGATTTATCCCCCCTCCCTCGGCCACCCTTTTTTGGGCAATTGGATTTTGTTTTGTCGAGTTTGCAGGCACTCGGATCCGCCTAATGAACCCTGAGGGCATTGTTGGACCGTTCCAGGAGAGTGCGTCGCCTGATTTTCGGGGAGGGCCGCTTTCATTAGGAAACAATCCCCGTGGGCAAATCGCACCGTATCAATGACCGAAATCTGAAGCTTGCTGAAAACCTACACTTTTGTCTTCCGGCCGCTCATTAGCTCAGCTCAGGGTCGGGCTGGACTGGGACTTTTCCTAATTTGGCAGTCGATTACTCCGAATCATGCTTTACGTTTTTAGGCTTAAAAGTGTGTTTTCGGGAAAAGTACTTCTTTTTTTAATTCCATAACATTGATATCTTTCACAATTATCAGTTTTTACATTTTACTATTTTTAATTTTTAAAAAATCTTGCTTAATAATGTAAAATTATGTCTTAAATGTTTGTAAAAAACGTATTTTAACAGTTTTTTTAGCTAAATTGTTATAAAAACTTCGCGCAAATCAGTTTGTTACCTAAATTTTAATCTTTAATTTCCAGAAACCTGTCATCCACCACCGTAGCCGACTTCTGCATTCATCTGCCTCCAGAAGCGGGATGTGATGGTCGAAGGAATCGGCCGGCTACTTCGATTCACGCTTCTGTTTTGGGTCGGATCAGTCGGAGCCGACATAATGTGGACAGATGTGAATGCTCAACAGGAATCCTACATTAACCAGCACACTCAGTTCTACCTTAGTAAGGCTTTGAAATCCTATAAGAATATTTTTAAATTTCAAAAATAGTTTTCAGGCTTAGGGTAACGTAGGGCTTCATTTTGAGGCCATATAAGCTGATTTTGAGATTTTAAATTATTAAAATTTAAAAAAGTTTGAAGCTGATAAGCTATAAAGTTTGAATCCAAAGTGCCAAGTCTGCTGACCGTGATCTTTATGATTGGCGAACGACTTTCCTTAATCCCACACTTGAGAGTTTAATGGAACAATAATATAATAGCAGTGTGAGTATTGTTGTGGGGCAGGAAAGCATCCCCTCAAAGACTTAAAGTAAGGGATTATAAGATACATGGATACGAAAGTAAACGCACTTATGGAATCAATGCGATTAGGCCATTCGGGGGGTTTAATTTGTTGTAGTAGGCTTGATTGGCCACTCAGATTGTTGGTCTAATTCAGGCGTCTGGCTCCGAAGCCAGCGGCAGTAAAACTCAGAAAACTCTGATAAAATGGCCTGAGGGGAGGGAGTCGGTTCGTTTTTAGTTAGAACCGTTTGTTTATCTTCGGCCGGACTTCTGATGACGGCATTCTGCGATTTCACAAGTTTTCCGCATTTGCATCATTCTGGGGTTGCATTTTGTCGGATTTGGAGATTAGGAATGTCATTCTGTCATGTTAGCCTTTGGGAGCCGCTTGAGCTTCATTTTTGTAAGATGCAGTCTTGGAAAGGTTAATGTGGCCGCTTTTTCATTAACGAGCTCAACATAAGGTGTTTTCTCATTCTTTGCCTTATGTTTATTGCACTTTTGGCACAATATTAGCAGAAACCTTTGCAAAAGTATTTCTCATTCCTCTGCATCTCAATTTGCACAAACTTGAGTTTGTGCCGGATTTGCATAAACGTTTGTTTTTTGTTACCCGCTTCCGCTGATAAATGAGCAAATTCCCTCAGGCCAAATTGGCTTCAGAATCCGCGCGCGAAATCAATTTGCCGTGTCCCGATCCAAGCGTATCTGTCAAAACCCGGGCCTCGGGGGAGTTTTCGCACTTCGGTATCCGTTTGGTATAAAGCGGCATTTCAATAAACTCGGTCAGAAAGAGAACGGCCGGAAATGTGGCCAAAAGTCGCCGGTCTGGAAAACAGGTGCGACTTTATTCTCCTGCTTCCAGCTGTCTACCCCAATCAAAACTTGGCTCGATCTGGCCATTGTTTGATATTTCTGATTGGGGTTGGGGTGGATAAGCGCCGCACCGCCTCGGGGTATTCGTGCTCGGTGGAGGACCTTGTACTGGACCTCTGTTTCGAGTAAACTGCCCTTAAAATGGCGTTTTTTGGGATTTGCGTGGAATTAGGGGATTCACGCGGCTCTTAAAAAACACGGTCTTGATCCACGTGTGAAGCCGTGGCGTGACCGTTACGCGACTTCTCACGGCTGATTTGAAGCCGCGGCCCTTTTCTGGCCACTTCCTTTCAGACAAGGGCTTGTTTGTTGAGTTTCTCAAATTTCCATCCCTTTTTCGACATGAATTGGCCGCCTTTTTCACTTTAACGGATTAATCAGGTGTTTACCGAGATTGCCCTCAGGTTGTTTGGTCAAGTCCATCTTCCTTTTCTGAAACCAAGCTCCGGATTTGTTTGGACCGCCCTGATTATGTTTTTCGAGGGTTGTAAAACACGCGACGATTCGAGACACGCACTCTACGAATTCCTAATAATTCCTAATTTTGGTCAGATTTGTGTTTTTTGGCCAATGGCTTAAGGCGGCGTTTTTTGCGGTTTTCGGAATTTTCTAAAAATTTGCATGAAAAGATGATTTGCTGATCTTTTCTATATTATGTTAGGTCTTTTGACATTGCAGATCAATTTTTGCTTCAATTTTTGAATCGTTTCATTATACTTCCCCTCTATAACAATACTGTAAGCAAAGTAGTTTAGTAGATGTCGTTGAATGAGTTGACTCGATGACCTAAAAGCGATGCCATGCTCAGAGGTTGGTGGTTCTTTCTTCCGATTCTGTTGGGCTCTTCCGATTTCCCGTTTCCGATGCCCGAGAGTTCGGAGGACGACGAACTAAGTGCACCGTTCTATCTGGGCAAGAACAAGAAGGACCTTTTCACTCAACCGCCCTTCGACCAGCCCTTTTATCGACCGCCCGAATCGACCCAAGAACTCTTCAAACATTTCGATCAACATTTAATGCCCGAGGACATGTTCGGCGATCTTCCGAAAGCTGGTCAGGGTTTGCGACAGTTTTTTAGTGACTATAAGAAGGTTTACTGATGTTATCATAATGTACTCTAATATAGAGTATAAGTTAGAAAAAACATCGTCAGCTGGCTTTCGTCAAAAAAATATTTAAAAATTTACAAGCTAGAGTTAGTATCTTACACTTTTCTTTCCTATATACTAAATGTTTCAACTTCAGACACTGCCCGATGTTACTCATGCATGTCCAAGTTCTACGAAGCCGTGTGGCCAGCTTTGTCGCATGTGTACAAAAAGCCAATGAACTTTACCGACAGTTGTAACGAGGAGAAGATCGACAAGTCGAAAGTGCCTTACACCCCCTGCCCGACTATTTGCGTGGCTATGTCAGAGGAAGCGACAGTCGGAGGTAAGGCATTTTACTATTCCGATTTTGATGAGTTTTGAGCTTTAAAAAATTCAAAAGTGATCTTATATTTATAAAAATAAAAAGATTTAAAATTTGTAAAACATTAAAATGAAGTCTTGCGACCTTTATTTTTTCTTCTTTAAATCATTTTACGTACACTTTGGCCGTTTTTTTAAGATTTTGTAATCTAGTATACCCTATAAATTCATTATGAAAGTTTTGGTAACATTTTGATAGTTCGATCAAGAATTATAAGCCCTGAAATTTCACAATACCCTCTATAAATGCGTCTTGCTCGTCCTTCTTCTTATTTTCCGACGTTCGAGAGGGTGTCTTTTTAGTCGAGTGGTTTGTTTTCTGTTTGCGGGTTAGAACCAAGCGGGTTCGGAACTTACTGTCATAATTGGGGAATCGACCGTTCCTTTAGGTCGCGACCTTGACGAATGACAGAAAAGCGACGTGGATCACACCTTTATGGGCTTCAGAATTCTGATTTCCATGTCAAAATGTGATCGTACAGACATTTTAAAATTATTTTGAAATTTAAAAAACGTTTCAAAGGTTTTTTTACATGTTATAGTAGGTTGAACATTACAAAAAACACCTAATTTTTGAAAGTTGAAGCTTTTTAACTATTTTTACATTTTTCTATATACTTTTTGACCGAATAAGTAATTAAAATTTTTTAAAACCAAACTGAAAACTTATTTTTAGGTATGAAAATCCGAGGTCACATCCGAGGCTGTCTGGACGATCTGCTACACAACGGCTTCAACCAGACGATTGTGTCGTGGTACCGGTGGATGCATCGTGACTCGTGCAGAATCTACCGGAAGCGAGAGTTGTTCAAGTTACCTCCGGAACAGTCGGACGAGTCTTCTATTCAGGTGTGCACGTGCTACGCGGATTACTGTAACTCCGCGAGCTCCTCGTACTGGCCACTGTTTTGGCTTCTATTTCTTGCGATTACTGTAACTTTATTGCGTTGATAAGCTATAGTAACATCAAAGTACTAAAAGTTAGGTTACTTTAACGTTTTTTATCCGTAAGAAAGGTTACTGTAATTTGACCGGGAAAGCACCGTGTCACAGATTTGTGAAGTTACAGTACCGTAAAGTTACAGTATCACAGTTCCATTAACTCTAGTCGAATATCTCTTGTCTATGCGGGTTTTTGCTACATTTGCGCTTTTATGCCAATCACAGGACGTTTTTCAGTCTTACTGTATGTTTTATTACTGTATGTATTTAAGAAAACTTAACGAATCTTGCTGTAGAATCTTTAAACTTCTATTTTAAGTACTATTTTTTAAATTGAAAATCTAAATTTGAAACTACAGTATTCCCGAAGATTCTACAGTACTCCTGCCTCTGTTGATCTCATCGTTTACCGTATCTTTTTTATTATTTGTACATTGAAAATAAAATTGGAATGACAAAATTAAGAGTAACCGTGACCGTTGTTCTTGAGAACGCCGCGGGGCGTGCCGTCCTCGTTGAAGCGGACGCGACCTCGAGATGAAGTTGAAGAGTCAGAGGTCACATAAGTGCCCTCGGAGTGGTGGAACTGGGGAGGGTTGTTGCTAAGCACGATAGTCCCCATCGGGATTCCGAACCCGCCTGAAAGTAGGGTTGTTGAGTTGTTGTTGCCTTGGAAGTTGCGGCAACTTTTGGCTGATTTTGGGCAATTTTTGGATTTTTTAAAATTTTTTAGTTTTTATATAGGTTTTTTGTCGTATTTTAAAAATGATTTTTAGGGTTTTTCTATAAAATTAGATACCTTTTGGCCTGTAATACTACTACAATATGATTGAGGTAGGCTTTTTTAAACTTTAGCCTTGTTGCCGCAACTTTTCCCCTCACAAAGAATATAAAAAAGCGTTGAGAAGCGGAAAACGGCAAATTATGAGATTCATACAGCACAGAGGATACCAGCCGTTATCGTGAACGGATTCGTACATGTGAGGGTTGCGACGACGGTGTAGCCAGCAGCCATTGCACAACAAGCAACACAACAGCGACAGGAGGATGGAGATGATGATGGAGATGATCAGGCCCAGGATCAGCATTGTGTAGTCGATTCTGAAGGTTTTACGATTAAGGTTTTCCTTTAGTTTATAGTAATAGTCAAGTTAAGTAGACTTTGAGTATGTTATTGTAAAGGTACAAATAACAAGGTACTATTTTACATCGGAATTTTGAATATTAATAAAAATTTTGTGTTTATATACCGTACGATAAGCTTCTGAATCTAAAAACGTAGCCTACGATAATATAGACTTACTGGAAGCCATTAGAATAAGCGACGAACCTCTCGGCTCTAATCTTGGTCTGATCTTCTTCTGGATTTCCCAAAATGACAGAGTTTTCATCGCCACAACAGTAGTAGCCCTAAAGTGTCTTATAGTAAAAAATATTAATTTATTTCAAAAATCGTTAACTTTTAATGCCAAAAATTTATGAAAATAAAAATTTCAAAACCCTTAGGCTTAAAAATTTGGAAAAACAATTTCCTGCCCTTTTTGATCAACATAAATCAAAAAATAACAAAAACATTCCTTCAAGAATTCTCAAAAACCAAAAACATCATTTTAAAACAAATTCAAGCCCTTACCACCTTGGGCCCATGCGAGCTTTCACAACATTTGTAGGCACAGGTCAGCTCCGTGCCAAACTCTGTAGTTGGACACACTTCAGAAGCCTGTAGCGGAAGGAGGAAGGCAATCGGAAGCAGAAGATATAATAACATAGCCGGCTGTCACCAATGTTGAAAGGTAAAAGGGGGGAGGGGGGACGGTGATCGAGAAAACGGAACGACCTGCCTTTAATGGATGGTTTAATGGAAGAAAGAGAAGAAGCGCGGTTTAAACAATACTTTATCTACAACAAGATGAGTAATCGTAAAGTTTGTGATCAAAAGTGGCAGATATCGCGTTGGAATGAGGAAGGAATCGACTTTCACCAGGTTTTGGCATAGGTTAAGGTTATGTTACGCCTAAATTTAATAAGAAATCTGTAGAAAATAGGTTTCTAATTTAAAGTCAAGGTAAAAACTGCATTAAAATTCCAAATTCCAAGAGTGTCCCCCACTTCTTACCCGAAAAAAAACGAAAAATATCGAACTTTGAACTAATTCCAGCCTCTAAAACAATATAAACAAGTAAAAGCAATCATCACACTTATAGCACACAGCCCCCAATACCTGCAAAACAACCTTAATTAGGAAAAGTGATCAAACCAATCATGTATAATATAAACCAGTATTTGTTATTCGAATTAGTCATAACAGAATTACAACACATTCCTCTCGCTTCTCAAACTTTTACAGTCAAACAGATAAAAGGTGAGGGGAGAGACAATAAAACATCTCAAGTATCTCCTCTTCTCATGTTTATCCACCTCGAGTTTGTTTATTTCACTGACATTGACCTCATCACATGGCATTATCCATAACATTATCCATGAGATATCAAGCTTTTTGAAAGTTTCTATAAATTTATTTATTTAGACAACGTATTACATGTTTTGCATTACAATACAATAAAGTCTAAGAAAGTCAAATTTTAAATCAACAAGAAAAAAAAATTTTTTTAAACTGAATTTTTGCGCAAAATTTTGGCGCAATTGGCATTATGTCGTCGTTCTTAAAATAAATAATTTTTGATAAAAAATATTTATTTTGACGAAATTTATCTATTTTTGTTAACTGATAGTGCTGAAAAGGCTAAAGTAACTATTTTAACACTCTACAGTCCAACTCCTGCATAACGAATCCCTCGGGGATTTTTAATTTGTTCGTTATACAGAAGCCAGTATTGAAATTTCTAGTTCAAATTCTTTTTTTACTTGTTATAGCTTATATTTTTCTAGTATTTTTAAAAATATTCGAACTTTTTGATGCCAGAGGCATAAAAATAGTGTGAAAGGTAAGGTTTATTTGTATTTTTTTAAATTTTCAGACTTTTTTGAATGAATAAATATTAAAAATAATGTTATAAAACACCCTTTTTGTAAGGGTCGAGCACCCCTGTCGACACCAAAATTTTTTTTGCTTCAAATTGCTTCAAACCTTCACCAATGGGTATTAAGGTACTCATAAATCGTTTAAACAGAAAATTTTTTTTCAAAGATACAGTAGTCAGGTGTACTGTAACTTCACTACAATTTTTATATCTCTGGAACGAATAACGCTAGAACGATGCGGTTATCACTATAATGTAGAGCATACAAAATAATGTTAATTTGTAGTTTACACCAAGTTTCTATTCTTCTTGGAAGTTATTTTAAAAAATGAAAATGTAGCAAAAGTTACAGTAATCCAATCATACCTCAAAACTGAAGCACCTATGTAGTTCTTTTTTATTGGTGATTCTAAAACTGCATTTTTTTGCGGTTCTAACGCACCTAAAAACGTTTCAAAAAAGTGTTGTTCTGGGGTGCAAAAGTGCATTTGAAGTTTGCACATTGCAATTTTTTTTTCAAAAATTAAAAAAAATTATTTCGACTTTGCAAAAATGTAAAACATAAAAAATAACGTTACTTTGTACGTTACACCAAATTTCTATCTTGTCTACAAACATTGCATTTGAAGTTGGCACATTGAAAAATTTTTTTTAAAAATTAAAAAAAATTTTTTCGATTTTGCAAAAATGTAGAAAATTAGCAAATTATAGTTTTCAAGGGTTTTGGGAATAATTTATTGTTTTTGAAAAAAAATTTTTTGTAGTGTGCCAACTTCAAATGCACTTTTGCACCCTATTTCGACACTTTTGTGCATCGTGTTTATGTGCACTCGAACCGCACAAAAATTCAGTTTAATAATAACAAATAAAAATAAGCGAACAAAGTGCTTTTATTTTGAGATATTTCCAGTTACTGTAACTTTTATGAAAACTAAAATTTTTAAATATTTGTAGACAAAATAGAAATTTGGTGTAACGTACAAAGTAACGTTATTTTTTATGTTTTACATTTTTGCAAAGTCGAAATAATTTTTTTTAATTTTTGAAAAAAAAATTGCAATGTGCAAACTTCAAATGCACTTTTGCACCCCAGAACAACACTTTTTTGAAACGTTTTTAGGTGCGTTAGAACCGCAAAAAAATGCAGTTTTAGAATCACCAATAAAAAAGAACTACATAGGTGCTTCAGTTTTGAGGTATGATTGGATTACTGTAACTTTTGCTACATTTTCATTTTTTAAAATAACTTCCAAGAAGAATAGAAACTTGGTGTAAACTACAAATTAACATTATTTTGTATGCTCTACATTATAGTGATAACCGCATCGTTCTAGCGTTATTCGTTCCAGAGATATAAAAATTGTAGTGAAGTTACAGTACACCTGACTACTGTATCTTTGAAAAAAATTTTCCTGTTTAAACGATTTATGAGTACCTTAATACCCATTGGTGAAGGTTTGAAGCAATTTGAAGCAAAAAAAATTTTGGTGTCGACAGGGGGTCAGGCCCTGCTCGAGCCTTACAAAAAGTGTGTTATAAGTAGGAAAGATGTTTCTTGCTTGTTTGCAATGATATTCTGGTACATTTTTAAATTTTACTATAGTAAATTAGCGAAACTGGTAAAACATACGAGATTTATATTGTGAACTTATTTTGGCATGAAGAAGATGTTTCCTTTACATTTTTTAAAAATATTAGCTTTAGATATCAATAAAACTGGTAACTTTAAAATTTAAATTTTTTATACTTAAACAGGTAACCAGTGCCAGTAATCCTCTCAAACTTTGTGCAATTATCTGAGGCGATGTTTGGAAATGGCGGAGGATCCTTTAATCATCGCTCGGTAGCGACGGCGAATTACTCTGTAAAGACGATTGACTTCCTGCCGCGACAAGGAACATGTTGCGCAACTTGACAACAGGTGTGGACAAGGTATGGGGCCTTAATTACGGCGCTTTTTCTTAATGCAGGCTCTGATTTGGGGATGGATTTGCTGTTATTTGGGGGTGGACTTGGGGATCTTTTCAAATAATTATTTGACTTTTGGTCATTATTTGAAAATATATTGTTTTATAACATGTAGATTATATTTTTAGACTTCACGACAGTAATTTTAAATAATATAAAGTTACTGTAAATTAGTCTTTTACCCTAATTTATATTATTTTAAGTGTTTTTTTAAAAGTTTCAAACTTGAAAAAGCATTGAAATTTGTTCGAAACAGTGCCAGAAGGGAAGCGGGTCGATTGTATCATAACTGAGATGTCACTTCAGTCTACAGGAGAGTGCTTGATTTGGAGTGACAACCGAGAAGAGCCGCTGCTTCTTCCGAGAGCAAAAGAGTATGCGCAGGGATGGCACCGCCTTGTCATATTATACCTTTCATCATTCCAAAACTCTTTTTTAGCACTTTTGCATATTTTATCGTTTTTTTAAACTTTTTGGACTAACTTTTCTGACTTTTAAACTTAAAATTGACTTTGGATATTGACCTTGTTTTAGGTATATTAATATTGGTCTAGTTCTTTGGATAGTTACTTTTTGGACAATTTTTCTAATCAAAGTCAATTACAGTTATATTTGTAATCTTTTAGCTATATACTGTTAGGTATTCAACCCTTTGGCTACTCGACCTTATCCATCTTACCATGCTGTACATCTACTGTCGGCCGAAAGTAGGAAAAGTGGAAAAAGTCGGTCAGTCGGGTGACGGATGATCGATGTCTTTGATTAGTTTGAATGGTTGTCACAAAAATTTTTGAAGGCCCTCAGGACATTTCCAGGTGAGGCATCCTGTGGGCCCCCTTCCGGGCCATGATTTGATTTATTAAGTCTTTAAATCATAATAAAACTGTCATGTTGTTGACTTTGTCCACTTAATAACTTTAATTCAATTAGAGCCGACTTGTCCGGCTAGTTAAGGCTGTCTTGAGTCGGTTCGGGCATGGTAGTTGAGTTAATCTGGGGATGTCATTACAATCATAGTTATGTTTCTATTATAGTTAAGCTTTTATAACTAAAGTTATGTCGTTATAGCTTTCCTAATGAAATATGTTGTTATAGTTATGATAACTAGGTCTTTATAATCACTGTTACCTTATTGTAGGTATGCGTATTCAGAGTCTATAACTTTCTGCCAATTTCAAATGTAAAAGCCTCATTTACCGCGCGGTAAGCCTCAGTAAACAGCTTGCATTTGGGATTCTGTAGATCCTTTGTGGACCTAATTTGGCCAGTTTTGGCACAAAAAAGGCTGAGTTTTAATTAAGCGTCACCTCGCCTCTTCCTTTTACAGCTTTTTGGCTTCATTTTATTATTCAAGACACCACCAAAAACAAGGCCCGACTTGTCAAAGAACCGGCCCCATCCCCTCCGGCTCCAAATCCTAATTTGCGCGTATTAAGTCCGAAGCCGAGCAAAGAGTGACCGCGCAGCCTCCGGCTAAACTCATAAGTGCGTGTTAAAGAGGGGGGGGCGCTAATTGGGGCCGCGCAGAACATAGCGTTATGAACAACTTTCTCTTCCGCCCAAGTTTCGGCCTTCCCCTGTTCCAGATGGCGGCGACAAGGCCTAGCCATCTGGAGTACGGTTAGCCGCAGCTTGTAGGCTAGTTACCATGCTTTTCAAAGGTCTTCAAGGGTCGCGGGCCTTATTACCACACCCTCGAACAATCGCGGGCCTTGTTACCACGCCCTCGAATTGTCGCGGGCTTGTTACCACGCCCTTGTTACATGTTGTGAAGATGGCCTGCTGTTGAGATTACAGATGTCGCGGTAATCCTTAATTTGCTCGCGTTGTTCCCATGCTTTGTTATGTCCTAATTACGATTATTAGTTATGACATGTCGATTATTGTACGAACATGTCGACGTTGGGTAGGAACATGGGTCCAATTTGTCGTTATGTCATAACTGACAGCTGCCTGACCTACTTCCACGACTTGTTGATGTCGCGCTGTGAAGCTGGAGGTAAAAGAAGGAGGTGGGGATCTAATCCACTTCTTACTTTGGTCTACTTTGCATATATTTTAGGTTGGTTTGTGGTAAATAACGGCTTATATTAAGATTTGTTTTATATTGTAGTAGGTCCATTATTGTCTTGTTTTGTGAATTGTAAAACTAATTTGGCTTTTTTAAATTAGAATTAAGCGTTTTGTCAATATAATAGTTTAACACTATTAAAACTACCTAAAATACAAAACTGGATTAATTGGGTCACACCTTATCGTATGCCAGTTTAATATTGTAGTCACCTTGACGAGCCTTCAACTTTCTTTCACGCTCGACCAGTTTTCGGCAGCTAATTATGTTTATCTGGTCGATAATTACACTGCTCCCACCTGAATTCCTCCCCCCATTTGGCTATTTAATCCACGAAGCCGAAGCCTCTTATCTGGTCCTCTGGCAGGAAATCAGCTCCAAAAAAGGACTGCCAGAGATTTGGGCCGAGAATGGCCAGATTATTAAAGAGAAGCGAAAAAAGTTTTGTCCTTCACGGCCAAGTGCCTCCGGCTCGCGGAATTTGATTTGCGAAATAGCACATTCAGATTCTTTAAAGGTGACACAGCACGTTATCGGCGTATGTACGACGAGGTTGGGGGTGGTGTGCGACGGGTTTTGGCAGTATACGAAATATTTTTGTTTGCTTTTTTAATTTTCTAAGCAATGAGTCAAGAAGAGATTGAAATTTTGAATTTTTATTAAATTTCATGGTCTTTTTTGAAGATATATTATACTGTTTAGATATAAAATGATAATTTTTATACAATTCTACATTGTAAAGGTCCTAACTTTTGTAAACTACATTTCTTTGCGTTATTGCTACCCAAACAGCTAGCCAAACTCTCCAAAGGCATCTTGAAGTAAATTTTTTGAATCCTCTGATCGTTGTGTCACTGTAGCTTGTTGACTTGTGAATGTTGAAGATGTTGTTGCATCTGCACTTACTGTCACGGCCTTACTCCGAGGTACACTTGTCAGCTCACCAGTTTTGGAAACTTAAGTATGTTACGTCACGACCTTGAGGATTACTTGTAGCTACATGTCCGTTAAGATGCCTTGGACATAATGGGTTTGGCTATCTCGGAGTATGACTTAGGTTTGGTTTGCTGAAAATGGTTTTTGCCTAGGTATTCAAATATTTTGTTATTTTTTTGTCAAAGAGTAAAATTAAATTTTATAATAAGTTTTTTATAAATGGGAAGTTTTATAGATTTTTCGACCAGTAGCTTCTGTTTACTTATTCAGAGCTCTACATTATGAATGTCTCGTATTAGCTTGGTCAAAAAGTCCGTAGAAACTCGTTCTCCGTTTGCACTGTGCAAAGTAATAAAGTTTTCTGTAAACGTTTGGACCTGTTTCATTTATTTTCATTTTTAAAATGTTTACTTTTACATGTCCTATGTTTTTGTCTTAGTTTAACGTTAAGTATTGTGGCCTTACCTTACCTATTTTGGCCTAACCTAAGCATTGTGTACTTTCTTCAATATTCAAATATGTTCGTATGCCTCTATAGCAACATGTCGTCTCTTATGTAAGACCATTGTCTATGGCTCTGTAATTAGGGGAAAGTGTCCATTGAAGCAAAGGTGCGCAATTTCCGGATGTTGCATTTCTTTCTTTTCAAGTCTTCGAAAGAAGTGTGGGAGCCATGGTCACTACCTTCATTTGCTTTCTATTATTAGTACGAGAAGGGAATTCTCATATATTATATTATACTTCTTTAAAATTTGTATTATACTTCTTTTGAACGTTAGTTTCTTATCTAAAATACTAAATTTAATTTTTTAAACTTAAAATTATTTACATTTGTCTATGATAATATCAAAAATATTATTCAATGTTCACTTTAAACACTTCTTTTCCCTATTTTATGCCATTTCCAACCCAATATTCGAATAATTCTAAAAATAGCTCATTAAGTTGTCATTAACGACCAACTTGCGACAAGTACCCTTGGAGTGTTTGTCCATTGTCTTTGTGTAATTGCTTCGAAACTATATTAGCATACTCGTCTTAAGCCCTCGAGGCCCAAACTTTGTCTGTTTATGCAAATCTCGAGCATATGCGCCAAGAACCGTCGCTATCTGACCACATCTCTATTGTAACTGACACATGCTCCAGATGCTTGGACTGTTTATCAGAAGTTTGGGGACAAGGGTTTGGCAGATTAAATCTATATTTGAGGGTTGGGGGTGGATTTGGACTTTTTAGGTAACTGTACTAAGTTCTTGTGTTAATTTTGTCATTTTGAGGTAATAAAGGCATTTATCCTTGTTTATGTCACATTTTTTCATAATTCGTGGATCAACAAGGCTTAATCAGGCTAAAAATAGCCTTAAACATAAGCCTAAACATCTCATTTTTCAATCTACACGGGCTTAAGCCTAAACTTATGTGATCATCTTAGTCCTCAGCTATTTTTTCGTGTTTTGCTTTACTTTTCCACCTCCAAAACTTGGCCAACTCGCCCTAATCCGGCGCGCTTCTGCCAGGTAGCCAAGTGGTCTTTAATGGACTGCCAAGTGTGTTTGCTCTACAGGCGGAGGTCATGTCACTTGGCGCCTCCCCTAACTTCTTTTGTTTATTCTCTGACTTCCGTTCCTGTATGTATGTATAAGGCCAAGTGGATGTTCGACATGTGTCGTTGTATCATTCTTGTTTGCATTTTCTGAACATGTTGTTGTTGGGTATATCTACCTGTTTTGCAAACTTTTTTGGTTGTGGGGGTTTTAATTACTTTAGGCGATTATTCTTGTTATATTTGACTCAAATGTCATCAGAATAATTATTTTGTTTTTGTATGATAAGCTTTGGCACAATTAACAAGTTTTCTAGCCCTACCCTGCCCTCCGTTCCCTTTCATAAAGAACCAGTAAACCTACCTATTCAGAGCCAAAATGTGCCAAAACTAATACAATTTTAGAGCTTTTAACCCCCTCTCCACTCTGAAATTACTTTAAAGACATCCAACACCCCCTGACGTCATGTTTACTATGTAAAGTAAACAAACAGTTGTATATTATTCATAAGCCGTGTTATTACAATTTACCGCCCGTGTCGAGGTAACGGCGGCCTTATCGTATATCAAACGAGGCACCTGGCCGACTTCTTGGCCTCTGGTTCCTGAAATTCGATACCGGCCAGAAGCTTCTTTCGTCGCTTAAAGACTTTCGCTTTAAACATTTAACGTTTTCAGGATGAATTGGGTCAAACTTTTGCTGCTTTCCCTATTCATCTGGGTAGTGGACAGTAAGAAACAATGCGAGCCCATCACAATACCACTATGTAAAGGCATCGGCTACAATATGACGTCGTATCCCAACAGTTATGGCCACGAGAAGCAGGACGAGGCTGGTTTGGAAGTGCACCAGTTCTACCCATTGGTCGAGGTGAACTGCTACAAACACCTCAAGTTCTTCCTCTGTGCTCTATACACTCCCATCTGTCAGGAGAACTATGACATGTCTATAATGCCATGCCAAGAGGTCTGTAGAGAAGCCCGGAAGAAGTGTTCCCCTCTCATGAACAACTACGGCTTCCAATGGCCCGAGACCCTGAACTGCGACAGACTGCCACGCTTTGCTGATCAACAGAAGACTGGAGTCATTTGTGCCGCGCCTCCAGATGCCACCAAGAACTCAAAGTCCTCGGAAGTCAAGGAAGTGGAAACGCCAAAAGCTCCAAAAAGACCAACTTCTGTCGCGACTTCTGATTCCAGATGCTCGTGCCAATGTGGAAGACCTTTTAATCCAGTATCAGCAGAGACGGTCAACTACTACGGTAAAGGATACAGTATCCAGAATGTGTCAAACTGCGCCTACTCTTGTTCTGGACTGTTACCTACACATGAGGCTAGTCAGACCAATCAGTACAAGCAATGGGTGTTGTTCATGTAAGTTGTTTATGATAGTTTTGGAAAGCTTTAGTACTTCGTTACTAATGTTACTTATTTTATATCATTTTGACATTTCCAAAAACCTAATATTCAAATTTTAGAACTCTAACGTGCCTGTGTATCTCCTTCCTGACCGTGATCACCTTCTCCATAGATCTCGGTCGATTCCAATATCCAGAACGGCCGATCCTCTTCCTCGTCCTGTGCCAAATGTGTGTAGCCATCGGCTACACGATTCAGTTCATGAACGGCGACAAGAAGATTGGCTGTGACGCTGATATGCTTCGCACGATGATGACTCCAGAAGCCACGGTCGGAAGCAGTATCCAATGGACTTGTTTGACCACGTTCGGCCTTACCTACTACTTCTCGATGGCGGCCGCTGTCTGGTGGGTGGTGCTGGCCTTGTCCTGGGTACTAGCAGCTGTACCACATTGGTCGACTGAATGGATCGGCAAGTACTCGTGCTACTTCCATACCTTTGCCTGGATTCTCCCAGCGATCCAGACTGGATTTGTGTATATGTTCAATGCCATCGATGGAGATCCGATCTCTGGAGTGTGCTTCGTTGGTAACACTAATAGGGATCATCTACTCTACTTTGTCATCAGTAAGTCTTAAGATTATGGAAATTCTTGACGTATTTTACAAATTGCAAAGGCTTTACAATAAAATTTTAAACCAAAAACAACATAAAGACAGAACAAAGACTATATCACCTTATTTTAGTTCCAATGATCCTGTATTTCGTCGCTGGCGTGTCCTTCTTGTTCGTGGGTCTACAATACTTATGGTCGCTCAGGTCAAACCTCCAAAAAGCTCATCACAAAACCTCCAAGTTCAGCCAGCTCATGTCCAAGATTGTCGTATTTGCTCTGATCTACACCCTCTCCGTAATCCTGCACGTTATGGTACTTATCTACGAGTATTTGAATCGACCAAAGTGGGAACAAAGCCTGCTGTGTCCATGTTCTCAGGAAACTCCTGTAAATGGTAAGTTGTTACTTGTTTTATACCTAAAATGCTGTTAGTTGATTAGTTGACACTAGTTTTATAACAAGTAAGGTTCTAAAGTAATGAAGCGTTATCTTGAGACAAGTTAACTTGAAAATTCATACCTAAAAAACTTGTTGTAGACCGGTTTACACCTAAATTATCCGTTTAACTTTATTTTTTTATTTTACGACACCATTTTAGCTAAACTTGCCAATATTGAGCTTATTTTATCACTAAATATCTTCCTTTATATCGCTAATCAATAACAATTTCAAAATTTAAAAAAGAAAACGCAAAAAGCAGAGAGCGAAGCCTCTTTTTCTCTCTTTCTCTGGCTCTTTTTCAAACCCAATCGAAAAGCGAACCCACAAAAACCCACCTTCCAACCCGAACTAAAGATCGCGAACCATGATGAGCGGCCGAGTTGTGATCTGCAGGGGTCCCCGTCGCCTGAATAAGGTGAAACCCACGGGAATCGACTTTCTGTTGAGACGATCGAAGGGCTAGTTCTGAGTTCATTGAAAACAAACAGACGTCAGAGAAGGAGAAAGGCGAGAGAGCGTTTCTCTCTTTCTCTGGCCGCTGTTCTTCCCCAATCGTTTTCATTTTGAGCGATTTTTACTGTGGGCTTCGACGCTTACGTTGGCAGGTGTCGGTGAGGATAAACTCAACATGGTTTCGCAAAAAGTTGAATCTGAAGACTTTGACGATACTCTTGGCTGTCTGAGGCACCTGAAACAACAAATAATGTTTCACAAAAATTAACATAAACACTAAATGTTCACAATACATTGACTTACATTACCTTTTCAGCCGAAACCTTGCAGTTCCTTAACCTGCTCAAAGTCGGATCAATGATGGCAATTGGCTGGACGTCGATGATCTGGGTATTCTCATCAAAGACCTTCCAGAGCTGGAAGCGCTTCTTCTGTTGTGGCGCTACACCGTACGCCACCTACAGTGGCCCCAAACTGCCATTCGACCTTGTAGCCAGCCAATACCAGCAGATCCCTCCTCCACCCCCACCTCTACCACACCCGCAGTTCCCTCCCCTCTCTCACAAACAATTCCATTCTCCTGAATTCATCTACGCCAAACGAGACCTGATATCGTCACCTCACTTCAGTGCCGCCAATACCCTCAGGCACTGTCCACGAGATGTGTAGATGTTAGGAAGACTACCTCAATATATGTTGTTATGATAGTGTGACCATAGATCTCTTCATGTACATACCACACAACTGTGATATTTTTATATTTTACACTTTCAAATATTTGAGCTTTTACTATTAAAGAGTAATATTATTGAACATCGGAGTTGAAACGATTTAAACACTTTATTTGAAAACATAAATTTAAATGACTTTTTGTTTTAAAAATGAGTCATGATGACAAGTTTTATATACAAAAAAATTAAAAATTTTTATTTTTCGATAATGTTGCAAAGAAATGATTATGAAGATTACTGACATTTATTTGATTTCCACTGACCTCAAATGCCCGGTCGTTCTGGACTGGCAGTTACTGACTAATGCAAACCTCATCTGGTACTTTTTACTCAATTTTTTGAACTTTGGTATTCCTTTATTATGAGTTTGACTTTATACGTTTTCATTGAGGTTTTCAACATATTTTTTCAAGGTTTTAATGTTTTTTAATTTTTTGATCAATATATTCGTCTGTTTTGTACCTAAAATTACCTTGTTTTAGCGTCGGACGAGAAGAAGAAGGAGGAGAAAACTAGAACCAAATCGTAAGTTATGTTATTTTTTAAAATTTATAATTTTGTTTTTGACAAATTACATCATTCTTTATTGCCATACGAATCCTTACGATGATGTTATAGTGAAAAATCGGAGAAAGACAAGAAATCGCGATCAAACAGCAAGGAAGAGAAGTCGAAGAAGAACAACAACTCCAAAGAAGGCTCCAAGAAGTCAGTGAAGTCGACGAAGGAGATAAAGACACCTGACGAGGACAAGTTCGACAAGTTGGTGAAGGAGTCCGAGAAGGAGAAGAAGAAGGAAAAGTCCAAAAGCGATAAGAGCAAGGTAATTTACGATGTTCTACATGCTTTTTGACCAAAATATATTTTTTAAGTACTCGTTTGGGTAAGAAAACGTTTTTTTATAAACATACGTTTACAATTTTATTTCTTTATTTTTCAATTTTAAAACAATATTTTAAACCTTTACCTTCTAAAATGATGTTCTGATACCCATACGTTAAGTCGGCGAAAAAGAGCCCGGCTGGTGGAAGGTCGAACGACGAAAAGAGTAATGAGAAGAAAGATACCACGGCTTCCAAGAACACCATGTCCAAAGGTACCATTTCCAAAGACACGGCCTCCAAAGACTGTACCAAAGAAGCAGGACAACCTCCAACCATGTCGCAGTCTGCACAGCCACAAGAAGTACCAGGCGAGAACTTCCAGATTCACGCGGAGAAAGGAGGCTACCTTCTGGAGCTACCCATATTCTCCATGATTCTCTGCATTCTCGAGTTTGTAAGTTTACTATCACTGACATTTCTATTTAAAATCTTGTTTACAGTACTTTTATCAACATAGGATAACTTATTTGTATTTTTTTCTACCTCTTCAGGTCTTGTACATCGCTGTGTTTGTCATCATGATCCTGGCATCAGATGGTCATGTGCCTAGTGTTGGTATGTTCATCATCAACTCGATACTGCTGACTGTGCTGGTGGCGATAACATTGATGTTACAATGGCGTCGACTGCATGTTCAACAAGATACAGACCTCAACGGGCATCTCGACTTCAAAGTGAAGCCGCTCTATCGAAGAATTGTAAGGCCTTTCGTTTACCATCAGCTGAATATCGTACCTGTTGGATATGCTAGTATAAGTGCTTGTTTTCAGTACGCTCTGAGTCACTTTGCCCGTCTGTGGATCTGCCTGGCGACAGTCATTATCCTAGTGTACTTTTTGGCCTGCGGCGACGAGAAGACGGGCGTGAACAAGATCGGTTTCTGTTCCCAGTCCATAGGTTACGTCATCTTGGCTCTGGCTGCCTGTATAGTCGCGATTGTCCTCGTCATCGTCCACATTTACTTTTTCTTCAGAAACAGAATGGCAATTTCCAATTGTGGTACATGAACTGACTCGATTTAGTAGGGTGATTTTGATGTCTGACTATTAAAACAACCAAATAACTTATGCATGTTATACATGACTTTGATCTGGTAATGTAGTTGTACTAGCGCTAGTATTACCAGTTTGGTCAAAAAGTTCATAGAAAAGTTAAAATACGAAACTTCTAGTTATTCTCCGCAATTCAATGTAAACTAATTTATGTCATCGTAAGTACAATACATTACAATATTATTAAAAGTACTTTAAGTTTATTCAAGGCCATATAATACATGAAACTACTGACATTATTATACAACAGAAGTACCTTAATATTAGCACCACAAACTTGAGGAAGGTATTTTTGGTACAACCCGAATTTACACGATTTTTACATCAAATAAAAGTGTCATTTCATAATGGTACATTATTGAATGACACAAGGCTTGTCGCAGTTCCTCATGGCCAGCGAAGTGAGCAACAAATCGAGGCCATCAACCTGATCGGCGAAGCTCCACAACTGTTTAGAATGGAGCTCGAGGAAGGAGTGGATCTCTTCGGCCGTTACTCTCTTCGAAGTGTCCAAACTCATTCCCACGGACAGAGCCACATCTGGAATCAAAACATTAAGGTTTAAGAAGTAGGGTTTAAAATAATATTCATATAGACAGAAAACGGCTTTAAACCTCATATTATCGACCGAAAACTTTCAAACCTTACCTATGAAATCTGACATGTTGAAGGAATTGTCGTCCAACAGGTTGTTGACGTTCTTTGTCAGTCTGTCCAGCACATTGCCCATGAACAACATGTTCTTCTTCACCTCTTCCATCTTCAACCCTATTTCTAAGCCCAGCTCTCCGTTCACTGATAACGCTCCAGAATCAGGCGTCGTTGACGTTGACCGGCTTTGGATGTCCTTCTTGGATGGTAATTTACATCTGTCTGCCGAATTTGGGGTCGGGACGTAGTTCTTCTTGAGCAGAGAATGTGTAGCGATCAGAGAAGTTGGACGTCGCTGGAATGATTGGTTGTGACGAGTCGAAGGAGTCAAGTTCATGGAACGTGACGATGGGAGGGGAGGTCGGTCGGAGAGGGAGATCGAGGTGGTCGAGTTGGTCAGATTCTCGAGCTCTTCTTCGAGTCGTTCCGTGATTGGGGTGTTCTGAAATGGCAATAAAGTGAGCTCGATAGGAAAACCATAAAAATTGTATCATTTACGTTAATAATGTCATAGAAAATATGTTTTTATCCCATTTTCGCATTAAAATCTCATGAAAACAACTGGAAAAAATCAAAAATATATGTGACTTACTGGATTGGAACAATGTTTGACATAGTCGTACAATCTACTGGCCTTGTCGGCCTTCAACCTTTCGTATCTGCTCTCTAACTCTTCGTATTTCTTGGCCAATCGTTCCTTCTCTTCCGATTCCCTCTCCTTTTCCTTGGCCATCTGATCGAGCTGCTTCATTATCTGGTGTTTGGCTTCCATTTCTTTGTCATGCTTGGCTAACAAGTCTTTGTACTTCCTTTCGTAATCTACGTAGCCAGTAAAAGTCCTGAAATAAGTTATTTTTAATATTCAACCATGAAAACACAAACTCTCAAGTAAAACTAACAACGATTTCGTAAAAAAATAATGAACGACCATTATTTTGGTCAAAAAGTACATAGAATGATCACAAGTTGTTCACAAAACAACAAAACTGATCCATTATTGCAAATTCCATGCACTTTTCGACCAAAACTACAAACATAATATAACCTACGTTTTCAAATCTCGTGTATACAAATTGTTTCCCTCGTCGATGTTCTCGAGCCTTCTTCGGGTTGGCTGTACCACAGAGTAGAGATCACGTTGATAATGATGATTCATAGAAGGATGTCGTGACACATCTCTGGAATGGGAGTTTATCGCCGTATGGAAGCTTTCTGTTTGTAAAGTCTGGTCTCCATCGTACTCTCCGAAAGTAGCACTAAAAATGTCAAAGTTAATTAAAATTAAAAAATATGTCATTTTTAATTTAATTTTCAAATTTGCCCTATTTGTACCTAAAAAACATTTGGAAGTCAATAATAAAAGTCAACTCTATTGATATTATTTCCTTATGTCAATATTCCTCTAGACCCTCCGAAATCAGCTCCTACTTCAATTTAAAACCTAAAAATTTAAATACCGCAATTAGTCCTATTACACAGATTACATCGCAGCTAATCCCCTAATTACCTGATCCGTCGCCTGTGCTTGCTTTTAGACGACGTTCCTCCAGTACCCATCCTTAATATAAATAAACGCCAGGCCCCGGTCGATACGCTCTACTCGCTGTCCCAATCTCTAGACGCATCTGCCCTCGCGCGCCCTCTTTCCTCGCCGTTGGCACAGGCCTAATAAGAGGAGCGTTTCACAAGTCCCAGGCCTTTCGACTTAAGGTCAACAGCCTTCCTTCGAGGAATATAAACAAAGCCCCTAATCAGGGTCGTTTTTCAGTTTGTGTTTCAGAATATGACTGTTTCCTTGCCATTCTTATAAGAATTCTACTTTATTCTCTCATAATTTTAGATATTGGCCCCTTACTCAAATGTCGAGTCCCATCAAGTATGCAAAAACACAAAAGCGCGCTCTCAAGAGCAGAAGACGTAACATAATTTAATTACCAGCCCCAACCTACATCCATAAATCTTCGCAAGCAAAAACCAATCCTCATGGGACAAATTCACACATTTTCGCTAGTGACTACGTCTTTTCAACTGTACATCTCCTAACATTGTAAAATTCAAAAAATTTAAAAAAATCAAAATATAAAACTAATCAAAAAACAGTCTTACCCATCCCCATTACCATCTCCAAACACGACATCCGACGGTTGATATGCGGCCTCCAGGTAGGTTCTCGGCTGATGTGGCTCGGCCACAATTGGCGGAGAGAACGTCGATGCTGAGCCACCCGTGTTTACACTATAACCTAAAACAACAAAGCATTAGTTCTATAACGCCGAGAACAGTCGAAAGTTAGTCGCAAAGAGATTAGCAGATAGTAGAAGGCGATTCGAAAGAATTCAGAAGAACAACGGAAAGTTGGCGAGAGAAACGGCCAGAATGTGGCCAGAGAGTGTACTTGTCCCTCCCGAAGATCCCCTTGCTACTCGAGAAGGAAAGAAGTAAAAACAGTCACAAACAAACCATCTGAAGCCATCCCACCGTAGCACGAGACCGGCCGCGGGCGTCGCAACACTACTAAAAGGGTTAGTCGTTCATTAATAAGTAATTAGTCAACAAATAGGCAAAAATAGGTTTTGACAGTAGTTTAGTATACAAAGTGTTATTTAGTAATGGTTGAGTGTAAATACATTTTAATTAACACCACAACATCTACACAGTATTATGAACACATATTGCACATTATGACTCTACTATAGTAGCTACTAGTTAAAAACCAAATCAATCAAAAGCTTTGTCCAAAACAAATTACCATAACTTTGGCCGAAAGACCTTCTCAATTCGTCATTTCTAATCGGTTTCAATTCATCGTTCCAAACCACGGAAGACCCCTCCAATGTGGTGTAGCTCTTATTCATGTCGTACGGCCTTTCCAGGCTACTAACATTGTTAACATGCTCGATACAACTCTTTCTGTCATCTCTGTGCCTCCTGTTCTTATAGACCATATTAGTGTTACCTACTTCAACACTAGGCCCATCTACCTCACTCACAGCCTTCCTCGGCCTTCTCACGTTAACCTCGACTTCTCTTACCTTGACCAAGTCTGACATGTTATCGTAGTCATCTGTAGACAGCTTTCCGTAGCACGATTGATTCATCAGATCAGCCTTCCTTGCCTTAAACTTGAGGTAGTTCACGGTGGCTTGGGAGTAATCAGTCTTGAGCTGATTGACCGCGACAGATGAGCCATATTTCTTGGGTTTGGCATCAATACTCAAGGTCTGGCGTTCATCCTCAGGCTTAGGAACCCAGTCAAAGTTGTGCAACTTCTTCTTAGATCTAGACTTTGTCGCAAACCTTTTGAAACAGTCGATGATGTGAATGCCACTCGGATTCACAACTTCGTTGTGGGACTTGGAATGTGTTAGAGGGTAGGCCATGACCTTGAAACACATTATTATCAAACACTGAACGAGATGAGCGAGAACACACAAAACCGCGCAAATAAAACAACCTGGCACTCTAAAATGATTTGCAGAGGAACAGTGACGAGTGGAGAGCAAGTCTAATATCCGGTCGCACAAACAGTAACGCGAACTGTGAACTCGACATCTGGTACCCGCAAAAAAGGTCTTTAATACCAGATTGCCTAATTTTTTATAAAGATTTGTCGCAAAACTGCCTTTCCGCTACAAATTTCTTCAAAATATTTTTGAAAAAATATTACCTAAAATTAAAAAAGAAAATTTCGTCGCAAATTCAAAAATTTTACAAGATGAAACTGGAGGACAACAAAAATAACATGCGGACACTGGATTGGCTATCAAATGACTCAAAAACTTGGGCCAACATATCCTCATATATATCTGAATAGCGAAAAGGAGGTCACTCGCTCCACCTGAGCAGCACAAACAGAGCGAACGCCGGCCTCGAGGCCACAAATCACTTGGATAATGCCCTGGCATATACGCTGAGTTATGTCCACACGTTTGTTATAACAATCGAACGTCGAAGGCGACAATGCTTCATAAATATTAGTTTTGACACACTTTTAAAACCAATAAAATTTTAAAAAAACCACCCAAAAATAGTGCTTTACCCCGCTCTTAAGCTTCCAATAAATGTTAACCCTCCCAATCGTAAATGTTACAATCTGACCTCCAGCAGCTCAGAATTAGCCCCCATTTGAAGCCTTTTTAAAAATACATTGAGCGACATCAATCTCCTGGCCTGCATCTGTTGCAATTATGCACTGCGCCGATATTAATCATGACATCCGAGCTTGAGAACTCGCGTTTCAAGAACTCAAACGTCAAATAACCAATGCAACGTAGCATTATAACGTAAATAAGACTGAATTTTGTAAAAATAATATTAAAATATTTTTAAAAAAGACATTAAAACAACAAAATGTACCTAAAAATATAAAACGTGTAAGAAATACAACGAAAGACAATAAAAGAATAAAACCTAAACTGATTTTAAAAGTAAGGTAACTTTCAACATGTATAAAACATGTAGTAAAAGTAAAAATAGATATGCGTTCAGTAAACAGATTAAAACCTATATGAACTAACATAAAACAAGCTTTTCAAACAAAATAAGTAGACCAACATCAATATACAAATAGGTTAAGCTCGTAAACTTACTGCTTTCGTTGAGATGGGTAGCACTAGCATGGTGGAATCTTCTATACGGAGAATAGCCAGCTGAAAAGCAACAAATTATTATCAAAATATTTAAAATTTAGGTATTGATAAGAAAAATGTTGACATACGTTATCTAAATTATATTCGAATGTAAACTATTATAGTTTAGTAAGAAATACAGAAACCACCTTTGATCGTAAGGCGTATCTTAAAACGATATTAACTAAATCTTCATCAAACAAAAAACATAAATCTACCTTCATACACACTCATCGTTCTTCGTGGCGATATTGTGTGTGGCATCTGGTTGGCTACGTTCTCAGGCGATTTCACCTCCTCCAGGACCTTCTTCTTCTTGATGCCCCACCATCGTTTTGTGATCGGAGGCTTCTCCATCTCTGAATCGTTCTTTCCTGGCGTCTTCTTCGAAGCTGCAAACAAACCGTTAAATGCAAATGAGAACATAAAATTATATTCCTCGTCCCCAACAACATCCTATCCAATAAAATATTAATTTTTAAGGTCAAAACAGAGTATAAAACATCTAAAATTACAAAAACTAGTAAAACACTAGTTAATAGCACTATAGCAGCACAAAACAGCACGAAATAGTACTAAAACAACTTTTACCTTTGACTGTACAGAACATTTCTTTTTTCAGCTTCACCATTCCCCGATTCGAGCCAATTTTGGCATCCAAATGCAAAAGTTCGGCTAATTCGCAAGGACAATTCTTCGTAAACTTTTTTGGCGGCCTCTTGTCTTCGCGGTGGGACCTAAGCTTAACGGCTTCTTTTTCTTTTTTTCGTTGATTGCGAGACGAACCTGATGCAAATGCCGTCGAAAGGGGCTAAAGGACAGGTTTTTATGGTAATGACGCCTTTTAATGATGTGGCTTCGCGATTTACAACAAGATCTGGTCTTCAATCGATATTTCGAAGAGGTAGAATTACAACACAAGATAGATAACATCGTTTCGGGCAGTTCAGATGTTTTCGATGTTAAAGGTTCGTTTAAATTAAAGACTTGATCTTACTCAAAACTGAGTTTAAAATATTAAAATTTAACAGAAAATTTAGATTTTTATTGAGTTTGGACTAGAAGACTTCTAATAATCGAATCTACTCGAATATAACATAAAATCAATAAAAATCTGCACAATAACTGATAACACAAATAATGAAGTCAAAGCTACAATAATACAATTTATTTTATAAATCTAGGCTTATTCAGTGAAGGAGACAGTGTCGTATCTCTCCATCGTCGATCGTTGCCAAGTGTCATAGTAGGGGTTATAATAATGGCTGTACTCGTCCTGGTTGAATTTACGCTTCTTCTGAAATAAAAGTTATTTTTTGAACTAGAAAAATAATTATTTTAATTTTCAAACATAGGAAAGTAAAGTTTTTTATTTTGTTTTACATATTAATCTACTATGACATGACAGATTATGTGAAACACCTAGAGACGAAGCTGGTTCTGTACATTGTTGTATACATATATTACATTTTGGAATGGACTTACTCTAGTGGGATCCCATCCAGCCTTAGTTCGAGCACTAGAGACATTGGAGGTGGAGGTTTTGGTCTTGGAAGAAGTTGTCGCAGACTTCGGACTTTTGCCGTTTTTCCTTTTCAAGAAGCTCATTCTGGGTTTCTTCTGTGAGGTAGAGAGGGTAGTCGACTTGCTGGACGAGGTGCTGTGCGTTTTCCTGAACTTTCTCTTCTTGACGCAGAAGGCGACCCACAATAACAACATGATGAAGTTGAGGATGGCTAGGCCACCGGCTACACCTATCAGAATCTTGTCCCACGATACCTTGGTGGAGTCACTGTTTCTGTAATGTAAGTTTTGTTATTTTGTGACTGTTTTTAAAAGTTGTTTTGTTTTACTTACTTCTCTGTTGTATCTTCCTGACTACTACTAGTTGAGGTATCTGTCTCGTCTTCATCCTCCATATCAAAGTCCGTGGTATCTGAAATGAGGTTACATTACATTTTGATACAATTTTGATAGTCTTACTAGTTTGAGAGGAATTTTACAATTTTATGAAACGACTACATTAGGTAATATTAGCATTAACATACCATCTGTTATGTTTTCTACCAAAGTCGTGTTTTCTACTGTAGCGTCAGTTATGGGATCCTCTTCGACTTTTTTAGTTGTAGTGGGTGCCTCCGTAGTTGTAGTAGTAGTAGTACTGACGGTGGTAGTTACTGTAGTTGTTACGGTAGTTGTTACTGTGGTAGTAGTTACTGTGGTTGTTACTGTAGTCGTTGTCACAGTTGTGGTAGTCACAATTGTGGATGTTGTGGGTTTAGAAGTTGTTTCAGACGACATGGTGGTGTCTTCTTTATCTTCTGGTGCGGTATCTTCCTTAGCATCTGGTGGTGGGTCTTCTTCTCCATCGTTAACTTGTGGTTCTTCTGTTTGAAGATCTTCTGGAGTGTATTCGTTTGGATCAGGTACAATATCGTCTTCATTCTGGGCGATATCGATGTCATCGGCTTCTTGTAAACTGAAAAGACAATGTTACCATAAGTTTTGCAAATTCATAATAATAATATAACAGTATTATACTTGTTGTAAAGTTCATAATGTAATGTTTCTAAATCTAAATTGAAATGTAAAGTAAAACAATGGTAATTTTAGACTCACGGTCTTCGGCCATCGTATCCGTCTAAAGCGTCATTTTCCTTATTTTCAACGCTACGTGGATGTCGTCTTTTACCAATTTGATAAGGATTCGCTTTATAATGGCTACGTGAAGCTATACCACGTTCTACATCTTCATACGGTGCTGCATACGGATTCTGAAAACAAGAAAATGACAGTTATATGTAGGTATGTCATATATATTAGCAGTATTTCGGAAAAGGGTAAAATACGAACTGAAGAAAAGGAAAACAAAACATGTCGCAAGTAAAGGTCACATACTCTACGACGATCCAACTGAAAGTTTCTCTGTCGAGCATCATCAGCGTACAGCGACAAAATGGACGGGATTACCAGGAATAGAACCCAAATTACTTTCATTTTGGACGACCGAATAATCAAAATGACAGATCGAATTGACTTCCATTTCTGACAAAGTTGGTTTATGCAAATTTGGCAGAAAAGGTAATGTTTACTCTTCTCAGCCAATGTTTATATACCAAGATACGACCAACAATCGATCTAAATACCGTAATCCGGTCGGGTTTGGGGCTAAATTGGATTAGGCTGTTTTGTAATCAAATATGCCGATATCGTCGTATTTTGTCGCGGTGTAGTATGAGGTATTTGACAAAGTGGTGGTCGGAAGTTGTTTTACAATTACGGTAGTGTATGATTCTGATGTTATGTAAGCTTAAACAGTTGTTATTTCTAACGGATATTTACCATAGGAATTTAGTGTATCTTATTGAAGCAAAAGCTAATATGTGTGTAATGTTTGTTACAACGTTGTCTACTGTACTGTACGAACTGTTTTGGGACTTTGCACTGTACTTACTGTTACTTTACATTTGTAAAATTGCGAAACCATTCCTCGGGTTGTAAATATGTATGGATACTGACGCAATTTGTAATCTACTAATGCACATCGTATGTTCTGGAAATTAGAAGTCACAGGTATCATTATTACAATATCGCGTTTCACAATGACACAAAAGCGGATAAGAGCTGTGACATAGTCAAGCACTTGGCTACGGTCATAATGTAGCTAGTTTTGTTATGTATTGAAAGTTACAGTACTTTTTGGGTCACAAATTAGCTTTAGACGTTGATAAGATGGCAGGATATTGAGTTGTTTTGACGGCTTTTGACTGGAATAACTGTAATGTAATAGCTGTATATATAGATAATATGGGTTCGAAAAGTTTAAAATTGGGTTGATGTGCGTCTATTTTACTTTTCTTTCAATTTACATTAGTATGTACAATAATCTATAGCTTAAAAATTATTTTTTGCACAGGGAAAGCTGTTTTTATATTTGAATCTTTACATTACTTCCAGTTTTTAATAGATAATACATATTTTTATTTACCGTAACAACGACGATAGCCGTGTAATTGCTTATGTGCTAACGCCGAGTAAACTTTGAAATGCTTTTAATGTGTTTGTTTAACAATCAGAAAATGATTTATGAGGAAAAGAAAACACCACACCTGTGTTGCGCCGTATTATCATCGACTTATCAGCGACGATAAGGGAATGGGCCCGTTCTCGACTTCGTGTTTCAATTAAAATACTTTTTTAATTTACTTTCACCCGGCGGCTTCATCAAAGCCCCCGGATTTTGACACTTTGGGAGACCGGAGGGCGTTGAAGTGTGTCGCCCAATTGGCTGGTGATAAGGGGTCGCTCTCTCCGCTCACTGTGATGTCTCGTTTACGGTGGCCGTTTATGGTAGTTTGTTACAGTATGGGTGTAAGGGGTAGAGCTAACTGTGAGGTTTTTGACTCATTTGGGGTTTTGATGACGTACTTATTGTTATGATAAAAGGTTTTGTTACTGTTAACAACATCTGCTTATATTACTGTGATTACCTTGTCGTAAGAAAACATTGTAGTGACTAACTATAGTAAGCATTATTTATCTAATTATACTATTCCAAACCATTTAGAAGTTGCTAAATTGTCCTTATCTTGGCCGTGTTACCTTGTCATTAGATGTTGCGTAAGGGTAATGTCGCGGTCATCAGATTGTCGATGACCGGAACCAGTAGAACCATTAGTAAGGTCAGAGCCTGGGAATCCTTCACTTTGAAGGAACATTAGCATCTGACCCTTTTAAGATTAGTACCACACCTACAATTATAATGCCATTTGACCTTTCCTTCTTCTCAATTACCGTATTAGGGGGTATACCTTAATGCATCTTGGTACAAATCATTTTTTTAAATTTTATGTTTGTTACTTTGGATACCTTTTGTGGAATTTAAATAATTTTAAAACTTTTTGATGTTTTTGTGTTTAGTAATATCTTTTGCATTACTTTATTACTTTTTTACAGTAACAGTTATATGAAGCTATTAGGCATACCTTTCACTATATGTTATAAATAGTAGAAGCTTCAAATAGTAGATGTCACAATCCTAAATCAACAAACGCTCGTGGCCATATTAACCTCTTAATCGCGGCCCAATACGATAATGGCCAGCTTACAGTCTATTTACTCTCGCTCCATTACATTTCGTATCTTTGAGGTTGGATTGCGCAACGCGGCGCATCTGCCAAGTAACTCTTAATGGGGCCGGTTCCCACACCCAATGACTATTTATCGTTATGCAAATTCGAAGGGTTAGTACCGTAGTGCATAAAAACAGTATTTATGGAGTGCGGCGCCCTTAAAGTAGTTAATTGCGTACCGTAGATGGATTCCTTGTCGCTCCGCATCGGCTTCAAATCGCTGCTGGGGGTTTCGAATTGTGTCAGGATTCTGAATTCCGGCGCGCGCGAGCGATGCCACACTTTCCCTGAAATGGAGACTAATCCTTACAAAAATAGACAGGGATTAGTCCATTGTGTACAGGTTTACCATGCATTCAGCCTTGAACACGGCTGAAGGCGATAGCTAAGTGACAATACCACGATTGTCACGGTAAAAGGTCACACAGCGTTCGAAATCGAAAGAGTTGAAAGTTAAAAGTTATGACAAGACAGGTTTAGATGGTAGTAAATAGGAGCGAAGTTACTTATTCAGAAGCTTTTGGCTAGTTTTTTAAACTTAAGGACGGGATTACCTATTGTAATATAATTTAAACTTTTTTTGAGAATATATTATACTACCCCAACCCTTGCCAATATGCAAATTCATAAACACTAGCCAAAAGTTTGCGCCAAACCAACCCAAACGACTCCGGCGACTCGCATGAGCAAACGAAGCATTCCTGCAGTTAAACAATAAACTGACTAAATACTCTGTCGACAAACAAAGCCCTAAGCCCAAACTCAAACGGCGATGGCCCCAAACAAAGTGGTGGGGCCAAAGGTGTGATCGGCGAGATTACATGCCCAACTGAGCTCTTTCATCTCGAGAGCAGTGGATTAGCGCTCTCTTTAAGTTCGAGAGTACCGCGACCCATTTCCGGCACAGATTAGCAACTTTTTGCGCGAAATATCAGCGCCGGAACGGTCTTTGATGGGGAGAGGGGTGGTTTGCAAACAGTTGGGCATATATGGAGATGGAGGGGGAGAGATGGTTTTTAGATAGGGGGATGAAAGGGAGAGTGATTTGATAGCTGATATAAGTTAAAGTAAATTACTGGCTATGTTAGATAAAAAGGAATTTTATAGTTGATACTACTATAAGGTGAAAGATGAAGTAAAGTACTACTTTCAAGGCTATGTCAGATAAACATGATGACATTTCTGAAAAGCTTTGAGATACTAAACACAAACTTAAGAACTTTCAAGACGAATCGCTGTTACTAAAAAATTAGATACTACAAACATCTGTATTAAGAAAAGAATTTTACAGTAACCTTTGTATCTATCTTGCCTATAGTAAATGGCTTTTGTATCAAACCGTAAAAAAACTTGTTGTAGTCTCAAACTATCTCTAAAATTCTTCTTTTTCTGATAGAATATTCTGATTGTAAGCCTAAAAGTTCAACCAAAGTCTAAAAAACAACAAAATCAGCATTCAAAGTTACAAAACTTGGCCATAATCCTACAGTAATAGCTGTTATCAGACAGACTGCTTAGCTGTTTTTTCCACGATGTGTTATAGATGAAGAAAGCATGATTTGCTTCAAGTTCTTATCATTAAAACAACCCAAGGGATTAGTGACAATTCCTCTGACGCTTTTTGACGGCTTATCAGGGTGTCGAGAGTATGGTCTCGCCAGCTAACATACTACACCAATATCAATACGAAAATGAAAGTGTTGGCACTCTCATGCCCAAATCAGCGTTAAAAGTTGTGCGAGAGTGGCACTCTTCGAGGCAGCCGGCTGAAGAGGCATCGCAAACCTCCGCCACCCCTCCTCGAGAATTGTAAAGTAACCCGCCGCTGATAGTAATTGTCATTTCACTGCGCATCACCACATTTCATGGTATGACAAAAATTAAAATTCGATGAAAGAGTGGGGCCCGAGAGCGGGGCTACAGTACCGGCCAATCAGCGGCGGCGACACCGCCCCCCGCCTCGGCGAACAAACAGGGCGTGGGAAGGGGAGACACGGAGGGGTGGTCGACTTCTCACAGCTACGACTTGACGTCTCTCTCCTTTTCATTTTTTTGCTGAAATCGGCTTTACCAACGTTTTTGCGACGACTTTAATCAGCTAGGACCGGGGCGATTTTCTCGGCTGATCCCCGAGAGGGGGGGGAATCCATTCCCAATCCGCTAAAGGCTGATAAGCCTTTTTTGTCCCCACCCCTTTACCCGAAATACTTGAGTGATAATCGCTTTAGGAAATGAGTAAACTTGGCAGCTTACCGCGACAAATCGCATTAGCAAGGATGAGTAGGGGCAGTCCAGCCAGCACTTGTGTTTAGGCCGATTTAACCCCCGCTTAATCCCGAGCTAAGCGGTTAAATAACTTGTAAACAAATAAACAATTGGTTTAGTAATAATTGATCTGCCAGTAGATGACCAATACGAAAGCATTAAGGTAGTAGCAAGTCAAGTGGCACAACTCATCTTTAGTCTCTAAGCCAAGTCGATAGCTAACAAAAATTGAACATTTCATAAATTTAGCTTAATTTATTAAGTATAACTTTTATTGATTTTTGAAAATTTGACAATTTTTGATTATATATACATTATCTAACATCATATAAGTCATGTTAACTTACTTTACTTTTAACTTAAACATGAATACAAGTATGACACTTTTTACTTTACAATACAGAAAAAGTCATATTTAGTCTAGCTGCCATCTTTTGCTAAACATTTCTTACCGTAGGTACCTTTTACAACCAGCATGTTATTGTGAAAGTAGAATAACAACCATGAAAGTCATGGTATTCGGCTTACTCAGCTCTGTCAACAAGGTCTACCGTAGCCGGTTGTAAGTGAAATAACTACCGTAGCCGATCGTAACATTTCACAATGCAAGGAAATACCTTACTTTGCGGATATTAATACAATTCTTGGTTTGTTACTATGCCTCGCATTGTGAAATGTGATCATTACTTGATTAAAAACAGGCCCGTGCCATTGACGTCGCGGCCACCTGTATGGCCACATTGCATTAGCTTAATGCAGGTGCTCTCTCCGCCCAATCCGAGAAATGCCGGATTCAATCGGCATAAAGGATCTCAGAAGGCATTAGCTTCATTTCGATTCCTGATGTAAGGGGCCACGGTGTCGCGGGCTTAAGTTTAAATCTAAGCGGGTTTCTGGAGGCGACTGATCGGGTATGGCAATTGAGATGGGCTTAAGGAGGGTTAACATCAAGTGACGTGATGTTTTGTACTAGTATCTGAGCATCACGTCAGTAAATGCTGAAACTAAATTTCATTTTTTCAAAAAACCTTATTTTGGTTCAGTGTCTAATATTTAGGTAACAAAAGCGATATTGTAGTAGTTTATCTAAGTGAATTTACATGATCATTTTTCAAAACTGCAAACATATTTTAAATATCGTCATTATACGCGTATACCACCCAAAATATAAAAGTTACAGTATCTTCAATTTCAGCATCAGAGTGGCGGTCCCAGCCCCACTCGACTCAGCCAAAGTGGAATCAGCTAACTTGACGAAGCCAGAAGAAGACAATCAACCGGTCGACTGTGTGAGCTCAGCCTTTGGCAACATCAACCCCTTTACCTACAACACGTTCTCGGCCGCGATGAACTACATCCCCAACACGGCCATCAACTCGGCCGCCAACATGGCCGCCGCCTACTTCACTAAACAAAGTTACCCCACCGCCCCACAGTTGTCGTTCGCGTCGCCGGTGGCTACGGCTGCCGCCAACTTCCTCCAACCCACGATGGGCTTCTCGCTGCCGGACTGCCCCACCTGGTCCAACGGACCACCTCCAAGGTCGGATTCCATTCCCCAGTCCTCCACCTCACATCTGTTCGGCCACACTTTCATTCGGTCTGATAAGTTTGGGGATTAAGCCAAGTTGGTTCGGAGGCTGAACCTGGCCTAATCTTCAACTGATTGTTGTTGTGGTTGACGCTGTCCGCTGACAATTAGGTTGATTAACGTGAACGACGCCTTTTAGTGGTGTACTGTAGCTTCTACGGTGGTTTTAAACCAAGTAATGTAAATGTTATGGTAACATATGTAGTAGATGTTATGTTACTCTACATTGTATAACACAACTTTAGGCTTATAAACTTACAAGTTCATGTTGCTCAACCTAATTGTCATACTTAATGTCATTCTTTTCCCTTACTATCACTTGTCCATGTTTCTTACTGTACTTAATTTCAGAAAACAGCGAAGAGAGAGAACGACATTCACCCGTGCCCAATTAGACGTACTCGAAAGTGTGTTCGCCTCCACAAGATACCCAGACATCTTTACTCGCGAAGAAATGGCAGTTCAGATTGGTCTCCCAGAATCACGAGTTCAGGTGAGTACTGTTACACTTCTTTGAAGTACTGTGACCTTACTATTGTAAAAAAATTAAAATTTGGAGTTACATATATTGTCTTTTAGTTACAGGTATTTAACCTATACCTATAAACTCTTTTCATATTTTATAACAAGAGCTATTATTGTAATAGGAGCTTTACCATCTCTAGATTGCCTTATTTTCCAAACTTTTTTCAAATTCCACCCAAACCTTTAACTTTTTGTCGCGATACAAAAGAATTTCCTGCCGCATGGAATCTCTTTACCGTAGCCGAAGACGTCTGATCGTGTTGTTTGATCAAACCTTCTATTTGTCGCAAAACGTAAAAAAAGCGGTCGACTGCACAATTCTACAGTAACCCGTTGTAGGTATGGTTCAAGAATCGACGAGCGAAGGCGCGACAACAGAAGAAGTCGCAGAGTCACAACCAGACGGCAGCAGCTGTCAAGAAGGGCTCGGGAAGTAGCGATGGCAGTTCCGGCAACTCTGGCAGCTCCAACTCGTCGTCCAGTTCCAATTCGGAACAGCCGAGCTCGGGAGACTGTGCTGACGTGAGTTTTTAGAAGTAGTTTTTTGGTCGAAAAATACATAGAAAAGTAAAAAATGACAGTTTAATTACGTATTAACTTTAAACTAGGTTTTGTCGCAAATAAAAAAGTAAATTAAGATATTGTTTTAGTTTCCGATCAAGACCGAAGAAGGTCTGAACGAGCCCAGCTCAGTCGGGAGTGCCGAGATGCAGAATGGCAGCGACAACCCTCTGGACATAAAGAACGTGGCGTCGCTGTCGCAGTCGTATCTGGACGTTTGTAATTCGAATTACACCAGCTACCCTTCTGTGCCGTTCCGAACCCAACCCTACGCCTCCACCGCCAGCTACTACACCCCCGGAGGGTCTGGCATGGACTACCTACAGTACACCACTCCCGTCACAAACGCCGCAGGCAGTTATTCCGGCGAACCGTGGAAGTTCAACATGAGTGGATGAGAGTACTGTAACGTTTCTTTGAGTACTGTAACTTCTTGTTAGGTACTGTAACTTGGTTTCAAGTACTGTAATTATACTGTAACTTTATTTAATGTGCTTTTACTTTGTGTTAAGATCTTTTCTTGTCACTATTTCATATTTTTGATGACCTTTTATCTAAAAGTGCATATATTACAATCTTAACCTGAATAGTCTACATAACCCTTATATATATCTCGTATTACTTTGTTTCTTATATATTTGTGACCTTGTTATATACGTTTTATGTTGTTGTGCATCTCTAGACTACTATGGTACGATCCTCCAAAGTTTTAATCATAGGCCATATAGTTATTTAGGTATGTTGGTGTCGGTTTGTTCCACTTTTACCGTGCTCTTCATAGTGTCCTGGTTATGTTTCTGTCTTTCTCTAGCTTAATATTATTGTATCTTTAAGCGAGTCCGTTAATTCTTTCGGAATATCTTTTTATATCAATTTTATAGAAAATTTGGTCCAAAAGTTTATAGAATTGACTATTTTAGTTTAATATTGACATTTATATTAACTTTGTGACCAATCGAATGCTTTTTAGCCCAAAAACGAAAAAATTAATGGATCACCTCTTTTTACATTTGTTTCTCCGACGTCTCTCAGTTCTTCTCACTCTCTCTGACACTCTCTCGTGTGCCACACACTCTCGGCTGATCTTGTGGTACTAGTCGGAATCAGATCGGCTTAAAGAAAGATTCTGGAAGTCGGCATCACTCGTCTTCAAATGAAATGTACATTTCCATTACATCTACATTAACATTCATTCTAGAAAACAAATACAAATCCGGTTTAATCCTCGTCTCGCATTACTTTGGTTAATTAAACTATCACTTACGGTAACGTAATCTTGGACACCTATTTAATAATAAAGTTTACTTGAAACTCTTTGTTTAAATCACGTCGTATGTTTGAGTAAAACAAGTTTTAGCTTTAGTACTACACAGTAAAAATAGTCCACAAATCGATAAGAATATATGAAAAGGTAAGAACCAATATAGACATACATTTAAAACAATATCCAAGTAAACTCTTATATTTAATGCCAACATCACAAATCAAAAGTAACATTTATAACAGTATATCTACTACAATATCCGTCTAACTCAAACGCCAGTCCACACTTTGCATCTCTTGCCCTCAGGCGGGAACAAGGCCTGTTTAGGCTTGCATCCAAAGTCATTGGCGAACTGTGGTATGTCTTGCATTACCTGGTTGACTCTGCACTTGCCTGGGGCGTGTTCGTTGGTCAAGATCTGATTCACCAAGTTATCTTGTTCTTGCTTCATACACCACGAGAATGCGTAGGTAATCCAGAAGACTTGGTTCGAAGTGAAGCCATCTAGGCCTGGGAGTTGTTGTTCTTCTTTACCGTCATTCACAGTATCCACCCAGGCGCGGTAAGCGTTGTAAGCAGCTAGTTGACCTCCGATGTCAGCGATATTCTCTCCTATAAAATAAAAAGTTTAGTAAACAGTAAATAGGCTTAAAATTTAATTTTTAAAATTGAAAATAAAATATTTAATAAAAAACTGTCAATTGTGGCATTCATTGCCAAAAAAGTAAATAATCAATAGTTTCAACGCGACCAAAGTATTTTTTAGCCAAAAGTTCTTCAGAATGTGGCGAAACTGACCTTGGGTGTTCTCTCCATTAGCACAGTGAACATTGCCAGTGTCCAATGGACAGCATTGTTCATTGTATTGAGATATGACACATTGGGCCATGTTCAGGAAACCGTCGATCGAGTCTGAGTTTAGCCAAGTGCAATATTCCAGGTTGCAATTGCCCGAAAGACTACCATCTGGTCCAAATTGAACTCCTAAAACATTTTGTAAGTTTTTATTGTTATAGTCCCTATTTCAATATTACACATGATTGGCCAAGAAAAGAGCTTAATAAGTAATTCGTTCATAATATATTTTTACTAGCTATTATATTTATAAATTAGTCTATGTTTCATCTATAACATCACTTCAATCTTCCTAAACCCGACTCACCACTACTATCAAAGCCATGAGTAAGCTCGTGACCCAATGTACCACCTTGACCTCCGTACTTGTAAGCTTGTGGGTAGTCCAACTTGTAATATGGTGGATTCAAAATGGCAAATGGAACAGTAATAGAGTTCAATTCAGGAGCGTACCATGCATTTACAGTAGCCGGAGAGTCCAAGAAGTTGGCGCGATCCACATCCTTACCCCAGATCCCGAGCTTCTCAGTCTTTTGATGGGCCTTTCCTAAAGCAATCAGAATGTCAAAGTAGCTTTCGACCTTGTCGTCCAATATGCTGTTGATGTACTGTGTGTGGTACTGGTCTAGTTCCTTGTAGTCTCCGTCGAAGGCTTTTTCAAAGAACTTGGGGTAGCCAATGTTAACATGAGACTTCAGTTCTTCGGCTGAATAAAGAATGTTTTACTAGACTATCTGTGATATATGCACTCTTATTAAGAAAATGTTTCGGCTTAAAGGTAAAACCATTTTCATATATTCTTCTACACTTTATGTTACAGTAACCCACCTTTGGCTTGTACACTTTTCCTAGAAGCCTTCATCCACTCGATAGAATCCACATTCTTCAAAAACTGTTCGATAACCAGCTTTGTTTGTAGTTTTATGTCATCCACAACCTGTTGTCGCATATCATTGCCAAGGCCATTAACATAGATGAAGCCAGGACCATACGGCATCCAGTCCTTGATGGTACCGACACAACCCACCTTGTCATCGTCGCTGACCTTGTGTTTCCTGGAGGTGGAGAACTGGGTGATGGCCTTGATCAACACCTGCTCCTCACCTCCAATGAAGTCTTTAAAGTTCAGAAGATACCTGTAGCCCAAGTAGTTGTAGACGACACGATGTTCGACCTGATTCAGAAGTGTGTTTAGGGATTCGAAGTATCGTGGCTGGGTCACGATGATGGCAAGGTCTTCTCGTTTGACGTCATCGTACACAATATTGGTGATGAACTCTTTTAGCTGCTCGTAATCTTTTTGGAAGCTAGTAAAGTTGTACTTGTTGTACTGGATATTGCTGTTGACTAGGAGGTTATTGGGGACTACATTCATGGCTAGCTTGATTTCTAGACTGACGAGTTCGTTGACGTCCTGCAAGTGTAATATTGTGTCTATACCGACATAAGAAGTATAATAGTTGTAATATTTTGTAAAATATAAAGGTTTTAGTCCAATTACAATATCTACAAATCAAATTAGGTAATATCAGGGTTATTTAATATCATAAGTGTATTTTAATGTGTCATACCTTCTTCAGCTTTTCTTTATCCACCTTAACATCAATACTGTTGGCAAACTTCTGAAAAAGCTCTTCGATTCTTGTGCGATGACTGTCTAACTTGTTGAGGAAGGTTGACTTGATGTAGTAGTCGAGTGGTAGCACAAAGGAAGGCTGAACAATATAATTAGTGTCGATGTCAATATATTTAACATACAATGTCAATCTTTTTATATTGACAAAAAATAGTAAAATAAGGAAGATAACTTACGGCACTCAGGTACAATGCATTCTTTTTGACGTTTTTAAAGTCGGCGGTGACATCAAAGCCGATTACTGTATCAATTTCAAAGTCTTTGATCCATTTGGCTGCGACTTCTAGTAAACTGGACTTCTGTTGCCAGTTTTCTGTCAACAAAGGTACTCCATTAATCCTACAAAAGGTTGATTCTGTAGTGGTATAACTTACTGTTCTTTCAGTTTATCGTTCAAAAACTTTGATCTGTCTTCTGATTTCCCATCTGAATTTTCGACACAGGCTTTGTATACCTAAATAACACGGTGAAGCGTTTTTTAAAGATTTCAAAGAAATAAAACATTGGTATGGCAGTACGTAAAATTCAAAATACAGTAATCAGCTATAAACAACCCCACTCGTCTACATACCTTTTTGACAACCTTCTCCGTGTCACTCAACGTATCGTTGTCATCTTGATCCAAGAACTCTACAATCTGGGTGTCGACTACAACTTGTGCTTCATCGTACGTTCCTATCCTCGTTGATCCTTCGGGTATCTTGACATTGTCCAGGTACTTATTACAGGTAAAAGCATAGAAGTCTTCGCATGGGTCTACACTAAGGTCGATACCTCGCAGAAGTTGCTCCCCAGCTTCTTTGAATCCAGAAGAGTTACTGACTGGTTGATTTGAGACTGGTCGATTACTCTTGGGCGTGGTATCTTCTTCAGACGATTTGTTGTCGCGGTCGATTAAAGTGAACACCAAATTTGTTACAGTAACCCCGAGAAGGGCCACACAAACGGCTAAATGTAAAGTTATATAAAATTATAAAGAACTATTTACAATGTAAAACGATGTTGTTGTCTCTACCTACTCTGTTATAAAACACAAACTTACTCAAGATGAGAACCAACAAGCCTGTCTTCCCCATGTTATTCTCGCCTTGAAAGCGAAGACGACTAATTAAGGGCGTCTTATCAGTTAATAGCTTCTTGGCAACTTTCGACGTCATCGCTATCTTGTACAATATGAATCAGATAAAACTGACTTGACTCCATCATCATGAGTAACATAAAGCATATTTGTAGTCTTTGCGTACAAACTTTGCGACAAAATAGGTGAAAAGCTTTGCGTGACGTAAAAAATATTAATTTTTTTGAGTAAAATTTCAAAAAGTTACAAAAAATAAAAATAAAGATTTTTAAATTTTAAAAATTTGAAACTGAGTCCATTCCTTTTGTAATGTCCCAGAAGGAGCAGCCGAACAACGATGAGGAGGAGCGACTGAAGCGGATGAACGATGTTTTCGACAAGTGCGACAACGAACAGTTTGAGGATTTGGCCAACAGTAAACGCGACTACCTGGTCCTGATCTTGCACTTGCGACGACTGTATTACTCGAGGATCGGCGTGACCATTATGATAATCGTATGTATGCTGATAGTGCTGACAATGTTCGTACTGTACAGGATCGCGCGACAGAAACTGAAGGAGGAACTTGGGTCTTGTGGGTAGTGAGTTTTCGTATTTTATTGTTATGGTTAAGCTTTTTAATGATATTTAAATTAATTTAAATTGTTTTTTCTTTCGAATTTTAACAAAAAATTGATTTGTACCGGTACCGATTGGATAATTTTGGTATTTTTCCCAATTTATCGCCGTAATATATGTGTTTTAGTTTCAAATGTCCAAATCCTCCTCGGGTATGTCCACAAGAGTATTACGAAGAACTGGATCGATGCGAATTAGCAAGTCACATCCAAAAAGGAAAAGTAAATGTAAGTTTTGAATTATAAGATGACCAGAGTATCAGTTTAAACTTTTTAAAATACTATACGCATATATTATAAATTTCAGGGCTGGATCGTATGTCCGAACGAAGATCACCTTGTATCAATTAACCCCGACGTCGACTTATTGGAATGAGACTATGGTTAAGATGAGGACATGTCAATTTGTGGTTAAAATCCAGAATATAACTGCTTGTGTGATCAACTTGACGATAATTATTTTTTTTTTTATTTTTTTGAAAAATATAGAAATTTTTCTAAAATAGTAATTAGCGGCATTCTTTTTGGTCCGATTTAACCCTGGTATTACCTTAATTTGATTTGTAGATAAGTTACTGTAATTTCATTACAACAGCTTCAAAAAGTGTCTCCCGACCGTGGTATGTTCATCCTCACATGGAGGTAGATTCATAAAGTAAATGTTTAGTCATACGTCCACATGGAGATATCAATCGATCTCGACGATATCCACCAGAGCAAACACCCTTTTACGACCTCAGGCATCGCAATAAATACAAAGTCGTAAGGTCATCTTTGGGCATAGCTACTGGGCTCTCGAGACATTTATATTTCTAGTTTTTTACTTTAAGATTTTATAATCAATATCGTTTTGTCGTTTTATAAGTTACATACTTAAAGATTTTACAATTTACTCCAATGTACCCAATTAGCTTGTACCTCATCATATCGTTGTGTCATACGATAGTACTATCATGTCAGTCAGGAGTTCCTGTCTTCAAAGGAGCCGACGTCGAAGCTAAACAGCTACAAGACGATCCTCAGATGCGAGTGATGGCTACAGTAAGGCCAGCTGATGCTCTCACCTTCAATACAGTAACCTTCCCTCCTATGCCAACCCTCCCTACCCTACCGTCGCTCTCTGATATCTTCAAATTACCGAGTCCAGTAACTCTCAAAGTTGACAACAGTATCCCCGAAGCTTCTACAGTAGCACGTGTCAGCGATTCATCTACAGTACCCGCTAGCACAGTCGTCATACCTACAGTGTTCCCAACCTTAATACCTAATCTTCCATCTTTTGCCACGGTAAACAATAACGTACTGAACAAAGTTAACCCTGAAGTCATAGACAACATCGTAAGCGACAGTAAACCTGATGTAGCTGATGATGACATCAGTTCAAGTGGAAATGGCACAAATGATGAAGATGTAAATAGTGCTGTATCCGAAATAACTTCTACAGTACCATCTAGCACAACTTCTACTGAAGCTTCAAGTACAACAGAAGAACCGAAACAAGACTGTAGCAGAGCTACTGTAACCGCAATTACTCTGATGCCATTTAACGATCACCTTGTCGTTGTAGACAAAGAACGGATAAATCAACAGGTAATGTGGCTTTAAATTATTGTAAATGTCATTACTATAATAACTAATTTAAATTACGGTAATTGACATTAAAGCTACTGTAAGTTATAATGAACATTACAGTATTATTGTTTCTCTAATTAACTTATAATAATCTTTATTTCAGATTATTTTGCTAGAAAGTTACACCCAAACCAAATTTGACTCATTCGGAACTTATACTCAAGAAGCTGTGTAAGTATTACAGTTTGCCGTTTTAATGTTATATTAGTTTAGTCGAAAAGTTTGTCGAATTTAAAATAAATTCGCTGACTAATCTTGATACCTATTTCAGAAACATTGATGGACAATTCTCGTTAGAATTTAGAATCAAAGACGTTAAAAGCTGCGCCGACCTCCGTGACTATGCAACCAAGGCTGTATCCTACAGTAGGGAAGTAAGTAGCGACAAAATTTAAAAAACCTCAAAAGATAAATCAAAATAAGCCACACCTATCTTAACCTTACCCATATGTCATCATTTAAATCATTTAAAACCTTATCAATAGCTAAAATATTAAAAACCTTATCGCCACTTCTACCACTTCTACCTTCAGATCGAACGAATCCTATTCACGTGTCACTGTGAACCAATGTGGATCATCGCAAAGCGTCGCTCAGGCTAACTCAACAATATTTATTAAAACTATGACTAATGTAATATAAATTAAGGGAATAAATATGAAACTACATAACGTTCTCGTACAAAAACCCGGCGATAACAAACCTGCAAACAAAGGCCAAAGCTGATGAAGCGACCTGATACCTGAGAAAGAGATTGTTCAGCTCGTACTCTCGCATCGGACCGTGGAACTTGAGCAATAGGTTCAGAATGGTCATGTTGCTTACTGAGAGCCACCTGGAAACATTAGTTAAAATTAATTTAAATTAAAAATTATTTTAAATTTAAGCAATTTAAACCTCAAAATTAACTTACTTTTCTCCATCCTTTTCAAACTCTTTATAGTCAAGAATGCACAAAGTTGTAAATAATTTGATAACAAGATGCCCCAAGACCTTGATATCTGATGCTTTGAACTCAGCTCGACTCATATTAAGCTGCTGGGTCTTCTCATCAAATTTGGGTAACCTGTGCCTTGGACATGGTACAAGATGAAACAGTTGTGGACATGAGTATAAGAAGTTAAATACCTGAAGATAAAAAAGTTAACTTCTCTACTTTCATACCTTAAATTGACCTAAAATTAATTAACACCGCGTTAAAATAAATATGCCCAACCTCACCTGTGGAATCAAGAACAATAACAATGTCTTCGAGAAATGTCCGATCACAGCTACGACCGCCAATGTCATTCCAGAAAAGTAACAAAAGGTATCGCCGACGAAGGCCTTAGCTGGATACTTATTGTGCATGTAAAGTCCCAAAGACGTCGCTATGAATGGTGCCAATAATGAAAAAGATAATAAGTGAGACCAAACAGATTCATCATCTTCCAGTCGTACCATTTGGACCAGATTGAATAGAGCCACGCTTGCTGCTATCACAATTGACTGTCCTGCTTCAACTCCGTTTATCCCAGCGATGATATTAATAGCATTGGTACAGAAGATAACCAACATGATAATGTAGACGTAAAAGAGAACTCCCAGTTCTAGGTAAGTCTGACCAAAAAAGTTGTAAAAGAACTTTGGTAACAACATGGCAGTCTTTTCTTCTAAAATTTGCAAAAAATTACATCCTGACCCTACAAATAATATGCCGTATCTAGTTTTAGAACAATTTAATTACAAATCTAGGTAATAAAACATTTGAACCATCTTTTAAAGCCCACCTGATATAAAATAGACCAAAACTAATGGCACAGAAGACAGGAACGGAAATATCAGTTTATGTCTCCACCTCAAATCCAACATGTCGTCGGCAAAGCCAAGCAAAATCGAAGTGCAGATACTGACCAGTCCAGCCAACAAGAACAGCAACCTTATTGGAGGCATGAAGGTGTTCACTTCTTGTTTCCATTCGTAAAAAGGTATTCCAATAAACACAAAAATGAATATTAGGTATACAGCAGCAGCCACCACGCCTAAAGGTTCTGCCACAGGTCCTGACTTCTCCTAAAAACATAATCAACACAATAATCAAAATTCTACTAGCTTGAACGTTAAGAACGCTTCTAAAAACACAAGAAACATAAAGAAAACCGCTTACCTTGCATTTATCTTGTCCATAATGTCCTTTCTGGATAAACATTGGGATAAAGAACCCAACATAATGATACGAACTTCTGAACGTTAATACACTCAGCACAATACTAGCTGTTAACGTCTGCCCCAGCCCCCAATTCAACCATTCCATCACATTAGACCATGACATCAGGCCTTTGTAACCCTAAAACAAGACAGAATTTTAAATTATGAAAATTTAAGTGTTAGTAAACGTGAAAAAAGATTTACAAAATAATGTCGAACAAAAAACTGTTTTACAAATTTCCGTCAATTTCAGCCGAAAAAACTACAGAACGCCAAACGATCTTCGACATTCATTGTTTTCGTTACAGTAAAAATAAATTTCTAATTTTTTAAATAACTTATTGAAAACTTTACAAAACATAATAACATATGCATGGTTTAATCAAATTTAAGCGAAATAGTCTTTTTAAAGCACCTATTCTATGTTTTTTCTAATTTATTTCTCTAAAATTAATTTTTTCATATAAAACCAACCTTGTTTCTCGTGCAGCTCGCAAACGAAGGGGCGCACCCCTTTAAAGACAAAAAAAATATTTTTTTTTCATAAAAAACGGGCTTTTTAAAAAGATTTTGGATAAGAAAAATGTCCATGGATCATGTCCAGCCTCCTTCTAGATATTGTTTCTTTTCACCGCCGATCAATTTGAAGAAATTTCTAGATGACGCGACTCAAGCCGAAGATTCTTTATATTCTTTCTTCAACGAAGCAGCCTTTGATGAACAAGATGTACGGGAAACGTTTGTCAACTTTTTTGATAACAACCGACAGAACGTGGTTGATGCACAAAGAGGGGTGGTTGAAGTTGAGCAAGTTTTATTTAAATTAGATGCACTAGTAATTTATTAGTTTACAGTTATTAAGATACTGTAGTTTACTGAAACTCCGTAGCTTAAATGTTTTATTTCAGTGCGAACTTAGAAAATATTATTCATGAGTACCCAATGGTTGAGTTTGAACCGACATTTCCACCGAAAGACAGCAAACATCGCAGTCATTTGTAGGTATACTTTACATTATCCTTTACCATTCTATATTTAGAGTGCTAAATGAACTTCGGAAAGAGACAGAACAGAACACAAGGATCAAGAACTCTTATCTACACAGGGGAAGGTATTTCAAGTACCGTGATTTTGATCTACAACGACCTTTAAAGCCGAAAAACACAAAAAAAGCAAATGATTTTGTCGTTACAGTAAGCATGTTAGCTCCTCAGAACGTGATGTCATCTACGAATACAGACAACTCTTTGCGGAAACAATGTGAAGTTAAGTACATGGTCACAGGCGACATGTTACTCAGTAAATTGAGGGAGAAGGTATTCTGTCAGGCTGATTATTGGTGTAACAAGCAAGATTACGAAGATAATTCCGATCCTAACAACTATTTCATGGTGAGTATGGTTGTAAAAGTGTTCTTAAAACAGCGGAAGCCGTATCATTGGTTCTAAAACTTTAAAATGTTTTAAAATTGTATTAAGATCTTGTTATGATTTATTTTCTTTTTAGAATTTGTATCCTTCTGGCTTCTTCTTTATCTACGACACTTTTTTTGTTGACAAAACAAATCCAAATGCAACAGATATATCAAAGTAGGTTTATAAGCTGCAAAACATTTTACAATTATTATTAGACATAACTTTATACTGTGTTTACAATAGTTAAAGTAACTTTAAATTTCAGAGAAATCCGAGAATTTATGAAGCGCAAGAAAGATTCGTTCAAAGAGCACTATGTGGAGGATATGACTGAGGTTAAGATCTCTGATCTTACTATACGGTTAGGACAACCATATGTGTTTGTACATCAAGGTAAGTTTTATTTTTGAATTGGAAGTTTTTACTATGTATAATTTTGGTTGAAACAGAGATCCTACAATTCCTACGTTTTTTTAAAAGGTTTATTAACATATTTTCTACGCTATAGAAAATATGTTAAAGCGTAGAAAATATGTTAATAAACCTTTTGCAACTTGAAAATTTAAATTTTAGGTCATTGTGAACATTTAATAATCTTCACGGATTTGAGGTTGATGAATGTGAATGACATTCAAGACCTGTCGTTGTATCCTGTAATATTATATGACAGCCGAAAGACTACAAATTGTTGTGTTTGTAAAGATAATGTTGCTGCGTAGGTTTATGTTTTACAGTTTTTGGTCAGAAAGTTTATGGAAAAATATCTGTTAAGCCTCTAAACTGTTACTGAGACTTCACGGTCTTTTTGGCAAATAATAAATGACTTTGTTTTGACAATGTTAATACAAAATTTTTAGGTTTGTGGTGACGGAAAGCGACAGAATGCCAGTGAACCCTGGTTTTATGTGTGAACGATGCTTCAAGAGGTTTCATTATGAACGTAAAATGAGAATTGGCGACTTCAAAGCATATCACTTTGTTGACAAAGGCTGCTATGAGTAACGCAAATTGTAAATTGATAGATCTCTCAACTTGTAATATCTTGACAAATATGTATAGTTGTATATACTTTTACATTGGTGCTGTTTGGGAAAAACGGGTCTGACGTTAAAAAGATTATTATACTTCCTCTTACAGTATTTTTTTCTGCAAGGTTTCTGTATATTTTTGAATTTATAATTACTGTATGATTTTCACGTTTACTGTATTTTTTGTTTGTTAACTGTAGTAGCTGACGATTGTTGACTTTGTTCTCTTAAAAAGCGAAATTATTAATTGATCTACGTCATAAAATCGATCTTTAAATCAAGACCTTACACAGGCTATGCTTTCGAACCTTAAAATATTGTAATTGATATAATAAACGTGACCTGGAACAACTTGACCTCTTGCCACTACATTACCTACAAAAGAATCCTGAACTCTGCGGAGAGCTGCAGGTTTTGACAACAGCTGACTGAGATATTAAAACAAAAGAAAAAAGTTTTGGGCGGCCGTACATCAGAAGACGACAGACAGAAGGGGCAGGGTCCCTTATTCTGTCTAATTGCGCATTTTTTGACCTACATTGCTCTCTTATCGCTTTGATTGTGTTTTCGATTGCGTTAATTTGTTTTGTTTTCGTTAATTATGTTGTCAATTGCCATTAAACCCCTTCTTAAGGCCAGCGATAGATGAGGACAATATTGTACATGGATTGATGGTGTACGAAGACGTCGAGAATGAGGCCCAGTCGCCCAAAATCAGCACGATGGAGCCGACCCAGTACGAGAAGATTTGCAAAACCTTTTGCAAAGAGGAAAAGAGTTTCATCGAAGACGTGAGCACTATCGTGAACGTGTTTAAGAGGAGGTTGGAACAAGGTATTGGCGGTGATGCGGCCGGAAAGGTATGTCATAGTAGCTTGTTTCTGTTACGTCAGAAAGCACGATATGACGTCATATTTGTCGTTATCAATGAAAAATATTGGCAAAGTTGGCCCAAGGTAAAATTAAACAATCAAATAGAAATTCTTGGTATTTTAATAACTTCAAAGTTTGTAAAGATCGATTTCTAAGAACATTTTGACCGGTCGTAAGCTTTTTGATGTGTATAAGAAACTAATGTTTAATTTCAGAAGATAATAACATCAGTGTTTGGCAATGTAGGCGAGATATACGAACTGGCCATCAAAATTCATCGTACGATAGATGAAGGCATGGAGATGACAGACCCGCCTTGTATTGGAGCCGGCTTCATCGAACTCGCTGAAGGAATGGAGTTTGAAGCTTTCGTCAATTTTTCTGTAAGTTTGTATTAAAATTTGTTTGTCTGATTTTTAGGTAACAGTTTATTCGAAAACGAGTTACAATCGATTGACCTACATGAGGTTAATAAGATTATACGAAAACATTAGTCCAATGTAACGTAAAATTACATTTTAGTCGATCTTCGAAGACAATATTCACAAGAAAGTGTCTCAACTTATCCAAGACCCCAAGTACGAGTCCTTCTTTGACCTCGAAGATCGCACTTACAGTACTCTACCGACCGGTCGCACCTTCAGAATGGCGGTCAAGTACGTGTTGCCAGCATTACTGTACTCTGTAGTTGCTCACTTCTACAGTTATTTGAAGTACGTCAAGATGCTACAGACGAACAGTTTGTCGGATCTGGACAAAGAAGACCTATACAATTGTGATGTCATGCTCATGCAGGTCAGCAAACAACTCCCGACCATGGATAATGTGTAGGTTTGCTTAATTGTCAAAGTATATAACAGTTGATTTTAAATATTTTGTAATATTGGAATAGATTTTATGATTTTTTAACATGTTGATTATGTTTTGTCACTATCGAATTTGGTTTTAGTGAAAAACTTGGTCATCGCTTCAAGAAAGACTCGGCTTACCCAGTTGGCATCATTCCCGAGATCCAGAAGAGCATCGAAGGTTGGGTGGGGAAGAATATCGGAGCTCAGTGTTACGCGTTTATTCGAGAAGGCGATCTTCAGAAGGCACGGCACAATCAGAAGTTGGCAGGTAAGGTTACGATACTCTTTATTTTGGATTCTTTTGTACTGTAACATAAACGTTTACCGTAATATTATTCTAGATAACCTGCTACGAGGCGGTAAGAACTCATCAGAAGTTCATGTCTTTCTGTTTGACAACCTTCTGGTTATCACAAAGTCTACAAAGACGACAAAAAATGCTGGCTACAGGTACAAAGATCAGTATGACATCAGAAAGGCCGACATTGTGGATGTAGCTGATGATGAAGGTAGGTTTTTTAACCTTGTTTACTAATATTGGGCCATATATCTGAATCTAATCTAATACAATTGTGATTTAGAGTTGAAAAATGTCTTCCGAATCCGAGCAGGCGCAAAGGGCTCAGAAGTGAAGGAGATCACACTTTTTTGTCACACTCCAGAAGACCGTGACGACTGGATGACTTCCTTAATAGAGATGCAGACCTCGGGTATCTTAACCAGAATGAGAGACGCTTATCAGAAGGAGGAGGAGAAGCGGATCCCACTCATGATCCCCACACCTTCTGAATATCGCTACGCAGAACCTGACATGGACGAGAATATCATCTTCGAGGACTACACACACAGCGGGGTACCAGTGGTCAGAAGTGGTACCATTCTGAAGCTCATAGAACGTCTGACCTATCCTCATTATGTTGACAGTGAATTCCTGAAGACTTTCATGACAACATACAGGTCGTTCTGCTCTTCCATCGACCTTATGAACTACTTGATCGAAAGGTTCAGTATACCTGTTCCACAAGTGTTCGCTTACTTAGACCAGCAGTTCACAGCTCCGGTCCAACATAACAAGAGTGGAGGACCATTGGCTGGTCGTTATGACACAGTACAGTCTCACGGATGGTCTAGCTACAATCAGATATCGCCGGACAACCTGGAGCAAGCCTTCCATCGCTTCAGAGAAGAGTTCCAGAAGCCTATTCAGCACAAAGTGATGCAGATAATGAACCACTGGGTACGGTATCACACCTACGACTTCATCGACCCGGACTTGTGTCAGAAGATGAAGGACTTCCTGAACGGCAACATCGTGAAGCTGTCGAATAACCAGAAGAAGCTGTCGGCCAAGATTCTGGATGCGTTGGAGAAGAAGCTGAAGGAGACCGACCCATCGTTGCCGACAGAAGACAAGGTCGAGGAGAAGAAGGTGGAGATCGCCTTCTCTCAAGACGTTCCCGAAGTTGTGTGGCACACTGCGAAGCAAGGTGACATCGACAATTATGACATCTTGACATTGCATCCTCTCGAGATTGGACGACAAGTCACTTTGCTACACTTCTATCTGTACAAAGCCATTAAACCGATTGAGTTGGTGGATGCAGCCTGGACTAAACAGGATGAGAAATACAAAAAGAGTCCACAGTTACTCAAGTTGATCGATCACAGTACTAAGGTAGGTTGAGTTGGATTCGGAAGATTTTTAATATTATATATAATATTTTTATCAGTAAATATTCCTGCAGACATAACGCTGATTTAAAAATATTAAAGTGAAGCTACTGTTGTTGTAATTCCTAAATTTCAGCTGACATATTGGGTAGCCAAGTCTATAATCGAGACCAAATCGATTGAAGAACGTGTGGAACTGTTCTCCAGAATCCTGGAGATCATGTGTGTCTTCGAAGAGCTGAACAACTTCAATGGTGTAGTCGCCTTCTACTCGGCTCTGAACTGTAGCTCCGTCTTTCGTCTGAAGGACAGTCAATCTGTGAGTAACTTAAGAATTACTATCTAAAATAATATTAAGTAATCGTATCTTATACGTCTTACACTGGAAAGCACTAGTAATCTGTTCAATTACTGCCACTCTAATTAACCCTAATCTTGTTCTGAACCTTAATCTCTTCTTTTCAGCGTTTGGACAAAGAAAAACAGGCGTGGTACGGTAGATTCCAGAAGCTGTGTGACCCCCACTGGAAGGAGATGCTGCAAAGACTGCGCTCCATCAATCCACCTTGTGTACCATTTGCTGGAACATATTTAAGTCAGATATTCTTCTTCAAAACCGGCAGAAGCACCTACCATCAGACAGAGAACGACATTCACGACGACGATCCTGAAGTTCACCATCGGAAGCTGGTGTCCTTCGTCAAGTGTAGAAAGATCGCGGCCGTGATAAGGGAGATTCAGATGTATCAGAATCAACCGTACGCTTTGAAAGTGGAGCCATCGATCAGGGTGAGTACAATAGTTATTACCTATTCTTAACTACATTTGCTGATTGTTAGATGGGTTGTAGTAGATATTTTGTTTTAATGTGTAAATTTAAATGTTTCAGCAATTCTTCGAGCAAATAAATCCATTGGAAGGTTTTGATGACAAAGATGAGTTTGAAGCCTATTTGTACGACAGATCTATCGAGATAGAGCCGCGAGAAGGTGGTGCAGTTGATAACGGGGTAAGTAACGTTTGCTTCATATATAGTTCGATGTGGTATAAACAATCTTGTTAATATTATTCAAAAACTCATTGTTACCTAATTATAACGTTTCAGAAGCCAAAACACAGTGCAGAAGACCTGAAGTCTCCTGGTATCAAACCGAAGAGTGCCAACTCCAACTTCCAGCGTTCCAGAAGTCACAACGCGTATCATTCGCATACAATGCCAGCACCTTTCCCTCACAAACCAGCTCCAAAGTCAACTCTGACCTCACCTGTTCAGAAGAGTCCACCAGCTTTGTCGCCAACAGATGAGAATCCGTTCGCCATTCTCGACATCAGTCCAGGACATCATCCGAAATGGGTTGGCGATGCTCACGGTCGAGTGAACCAAGCCTTCACCTCGGACTACATCATGGCTCAACCTCCACATTCAGCTGGTCTATGTTCAAGTACTTCTCCCAACGACCCCAGAAGCCCAGCGTCAGCTAATTCAACGACAACTCCCAACTCTTCACGACGACTTCCACCAGCTCCGCTATCTTCACATGAAACTCGGTTCGCTTTTCCTCCTATTCACCCCCAATCAGCATCAAAAGCTAGCCATAAAGGTATACCTAATGTCACAAATGCCACTTTCAACCTTTCACAACCTCCATTACGCAAAGATCCTACTGGTTCTTCACAGACGCTACCGTTACGGAAGCCACCAGCTCCTACCCCAAGCTCGCCACCATTGTCGGTGCCTCTGATGGGTAGAATGGAGGATTCAGGTAGGAGAATATTATTGATTGAAGTAGTTGTTGAGCAGTGGTTAATTGAGTTTGGAAAAATATTACTTTAGCGTTAGAAAAGGTTTTTATTTGATACCAAAAATTTTATTTTAGAAAATCATCCAGATTTTTCTGTGTCATTGGACGAACACACTTCTTCTGTTCCTCCACGGCCAGCTCCCTTAGGTAAACAAAGTTAACACTTTTAATTACATTACTTAATGAATTTTTGGGTTTTTCGCTTCATTTTTTTAAACATAATACGTAATCTTATGCTTAAAAAAGTTATAGTTTCAGAAGACAACGGTTCTCCTTCGCCACGATCACCCACAGTTAGCCTGATGGTACCTTTGCCATCTTCAGCTGGTGGACGATCAGAACAATCTGATGAAGCGATGGCTCCACCCCGGCCTCCAAAGCCTTCAGGGCTTTCACGAAACCCGTCAACGGCCGGAGCGACCAGTAGCCCCAACGACGAGCTGAAGGTACCACCACTGCCGCCGAAGCCGCGCTCCGCCCCCTCGCTGGAAACCCGCCCCGCCGAAGAAAGCCTAGTACTAGACGCCCCGCCCTTGCCTCCCAAACCCAAGCTCAACAAACCGTGAGGGACCTCACACAACTGCACTTATCATTCAAATTTCTAGTTAACGGGTCATTTACACTTTATATTCGAATAAAATAACACAATCTAAAGCGAATGGAATGTTTGCGACGTTTTGAGGCATCTAGAGAACCGAGAACAACACCAATCCTACTAGGACCACCAGCTCGGTGATCTTCACCCCCGCGACAGCGTTACAGCCGTCCGTGTCGCAGGACTGCACACAACCCGTATATTGCTTATCCTCGTACTTGAAGTGACCACAGTGGCTGATACGAACGATTTCTAAAACACTTTCTATAGGTTTAATTTGGAAACTAGAATAGTTTCGTCGCCAACAATAAAATGTTTTTGAAAGTTAAAACAGAAAAAGGTTTTCGCTTCGAGACCCTGAAAAATAAAGATGCGCGTGTAATACGCAGTACAAAAATGTTGTCTATTAAGTTTTCTGTCGATATTATACTAGTTTTTAATAATACGTATGCATTTTTAGCTCTGAAAAGAAGTATTTACTAGTTAAAAAACAATTTCTTACCTGTGTCAGCCGTTAACGTTCCAGAGTCTAGAGCACATGTTCGTATTAGAATGGTTTGGGTACTATCTTCGGCTATAAACAGGTACATTACTCTTTTATACTAGTGATATAAGTTGGTTTACTGATATGATTATAACTGACACAACACAGCCTTACTTTGATATCCTTTGACCTTGACACAGTGGTCAGCTGGAAACAAGCCTTGTCGACCTTTCTTGAACGCCCAACATGGGTATTGATAATTGGCGATAGAACCCTTGGCACTTTGTGCGACAGTCGAGTTGAACATGTCCTCACATTCGGGATTACCTTGGTTGAACGAGCTACAGACGAAACAGCCGATACCTGCCGAAGTGACTGAAATGGAAAGGTTGAGGTTTTATTAGCTAAGGATAACATTTATAGCTTCTTAAAGTTAGTTTGATTAAGGAAGTGCATTTCTACATTAATATATCTTTTAGACAACGTTTAGCTATGACTACAAAGTTTCAAAGTGTCATTGGTGATAACATGCTTTGAGGGTCACTTCTATTATGACATAGGGAATGAAATTTATGACGACGTAACGAGTCACATGGAAAGTAATGGGCAAAAGACACTCAACCTAGAATATTACTCAGCCTGGACCTAACGAGAACACTCTTTGCAAACTTTAACGACCTTTGTTATGGTGGTAACACGGGTAGGAGAGCAGTATGTCTACGTAAAGTTGTTAATTATAATGGAAAACGTACACAACCTGCTTAATCATATGTTATTCAAGTAAAATTGCTAATGATGTTATGATACCTTGTAGTATTTTTATACATAAATGAGGAGGTAATGCTTTGAATTCGTCAAAAAGGGCTTAAAGATAGACTTGTAAAGGGTTTAGGCTTTCAAAAATAGTATTAAAATAGCCGCTTAAACTACATTTTTTCGAAACAAAGTTCTTCAATCTATCACAACATAAACCCTTTGAACCACACCTCCGAACATGGAGAAGAAGATGAACGCCTGCACAAGGTGGACGACATTCACCTCCATTGAGCTACACGATCGATCAGAGGCCCAACACGATGACCGGACATGCCCCGCGGTCCTCGAAACGAAGGCCGACGCTCGGCTGGGCCAGGTTGCTGAGAGGATGGCGCCGAGAATGTCCCAGGTTCTTCTGAAACAATGCGTTCTGTATCCCACAGCGACACATCGTCCGCCAAGTGGCTTCGCACACGACAATTAAGAACGCGATATGCACTGTTTCAGAGCAAGTGTAAGATGGGAATGTGTTTGAAACACGATGTAACACACTATAACGTGTAAATCAGAGGAAATCACGGCACGTCACAGTGAGTGGCAATCATAAAATGACTGTTTAGGGTTTATATAACACAATATATAGTAAAAGGTTGATTTCAAGTACTGACATAGTAGGTGAAATAACCGCCTACTGAAGAAGATAATAGGTATTTGGGTAACAAGTAAATAGTATATGTCCCGCCAAAACAGTATTAATGCGGCACAAATGAACCTCCGTTTGTTGTTTAACAGCACAAACAATGTCAACCTTAATGGGACGGCCGTCGCCAAGGGTAGGTGTTATTGGAAATGTTATCTTTTTTGAAGAAAATAGCAATTTTACTACATAAAACAACTTATATTAAAAATATATTAATTTTAGGTATAAAGCAAGCTTTTTAATGATAAAACCAATTCAAAACCATATGTATATCTACCTAAACCATCAATAATTATAAAACTTGACCCTTTAACCTTAAAACAACCTTTTATAAGGTAATATACCTATCATACCAACTGACACAAAGGTCAAAAACCAGACAGAAATGTTTGAAATTGGAAAGGTTTCGCCGATTTAGTCGACCGATCCATAACAATATGTCGTCTACCTCACACAAGCTTCTCGAACCTGCAGATGTGTCCTTTTCTTGTGATCTCACCACAAATTGTTTCGGAATGTCACAAAGCCGGCCGAATTATGTCCATCATAGCCTCAGGCAAAAAGATAAATTGGGTGCAAACTCTTTTATATGATACATCTTGTTTCGTATGTTGGCGACAACATGTAAATTGCATTGATTTATAACATACGGAAAAAACGAAACTTATAAGGGAATACCATAAGATACTATAAGATACATCTGCTGTAGACAACAAGGGGTTAACAAAAGAAGTACGAAAATGTACAATGTAAAAGCAAATGTTGTACAGTACACGTTACATATACGCTGCAATGTTTATATGATATAAACCGACACAAAAAGTCAAATGTATATTTATACGGTCAAATACCAAGCATATAAACATAAACTTGGTTACTTTTGATACGCGAAAGACCTTGTTTGCTTGGCCGGATATATTATATTATCCATGCTCTTGAGCTCCCGGCCTTTATTGAAACGTCAAGTTTGGGGCTCTTTAAACTGTATTTACGACTATTTTAGGTATTAAAAAAATAATTTCATTAATAAAAGCTAAACTTAAGAAGAAGAGAGGGGTTTTAGAATGGAGGAGGGCTAAAGAGGTACTGGACACGTACTGTATCGCTTTAAAAATAAAAACAAGTAATTTTAGCACTATCACCACCTTCTAAAGAGCAAAACAAACCTAGAGGTAACATTTAAAATTTTTAAAAGTAATATAATTTAATTTAAAATTGTAGTAAGAGTCACGTACTCACTATAACACTACACGAACATTGGCGATACTTAAGTATGATAATGCATCTGTAAACACACAATCAAAAACAAGAAGTTCGAATAGCAAAACTAATAATTAAAAATAATTTTTAAAAATTAAAAGGATAAAGAAGCAACCAAAGAAAGTGGCAACAAAGCTGATAAGAAGCAGATAACTGATAACACCCCTTAAACAAGTGCCCTCCCCAAACCTAGACAAGTGAAGCACGACCCAGTAGCACAAAAGACAACGTTGAGTTGAAAACAAGATATAAGAAAATGCCTCCGGGTTTGTACGAAAAAGGAAAAAGTTCAAAACAGCTTTTGCATAAACAGTCGGGTGTTTTGCCTGAGGGCAGTACTCAAAAAGTAGCAAAGAAAAACTGAAACCGGCTTTGAGGCCACTAGAAGAAAGGTGAATGAAGCCGGAAACAAGACTGCAACAAAGAAACAACCGCCAGACAGCCGGCTGGCAATACGGTCGGGTAAAATTTTTGAGAAGAAGGCGGATGCTGATAAAAAGAAAAATAGTAATAAGAAATGAGGATTCTGAAAGAAATGAAAATTGAGGTAGAAAATGAGGATTCTGATAAAAATAAACATGCAGATACGAAAGGAAGCTTCTAATGAAAAATTTATACTGGGTCAGTACTAGTGATGTTCATAGTATTTAGTACTATTTTTAATAAAAAAAAATTAAAAATGCCAAAAACGTTATGAAAAATAAAAAAATAAAAAAATATTTTGATAAAATCGCCAATCTACAGCTCAAAATCGACTGAATTGTTTTCAGATGTCATCGAAAAGTTGCTGAGTAATTAGAAAAAGATTGCTGTTACTGGTGGTAATTATAAAATAAATATTGCTCGTATTTAGGCTAGCCTTTGAAAAGTTGTCGAAGAAAACGTAATTTCATATTTGTAGTCCTAGTACAATGCTGTCGCGAAGTTGCGAGTTAAGAAATACAAAAACATGTTTACAAAATATAGAACCGGTCCAGAACAAAGAAGGTCTTTTTTATCTTGCAAAAACTGTTTATAGTTAGGCCGATTTGGCCAAAAACTAAGAAGTCTCTAACCAACTAGACCGCGGATCGGTCGTATTTTATATTTTTGGATAAATAAGTATTTTATATACTGTAACTAGCTAATAATACTAATATTCATAATAATTTTATGACAAATGCTGATGTTGAGTTAGTGAAACCAAGCCCTTTAGAAACATCTTCTTAATAAACTCCTGATTCTGAAACATAAAATAGACTTCTCAACTCCCTGTAGAGCCTAAAACAAATTGAAGGATTCAGATTCCTGATAAACATTATGAAAAGATTGAAGGCAGCGACATTCGGACCCGTTCTTTGTTGGCTCTTCTTTGTTCGGGAATAACAAATCTAGGGGGAGGGGTAAATGAAGCACAAACCTTCTTAAACCAAACTAATTCCAAGCCGTTCCCTTCACCACTTTCAGAATCTCCAGAATCTTTCCAGAATCGCTCAAAATCCCCTTTTTGTAGCAAAAAACCTTAATTTAGGTAATAAAACTTCGAAATTCGAGAATTTAAAAAAATTTAACAGAAGAAATACGAGTCCAGCTTCGAAATGGATTCGTAAACAGAGCGAAGAAGCTCATCGTGCCCATATTCTGACACAAAGTGCACAAGCGCATTACCTCTTTCTCTTATTTAGCTTGACATTTCCACGTCCTTTTGCCCTCCGGGCTTCTTCTTCTGCCCTCAGGCGCTAAATTGAATCTATTTGGACATTGCCTGAATGCCGCCAATTTACTTTCCAAACTCTTCAGAATCCTCATTAAAACGTTCCCCTTAGGGCTGTCTAATCACACATATTATCAAGTCATCTTGTGGTAGGCTGACTTCTGATGTTACACTAGGTAACATGTTACTATTTTTGTACTTATGTCTAATACAACGTCATTTTTCAAGTACTTCCATATAGTAATTCGGTATTAAAAGGCAGTTTCGTACTGTAATATTACTTTACCTTTAGTACTGTTAAGTACAGTATTATAGGCTACGTATCGTAATGTATCGCTGTAAATTCAGATTTATTATATTTATTATCTAATTGAAATCTACAACTACTACGCCGTCTTTTGTAACTACAGCTACTGTAGAGCCATTAAGTTGTTTCGGGTCGATCGACCGGTCGGTGGTGGTGCAATCCACCGGCAAACTGATGTTGGCGACAAGCGATGCTAAAATTATTATTTTAAACCTTAATGTCACTGCGACATGTAGAAAAACTACTACCACCTACCCTGCTCTACATTACAGTAACCTTACCCTTCCTCATATGCCACAACTGAAATCGACCAGAACTTCGGTCGCTTTTCCTGGTTTCACACAAAAAGAGGTGCGAGCTCACGAACCCCACATCCGTGACCTGACCTCTCATGATGACACCCTTGTCAACCCATCCCTTATCAGTCAGATTCCACACATCGACCACAGGGAATAGGGTACCAGTACCAGGAGGACCACCCAGTAGTCCCACCAAGGTGCGAGCACGGTAGTGCAGAGTAGTATGAACGTCAGCAAAGTCGCCGCAACTCGGAGTGACCGTCTCCAACTTGACCATGGTGTCAACGTTGTAGATCTCGCACTTCCATCGCACGTAGAACACGATGACCTGCTTGATGTCGCTGAGCACCTTGAAGTCGGTGCACTGGTCGATCTCCCTCACCGTCTTCTCCTTCAAATTCCAGCCCTGGAGCTTCTTCGCGTCGCGAGCACAGGTCACGACTCTGAAGCCATCGAACTCGACGAAGCGGTTACTCGACTTGACCACTTTAGTCGAGTGGATCTCGGTACCAGTGTTTAGATCGTACACATTCACCTTGTCTGGCCCACTGATCGCGACACTACAATTTAAAATTATTTTCGGCCCAAAACTCTCATAATTTCCACAAATAAATAGCCAAATCCCTTTAGTCTCTAATCTGCACGGTGCAACCCTTTATTTCACTTGCACCGTGCAGCCCTTTTCCCACTGCACAGTGCACTCAATTTATTCCGTTGCACCGTGCAGTCAAGCTTTGTCTCGGCAAAGCTTTTGCACAGCGCAAAGAAATTGCTGTCGTCGCTTGCGACAATTTCCATTACTCAAATCATCCATTTCATTCAGCGGCAAATTCAAGGCAAAGCAAAAGGCGACTTCAATGAATGACACAATTTTTGCCTTCGATTAAAACCTTGTCGCGCAAACATTTGTTTGTGCCGCGACAAATCCTACAGTAAAGTTTGTCGCTAAAAAAACAATCGCATCTCTCCTCAAAACCGGCGACAAAAAAGTGCAACAACAAAGTTTTCTTTTAAGAACCTTGCGACAAAAGTTCCGCAACACAAAAAGCGGTAAAAAAGCGACAAGTTACTCTTTCAAAACCTGCGACAAATCCATTAAAAGATATCGTGCGACAAAAAACTGGCGACAAAACCATGTTCACTTCAGCGACAAAAACGTCGCAATGCAAAATTTGCCAAAAATCAGCGACAAATTGATTGAAAAGTGTCGCATGCAAACCTTCCGCGACACAAAATCTTTTTTCAAGAGGCGACAAACATGTCGCCAACGTTCGAATCGCAATATGATGACTTGCGACAACACTTCCGCGACGAATAATTGCACTGTGCAGCCAAACAAGAGCTTTAACGCACTGTGCAAAACGACAACAGCGCTGTTTTCAGATACGGGTCGTGTTTTCTTGCACTCTGCAGATTGTTTTTGCGACAAAAGTTTGTTTTGCACTTGAATCAGCGACAAATTGGTTTGATGTTTTTCATGCACAGTGCAGTGACTTCCTTTGACAGAAAAATGAAATTGGCTTTGCACCGTGCGAATTTTCAACCGTTTTTGCACAGTGCAGATTTACAAATAAGCTTGCACCGTGCAGTCTTTTAAATGACTGCACTGTGCGAAAGATTTTTCTGCACGGTGCAAAAAAATAAAACAAAGGTTTTTTGATTAAAATAAAAATTTAAAAAATAAAGATATGATTTAAAATGACATACCAGTTAATATGTAGACAGTCGGAAAGTGAAATGTGAAGTGATTGAGAGAAGGAGTAGCTGTTCAGTAATTTCCCGTCCTCTACTCTGTAAGTGTTCAGCTTGGAGCCCTCGGGCGACGGAATAAATACGACAAATTTGGTTGATCCATCAAAAAAACTTGTCGCTTCAACACCGTTTACGTTTACCGTGGTAATCTGTAGGTACTAGTGTATAAGAAATGGCATTTTTATCTTTTAAATTTAAAAATTAAATTTTAATTTTAATAAATAATATAAAGTAAGGTAAAAATACACATAAAATGACATTTAAAACAGAAAATAACTGAAAGTTTACATTTTTTGTCCGCTTGCAAATGATCGCGACATCAGAGTTAGACCAGGCTATGATGTACTCTCCTCGGACTACAGTACCCTTCCGTTGTGCCAGATTGTAACTCGTACTCGATGATTTGTTCTTGGCCCAGTTAAATAATACTCTGAAAGGTTTACAGTAGTATAATAAAACTGAAATATTATAACTTACTGTAATATTTACTCATTTAAAGCAAAAAAATCCTATCTTGCCAAAAAAGCTCCCAAAAACCAGCTAAAAATACAGTAACCCTCACTTTACATAAGCTCGTCTGTAGAAGCCATGGGGAATATCGGAGTCCGTGTTCTTCTGCCCCAGCGACACCACAGCCCTGATCTTGTCGGAGAAGGCCTTCCAGGGCTTGGGACTCCTCGAGTTCCTAACTGACTGCGTGTAGACACCTTCCTTGTCGCAAAAACACGACCACAAGTCATTCGAGGCGCATTTGTTATGAAGGAAGCGATTGCAGCCTCCCAGAGAGATCAGGTCTTGAGCATGAAGGTACTGAAGGATGCGGAACAGTATCTAAACAAACAATGTAATACTGATACAAATATGTCTTTTTGTTACTATTGCGTTCAAAAGGATGCTTTTTCACTGTTTTGCATATTAAAATTACTAGATCTCGATGAAAGATGTCATAAAATACGTAAAAAAGTTGTTTTTGATATGAAATGCATGTTGTTTTAGTATTTAAAATCAAATTTAAGTTTTCGTTTTTGAGGAAAACAGGGCTCAAAGTGAGTTATGACACTGATCGAGCCGATAAATTAAAAAAAAGTTTCTTCTCAGCCAGATAAACAGACGTAAAATAGAAGAAATATCATGAAAATGCATTACTTTTCAACATTTTTACTCTGCAACATCTGTCCTAACTTTAATAACTTACAAAACTACTTATAAGATGTTATTAAGATCGTAAATTCTTAGCCAAACATCGTAAAAAAGCCGATTTTAAACTTTGATATAAACAAGAGCCTAAACCTGGTCCCAAAAAAGCTCCAGTCCAATATGACTAGACATAACTTTATTTCCAAACCCATTTTTAAGCCTAGCCCACAGCCAGACACCCTTTAGCTTGTCCAAACAGCCACAAACTTCTCAAATCTCATATCATCACCCCCAATAACCATAAAACCTTACACTGTGTGGCAACCGCGACAACCGATCATTGGCTTCGGCCTCGCGCCTGGAGAACTCGGGCAGCGGCACGGTAGACGACTTGACTCGCCTCATAATTGTGACATGTTCATGAGAAAAAATAGAAAAACGATCGCCCACCGGCCGAACGGGCTTGAAAAAACAAATTCGACAATCGAACAAGTGTCACTCCCGGGCATCGCCCTGCCCGATGAGCCACCCTGACATTTTAATCCCAATGCCAAAAGGAAACGCATAAAAAACAAACTTTTAAATCTATCGAGAATTTATTTTCCAAAACTATTAAAATCGAGAACAGGCCTAATCCTCGCGGTACAAGTCTTCCACTCCGAACTGAGCGACTCCTTCTTCGAATGGAATATTGACCACCTAAAAATTGAACGTTATATTAATAAGGCAGTTTGTAAAATATTTTTTTTTTGATTTTTTTCTTCAAATATCATTAAGAGTTCGTAAAACATATTATCTTAAGTAAAAATAGCCTTCTTCGTCTTCTTTAAAAGTAATAACGCTCAAAAAGCAATAAAGCAAATCCATTGCCTCAGGCATTTCAAAGAGCGGCTCATTAATACAAACCGTTTTCCACATGAACAAACTTTGCCTTAAAAACCGCTTTAACTCGTAAAATCCTTCTATCAACTTTTAGTACTACAAAGACATACCTTCATTAGATACTTCATCTCGTCTTGAGAAGCCCACTTCTTCTTCTTGGCCTCTTCAGCAGCCTTAGCGACAGCAGTGTCATGTTGGAAGCCTCTGATATCAGCGTGGTATTCCTTAAGAGAACTGAGTCTCCATGCACCATAAACAACACCTAAACATTAGAATGTTAAAACCATAAACTCTTACTTCAACAACACTGCCAAAAGAACAAAATATCTCATTTTACAATTTTAAAAACTACAAATTCAAATTTCAATTCGAGTAAGAGGTAAAAAAACTGCTTTCCACAAAATTTAATACCTAAAAACCAATATAGTAACCACAAAACTACACCTACCCAATCCCAAAGCAGCCCATCTTCCCAATCTGATAAGAGGAGAAACGTTGATGGGCTCAGGGAGAACGACTGCGTTTGGATGACGAGACATTACTATCGCCTGAAAAAATATAAAACATTAAAATCATCCAACTTAACATTTATCGCAATTTAACTGATCGAAAAGACAAATTAAAGTTACAAGTTTTACGTGAAAGTTATTATTTGACAAAAAGTAGATAAAAACGACTAAAACCTATACTTTAACATCAAATCATAAAAAAACATAATTGTATTGTTTCTAAAATTATATACCGAGAAAAACTACCACACATAGTTACAAAATCCCTTGTAAAGTTTATAAAATAAAACATTTACAAAAAAATGCGTAAACTACCAAACACAAACAAAAAAAACGTAAACCAATACCTATGTTCAGAGGTCTTAACTATTCTAAAGTTCCTATCAATCAAAGGGTACTCAAACTTGAGTATTTTGTACAAAAAAGTAACAAAAACATTTCGCGAATATTGTGAACAAGAAACCGAGGATGGATTATAATGCCATAGAATGCGTTTTCGTTGCGGGACCAAAATAAAATAAATAAAAATATTTTTCGGAAAATAATAAAATTTCACGAAAATTCGGTAAGTACGACTATCTTGGCCAATATGGTGTCGGATACAATACAAACTAATCATAGGTGTTATGTTTTTAAAGATAGCAAAAATTACAATTCAAGGTTTATTTAATAGTCGATGTATTTACAGCTTTTGCGACGACCTTGATACCTCCGATACATGTTTCGGCGATTCTCCAGTGCGCAAAAACACTTGGAACGTCAGGTTGATGTAGCGATTGTTGGTGGAGGTCCAGTGGGAAATGCCTTGGCTGTTTCTATATGTAAGACATGAGTTTTCAGTGTAATATTCTGAAAGATTGTCTTTAAAGCTTACTTAGTTAAAATAGTTCACATTTAATATTTAAATATGACTAATATTATTATTCTTCTCAAGTATATCAGAGTGTTGTTTAGCGAAGAACAAATGGTTGAAAGATAAGAAGGTTGTTGTTCTTGAGGCAGGAAACCCACAAAGATTGGCTACGGCACCAGCGCATTACAGTAACCGAGTTTTTGCTTGTAATCCAGCGTCAGTTCGAATGTTTCATGGTATGTTCTTGTTGTTAATGTGTTGTATGTTTAGAATTGGGAATATGGGAGACGTTGAAGAACTATAGAGTGAAGGAAGTTGGAGGATTATACGTTTTGGATGCTTGTTCTCAATCTAAGGTTCAATTTACACCAAGGATTGGGGAGAATAATGTCAGTCATCTGATCGAAGACGAGGCGATTACTAAAGCTTTGTATGGAAAGATATTGGATGATTGTTCGAACGTAGACTTTATGACAAAGATAAGAGTAAATGAATGCAGGTAATCAGTTTGGTCAATTTAGGTAATATTGTTTTAGACTGCCAGAAGACTTGAGAGATCCAGTAGAACTGCAATTGTCAGATGGATCTGTTATCAGATCACTTCTTGTGGTATGTTGTTTGTAATCTTATGACATGTATTGACTTAAACAATCTTTTGTTCTTCTTTTAAACTAAACTATTGTTACAGGTTGGTGCGGATGGTGCTAGAAGTGGTGTCAGAGCTGCGATGGGAGTAAATACAACATCTTTTGACTATGATCAGATGGCTATTGTGTGTACATTGGAAGTTCAAACAGTAAGCTTTATATTCTTTAAAATTTTAGGAGAAGATACGAAGTAAGATATGAAGGATGGAGGATATAAAACTATATTTATTTACATACACAGTAAATTAATTGATTAGCAAAATAAAACTATTTGATTATTTCTTTTAAATTGAATTTTTTACAGAACGGTGTGAATGACATTGCATGGCAAAGGTTTACTCCTCTAGGGCCAATAGCTTTGTTGCCATTAACAAACACACTGTCGTCTCTTGTTTGGACTTCTAAATCAAATGACGCTAAAAGGCTCTTATCACTAGGACCAGAAGAGTTTGTGGATGAGTTGAATCACTACTTGGTACGTTTATATTATACATTGTTTGGTAGCTTTATGTTTTAGGTATACTTTGTTTTCATACTTTTATACGTTTTAGGAAAGTCGAAAACTTTATTTTTTGTAGCAATTAAATAAATTAACGAACGTTATATGATTTTAGTTCACGAACAACCAACAAAGTGATTTGGCCAATAATGCGTTGAACCTAATGGACAAAGCGGCTCAGTTCTTGAAGTTTGGAGAACCTGAGAGTCTAAAAGTACCACCAACAGTGAAAAAGCTTTTGGTCGATTCCAGAGCGTCTTTTCCTTTAGGATTTGCACATTCACATACTTATGTCAAGACACGAGCGGCTTTGATTGGGTACGATTTTCGAATTATTTTTTAAAAATTTTGGGGCTCATCCAGAACAGCCCCCCCATTCCGTTTCACACCCCCCAACCGCCAGTTCGCACCCCCAGTGAAACCCCCAATCTCCAACTCCAGGTCAACCCGACTTGGCCGAACCATATCGGCAATGTCCGGAGTTGAATGTTGAGGGTCGCGCGAGAGAGTGCTGGTCTACTGACTGGCCAGGGCGGTGAACGGAGGAGCAGAATGAAGAATTTGCAAAATCTGCTGCCTTTTATACCCATTTTCATTGATTTCGTAAAGGTCAATTTAAAAAATGAATAATTTTTTACTTTTTACGTGCCGATTGTAAATTTCATTTTCTGGGGGTGTGAAATACAATGGTGGGGGTGCGATCTACAATGGGTGGGGGTGCGATCTACAGTGGGTGGGGGGTGCGATCTACAGTGGGTGGAAGTGCGATCTACAGTGGGTGGGGTGCGATCTACAGTGGGTGGGGGTGCGATCTACAGTGGGTGGAAGTGCGATCTACAGTGGGTGGGGGTGCGATCTACAGTGGGTGGGGGTGCGATCTACAGTGGGTGGGGGTGCGATCTACAGTGGGTGGGGGTGCGATCTACAGTGGGTGGGGGCAGGGACGTCGCTACGGTTTTTCTCTGGGGGGAGGTCGAAAAAAATTTTTTTTGGTCCACAGGTAGAGCTACCTGTGGACCGATTTTTCAAAAAAATTTTTTTTTCGTTTTTTCCGCGTACAGGTACCTACCTGTGGATTTTTTTTTCGGATCGGCTTTGGGGGGGGAGTCACCCCGAACCACTCCCCCCCTAAACGACGTCTCTCTGGGTGGGGGTGCTATCTACAGTGGGTAGGGTGTTATCTACAGCGTAGGGGGTGTAAACTACTTTGATGGGGGTGCGAAGTAAAATGGAACCATTAGTTCTTGAAATTTATGTGAAAAATCGCAAGAGAAAAAAAAAGAAACTTTTAATTTGCTTTTTGAAAATGAATTTTGGGGGTATGTTCTGGTTGACATCGGTGGGGGGTTGAAATGGTATGGGTAGGGGGGCTATTCTGGATGAGCGCCAAAATTTTTTGTTTTTAATTGCATGTACTTTTTTACAATATAACAATGATACATATCGCTACATTTTTAGCGACGCAGCTCATCGTGTACATCCATTAGCTGGCCAGGGGGTGAACCTAGGTTGGTCTGATGTTAAAGTACTCACGAACACATTAGAAAAGGCTATCAGGGAGGGATCTGATATTGGATCGCTTACCTACTTATCAGAGTACGATGCTCAAAGTCAGCGACACAACCTACCTGTTATGGTATCTGTAGATTGGTTGAATCGACTATATAGGACATCGTTTGCACCTTTGGTGATGGCTAGATCACTAGGATTACATGTTGTGGACAAGATTGGACATTTGAAGGTTAGTTTTGTTGTATATTTATATCTCGTTTTGTAGCATAGAACTTTTAAAGAATGCTGTTTAAAGTTGTTGTTCATGTATAAGATTGTTTTCAGGACTTTATTGTATCACGCGCATCACATTAGGATTGTTGATTGTAGTTAAATTTGAATAAATTTTATTTTTTATTTAAATTTTGTATTGATTAGTTTAAAGGTTACACATACCTAAAGAGTTTACATCTGGCAGCAAAGTAGTTGTGTGTAACATAATTTAAGGTTTAATGCATTTGAAATGCTGATATTGGCTTTGTTGGCAGTGATCTCACTACCAATCTTGTTCAGCAGTGAAAGTAAGGATGGTCTCAAAGAGTTGGAATTCCCTTATTTGGTGTCGGCACCGTCGATGAAGCGAAGTAATGATCTCAGTTTGTTTCTTCAGAGGGAAGGCTACAGGGATGAGGCCGAACTTCTACAGAAACTGGTCAAGGATGTTAATGTAAGGCTGTTTTATAAAACACTACTTTTGTGCGTTGTATGAGTTTAATAATCTTAAGTACAAGGTTTTTGTGTTATTCTGTGTTTGTTTAAATTCATGGTTTTATAGGAGACAACATATGAAGATACCTTTTTACTAGATAATTCTAATTGTACTAACGCACTCAGAAGGAGACGACGTAATGGGTTACCTCTTATAAAAGGCTTGGACGGCGGTTACTTATATGCCTCGTCTACAACAATATTAGTCGATCGAGCTAAAATTGAGTAAGCAAAGGCATTTGAGTCATTCTCATCGTGTACAGTGATATTTAATTTGTTATCTATTATATATATGTTTAATCGGTTTAAAATGTCTTTAAACCTGTAGTTTTCAGCGATAAAGGTGTAAACTCAAAGCCGCCTGAAAGCGAAATTTGTGTGACATTTGCGAATATTGTGGAGAATATGTCAGAACGGCCGAAAGTCGTTGAGCTGGATACGGACGTGGATGAACATTACTTTAAAAGTATTGGGAATGCTTTGTCTGGCCAATGTGAAGAGTTTTTACCCTCCATAAGAGAGACGATGATTTTATACTTAATTAAACTACAAGTGGTCGACCTACGGTTCTTAGAGAAGATAAGGAACAGTGGACCTCAAAGTGATAAATTGGATTTTATTTTAGGTGAGGTTCAATTTTGGTACGGGTATAAAAACGCTATGTTAACATAATGTGACTTTTCTGAAAGTTATTTCTATTCTTGTAAATTACTAAACATAACTCTAATTGAATATTCAGGTCAACTTTACCTTGCACTATCAGAAGATGAAAAAGGAGTAGAGTATCTGACCAATCTGCGGGACACCAACAACCGTTTTGTTATTCAATTCTTTTTGGCTGATTACTATGCTGAAAAATTGGATTTTGTTAAGTATAGGCTTAGTCTGGACAAAGCTGACTTGTTGAATCCAGAAGAATACGAATTGATTTTTGCTATAAGTAGAGATAAAGACCCTTACCAATGTCATACAGATTTCTTAAAGTACAAAGATGTTACACTGCACGCAGCTATGAAGAGCATCAATGACGAGAAATACGTGTATGTTTTGTAAAGAAATTTTTTACATTTTAAAGGATTTGGAGCAAAGGGTTATATTAGCTTGCATTATGAATATTTTAGATTGGAGAGGATATTAGAGCTACATCAGTCAATAACCGAGTTAAATGTCGACGAAGCCGAGTTCCTGAGTTCCTTGATGGAGTTCTTCTATGTCAAGTTTGGAGTACTTCAAGGTCAGTGCAACCTTTATTTTTACCTTTTTGACAATTTAATTGGTTTCGTATTTTATGATCTGCATTACGTTGCAACGTTTTTTTAAATTTAGGTATCAAATGTACTGATGTGTTAAACGAGAAGGGCAACCTTAAAATGAAATGCACGGCTACAGACATGGAAGAGTTCTACAAAGCTGCTACCGAAAAGTTGCGCGAGTTGCAGAAACAAAGAACGGTAGTGACTTTTTTGATTTGATATATTCTGGTGTTCTTATCTTATATGCTATATATCTATAGCGATCAAGCGTATTTTAGACTGGCGATAAAAAGCTTCAGAAGGCGTACCATGGGAAGCGAACAGTGGGAGCCAAGGTTGACGATATAAACAGAAACCAGTTCATGATGAAGGTAAAGCCCTACGAAGGACTGGCATTGGACGAACCTCCGCTTTCAGTGCAATACCTCAGGTTTGTCAGTTTTCCAACTTAAAAAGTGTCTTTTACAGTATGTTTACTTAAAGTAGTTTTGGACTTGTATAACTACAACAATTACATTATACGTCACTTTTAATATTATTACATTTACATAGAGACAAGAACCCATCGTTTTCTATGCCAAATGTTCAGAAGTTTTGTACGAAAGAGTTTGCGCATAAGTCTACTGTAACTTCAGACTACGGTCACTTCATTTCTGTCGAATCACGTGGCTACAGGTAATATTTAATCTAAAACTATGAATTCAGATAGTTTGGATGACTTCTGATTTTAAATTAGAAGCTAGAGGTGTCCAAGTGTCAACCTTAGTTGTGGGTTGGATAGCATAACTTTTCTTAATGATTATATTCTGATTGTGTCATTTGCAGTTTGCACGATTTGTTGAACAAGTATCTTGGCATAACCCCAAACGAACTGTTACCTTTTCCTTGGGAAGAGCCGAACTGTGCAGCAATTGATGTAGACACCATGAACAACATAACGTTATTGCAAAAGGTACCAATTTAGTTAAACAGTAGCGCTTAGTATTTTAAACGTTTAGTTTTTCAAAGAATTTTATTTAGGTAAAGGATTATAATTTGCATAACTATATTTAGATAGAAACGATACAAATCTTGTGGAAAGAGCCGAATCTGTTTCCATCTGATTCCGATCGTATGTATCTGATAGAGAAGTTGGAGGAGATGATCGGGGTTAACAGTGACGGCAGCTTTATATTGGCTGACTTTGGTCAGAGAATCAATTATTTGAATAAGTTGGTAGGTTCTGTTGCTTTACTATATGATATGGATCAATCTACTGTATTTTCTAAAATTTTTTAAAATTTAAAAATTGAAAAAATTAATGTTTTATTATTTGAAAACCTATTTGGTGATAGTATTTTGAGTTTTGATTATCAGCCTAATCTTAATTTTTAGAAAATTGGCCCGAAATGGGTTCGAAACGAGTTGGCCATACTGTATTTCCGATCTTTGGGGCGCTTCAGAAATGCATTGGAATGTATCGTTGAGAATCTGAGCGGTGGCGACATTGAAGATCTTCCCAATTCTGACATGACTTTGGTTCAGCTGGCTTCCATTATCAGAGATAGTGGGATTGCTAACGAAGATGACGACATCAACTTACTTCTTAAGGCTGCACTGTTGAATCATCAGCATGAACATGTAGGTGAACTTGACAAGTAGTTGTTTGTAACCATATAACTGGCATTATGTTTAAACAATTTTTAAAGACTTATTGTGGGGTTGACAGTAACATTCCTCTTGCTAATAATGTCTTCTTTACAGCCTCTCACATACTACCTACTGTCCGAGTACACTGTAGACCCAGATAAGCGGGTACAGTATCTATTGAGGAGTTATCAGCTAGACCCATCTTTCATTCAAGTTCAAAAGCAGCTTTATCGCCAATACTGTATGAGTCAAGGCTTGATAGGACCCCCAGTATCACAATTCTTCCAACCAGTATGTTGTTGGAGTACTGAGCACAATATTTACTGTTTCGGAGATCCGAATGAGGAGAAGAGTTGTTTCAAGATCAACGTGGATACTAACACAACTGAAGTCAAACTGTCCAGCTTCAGATGCAGTCGGAAGTATACGGTAAGCACAACATGGCCGTTATTGCAAAGCGTTTTGATTAGTATAAACATTACTTTATTGTATTATTTAAGGTGGTATTTGAAAGTAAAAATGTTTCTTTTAGGCACGTTCATTTGCCCCATCACCTAGAATAACGTTACTTTTTGGCTTCATGTATCCGATTGCAAAGTTACGCGATCGAAAGATCATAGATAATATGCACAAGTTACTGGCCGAGGAGAAGCCACGTCGAAGGGTCAAAGCTACTACTTTGAACGCTGTAAGTTATAAAGCATATCTTATTGGTCTAAAAAAATAATACGATAAGAAGCTTGGTGAAAAATATCGTTTTAGTTGCCATTGGACTACGGTGGATATTCGGTTGAAAGGATCAACAAATATGTCAACTTGAATACGGTAAATGTGGATAAGTTGTCTAACAAATACACCAATCCCACGGTGAAGAGTGCTGTGAAAGCGGAGAAGAAGGTGCTCAAGGTAATTTGCATATTATTTAAAAAGATTTTCATAGTCGAATAGTACAATCTGAAACCTTTATCTGATTTTAGGCGTTAGAGACAATTGACTCTGTGCCGTGGAACGAGATTGTCAAGTACGACATGGGATTGCCGTCGGCAAGTTTATTTTGATGGTCGATTCTTGCATTCTTACTGACATGCTTATGGTTCCAATGCTCTTGTTTCAGCCCTTGCCAATCCCAGAAGGTTACCTGAAAAGAAAGGGAAAGAACCTGTACGACTCTCTTAAGTTGTCGCCTCTGGACTCATGTCAACAGTCTCGAGATGCGAAGTTACTGGCACCGTATTCGAGTGATATGTTGATAACAGCCAAAGGGGTTGACCTGAAAGGGTTTAAGGAGTTGTACACGACATCGGTTAACGGATCTGCTGAACCACATTGTCCTTTGGCGTCTACCACTTCGATTTCTTTGTTTGACAATATGGCAGCTCTCAAATATCAGGAGAAATTCAACTTTTACAAACCGGAAAAGGCTCTTAAAGATGTAGGTTTTACCGTCTTTTGATTCAGGTTATGATAGGTGAAGGAACAAAGAATTGGGGCGTAAGTGGTATGAAGTATAGTACTACTGTATTAATAGCATATTTTTATTACTTTTAGCCATTCTTGAGCATTACAAAAGGAAAGGACACGGTCCAATCGCTGGCGACAAAGTTGTCGCTCGCAATGTCATCAAAAGACAATAAAAAGGATCTTTGGAAGTTGAGTACGATAGCAGCGTTATACTGGAGACTGCAAGGTGATGCTGTCAACGCTCTGAACTGCCTGTCATACGCGTTGAAGTACTCTCCGAAGCAATATCGAGTAAGTAAATCATCTTGCTGTAACCGTAAAAGACTTGGTGTTGCACCGCTCTGTTTGTTCCATGAATAACCCTGGTAAATACATACATCTTTTTCTTATTTTTAAGATACTTAAAGAATGTGTGTTTTTAGGACGTCACAGCTAACGGTCTGGCCAATATCTACCATCAAGCTGGCTTCCTGCACAGTGCACTTCATGCTGCTGACTTCGCACTCAAGAACTCAGAGACCAACGAAGTGTCTGTTCATCTTACCATTGCCAACATATACGCATCTTTGAGGTATTACGACAACGCTCTACAATTCTACTACTCCACTCTGGCTCTACAGAGTAACTTTGTCTTGTCGCGTGAACGAATTCGGGTGATTCAGTGTATTAAGAATCGAAAAAATTAACATTTACACAACTTTTACAGTAATTTTACAACATGTTGTTATATTACATTGTTATTCATAATTAGTGACTAACAGCCTTTATTATTACTATGGACTTCATTACATTTCCAATCTTCATACTTACACATCACGTATTTATACTTAATTTATATTGTCATAACAATAATGTAAATAAACTGAAACATGCTCTAAGACAACTGGAAAGCAATTGTTTATCATCTCTTTTATACATATATGTGTAAGGTATATTCACGTTGATATGATCATTTGCGATGAAGATTAATCGACAATGGAATGTTGAATTCTCGCTCGATAAAGTGAACACCACGTCTGTAAATGCCGTTTTATACGTACTATACGTAAATATCAGTTCAAAAACAGTGTTATCAAGAAAATAGATTGCAGATAAAGACATACGGTTCATTCAAAGCATTGGCAACTGCCACAACAGCGAGTAAAATAACACTGTAAACCAAGCAGAGGAATTTCATTGTTCGCAGCGAAAAATTGGAAATAATGGAGTGAAACGAAAAAAGAAGCTCGTCGAAGATCTACGACAAGGTCGACGAATTTAAATCAAAGTGAAATTGATTTGTCGAAACATCAAAATTACGTTTAAAGGCCTTTGGTTATCAAAATAAGTGAAAAGTGTGTTAAAAGTGACATGCATATAAAGTAACTAACAAATCAAAGATGTTTTGAGCGAAGAGGTTGTTTTTGTTTTATTTACAAAAAGCGTTCCGAATCTAAAATATTGTTTTTGTCTAAAAAAACAAATTACCACAGTTTATTTCTTCATTTTGTTATCAAAAAGATTATAGATAAGTTCCTCTCACAGTAACTCGACATGTTCGAACTCTACGGTCACATACCATCGGTGAGTTTTATTTCAATTTACATAAACTATTTTTAACTATTTTTTTGAAGCAAAATTCACTCAATCAAAATAGTAAATCAAATGGTAATATAAATGGTCATAAAACTCTACAAACTTATTGACCTACTTTAAGATTCAAAAAACCATAATAAAGTACCTCAAGATGGACGATCTCTGCTCACTATGCATGGTGAACAAACAATATTACGCTACAGCAGCGCTAGATTTTAAAACGTTGTGTTACAGTAACCTTGTTTATCGTATTGCTGGTGAGACATGGGCCAAGGCTTTTCAACAGTAAGTTTAAAGATTAACTATTACTTTACTATGCAACTTTGAAGTGTATAGACCAATAAAAATAAATTTTAGTATGACCTTTCTCTAAATACCCTATACCACTTACAGAGCTCAGCAACGTATCAGCAAGGTCCACAGTAATGTAGCCTGGTGCAAGGACATCGTCTACTGTCCGTACTCAGGGAGACTAGCTTACGTATTGTGTAACAACCAAGTCATGCTGACTCATATTGACTTAGCTAGCCCACAATGTGAAGTTATACACTTCTGTGTGGATTCAGAAGATGCTATTGACAATATTCAGCTAATTAACGATGGCAGACGAATCATTGTTGATACTCTAACACATCACATTGTGTACAATATAAAGGAGAAACAGGTTGTCGCCACTCAGGAGTTTTGTTATCCTACAAAACAAATGACATTCTACCGTAATCCTCAACTTCAACACGGCCGTAACACTGTCATCTTAGATTCAGATGATAAGCTACTTGACCTGTACACAATGAAGGTGTTTGACCTTGTCTTTGTCCTGAATCATAATATTGTTGATGTAGATCCAACGACAGGAAGAAGGTACTTTCTCTACACTCATGATGCAAATTTCATGGTTTTGGATACCACAATATCACAATGGCAAAAGTTATGTGATGTTAGGAAACGTGATAATGTATTCGTCGTGCAGAATCCAGCGTTCGCTATTATTGAACGTTAGTTTACATCTGTTTTAGTATTATCGGAATAAGAATACCTACTTTAACATCTGCATCATCTATGTTAATATTGGAATAGTAATGTCATCTTATATAATCTTTTTTTCAGGACAAAATTCAATTGAGATCTACAATTTGAGAACGGCCGAACCAGTGTTCCAATGTGAGAAAGACAACGATGACTGTGTGGACTTTGTACCATTTTCCAAATGTTGCTTCTGTATTATGACAGATTCTGGAAATGACAATGTAGGTGTGATTACACAAAGTAAAATATCTCTAGTATATATCATACAAAAAGGATATAGACACATGGAAGGCGTCTGTTCTACAAAAAGATAAAGACTACGACGAGATAGAAGGCGTCACTGATCGCTACAAGCCTTGCTCAAGCTTACGATACTCTTGTCTTGAGACTAGCATTCCCATATGTTACATCGACTGGACTAAAAGTAATTTTTAATCAAGTGATTTAAAATTAAATAATGTTTAGAAAATCCTATTCGGATTCCATATTCTGCTACTACAAAAACATACGGTGCGTTAGACTTACTCGTGCCAAAGATACAAGAAGAATTTGCAGAAAACGACAAAATAGACGTTATGACAGTGTTTATGGACAAAATCAAAAAGCTTTAATATTACAAACACTGTAAAAAAAAGTTTTTATCAATAAACGTTGATTTTACATGGTAAATACAAGTTATTACTCATATAAACACGAACCGATCTTTAAATCTTTTAATGTTTAAAATGTGAAAAGTCTCTAAATGCAACACGAAAACAAAATTAATGTTCAATACTTTAAAAACATGCTATTGTTATCACGTATACGATAAGAAACTTCCCAACATAGTACTGAACTGTGGGTCCCAACACGAAAACGCTTCATTTATACCCGAAAAATTTAACTGAAAATTTCGCAAGTTTCGGAAATTTCTTCGAAAACTTGGGAAGTAAAATTTTTATTGTAAATTGTGTCGGAAGTAAAGTTACAAATGTTTGGCCGTGGTGGAGGAGTACGTGGTCGTAGTATGATTCGAAGAGGCGGCGATTCTTCTGCTTCTACAGGAAATCGCGAAGAAAACGCTCCGAAAGAAGGTGTGTTAATTTAGTTTTGAAACTTAAAATATAAATTTTAAATATAATTGCTTTAGATTGTTTATTTTAATAAAACTGCTATAACAGATGTTATTCTCAATTTTTAGGTGAAACTGCCCCTTTGGAACGTCCCCAAAGTGAAGGTTTTGGCAAAGAATCCGGTAAGAGTTCAAGTTTGATGTAATGCAGGTTCTAGTATAATAAAATCTTAATTAGGTTGTTCTTTGTATAAGTTTATTTAATGAAAATAGTTTTGGAGCTTTTAATTTTCTTCTATGTGTAGTCTATGTAGTTTGGTTAGCTGGAGGTATTAATTATGTTGTTGTGTGTATAAGCTTTAATTAATGTTGATGAAAATAGCCCTAAACTGTTATTTGCGTTTTTGTTAATGTTAATATTTTAGGTAGCTTTGGTGGAAACACAGGAGGATTTCCGAATACGCCTGCTTTTGGGAAACTTGGAGATTCAGTAAAGTCAGGTTTTAGAGATTTGTCGAAACCAACAGGTTTGTATATTTATATTTTAGGGTTAGAACCGATTAATTGCGTTACATTGTTAAAACAGTTTAAATTTGAAAATTTATGGTTTAGTAACTGGCATTTCTTTATATTGTTTGTCTTTTTCCGTTTTTACAATTTTTTAGTTTAAATTATGAATTTAGGCAGTACGTTTTGTGACGTTTGACAAATTTAGGTGACTCTAATCCAGGGGGTGGTTTTGGGAAGGCTACCGGTGGATTTGCTCGTGGCGGTGGTCGAGGTGGACAGAGTGATCGAAGGAATGGCAATGGGTGTGAAACTTCTTCTAGTGGAAATGATGGCAGTACCTTTGCTACAAAGGGAAGTGCGTAACTTTGATTTTTTAAAGCAAATTATCTTTATCTTGTTTTAAATAGCGATCTACTTTTGGTATTCTTATTTTCACTAATATTGTTTTGTAGATTCCACTGCTCTAGAACAACCTCAAGGATTTGGCCAAGGATTCGGTAAGAGTTGAGGTATTTTGTAAAATGTTTATAGGTTCTGGGTCATTGGGTCAATCTAAAGGCGACAAATTTGGAAAAGGTTTCGGTAAGAATTGTCATGATTTGCATTTTAACACATGTTTGTGCAGGAGATTTTAAGGTCGACGAATTTGAAAATGGCGAAAAGATTGGTCTGAACTTCAAGAAGGGCGATCTGAAGGTTGGCGAAGACAACGAACCAAAGGCTATTCCGTTTATCCCTGAGAATCGAACCATCGACGACATCTTCGAGGAGGACAGAAGTGTTCAAGAAAAGTATCAGACGATCTTCGACGACGACGAAGATATTTTCATTGAAAATTACGGCGAAACTCTATGCTTACTCGAGTCAGTTGCTTTGACTTTTTGTTAAAATTTTAATATTTTTAACACAACCTAATTGATATCTTGTTCTTTAGAAAGTGGGACGATTATGCTTTGGACAAGACGCTCAAGGAGAACATTCGGAATTGTGGCTACATTATGCCGAGGAAGATTCAAAGGTTTACGATTCCACTTATTTTAGAAGGTTTGTTGTGTCGCTTTATAATTTAAATAATATTTTTTGAAAGTTTGTGTTTGAATCTGTTTTGACTCTATATTTTCATTTTTTAGGCTATGACATGAAAGCACAAGCTGAAACAGGTAGTGGAAAGTCGGCCGCCTTTCTGATTCCGATCATCCACTACTTGGCGGACCTGGGAACCGAAGGTCGGGCCAAGGATCGTGCCAACAACCAGCCGTTCGTCTTAATTCTGGAGCCGACTCGAGAGTTGGCAGTTCAACTCTACGAACAGGCCAGGAAGCTGGCTCACAACACCGGAATTTCGTGTTGTCGCGCTTACGGACAGTTCAAGATGCTGGCTAATGCCGAAGAGATCATGCAAGGATGTAACATCTGTGTCGCGACTCCAGGAAGGCTGAAGCACTTCTTGCAGGAAGGCATCATCTGTCCCAGAATGCTCAAGTTCTTCGTTTTGGACGAGGCCGATCGTTTGTTGAGCGACGATTTCCCAGAAGAATTGGAAGACATGTTCAAGATCCCCACTTTTCCACCAGTAAGTTTACAATTTTCAAAACGTGTCTTGTCTCTAAGCTTGAAGTGAGATTTCTTTTTGTAAAAAGGATTGATTAATTACATTTGTTTATTTGCCTTAAATATATTAGGTGTAAGTCGTATCGTTTTTGATTTTTAGGTAGATAAACGTCAAAACTTGTTGTTTTCTGCCACTTTTAACAATGAGGTTGAAGAAATGGCCAAGAAGGTGTTAAAACCGACCGCTTTGTTTGTCCATTGTAAGACCTTGGTAGCCCCGAATCATCGAGTTGGCCAATACTTCATGGAAGTCGACCGGTACGATAAGAAAGAGAAAGCCATGGAAGTGATTGTACAGTACGTGGAAGAATATAGAGGTAGGGTCTTAATTTAGCTACAGGTTGGCTTTATTGCATTTTGTACTGTTTTAGTTTAAAATACGCATGAATTGTCTAAACTTGACACAATTGCTAACGACTTGATTGAAGGTATTCATGGTGAAGATGCTCCACATCCACGGATTCTGTTATTCGTTCAACAGAAGCGTGCGTCAGATATCCTAGCGCTATATTTGGCGAATAAAGATTTTGTCGTTTTGTCTTTGAACGGCGATCGTCCTCAACAATGTCGCGAACACGCTTTAAGGGAGTTTCGAGCACGACAAACACCCATCTTGGTGACAACTGATGTTTGTGCGAGAGGAATCGACATCAAGGATCTGGACTTTGTAAGTTGGCTGCTTCTTTTGAATGTTTTTGAACTTTTAGGTAACAATAGTTGATTTAAAATATTTGAAATTACATATACTTACATACTTTTGTTTGTTTTAATCCTGCGGTTCCATTTTTATGTTTTTGCTTATTTCAGGTAGTAAACGTTGATCTTCCAAAAGACATTGTGACATACGTTCATCGCATTGGACGTACTGGAAGATTGCAGCACGGGAAATCAGTCAGTTTCTTTGACCCACAAGACAACAATGATATTGAATTGGCTGCTCAGTTAGTCAAGGTAGGTTTATTTTTTTAATGGTTCTCGAATTATCGTTCATTTAGTATAATTTTGGTCGTATATTATGTCACGTTTTATATTTTTGTATCATATTTTAGGATAGTGTTTTTTAATTGAAGGTTTATTTTTCACTAATTCTTCAGCTCTTGCAAGGTCAAGGTCGCACTCCGCCAGACTTTCTCATGAAGCACCAAAACGACCTTTCGTCCAAGTTTGCCGAAGGATTCACGTTCCAAGAAACAGTTCCAGATGCGGACGAGGACGACTACAACTTTTAATCAGAGTTACTCCCAACCTCTTAATGTAATAACGTATTTATATTGTCTTAATAATCCAAACTTTTAATTAATCTCGGTACTCCCCCTTTTAAGAATAAACTTTTATTTTGTACCCTGGTTTATTTTTTTGATGATAATGTCATATATCGAATGATATTGAGGTTTGTAAGTGAGTTCGCTTAATTCGCTACTCTGTGTATCTTCTCCTTCGAGCTTTATGGTTATATGGTGATTGAATTGCAAGTATTCTGAAAAATGCAAATGTTACTCTAAGTTTATGGTAGTCAGCGTAATACCACTACGTTTTATGGACATGATTTGTGGTTAAGGTCTTTGTTATCGATTCTCAAATTCACGGCAATTAGTACTTACAATTTAAAATGTTATTATTCGAAACGTTACCTCAAACACCACAAAACATTGTCAAATAGTCGCGTAATGTCAAATGTTTACGTATCATCTTCAATGTACGTTGCTACGTATCTCGATCATCCTCAATATTTGTTTTTATGTTTGTCTGTCATCCTCAATATCTGTTGGTTTAATGTCTGATATGTTGTGCTTTGACCTGTATGAGCTTCTCCTTGACACTGATAACTCTCTGATCTGAGGAACTTCATTTGATGGCTCCAGAAGTCTCCTGAATGGTTAGTTATTAGTGCAACAAGTTCACGTTAGTTGTTGTTAAGTTACTTGACTAATTGTTTTGTCTCGCCTTTTGTTTAGTGTAATATAAGTATCTTATAATACTACTTAAATTTGATTATTTTTTGAATTTTAATAATTTTAATCTGGCAAACCTGTATTATTTATAATGTTTACCTCGCTTCCCCAGTCAGTTCGAGCTGTTCTTCCACAATGTCAGTCAGGAAAGTGGTATAGTCGAGAGACCCGTCGTCCACATGAATTGCTCTGCCGTTCCCTAGATTCACGGTCATCTGAACCAAGAATTTGCCGCGATTCTGGACCAACATCGCCAGCTGGTCCAGACTCTTCTTCTCCTGAGTTACCGGGATACCCGTGACGTTACTTCTTAAACTGTTCGACACGATCACGATCGACCACTTCTCCAGATTCCCGTTGTCAAAGTCGCTTAGGTCCGGCTTTCTGTAGCAGTAGCGCAGACGAAGGAAGGCACGGTAGAGAGCGTTCCGGATACGGTGATCGTTAATGACATAGATCGGCAGTCGCAAGGCACAACCACATATTGTCAGCTAAAACAAGGTTACATCATATAATTGACATTGGAAACATATATAATATGAAGAAACAACATATGGCACACTATTTTATTTTGTCATGGATGCTAAAGTTTAAAAGCATAGTATATGTATAATATTATGAACCTACCAATCCTGCCAGATCAGAAGCGACCAGGTAGAAGTAGTAGTGATCGTATCTGAAGAACGTCGAGTCCAGGTATTCCCAGATGTTGATGATAGTAGATACCGAGTTTGATATGAGGTAACATCCCACCACCATCACCAGAGTTCGTGTCGCCACTCTGACCCCTCGCTTCTCACTGTAGCGTTGCTTCATGATGTACGATCCTCGACTTTTGAAGGACCGTGTGGATTCGGACTGCGACACCGTTCTCTGCGACGTTCTCAGTTTCTTCTTCAACGGATACCGTGTTACCGTAACCCCGATGGTAGGTGGAGGCCCAGTGAAGTGTTGTCGCTCCGACTTTCGCCGCTTCCGTCGCAAGTGAAGCACGATGTGGGCGTTACAGAAGGCCAGAATCAGGAACGGCAGTATAATCGTGAAAACTTTCCGAATCCAGAATCTCCACACTGGCCAATCCAAGGCCGCGCCAATCTCAACTTCATCAAGCCATATCGGGTGGATTTGCTCGACTGGATGACAGTCAATCTCGAGAAGGTCAGTCTCGAAGTACAAAGTGGCTTTGAAGAGAAAGGCGAAGAAGAAGATGAAGAAGATCACCAGAGCTTTGTTACCTACTATTATCACCAGTAATCGCTTCTGGAAACTCTGGAAATATTGAAATTGGAGGATCTCACAATAGCTGGATACTATAATATGTTTCGATTCAGCAATATAAATAACATTAGTTCCTTTCACTTACTTGTTTTAAGATAGGCCCGTTGGCGAGGTACCGTTCCAAGCTAGCAACGACTAACAAAAAGTTGGACACAGTCAAGGCGAAGTGCTGAAAAATAAATAATGAAGTAGCCATCAACTTTATAAAGGTTTTTAAAGCCTATTGTGAGATTTAAACATCATATAATGTTACGTTAAACCAGTTCAAGTAGCCAACATTACCTTGATGACATAAGTGATTCGCATGTAATTGGCCCATAATCGAATCCACTCCTGGCTGTGAGCTGTGTATGCCATAACAGGAACACATACTGTCAACATGTAACAGACTGATACGACAGTGTCGAAGAAGGCCAGCAACACTGGATTTGCATAATTTTGTCGCCGCAACTTTCGCGACGTCGAGAATACGTAAAACAGTAAAATGTTCTCTATAAATGATATCTGAAATAGCAGGATTACAATGTAAAACATAAAAACAGTATGTTGGAGTACTAATATAGTTAAGATAGTTGTAGAATTGCCGGTTTCGAGTAATATTATCATTAACTTACCAAAGCGACAATCGATCCTACAATACCAACAAGCGCGACCCTAAAGGCATCTGTGTTATCAGTTGTGTTTAGTAAACAGCTCCTGGTTACCGTATCATTTGTGCGAAATAAGTGCATCTGCAAAATATAAACATATGTACATCTGATCTTAGCATTTACATAAACTTCGAATAAAAAATAAGATTTTATATAAACCATGACCATCTCAATAGGTAACAATTTAAAATGGGTAATAGATCAAACAATTGTAAATCAAAACTGTAAATAAATGGTAAATTCATTTAAGATGGCACACTGAATTTGCAAAAATAACCTTTTTTCGCTATCAACAAGGCAAGTTACAAAGTAAAGCGAATTACTGAGTAATATAACATATTTACCAATTTTTGACTACATACCAGAAAATACCTCGAAATATGTGAATAAGTAACATTGATAACACTGCAAAATAATCTGCTAATGTTGTGCTAGGTGGATTAACTCAAGATTAAAGTTTCCGGGATGTAAATTTAGACTTTAAACGTTACAAAACTCGAGAGAAATACATGAAATAATAACATCGTCACATGGGTTTACATCCTACAATGTAACATATGTTTCGACAACGACAATGTACCAGTTCGTAGAGGAAAGAATAGCAGTAAATTTAAATCGCAACAAAATTAATTTGAATATTTAAAGAAAACACCTAAATAGGTAGGAAATAACAACAAATATGGCTTAAGGCACTCGCAACAACAAGTTAATCGCAGAAAACAAAAGTAATATACCACAATAACTTGACAATAGTGATGTTAACCTACTAGGTTGTTCATATAATTCTGAACCTCCACTCAAAGCAAATTTTCGTGGTTAGGAGCACAGGATTATTTGAACAACCTAATAAACGAAAGAAAAAAATAATAAAAAAATATAATTAAATCCAATAAAGTTGATATTATACATGTTAGAACTAACAAAACGTAAAACATCACAATTTGAACAAAACAGTTTCCTCAAACTGAAACCTGGCCAAATGCCTTCAGGATCATTTGGAAGCAGAGAATTGCGAGATTAAGGATTTGTATTATGTTTTAATCCGTTAAAAATAATTTCGCTATTAGTAATTCCACCATGAGGACAACGGATTGGCCACAAGTTGGGTGAAGAAACTATTTGCAGCTTAATTGATAAATGTCCTCAAGGCAAAAACGTGACAAATCATAGTTTGGCATTTTTGTGATTTTTGCAAAAAAGTTCAATAAAACTGTTAATAGAGGAAGAGGAATGCTTTCAGTCGTTTTACTCATACAATAGCATAAAAAGCCAAATTCCTCCTCAGATGTTGCTTTTACCTAAAGAAAAAAATGGTCCCACGGCGAAAACCTTGTTTCCAAAATTACAGTTTAACCAGCGCAATATCAAGGCACAAACTGAAGTAAAAAAGCTTCTCTACTACAATATTACAATTTATTAAATCCTATGGCCACGAATCTTGGCCGGCGGCCGGCGAATTTCAAACAAAATTTTATGTTTTTTGTCTCAATTTCAAACCTCGCTTATCTAAACATTTGTGCCGGAGGCAATTAATTAAAGTCAGATATAAAAACGTCAAAACTTTTTGAATTGACATTTCAGCATGTTGTGTACGACATCACGTTGCTACGTTGGTTCGACATTAACAGTGAAATAACAGATTTTACAAGATTAAAGTCGCGGTAAACATGTTGTTACAGTGGTCATAAACCTTACAAGAGGCCAAACAAAAGTCTTTGAAATTCTTAAAATAAAGGTTTAAAACTTCAAAACGTGATAATATCAAAACAAAAATAACACGTTTAGAGCTGACAAAGTAACAAACACTGCCTTAAAGTGATAATATGACATTATCTCAACATATTTTTTGAAAAATGTTATACTCCAAAACAAAAACATCTCAAAATTGTAATAAAGATACCAGCCAAGTCTTATAGGGATCAAGTGAAGACCGTACGATGCCTACAACATAACGCTACAAGGCTTCTGAAGCTAAACACAGCTTTTCATATTTTATGTCATCCTAACACTTTTTTTAAAATTGAACTGGCTTATCCGCTAGACCGCTCCTAATCCTCTGACCTAGTATAGTAATTGTTATAATGTACGTTATCACACGTCATTCTATACTAACAGGCTATGATAAAGCCTATTCGTCTTTAGTTATACATGTCTAAACAAATATCTTATAGTTAATATGCAAATAATTATTAATTATTGTAAACCTTACTGTAGACGACACACAGACTTTTAATCCAATTTACACCCAACTTCCTTCATAGACATATTCTATGTTAACTTAACCTTATATCGACGTATGTTTATGTTAATCACGCTGACTCGGAACCCGGAACGTTGAGTTACATCCGACCTCACGTCGACTTGTTTTATGCAAAACAGAATCCCGAAATTAAAACCGACCCGAAAGCCATAAATTTAAGCCGAGATGATGTAACATAACATATTACATTACCGACCGTTCCGGAGGTTTAGTAATTTGTGTTTTGGAAGAGGCACATAATAAATAAAAAATGTCATAAAACGCATAACAGGGATGGTTAATGGTACTGTTTAGTACTCATATAGGTATGCATTCATAATATTAACAGTTATAGCTATAAGAAAAAGGTTGTTATCATCCATGTTAAGTTTATGTTTTAGACAGATGACAGTTTTTATCTTCTATTTTTGAGTTACAAAATGGTAGTTGTATAAAAGATGTCGCGGAGTATGTACGCCTTGATCTACATAAGAACACTACACTATGTGAAACACAACAACCACTACAGTACAACTGATATGAAGATTAACTAATTTTTGGAGCACAAAAACTGAGTAGTAATGGCCTAAAATACATAAAAACGGATCATCAATTTCGAGAAGAAGAAGTGAAACTTTAAAGTCGTTGTTGAAAGCCCCGAGACCCCCGCGTTCTGTGACATGCCCACAGGTCATTAATTCCAGATGTGGAGAAGACAACAGCAAGCCCGACAGACATACATATCTATCACATAAATACACTTTTATGGTTTCGTATCTCGGAATCCACGTAAGTAAGCCCTTTACGGTTTCACACATAACAAAAAATCGCATGTCGTCTATATTGTACTTTGTTACGTTCGTACCCGGAGTGTTTACAATGCAGTTAATTGTAAATACATAGTATATTGAAGTAGTTTCTTTGCATTCGCAATGTGAAGATGGTGCCAACTCTTAATTGTGTTCAATGTTTTATAGCGGCATCAACTCTAGAGAGTACTGCCAAACATTTTCGACGTACTTAATGGCGCTTAATGTCATTACTCTTTACCGTAATATCACCACCTTTTACCATAATGTCATCAACAAACAAATGCATCACAACAATAAATGATAACCAAGTGATTAACCAGTAATTGTTTACTTTAAAACGCTTAAACCAAAACTTGTTTCTCGAAATATGACGCCGCTTCTTGAAACAATTCCCAGGAAACTGGACCGAATACGGGTCGACGAAGTTACAACATACGAATTAAAAATCAGAATACGACCAAATTGTAAACCAAGGTAATATAACGCGCGAGAAGCGGTTCATAGTGGTTTCGAAAATGGAAATCAGGTGGATAGTGGTTTTGTGGCTAGTCCAGGCAGTAGGTAAGATTAGGTTTTTCTTTCATTGGTTAAAAAATGCGTAGAATATTATAAAAAATAAATAAAATTTTACTAAAAAATTTTTATTTTCGTATACCAATTGATAATTACGTAAAAGTTACAGTATTAGATTACTAATACGTTGTCGTAATCATTATCGGTTAAGATTTACTTTAGCCAGTGCCGTTCCTCGAAAGACCAAACCCCTCGACCACAATCGTCGTTCAATCAATGAAAAATCAGCCGAGAAATCAGAAGATGGTCCAACACCTCCTCCGCTGCCATTACCAACAACAGAAGCCTCTTTAGCTGACACGTTATCTCCTCCTTTGTTGTCGTCAATCCAATTTGAAGGAGAAGCGTTGAGCCAAGTCTTCAGTGCCATCAAGGCCTTCAAAGAAGAAGATAACCACGAGAAAGAAGGGGCTATGCCTCCATCGATCAGCCCTCATGATATGCTCAGCAAGTTTTTCGTCGCGGAACAAAAAGAAGCGGCCGAAAAGTTACTCAACAGTGTTACAACAACTGTAGCACCAATTCCTACGGAGGCTACCGAATTAGAGCCTGTAGAAGTTGGAGTCTTTCAAGAAGTTAAGGAAGTAGATGAAGACACAGAAACGCAAAAGACTGTTGGAAAAGAAAACGAAGAAGTCGTAAAGGCTACAACCGGTAAGAATTCGATAAATTGAAACCAAAATTAATCAAATTTCAGAACGATTCTCAGAACCAATCGTGTCGCCACGTAACAGAACCCAGAATCGCAACAAATCCCGTCGCAACCAAAACAGAAGAACCAGAAGACCCAAAGGCTCCAGACGTCGTTCTACCACGACTACACCATCACCACAGCTCCAGCAAGAAATTGATGATGTTGAAGTAGTCCACAAGGTACACAAGATCAACTCGAAAGCCCAAGTACCAACTCAAGAAGAAGTGATTCGCTTTTTTGGGCGACAAAGAAAGTCGAGAAAAGAGTTGAACCGAAATTTCAGAGAAGATTCGACACCCATACTTCAGTCAATGGACAGAAACTTTGAGGAAATTCAAACCGGAGACTTCGAGAGCTACCTGGAGTTCTTCACCGTGACCTATAGCGACATCAAGGTCATGTACTACGCCATCAGTAAGTTCTCAAACAAAAAATTAATAGTTTTCCTATACAAAGAGTAAAATGATAACGACAAAATCACTTATGATAATGTTATATAAATAATGCTAATCAACCTATTACAGCTTCATTTGGACAAAACCTGACCAACGGTCCTCATATCGCCTATATCATCGACGACGATAACGCCAACTTCTGGTTGAAGAACACTTGGTACCTCTCGGACCGCGAAACAGAAAAGGCCAGATTGTTCCAATGTACTGAACGTTTCCTATATTACTTCGAAGAGTAGGTCGTTTACCAATCTGTCTTACTTTTCCTCTAGCAATTTTTTTTGTTTTTCCTTAAATTTACAATGTTGATCTTCAAAATACCGTATGTAACATGAAAAACCAAAAAGCGACACTATAAAAAACCCTACTTGATCATAATAACCATTTTAACTGTGCCATTACCTAAAATATTTACAGAAACGGAATGGTAAGACTTCAAACACCAGCAGGGTTCGAATGTGCTCACTCATACCTTTATGGTAACATCATGTTTATGAACAAAACGCATTTCATTCAGTTGGGAATGAGCGATGGATACATTGGAAAAGGGCTCAGAAACAATGCGTAAGATTAAAATAAGGCTGCTCAATCACAATGTCCTTATGACAAGGAAAACTCAAAATTTTAGATGGATCAGCCGATCGTATTTACAAAAAAAGTTTTAGAAATTACTTACGTATTTATGATGTTGTACGACATGTTTTTGATCCCAAAAAAACTTCTGAAGGCAGTTTTTTCAAGTTCCGAAGAAAATATTTTTCAAAAACAAATTTGCCGCTTTTTTTCGTCGACGAAGTGTCAAAATTACATTTAAAAATCTTATCTCTGACGACACTTCGTCTTGTTTTTACAAAAATTGGAAATCTTTCAACAAAATTTTGTTTACAATCAACTATACACATAGATCTTGACGTTTTTGTTACAGAATTCGTGAAAAGTCAAAGCTTCGTGATGATCTTCAGCTGACTGTTGATTTGTGTTTCAAACAGGTAACTCATTTAGCACGTCAATCAGTTTGAAAGCAGAAAGTTCTGTTAAAATTTAATGTTGATTTAAAGTTTGAAAATAAAGTCAGCTATCTACAATAAAAAACCTAACTTTTAGGATCGATTTTGTGCTCAAGCGAATCCGACAAACTTGGTAACGATCTCAGATGAGCCTTTCGGATACTTTTCTTCTAATTTAGAGCTTCACATGAGACGTTCACGGTATGTTCAAGGTTATTATTGTAGATGATAAAAGTTTTGTTATTTATCTATTTATGTTTAGATGATCTACAATAGTCTTCATAACGTAATTGTTATTTTAGAAATCCTATGGGTCAGATTGACATCAAGTTCTACGTACAAGTTCACGGAAATTCAAAAGTGCAAGATCAGTAAGTAAAAAATGTTTTATAGGTATTTGAAAGGTTAATTTAATTTTATTTACGTTAATTATGGCGTTAGCAACTAAAGTATTAACAAAACTTTCTTTTGTTTTAATGACAATCATCTTTTTAATTTCAGTAGAGCTTTCTTCTTCCCCTCAGATCTTAAAACATTTGGCGGGGAACTGGACAAACATTTTGAGAGAGTCGCAGTAGTACCACTGATTAAAGAGACCGACCAGTTCTTTGCCAAGTATGACGTCAACTTCATGACAGATGCTGAAATCGCGATGGAATCAGAAAGAAGAGCACTATAGATGCTATTCTACATAACTTATTCATGTAAAATGTATTTATTTTTGGAATTAAATTATTTATTTCGATTTTTTATATTGTATACGAAGATGTAAAGCAGCATTTACTTACTTCTTTTTGGTTTAATTTATGTTTATATATTAAAATAGTATTTTCGCGTTAGGTTTCGTTTGTATAAGTATTTGAACGTTTATTTTGATTGTATTTCAACAACCATGCTTAGTTAAAACAACAACATATCAAACATAAACGTAGATTGCAAGTAAAATGGCAAATATACAGATAATTGATACAACAAGTCACCGTTTCTGAGATGCGTTACAGACAGGAGAAGTCAGACTTCTTATTTGCGTCCGGCGTAGCTGTTTCCAGCGACTGGAGCAGCTTCGACTGGGGCAGATTGGTAACCTCCTTGTTGCTGAACTGGGGCTTCCACTGGGGCGGATTGGTATCCACCTTGTTGTTGGACTGGAGCCTCAACTGGGGCAGACTGGTAGCCTCCTTGTTGTTGGACTGGGGCTTCGACTGGAGCAGATTGGTATCCTCCTTGTTGTTGGACTGGGGCTTCAACTGGGGCAGATTGGTAACCTCCGACAGCTGGGGCAGAGTTGACAGCTGGAGCGGCTTGGTATCCTCCGACGGCTGGGGCGGAGTTCAAGGCTGGGGCAGCTTGGTAACCTCCTCCAATTGGGGCTGGAGCGGCGTTCAAAGCTGGGCCGGCTTGGTATCCTCCTCCGATTGGGGCTGGGGCAGCGTTCAAGGCTGGGACGGCGGCGTATCCACCTCCGACGCCTCCGAATCCACCTCCGACTCCTCCGAAGCCTCCGGCGGCTGGAGCAGTGGCGTATCCTCCGGCAGCTGGGCCTGCACCGGTTCCGCATCCACTAACGGCGGCGAAGGATCCTCCGCATGGGCTTGGTGGTGGTGGTGGGGGTGGTGGTGGAGCACCGCATCCGCATGATGGAGCTGGTGGGGCACATCCGCAGGCTGGAGCTGGTGGTGGTGGTGGAGGAGCTCCACATCCGCAAGCTGGGGCTGGTGGAGGGCTGAATATATAACAATTACAAAATTATTTAAAAACGAAATTAAAGTCTAATAACAAAAAGCTGCGACCAAATACTAAAGGAAGAACTTAAGTTTCAATACTTACCAGCAACCACCGCCTCCTCCGGCGCTTGGGAACAAGAAGGCTGATGAGCAGCCGACGAGGGCGAGCACGATAACGGCGGTCTTCATGTTTAATGTGTTGATAGAGCCGAGGAGGGATCTGATGGCTGTTCCACCGCCCGGATCGGCCTTAAATACCTAAACGCGACATATTTCAGGCTGTGCGCGGCTGGAGGGCGGCGCAGCGTTTAAGCTAGTTTTTCTTCACGTCGCGTCGCGCGTAAAAAAAGAAACCTAAGGACACCGACGACATCTGTAAAGTGCATTTCCACTTTTGTTCAGCCGGCTGGCTCCGAGCCAAGAATTTCGACGAGCGATAAAACCACAAAAGAACATTAATAACGCAAAGACAAGGAGACAACGGTGGCAGGAACTTGATGGTTATGGTAGGAGAAAGAACAGGGTGACGAGGTAATGATGTTTTGGGTAAAGAATGTAACAGAGGACCAAATATGCACTGTTAAAGTTTATTATTTTTGAACTTTTTTTGTTTTTAAATTTTCAGATTGTTAGATTTTGCACTTTTGATACTGTATATTGTGTTTGAACAAACTTTTTTCTTTGCCATTTTTCAAAGAGAAGAATTTTAAAAGTCTCGATTGCATCACCTTTAAAGAGTGTTTTTTGCAATTTCCAGTTCCGCGCATATTAACCACGATGGACCAAGACCAAGCCTCAAAGAACGGGATTTGCAACGTTGCGATGAGTTTCTAAAAAGTTTTTTTTTGGGAATCGAGACGTCTGCCTTCGAAGCGTCACATCCGGCTTCCACGCAGATCATCTTCGTGGTAACACTCGATCACTTACTTACTCAAGGTCAAAGTTTAATTCGTTTTAACTTTGGTTTAGCTACTGTATAGAGGTTTCTTGTTGTTTTATAGTTAACAGTTTTAGTGGTATTAATTGATAAAACTGTAATACGTCTCATCATTGTGTTAATGCCTGTAAATAGTTATAACGTGTTTTATCTTTTATGCCTTTATATCATCTACAACACTGAGCTTTTGAAGCCTCTGACTGTCACTTCCTTCGGCGGTGAAACCTGGAACATTTAAAACATTTGTTAAGAAATATTGTGGAAGTTACAAAAAGGCGATCCAGCTGTGAGATCGACTAACAATAACAATATAAAAAGTTGTTTTGGTATTCAAGATCTGCTTTTTACAAGATTATTTCAATTCCCACAACTTTACTAAAGTTCAAAAGGTATCGAGCTCTTGATATGAATATCGATATGTAATTTGACATATTCAAAAGCCCTATACTCTCGGCATAGTCAACAAAAGATAACTTACTACAGTTGTCTATAACTGCCTGCTTCTTATGACAAAGTTACTTACTAACAGTATACTTTTACCGTTTCAAAATAGATATTGTTACGCGTCATTAGCCAACAATGGGGTCGATTAATCAGCTCATTAAAATTCAATTCAAACGCCCTCAGGTAATAAAACGTCGCTTTTCGACGGTTTCAAGAAAGTTCTACCACAAAGCACTTGTGTCACTTTCAACCCATTTCGAAGGAACTATGATGACACTTCAAAGTGGATTACGTTACAGTAGTTTGTTTAGGGTTGTAACTAAAGGTTACTGTAGTTTTCAATTTTCTATTTAAATAGATTTTTTTTATTCGTCAATATACTGTAATAATTCAAATAAAATTTAAAACATCTTAAAAAGTCTTGAGAATTATTGGTTTTACTTATGTAATCGCTCAAAGTTTCAAATAGAGTCGCGGTTATATAACTGAGTCAACTAAAAACTGGTTTGAAAGTAAAGTTATATTGCTATCGCTTTCGGCATTCGCAGAATCTTTGCGTAATACGTAAACTTTGTGCTCTTAAGCTTATCAAAGTATAATTTAAACTAATAAATTAATAATTTTTTAATATTTAAAAAACAGATACTAATTAACACTTTACATACGTACTATAATATTACGACCATGTCAGTTTATTTATTATGATACAAATTGTTGTACATAAGATATGCGATTGTGAACAAGAAAAGCAGTAGTAGGATCACAAATGTCAGTCGAATTATCTGCCAAAACATATAGCAGCATGATTCACATCTAAAAATTCAAATTAGTGTTTGGCAGTGACAGATATGATAATCAATACTCTCTGAGTATTAGGTTGTATATTAGACTACAAAAAGAAAAATACTAAAGTCTTTTGACAGTAAAACTGAATAAAGCTCAAAATATATAGTTTCTACCTACTACAATATTACAATAGTCTGTACAAACTATTTAGCCTAACATACAAAAAATACGTTACCTTGTCTGTTCATTTCGCTCAGCTCGTGCCACATCTTCTGGCAATGGTTTGGGCTCTGGTTGGTATCGTATAGCATTTGGATCAACGTGACTTGGTTGTGTAGAATCTGTAGTAAGGACATTGTCAGTGTTCGAAGATGTTACAGTAACCGAGTTCTTCTTTACCTTTTTTGGTATCTTCCCACCTGATACCACGGTTTTGCTTTCATTCGCTTCGATTGGCATAAGCTATGAAAATTAGTAACAAAACGATTAGGGTTCGACCGGTCGGTACAAATCAATAATTTCAAATTTTACTTTTTCAAAAAAGTTTAAAATCCTGAAGTTTAGGTAAAAAAAACTTTAAAAAACTATTTTTAGGTAACAAAAAGAACCAAGCTAAAGTGAGTTTATTCTATTCACATGTAATTAGACACAGAAAACGATGACGATTATCGTTCCAATCACAATCAGTCCTACGAACACGCCCAGCACCACGTAGACGATGACACGGTAGTTTTTGAAGGAGTTCCTAAAATTACGGTAACTTTAGTAATTGTACAAAAATACAGTAACCTTTGTTATTTTTTTAATCTTCATTTGATACTATCACATATTTTTTTAATTATACGAAAAAACCATATACATATTTTAAAATTTTAGGTAATAAAAACAAATTTTGGTCTAAAAATCAAGAAGTAGGTATAATATACTCATAAGTAAGATAAAATCATTTTAAAATTAACCTTTGGACACTTGAATTCGTAAGGGTTCTGCTGTCGCCTGATCTGCTGTTCCTGACATCGATGGCGAGCTTGTCTGTTCGTTTCGATGACGTTCTTTTCGATGTTTTGCCAGTCTAAATATCAAAATAATGTCTTTTCAAAATTCAAAGGAACCTGTGTTAAATAACCTGTAGGTATACCAAAATGTAACAAAAATATACTGTATAAAATTGTAGTAATACTGTACAGAAACGTAGTATCTGATCGTACCAAAGGGGTTTTCTCCGAAGAATCTTTCTCAATGTCAGAACCTGGTGGAAGCTTGTCAATATCGCTGGTTCCTCCTGATTCTGGCGGTATATCGGCTTCTTTTCTAAAAATTTTTTAAAATTAAAAAACTAAACTGGAAAAGGGTATTTAAAGATAAGCTAATGAGACTAATAGTTTAAACAGCCTGTGGCAAGTTAAGAAAAGTAAAAACAAACTTGGCCAAGTCTTCCATCCGGCGTTGGCCACCGAGTTAACTCGGTCGATCGTGTAAAAATGAAAATGACGTTTCTTTACCAACTCTGAAGATAACATTAGTTTTGCATCTTTAGTCTCCCTGAAACTTTGATGTAAAACGGCTTGTACAAATGTCATACCTATTGGGGCCCGATTGGCGACAGTTACAATGAATACCTAAAGCAACACTTGAATTCATTAAATTTTGTTTATATTATATCTTTCACACATTTTATATTTTTTTATACTCCAAACAAAAATTTTAAAAGCTTGATTTATTTTTTGAAACTGTCAAGTTCATTCTGTATTATGCAAATTTACCCGCATACCGAGGAGTCAGATGTTGGTCATTTGTTTTTTTCATTCTTGGTCACAACTGGCGGTCCGCCAAAACTGCGGTTGAATTACAAGGTAAATGGCTGAAGAACTGAACGATAAATTGCCCCAGGCGGGAGAAGTCTTACGTACTCGTCGCAACGAGTACGAGGTGAGTTTCACAGTATTTTTTATTTTGAAAGCATCACTTTTGGCTTTGTAGTACCATTTTTGGTTTTGACGTACTGTTTTGCTGTTAAAGTACTATTTTCATATCCACAGTATTATGTTCAATTTTACAGTACCAGTACCCTATGTAACCTCTACTTTAAGATAATAAAGCTCCTAGGCAAGGGCGGGTTTGGAGCGGTCTACGAAGTTAAGTCAAAGAACGACACAGAACTGTACGCCGTGAAATGTGAAACAGCCGATGTTAAGAAACAAGTCTTGTCCATGGATTGTCGCGTGCTGAGAGGTGCTTTCATGATCAAGTCTCCCCACTTCTGTACCATCATCGACCGCGGCAAAGTCGAGAATCGTTTTCGGTATTTGGTTATGAAGTTGGTAAGCTTTTTGTGGACATAAAAAAGTTTGTAATATATAAAAGTTCTAATAGGTACTGTAACGTTTTGACAGACATTCTTAAAAGCTATATACCTTAATCTCAATCTTTAGGTCGGTCGCAACTTATGGGAGCTGAGAATCGAGCGAGAAAGAGCACGGTACTCTCTGAACACGGCCTTAAAGTCAGCGGAACAATGTTTAATGTCGATCGAAGATCTCCATCGTATAGGGTATCTACACCGTGACATCAAGCCAGGTAACTTCGCCATCGGACGGCCAGAAAGCAACGAACAACAGATCGTGTTTATGCTAGACTTTGGACTGTGCCGCAAGTTTATTGGGTAAGTTTTGAGGATATTGAACTTGAATTTTGTCATTTTTTGCTTTGTTCTTTTATCAAAACGTACGTTTTTGATACTTCACGCCCTAGGATTATAAAACCCTCGTCACCCTGTCAATATTTTAGCGATGCCGACTCGAAAGATCTCCGAATGCCAAGAGCATCTGCTCCTTTCCGTGGTACCACTCGTTATGCAGCTATGGCAGCCCTAAAGCAAATGGAACAGTCCAGAAAAGATGACATCGAAGCCTGGCTGTACATGGTCGTGGAATGGACGGCAGGCCAGCTACCTTGGAGGAAGCTGAAGGGACCAGATAAAGAAGAAGTACTTCGCTGGAAAGAAGCCGTCCGCGCCGGCGATGCTTTAGCCGACTTCCTCACAGACTGCCCCAAGCGTCAATTCTTGGCCATAATGCAATATCTGGATTCATTGGTCTACCAGAGTATCCCCGACTACAGCTACGTCTACTATTGTCTCCAACATGCAGCCAAAGTGAGTATAACTATTATTAATATCTGAGTTATCTCTTTATTCTGAAAAAACTTTAAATAATGTATAACAACATCATTTAAACCGAACTTCAACGAAAAACAACTTTCAGGCCAACAACATAAAGCCAAACGATCCTCTTGACTGGGACCCGGACCATAAGTACCACGGCCCGTCGGTGCAAGACCGCGACAAGCGAATAGACCTCAAGGTTGGCAAAGAGAATGAACACGAGGAGAAGGAAGAGGAAGGTGGACACATGTCAAAGCGGGAATCCACCAAAAGGGGCTGATCTTGTTGTCTGATCCAATAAATTAGTGTTACTTTGATCGTTGAAATTCATTTGGTTTTCATAAATCTTGGGTTGTTTAGAAAAAAGTAAAATTAAAGATTTTAGGTACATTTTTAGAGTTGAGACCTGATTTACATTGACAGATTTACTCCCAAAAACAAGATTCTGTCGAGAAAATCGAGTGATGAAGTATTTTTTGGACGGATTGACAAATTTTATAAAAGTGGCGGATTTTTTGGAAAAATAATTTATATTTTTCACTTTTTTTGTTTTTACTTTGTTTCTTTACAGGTTTTCTTACTTTTACTTTACGTTTGAAGTTCGGATAAACTGTTTTTGTTGTTATATACTAGTTATTATGTGTATTTTCTAGAAAGCAGGGTTTTTAATGATAGTTTTGGGCTTTTCTGGATGTTACAGTACGCTTTATAGCGATATGAAGCATAATTTACGTTAACATAGAACAAACATACTGTACGTTATACGTCTCAGCTACATCGACATTAAAAAAGCTTTGCACTTATGTGCTATTTACAGCAGAATAATTCATGCCTTATTACACAGGTATGTCGTGGTGCATAACAAACGAGTGCTATTTATTGAGGAATAATACCAGCTGTTGTTAGGAAGTCCTTGAGGAATTAAGATGGAGCAACTTTCTCCAGGCTTGAGTCACATTTTAAGCTACGTCAAATGAGGCTAGCTTCCACTTAATTGGCCAAAGTCTGTGATGGTGAATATAAAAAATGGTTGTAGATGTGAATTTATTAGTTTTTTGGTTTTTTATGAAGATTTAGAATTAGTAGATGTTTACATGGTAAAAGTCTTTGCAAGTACCTTTTTATATTTTTAGTACGGTACTGTTTTGAGCTGAAAATAAGTTTTGAAAATGTAAAATTAAGTATATTCATGTATAAAAGTGTAATAATAAGGGAACTCTATGTTAAGGTACATTTTCTGACGTACATAAATAAAAAATTTTTTGGAAATGAAGGTGTTTTAGGTATATTATACTTCATCTTCATATTTAGCCCTATTCTTTTTATGGAATAAAAATCAAGTGTGAAATTAACATATTTTGTGGAATATACTTTTATATAACAAAATATGGTATTTAATGAAAGCTCTTACCGTGGTTGTCTGTATTTTGCAATGCCATAACTTGTGTTATCTTCCAGAATGCCAAAGTCATTTCTGTACAAAGATTAGGTGTTATTGGCTTAGTTGTAACAAGATTTGCGACTCATAACTTTATTTACCGCTTGGTAATCGAATGTAAATCAAAGATTACCGCGCAGTAATTGAAAGTTTTGCCTCGAACAGTGGTCAACGATTTAATTAAAAACAATCTCGACTTGTTTATTTTTTGGACGTGAGAACGGCACATTATTAGCTTTGTTTTTCTAAATTTATTCATCACCGGAGGGCATTTTGAGTGTTTTGGTGGCGGCCGTTCAAACGTTCTTCACTTCAATCATTTTCGAGAGTTTTTTGGTTAAAAACTGATTTCAAGTCGTATGATTGATTTAAATGTCTTTAGGGGGTTAAATTCAATTTTCATTCAATTCTTCGTTTAACAACCAAAAAACTGTTGTTCCAGAATATTGTAGTAGCCTTCTTTAACCGAACATTAATTTTCTCTTCAAAATTAAAGGAATTCTGTAGTTTTCCTAGTACACATGCAGGTAACAATGGCAGTGGGATCTTTGGTTGCAACTGTTTTTGGTTAGTTAGTATATGTGTCGTTATAGGGGCATTTGGGCGGAAAACTTTTTTTGAACAGATACTAAATAGGTTTGAGGAAATACGACGGAGAACGCGTACAAATGTTTACATACGTTCTGTTTCCTGTATATTGAGGTTAGCAAAGGTTCAGTCTTATGTATCGGAATGGCGTCGGTTTCTTGTTTAACTTTGTTACAGTAAAATGACGTTTCAACGGTTATTAGTAAGATTATTATCATTTCTTGATAACTTTTGGTCAATTTACAGTGATGAGAAGTTAAATATTAAAATTTTTTACAGCCTTAAGAAATGATTTTTTAAAGTTTTTAAAATTACTGCTTTACTTTTGTAAACTTGAAATTAGCAGGTTCTCCAGATTCTAAACATAAGATCTTGCAGCTCTGAATCAAAACATACGGCACGTCACGTTGTGTTCCTATTTATACGCGGTTTCGCGGTAATGTAACAATTCTTTATGCACAAGAGCATGTGTTTGATTTCTAGTGTTCTTGAAGGTGTCAATCTCAGGCTGCCAATTGTTTATTATACTTTTTGCGAAAACAGTTTTGTTTTCCGAAAGATAACTAACGGCATACTTTTTGTTTATGGCGCGGTAAATGAAACTATGGTAAAATAATTTTGTTGTTTTTTAATTTTGGAGTTATTTTTATAGTGATATTACTTTTTTGTTGATATTAACAGATATATTAGTTTTATGGGTTTTATTTTCTTATATCTTCTTGTAAATGCCATCATTCGGCCTAACATTACAGTGGTGTCATCACTTTTTTTTAAGCTACATCACTTAAGTTAATGTAATCAGGAATCGTAAATTTCGCTAGAAATCGCTTTACTTTCTATTTCTGAACCATCACTTACAAAAAAGATGCAAGTTGTACAGTAATACGCGTGCCTATCACGATGACTAAAGTAATTTACCCGCATTATCGCCTTGCTTACTTCTTAGCACGCTATGAAACTGGCACGTTGTGTAACGTTCGTCTTCCGCGCGGAACTTTCATTGTTCCGTCCAAATTGAATTGTAGGCTTAAATAACGTGAATGTCATTTCCATGAGATTGGGCCTGTCTTTACATGCATGTTACTCTAATCCGCCTAAACTTGTTATGCTATTTTTCGGTTTCTGGCCATCGCTTTTTTTACAAACCCTGTATTGTTGTGCTTATTGTCGTATTTACTGTGAGTTATTGTGTTGGGTACAATGAGGGTCAGGTGAGGTTTTAGAATATCAAGGCAAAGAGATTGCTTCTAATGTGCCTGTGTCATTTTAGAATAAGGATTTATTCTACTTTAGCGTAGTATTTTATATTTACTGACCTATTTATAGTAGAAAACATACTTTATGACAGTTTGTTTGTTAAAGTCATTGCTTTTGCCACAGCCTGTTTTGGACTAGTCTGAAGCCAATTTCTGGTTCAGCTAGTCTGGCTTCCTTTTAAAAGTTTGTTGTAGGTCTAGACTGTAGCGTTTTCGAATAAAATCTCACAAAATTCACGCACAATATATAGTTTTATCTAACGAGTCTTATGGATTAAAGTTTTAAATTTTATCACTGATAATCCAAATGTTTTGACGTTTGAAACTGCCATAAAAACATAGTAAATGGCTAAAAATAGCTCTGTTTAGCCTTTACAATCCTTTTGTCACGGAAGAAGTAAATTACGGCGAAGTAAATAAGGACTTGGCAATTGTAACATCTTGAAAAAACAATTGAAATGGCAGTTAAAAGTGTCGTTTCAAGTTTTTTAAAATTAAACGAAGTGGTGTTCTTAACAATGTCAGGCTATTTTAAAGTTGAAGTAATTGCATTATTATGGTGATATTTGCACTTGTAGCTTTATTTTTGAAGCTTCAGCGACATTTTATACGTTTTTGAAATTAAAAGTTTTAGGCTTTGACGTGACGGTTGTGCATATATACATACATGTAGGGATATATTTGTTGATATGTCTATTGACTATGTAAAATTGTGTTTTACTTTGTATCAGCTACGAGAAAAAAACTCATCTTCTTTACTCCCGAATGTTACAGTAAGAGCAAAGGTCAAGCGAGTATCCAAGTTGAATTCGATTACTCTGCTTTGGCAAACGTTTCCCGAGATTGTAATCTTTTTGATTCCTGAAATTGCTCTTCCGGGAACAATTACTCGCCTCTTCCTTATTATGCTAATTTGGTTGCAAATTATTTGGAATAACAAAGTCAAAACATACTTTTACCGCGACAGAAGATGACTTTTACTTATGACTTTGGACTAGATATTGTTATTTTTTTGTTACAACTTTTTGCTATTTGCACTACTTTTACTCTCTAGTGACGTATTTTCTAGAATCTGCTTCTGACGACGACCACAATTACAGAAGTTTTGTAAAATTTATTTTTAAATTTTAATTAAAAATTAATTAAGTTTCGGCAAATCTTTTGTCACTGAATACGAAACAGTAATCCTATAGTAGTAATGATAGCGTTTAGAACTTTACTGAGTAAGCCGGAAATGTCTTAAGAATCGAATTGGATTAGTCTTTAAGTAACATCGACTTGTTTTTACATTACTATCCTGGGACATGTACATTGTTGTTCACATTCACACAGACGTGTTTACATTCGATGCTGTTTCCGTGTTATCTGGGTTTGGAAGTTTAGTATGTGTTGGGTGGGATGTCTGGTTACAGAGTTTTTGATAGTATGTTGGTTTATTTTAGGAGACTCATAGTAGTGATATGTACTTATATAGCACTACAAAGCACAGTATTATACGTTAATTACATTAAAGTTGCACTCAACGACTTTGCTATAATATTATATGTTTAATAGTATGTTGTGATTGCTACCTTTACTATGTTTTGCTATTTGTACTATATAACTTGGTGTGCACCTGACAGCATGTAAAGGTTGTTTATATTATAGTAAGACCTAAAAAGGGCATTTTTATTATGTTTATGTAAAGTAAATATTGTTACATGTAATATTATGTATGTTCTTTGTACAATGTTTGCTTGTATGTAAAAATAGAAGTTGATGTAAATTTGTTTACAGCTCTATAACATCATATTCATGTAAATTTCAAAGTACGTGTTGTTTGATACGTATGTTATTACATGCATAGTAAAGTAGCTGTAAGTGCAAGGTGACTAACTACGATGGAACAGTGACTAACTCTGTAACATGTTTATATCGTGGTATCTTTTCTTGGTAGAGATTATGCAGTAAAGAAATGATTTAACACTTTCTGCATAGATGAGCCTGCTAATCTTGTTC